CCAGCCAGTGCTTCATAAAGCTTCTCTGTGGTCTCTGAGCCAGTAAAAGAGAGAAACGTCACACCATCAAAAAAAAAAAAAAATCTGGATAGTGAAAAACGAAAATAGACAATCTGTGCAACTCCAATCTCTGTTGGCTTTCGATTGTTCTTATTCATCTTGGCTCCATCGAGCATAAGGTGAGTGACGAGTTCAATCGGGTTTTCTTTTGAGCTGCCTGGTGTTGGAACAGCATCAGACCTGTGTGTTACAGTCGATGGTGGTGGTAGTGGAGCAGCAACAGACGTATGAGATGTTGACGACGATTGCTGAACTGGTGGAGGAGCAATCGATGTTGGTGGTGGAGCAGCAGACGTGTGCAATGTTGACGACGATTGCTGACTTGGTGGAGGAACAATCGATGGTGGTGGTGGAGCAGTAGCGGACAAATGTGACATAGACGATTGTTGATCTGCCTGTGGTGGAATAGTCAATCATGACAAGAAGAGAGTGAGGATGGTGGGCATCCGATCATTGATGAGTGGTCCATCATCTTGAAGTATGCCGCATCAGATTCAAGTGCTCTCTTCAATGTAGACGGCAGGATATTGTAGTATCCATTTCGGATCGTTCTGAGGTCTAGTTTGTTCTTGGATATATGCTCCAACGCCAACTTTATCCTGCGCAGAGAGTAGACCCTTGTGTGAAACCGCAATTCTCTCATCCTCTCAAGCCACTAGTCATCTGGAATCTTGGATTGTACCTTCAACTTGGCAATCTCGAGCAGAGGTATATCTGAATAAGAGAAGGATGTTGAGATTGATTAGTAAATGATCTAATCAAATGTGTTGTTGTTGTTGTTGTTGTTGTTGTTGTTGTTGTTGTTGTTGTTGTTGTTGTAGTTGTTCTTTGGTTAGCAATTCATACCCTTTCTTGCAGTTGCATTGTGTACCTTGTCAGTCGCTTTGATTCGATTCTTAAACTTGACAATCATGCACCTGTTGCATATCTCTGCCAATGACTGCTCGTTATTGATTACTTTGTGATGGTAATTGAGGTTCTGGACGTGCCGGGCCCAGTTGCTGTTGGCCACTAGATCGTGACATCCAAAGTGATCGCACAACTTGTCGCGAGCCTTGCCATCTTCTGTTCTCAGATTGGTCAATGTTGTTGTTGTTGTTGGAATGACCTGCCTCTCTTTTTTCCTTTGCCATAATTGAAGACAAACAACTGGTTGTTTGACATCTTAGTATTTGAATGTTGTATAATTGTTTAATTTAACAATGACAATGTTTGAATAATAAATAAATTTTTATTTGGTGTGGTGTTGATCTATAATTATAAAAGATAGATATTATTGTTACTCTTGCACAGCAGAATGCTATTACTACTATATTAAGCATCAATTGGCAAGTTATCAATCTTTCTTGTGACTAACAGGTGAAAATATTAGTCATTTCATTGCTGTCCTTCAAGGATATAAACAGACAAGTTCTCACCTCCCATTGGTCAACCACACGTGGGGGTCCTTCCTTTTACGTCATCCCAGGTACACAATAAGGTGAAGAAGCCTTGGAGGGACACCCCAATCGATTGGGGTAGTTGTCCAACTTGAAGAGGTTTGTTGAAATAGGGCAGTGATAATTGTGGTAAATCTTCTCCGGCTTGAGGAAGCTCGTGCAAACTCCAAGGGTTTGGTTTTGAGAGCTCTTTAGAAAACGTAGACAGGTATTTATATAGGCTTTCTTTCTTCGGTGTCGGTTGTCGTGAAGGTGATGATGATGGTATAGCTCCAAAGTGGTGCTTCAGTGACGGTGTGATGAGTTTATGAAGTGAGAAGATGCTTCTGCTTACTAAGAGAAAACATAATACATCAATAATGTCAAGATGTAGCAAAATTATTCTTAGAACGTAAGTTGGTAGTAATATTAACATTGTGTAGTTGGATTAGTTAGGCTCTGACAATACAAAATACAATCAAATTCGTAGTGCGCTCTCTCGAGGGCGTTGCTGCTGTTTTGTTGCCAATTTCTTTTCTTTTTTTTCATTGATTAGTTGTATTTTTATTTTTTAAGTTTTAAGCGCGTTTTGTGTTTTTGAGGCATGAAAGCACAAAGGCAAAGCAATCACTTCCATTTGTCATCCAACACAACACACACAGACGCACAACAAAAATGACATCTCTATCTCTGTATACTATAATAATACTTCTCATAATGCTCATTGCCCCTCAAGCTATCAGCAGTAAGAAAATCAGTGCTGCTCTCAATATTATCCTTCCGGGACATGTAGCGGTGGACACACATAAGTGGATTTGTTGAATAAAACATTCCCTCTCAAATTCAAACTTTTAAGTTGATTCATCAAAAAACTACTCATTTTGGAGGGTTGTAGTTATAACTTGTTCAAACACAGTGGCTTTAGTTGTGTTATTGGCTACAGATAATATAAAGTAATACTACATGTTGTAGTTGTCATTAATAATAATAATAATATTATTATCTTTTATTAAACGAACGAACGAGCAAAAATCAATCAAACAAACAAATAAACAATAATGAGTAGCAGTAGTAGTAGTACGGCGACAGCAACGTCGACGAATGAACTGTCAGAGAATATATCGGTGGTGGTCAGAGCAAGACCTTTTAATACAGACGAGATCAAAGCATCATATTATGAATCATGGAGTCTAGATCAATCGACAAATACCATCGTCTCATTGCCTCCACCTCAGACAGCTCCCTCGCCAAAGACTACATCGTCAATGGTTGGCGGCATGCCTCGCACACCTGGCAAGGCGACATCTGCTGCCGCTGCATCATTGTCAGCGTCAACTGGCAGCAGTGCAACAGGCTCCAAATTCATTGCCAACAGCTATACATACGACCACCTGTTCTCACCATCGATGGACACCCCTCAGATATATGATACGGTGGCCAAGCGCATCATTTGGAGCACGATGGAGGGATACAATGGCACGATCTTTGCATATGGTCAGACGGCATCGGGCAAGACCTTCACGATGAAGGGCAGCGGCAAGAAGAACCCAGGCATCATCCCAATGGCCATTCGCGATGTCTTTGATTTCATCCAACAGGAGCCTGGGCGCGAGTTCCTGCTGCGTGTCAGCTACATGGAGATTTACAACGAGGTAATCAATGACCTCCTAGCGCCAGAGAGTTTGAACCTCAAGATACATGAGAAGCCAAATGTAAGCATCGTCCACCACTCGCGCTGGCACGCTCACTCACTAATTCATTCTCGCGCGACAACAGGGAGAGATATATGTTGGAAACTTGAAAGAGGAGATTGTACTGTCGCCTGATCATGTCATGTCACTGATCTCGGCTGGAGAGGCATACAGACACGTTGGCAGTACGAACTTCAACGAGCAATCCTCTCGCTCACACACCATCTTTCGACTTGTAGTCGAGAGCAAAGAGACAGCATCCACTGGATCAGCAGTCCGTGTATCATTCCTGGTATGTTGATTGATTGATTGATGACCTTGGACCATCACTCATACTTACCAACTTGACCTGGACCTCATCAGAACCTCATCGATTTGGCAGGAAGTGAACGTGCATCAGAAGGAGTACAAGCAATACGTAACAAGGAGGGAGCGTATATTAATAAGAGTTTGCTGACGCTTGGAAGTGTGATCAGCAAGCTGAGCGAGAAGACGACTGGTCATATCAATTATCGTGATAGCAAACTGACGAGGATCTTGCAGAACTCATTGAGTGGCAACTCAAAGATTGCCATTGTCTGTACAATCACATTGGCCAGCAACAACTTTGAGGAGACGCACTCCACACTCAAGTTTGCCAGTCGCGCCAAGAAGATCACCAATCACGCCAGGCTCAACGAGGTGGTCGACGACAAGACTTTGATCAAGCAGTATCGCAATGAGATTGCCGAGCTGAAGCTCAAGCTGGAGGAGGCACAGCGCAAGGAGCTTGATCTCGAGAAGAACAAGACCGCTGAGGAGTTGTCCAAGAGGCTGCACGACGCCGAGAAGCACAAGAACTTGCTCGAGTCCAAGATACAGCACTTGACCAAGCTGATCCTGGTCAGCAGCTCAATCTCCAAGGCCAAGCAGGGCTCAACGTCGTCCTCGTCCGAGGCATCCCCGCTGAGTTCCAGCGTGGAGGATATTGACGCGCATCATATCAGCTCGCATCTCAAGTCCAATCCACTGGTCGATGGCAAGGACGTGGCAAAGATGGCCAAGTTGGAGAAGGAGCTGGAGGAGAAGAACAAGACAATCGAGAGCGATCAGAAGAGGATCAAGGAGTTGGAGCTCAAGCTCAAGGAGAAAGAGGATAGCGTGGCAAGTTTGGAATTTAGGATCAATGGATACATGGAGAAGTTTAAGACCCTGATATCACAGAACGACAGTCTCAAAAAACAACTGAGTTCAACTCAAAAGGAGCTGGAAGAACACAAGCTGCAGCTACTCGAGGCGCAGGAGCAGGAGCAAGAGCAGGAACAAGATCAAGAACAAGACGACCCAGATGAGATGTACTGATCGAGGTTTGATTGATTAGTTCTCGATGTGGATGTTGGACTCACTGGACTATAGCCCACAGCGGTGGTCTATAGGCGACACTCACTCGCGACTCACTTGTCGAATGCTCTCTCCCAACAACAATATATAATAATAAATGGTGTAAATAGACTTCGGACTTTATTCCTGATCCATTTTGGAAGGGCAAAACTATCACCTGATCATCAATCACTCAATCAATCAATCAAAAACACAAACATATAACTAATAACTAATATGATTGATACACTTTCAAATGTTGTGATAAGATGTATCATTGAACAACTTGCAAACGAGTTGGATATGGTCTGCTTTGGTATGTCATGTAAGAGGTTCTATTCAATCTTACCATGGTCTATATTATTGCGTGGCAATCAAATGCGCACGTGGCACATCAACGAAGAGATTACCGAGGGTGATCTACAGCCATCACTCCTACATCTTCATTTTGGTCTAAAGTTCAATCAACCGATTGATGTTGGACAGCTGCCTCAATCCTTGCTCACGCTGACCTTTGGAGATAACTTTGATCAAACACTACCAGCACACAGTTTGCCCTCATCCTTGACTTGTCTAAGGCTAGGCCACGACTTCAAGATAATTGGACCCGACACACTGCCACCTAGGCTCGTCATTCTGGAGTTTGGCTCGATGTTTAATCAAGATATTGGAGTTGGCATCCTCCCGCCCACTCTTACCGACCTCACCTTTGGCTTCTACTTTAACCGCTCCATCTCAGTCGGCGCGCTGCCACAGTCTCTGATCCAACTCAAGTTTGGATACAGCTTCAATCAACAGATCGAACCAAATGTACTTCCTTCAAGCCTCAAGCATCTTGAGTTTGGACAGACATTCGACTGCCCTCTTGTTGGCACCGATGGTGTCACACCCTGGCTTCCACCAATGTTGGAGTCACTGACCTTCCTCGAGGGAAGCTTCGACCACCCTATCGAATCAGTGATGCCATCAACACTCATGACATTGTCACTTGGGTCGTCTTTTAATCATCCCATCGCCCCTTTATCACTTCTCAACTCACTTGTCAAACTGGAGGTTGGAACTGCCTTTAACAAACAACTCACGAGAGGCTGTTTGCCCGAGTCCTTGCGTACTCTCTCGATTGAAGATATTTTCACGTTTGTCCTCGAGCCAGGAAGTCTGCCAACCAATCTAACAAGGTTGACATTTGGCTTGAGGTTCAATGGACCCCTCTTCCCAGGTGCACTGCCCCGTGGCCTGGTACATCTTTGTCTCAATGGTGAATTCGATCAGCCACTCATTTCCGGAGTGCTACCATTAGGTCTGGAAACACTTCGACTTGGACATCGATTCAATCATGTTCTGACTCCCTACGTCTCACTGCCACCCAATCTACGCGATCTTACACTCAGCTTCTACTTTGACTACAGCCTCGCACCTGGCGCACTCCCCGCATCACTCACAAGCCTTGAGTTCAAATATGCGTTTGACAAGATGCTTGAACATGATAGTCTGCCCATCGGCTTGACCAAGCTCACACTCAGTGGATTGTACAACTATCCACTGAGTAAGGGATTGCTCCCTTCATCATTGTTGGAGCTGAGGTTTGGCCAGAAGTTCAATCAACCCTTGAAGGTGGGAGACCTACCCGACTCAATCACCAAGTTGTCATTTGGTACTTCTTTTAACCAACCTATTGAGGCTGGTGTCCTCCCGGCAAGCCTAACATACTTATCGATCGAACCAGGATTAAGACAACCAACTTTAGTGTTCCCAGATGGTCTCAAACACCTTGACTTGTGCTCACTCGCATACTTGGTATCATTCATTCCCTCATTGCCAGACTCTCTCGAGTCCATTACAATTGGAATGGTATATGATGTGATTGACACTATTCACCTTGAGGGTCACAAGAATATTGAAGAGGGATGGCGATCACTATTTGCACATCGACAACGTCCCTTGGATACATTGAACTTGAAGTGCGATGCCAATATGCAAGAGGCCAGATATGTGTTGGAGTTCTTGGTTGATTTGGCACCAAACGTTGGAACTTATCAAGTCACAATGAGATACCTAAAGAGTTTGACCAAAGTACTTCTTCGGCGAATAGATGACATCAATGGAATACTATCTATTATATCCTTTGAAAACGAGGGAGTTATTGAAGGAGAAGGAGTAGGATCCAACAAATATTTAATAAGATTGATAACGAGAGTGAGTGAGAAGCTTCTCTCTTCTTAAAATATCTGGACCATTGGGTATTGTTACACTCAAGACCTGGAGGAAGAGGATGTTGGGTGCCATGGCACTATTGTAATTGCCAAGGTAGGTAAATAAAAGACGTGTAAAAAGAATCGCCAAGATCATCAGAGACTTCCACAAAAAGTTTTATCTCAGGCCAATATTTCATTATTTTTTTTGTTAAGGGGCCTGGAAGATATCTTCTATCCAAGCGAACTTGGAACCATAATGAAAGTTTCTATGATCAAGTATGATATCTGATCAAATTGAAGACAAATATTTAAAAAAAAATTTTCATGATTGTTGGATTATTAGCCCATATAACACCGATTATCATTAGCAATGTTATAAACTTCTATGTTAACAAAATGCTTGGCCGTCTAACCCCGATCCTGGTTGGATGGCTCGGAAACCTCCGTACCGCAGTAGTAAACTACTTTGCACAGAGACGGGGCCCTGCTCTACCTTTACTTGAGACAGTTTAGGGATGTGTCCAGGAAAACACAATTTTCTCTCTCTCGATCATGAGAGACGCAATATTAATGTTAAATATAATTAATCATTTTGATAGGTATTAATAATCATTTTGTACCTATTAATACACGGGAAAAACGATGTCCCGATGACCAAATTAATCACTTTGGCACCAGGTCCTGTTAGTTTGAGATTATGATGAAAAACGAATGAAGTGGTGGTCACTAATAGTTGAACAATCTTCAACAACATGTTGTTCATTTCACTTTGTTGACGACATCAATAAAACAAATAAGTTATAAAACTACCTCTACCTATACTATGTCAACATCACAAACAACGACAACAACAATAACCGACAATGTGATTGATGATGCAAGCAAATCATCATCATCATCATCAACATCAACCTCACAGACTCAGACACAGACAGATGAAAGTATTAGTAGTGACGACACACTAGAGAAGTCATTGTCAACATGCATGAAGTTGCTGTCGGCAGACTCTGATGAAGAGAGATTCGTCGGTATAGTGCTCGTGAAGAACTTGATCAAACCTGATGATATAACGAATATGACAAGAGTGTATAGATCATTGGGCTTGGAGTTCTTGCATCGTCTACTGCAAACACCATCATTGCCCAGTGTCGATTCAGTATCATATCACAACTTGGCCATTGCCATCCTATCGACATTTACAACAATGGACACGACACAATGCTCGCTCAGTGACCTAAACACAACAATAATATACGATGTATCTCAACATACATTGTTATCACAGATAATATATAATGTATTGAAGAACGTCAGTCAATCGTATGTATCGACTCGGCAGATCAGTTACTCGACCGCGACGACGATGATGATGATCAATGACTCACACACGCTCTCTTCACAATCATTCAGGGAAGAACTGAGTGAGGCGTTCATTCAAGAGTCACTTTCATTCATATACTCATTGCTGTCATTCGAGAGCAGGCTAATAGAGTTGTCAAAGACCGCGAGCGACACACCCTCATCATCACCATCATCGATCAATCTAACGAGCAAGCTCGTGCTTCAAGAGGACAACCTTACACACTTGGCAACAATCATTCAAAGACTACACAAGGCTACAAACAACTTGACAAATCTGCATGTGGACGACAATGGTCATGATGACAATGCCATCACGCTACTCTCACTCTTTGAACACTCCATTCATACATTGAACGTCTTGATCATCGATGCACAACAACAATCAACACAATCTACAACATTCATACCTATTGTTCAAACGATTGCTACAATATTCAGAGAGAGGAAGGACCAGCATCGACTGTCTCTCCTCCCAATACTCGTGGCAATCTTCCAACTTGATGGCTTCCCCGCTGTGTACCCGTCGAACCAATGTCCGGCCCCGGTCACCCATGCAGCGGCCAACATCAGAGAAGCGATCGCGCAGTTGTTCCAAGCAAAGAAACTAAAGGAGGCACATCGCGATCATTCAATAATCCTATTCTCAACGTTGTTTGATCTGTTTGGTGGACAATGGCTATTGACAAATTCACGCGACACCTTCTCAAGCGAGAAGTTGCTGGTGCTGGCATGTCAATACGCTCGAACAGAGATTCAAATGATACTCCTCTCACAGCAGGCCACCGAAGAGATACCGAGCGACAAGATCAATCTGCTGCTCTCATGCTACTCCATTCTGGACAATGTGGTTGCGATGCTGGTGGCTCAGTTCGACCTTGGCGACGAGGCCAGCCTCACTGCCGACACCCTGCTACAGATTCGCAAGATACTGATAGACTCCAACTTGATCATGTTGGAGTACCTCAAGGACGTGGCGGAGGAGTCGCCCTCGACCGAGCCAACACACGTCATGGTCATCACGCTGAAGAACGCCGGCCTGTTCCTGGCGGAGGAGGCGGCCGAGTCCATGAACGAGGTGCTCAAGAACTCGCTGCACATGATCATGAAGTACTTCCTCTCATTCAAAGAGGACTATGGCTTCTTCATCTCCTACCTGCTGCCAGGCATTGCCAACTACATTGATGTAGGCGCCTATGAGAAGAGTAGCCAGGCCAAAGACTTCTTTAATAGACAGAATGGACATCTATTGCTGGCACAGTACCTTATCGACTATCTACCTACATTGGTTGTGATGGCCATTGAGGACTCGGCGTCCTCGCCATCAACCTCGTCGACAGCGCCATCAGAGAACTCATTGATCAATGCAATGCGTAGCTATGGCGTCACTGGCGAGATCGTTGGCAACACTTACCTCCCGCATGCCTGCTCGATACTATACTTCTACCTCAGCTGTTGGGACACGCCAATCGACATTAACAACAAGGGAACATTCATCGCTCTGTTCAAGGCAATCACCGAATCTGTGGAGTTGGTCACATCCAGCATCGATCAATCAATTGGCGACCTCATTGAAGGATCGCCAAGTATACCTGGTCAACCTCATTCTCGTGTCCATGTCCATTCTTAAGCGATTGGAAGAGCAGGACTTTGCACTGCTGGCAAGGCCACATGTTAGCAATGACGAAGACAACAATGAAGACAACAATGACAACATACTACAGAGAGCAGCACTTGGCTACCTTGAGTTCTACCAAAGCATTGAACTACCGCCTTCTGATCAAGCCTCTTGCAATTTATGGGAGGACATCAAAGTGCATTGGCTAAACACCATGGAGTGTAAGTTGAGAGGACGATGGCATGCTGCCAGGCGAGATACTAACGAACAGTTTAATCAACGTGTTAGTGCTACTTCAATGTCTGGACAGATATCCAACTGTTGCCAAGCAGGTGATTGAATCGAGATGGCCACCAACAGACTTCAACATTTCAACGACATGCGATCGAATGGATGCAGATACAGTGATTGGCGTCAACCGAAGCGTCAGCCAGATTGTCCGAAAGTTGATAAACCTGAGGAGTGTGGCGACGGCATCGCCCAAGGCAGCGGTGGTGCCACCGCCATCGTCAATGAACGAGTGACAGCGCTGTCACTTGTTCCTTCCAAATGCTTGTTTGTTGTTGTTACTTTATTTCTGTGTGATACTCTTGGTGTGGATGAGCTTCTCGAGGATGGCAGGGTTGTGGATGGTGCCACCGTTCAGGTCGCCCATGTAGTGAGTGGCAGTGCCCGCCAGCTTGAGGTAGAACATCTGTTGCTGCTTCTCAACAGTGGTGATGCTGGCGTTCTTCTTGACATTGTTGAACTTGCTAACAGTGACGACGCGATGCACCTTTGGATTACCAAACTGATTGTAAGTGACCAACTCAATGATCCTACCCTTGTTATATGCGAATATCTTTGCAATCGACATCCTACCATGCTTCCTGTTGTTGTTGTCGCGTACGATGTGTGATTGAGTCAGTGATGTAGCCGCGTCGACAAGTAGACAAACAACATACCTGATGAAGTAGAATGTTGCAAGGACAAAGCCTGTGCATACACCAAAGACTAGTGCAGTAGTAGCAAAGCCTGGGTCGGGCAGCTCAAAGTACCAGTCGTAGATACCAAACAGCAGACCGATCTGAAGGAAGCCAATGAATGAGATACCCTTGAACTTGAACTCCTTGACATCTTCAAACACCAACACCTTGTCTTGATCAAATAGATTCTTATGTTGTTGTTGTTCATTCTCTGCATCATTGTTGTTGTTATTGTTGTTGTTGTTCGATGAAGATGATGTAGTTGATGTTGAAGTGAATGACCTAAGATGATGTTGACGACCAAAGTGTGGAGCAATGCTTCGTAGCAATGTACTCGATGATGTGATGATGCAACCCTTACTGCTGTTATTGTTATGGTTGATTGTTATATATGATCGGAATGACTTGTTGTTGATGTCTGTGAAGGTGACTCTTGCCGCTACCTTTGATGATGAAGTCGCTGTCGCCGCACCGAACAGTGAACCCATAGCAGTCTGGGCATCGGCACCCAAACATGCTCTAAACGTTGCAACACTCTTTGCTGTAGTGTTACTCATCAATAGTCTTGAATTCCTTGTCAACATCTCTATCTCTTTATCTTTATCTTTGTTCGAAGTATTAAAGTGGACACGTGACCTGGTTTGATCAAAACGATTCGTCGACTTCCCATTTCATGTCGACTTGTGGTTGTTTATTGAACTTGGACATCCATACCAATGCAGGCTCTGATGAAGATGATGACTCCTTCTTATCTTTGACCTGGTCATAAGGTGAGGTAGTGGTGGATGTTGGAGCAACAGGTGCGGGAGTGGGCTTGCCACCTCCGCCTCCAAAGATTCGTAGTAATGCGCTTGTTCGGTCATTCGATCCATCCTTGGCCATGAATGCCGATGTGAACTTTGATGCAGCCAATGGTGCACATACATTATATCCAAGTCTCATGTAGAACTGTGATTGATCATGTGTATTCAAATAGAACTTTGTGTATCCCTTACTACAAATTGATCGATTGATTGATTGATTGATGGTGGATGATGGATGGGAAGTGAGTTAGTTGGACTGGATGGATGGCTGACTGGCCGAACAATGGTCTGATCCAACATACCTCAGTGCCACTCTTTCAAGCTCCTCAACAATCAAACTTCCATAACCTTTGGATCTAAACTCCTTCTTGATCAATACTAAGTTGGAGGGGAGGGAGGGATTGAGTGAGTGAGATGATTGTTGACTGATTGACCATGACCCTACTACTCCATGGTATGCCATTGGTACCTACCATTCTCAATTAGGATTGAACTGTGTGAGTCATTGGCATCGACCACTCCAGACATTGATGCACATCCAATCAACTGTCGTTGTTGAGGATCATTTTCTTTATCTGTGTTGATCAACATTAATAGATAGTATGGTAGATATTCTGATGACTTCATAATCATCACACGTCTATATGTAGATGATCTAGGCCATTGGCTATTCAACAGCTCTATCAAATCCTCTGTCAACTCTAATTCTTTGTGAAATGGTTTGAAGCTAATTGTTGGACTTGTGATGGCTATAGTGGCTGTAGACCTGGATGCGTCTGTAGTTGTGTCCACTGAGGCACTGGGTGTCTGTTCCTCACTCATATTGTCCGATGGTAACATGTATATAACTAACAAGGTGATTGCATTAATGTATTATTTGATAAGAGAGAGTGTGGTTGACGATGATCAGATGATCAGAAGACAGATCTTTTTGAAGAAACACAAAGATCAAAAGAGATACACAATACTTATAAATGGACTCACTACCTATAATCATTATACAACATATAGTTAATCATTTGAATGATCAATTAGATGTAAGTTGTTTATTGTTGACATGTGATAGACTTTATCAAAGACGACTGGCCATCACTTGTCCTCCAGCACCCAACATTTGCACATGTCAACCAACATTCTGCACCAACTTCAACAAGTTGACCAACTTCCATCGTTGTGACCCTCCTCCGAAAGGTATCTATCTTGGTCATAACTCGCTCGCTCAATCACTAACTTCTCACCCACCCTATCCCTAATGGAATGATTACAATCACATCATGTGACACACAATCAGGGATCGATATACATAGAGACTATCATCATCACTTGATGAGAGATGAGAATATGACACAAACAATCTTTCGTAAACATGACTTGACATCACCTATTATGCCAGGAGACCTCCCAGACTCAATCACAGAGTTGATATTAGGCGACACATTCAACCAACCCTTGAAGCCAGGCTCCATCCCTGAGTCTGTCACAACCCTATGGCTAGGTAACCTTTATGATCATCAACTTGAACAAGGTATCATCCCGTCCAAAGTCAAGTCACTGTGGTTGGGCTGGAGCTATGCACACCTGCTCCACCCTGGTATACTTCCATCAACTCTCCAATCTCTCCACACAGGTGGCTTTGACAATCTCCTGTCAACACCAGGTATACTGCCCCCCTCATTGACATCACTATGCCTTGCCGAGTTCACACAACATCTAGCGCCAGGCATACTACCCGCATCCCTTACCACGTTGGAGTTGGGCAATTACTTCAATCGAGACATTGAGCCAGGCATCCTTCCAACAAGACTCTTGTATCTCAAGATTGGCAATCGATTCAATGGCCGACTCATGCTTGGCAGTCTGCCCCAATCACTTCTCAAGCTCAAGTTTGGCTATAACTTTAATCAAGTATTGTCACCTGGTGTCCTACCGGCATCTCTTCAAACATTGATTCTAAGTCAAGAGTACAATCATCCACTGGAGCCATCAACTCTGCCCAGCTCACTCAAGCGCATCTCATTTGGTATATCATTCAGACAGGAACTATCCCAAGACAACCTACCATCGTCGATCACATCGATCTTTTACTCTGAGAACTTGTTCCAACTGGCCACTCCAGACGTCATCCATCACTGTCCGATGATCAAACGATTAGAGTTGTCGATTGCTACCAATCTGAATCACCCAAGGTGTGATAACATCATGCCCAGCAAGGCACAGCTATCCATGGGCAACGTTCATTCATTGGCATTATGCTTGCCTCCACGACACATGACATCCAACCATGGTTATACAAACTTTGTTCAAAGATGTTTGGATACAGATATACCCAACATCATTATACTACCATCAAATTATTATATCAAAGGAGAACAAGGTATCATACGTAGAGTTGATAACAACATAATGTTGGTAGTTGATAGTAGTTCAAGATTACACTTTATCACACAAGACATATTATTCAATCATTGTGGCAATATATTCAAGGATGTCCTTGACTAACTAAATGACAATCAACCTTGACATGAAGATAAGTCTTGTCGAGTCTTTGGTTGTGTCGCGGAGCCACGACATGTCCTTGGAATTCCCAAAAAAGGACAAAAGTTAGATCTGAAAGTTTGGAATTGCAAGTCGACAACAACTTGTGGGTCTCACTTCACTTCACTCATTCATTGAATAAGTACAAACAAATAAACATATATATACATATAAATAATAATAATATGGAGACACAACAAAAGCATGATACACCAGAGAATCTAGAGATACATCATAATGATCATCGTCAACCTAGAGCATCTTTGATTAGTGAGGATGCTAATTTGATGGATAGAGGAATGATGTCCAGTCCCGTATTGTCAAGAATGAGAGAAGATTATAAGTTGGGACACTTGGACGAGTCTACTATACTACACAACCCATTCATTCAGTTTGACAAATGGTTCCAAGATGAGTTACAATGGAAGAAGATCGCTGAGCCCAATGCAATGACCCTCTGCACCTGTTCAAAAGAAGGCAAGCCATCTGGTAGAATAGTATGTTGTTGTTATAGTTGTTGTTGTTCTTCACTCTCTAATCATTCATTCAAACATTCAAACATATACAAGGTACTTCTCAAGTTCTTTGATGAGAATGGTTATGTTTTGTTTACAAACTATAATGGACGCAAGTCAAGGGAGATGACTGATAACCCTAATGCATCACTGGTGTTCTATTGGTCAGAGAGACAAGTGCGTGTTGAGGGTACGGTAGAGCGTACAACACGTCAAGAGAGTGAGGACTACTTCAAGACACGACCAAGGACAAGCCAGATAGGCGCATGGGTGTCAGAGTACCAGAGTGCAGAGGTCACTGAAAGCTACATGCGTCAACGTCAACTAGATATAGAGAAGCAGTTTGAAGGTGTCGAGGTGCCCGTGCCCAGCTTCTGGGGAGGCTGGCGAATCAAACCCACCTACTTTGAGTTCTGGCAGGGCAAAGGTGGTCGCATTCACGATCGCTTCAAGTTCACAAAGAATACAGATTTCAATGAGGGCAGTGACACTGAGTGGACGTTCAAGAGACTGTCGCCATAATGACACGTGCTCAATGCACTTTAGAATAAACAACCCATGGTCAAGTGAACCTTAGGTTGTGTTTAAATGTACATGGGATGGATTGGAGAGCACTAGCTTCCAACGTGAAGGCTGACCTAAGTTTAATGAATGAATGAGATAATGGTGCTTGCTTAGTTGCTGGATACCATGGAGTGATTGTCTAACTCATCGTCGTCATAGCCAATGACACCAGGAGCATCGAGATAGAAGTGGAATGTGTCATTGGGGAGACTTGAGGACAGGACAATCTTCATCTCACGCAGTGTAACATCGCCATTGGAACTGTGGACGGAGCGTCCAACACACTTCTTGACCATGATACGAGTGTTTACAAAGTTGGCCCATGACAGGCCCAGTGCTGGAATGATCGTCGTCTTGTTTGGTAGTTGATTGGATGTCGATGGCAATGAGACAGTGGAGTGTTGCTGCTTGGTATTCTGGAATGATGGAATGTATGACTTTCTACGCTTCTTCCTTGGCCTGTTCTGATAGTTCTCCACAACAGTAGCTGATTGATTATCGAGATTGATCAATGCATTTGAAGTTGTTGTGGTCGCTGTCGCATCGTCACTCTGGGAGGCATTGCCTATTGAGGCAGACGATGAAGACGAGTCATTCTTAAAGATATGGCTGTCAAAGTAGTCTGAGACTTGATTGACAACCACCACTGTGATTCCATGCTCTTCACTGATGAGCTTAAGTTGATTTGAGAGCTCCCAGAGCACATTGGTCTTGTCGATAAGGTCCTTCTTGTCGTTTCCATACTCTGATCGAAACAGTGTGGCGATTGAGTCGATGACCAACAGACGAATAGTGCGCTTCTCAATGAGCTCTGAGAATCCATTGTTCAACAAGTGCATCAGCTGATATACGGTGGGCACCAGACGGATGAATAGGTTGTCCTCAAACTTGATTGAAAGTGGTGGCTGATTGGCATTCTGACGCATCTTCTCAAACACGGGCATTCGATGTGAGACGATCTGTTTCAGACGCTTCATTTGTTGTGAGATATCGGTGGAGCTGATGTACAACACGCCTCCCTCCAGCCCGCCCATGTCAAAGGGCAGCTGAGTCTGCACAGCCAGCTGGAGACACAGCTGTGTCTTGCCCGAGCCAGCCTCACCAACAATCTCTGTGATGCCACTGGGCAAGATACCGCCTTGCAGATGTCTATCCAGTATGTTTGAGCCAGTGGACAATCGTATGCTTGATATTGGCAATGATTCAATATGTTTGGCTGAGACCAATCTTAGCATTTCTTGCATGTGGCCATTGTTGTCATTGTTGTTGATGGACTGAAGAGGAGGAGTAGGTACAGAGTAAAGTCGATATAATAGAGTATTTGAGAGGTAGGCCAGGAATATATTAACATTATCAATTGTGAGTGATGTTATACGTTGTATCTCTGTCTTGTTCATAAGTATTATATCTTCACATGTTATCAACTCTGGTCTTGCTCTCTGTATATCACTTAATGCATTGATAACAAATATTGGTAATTGAGTATGTTGTTGTTGAGGTTGTTGATGTTGTTGTTGTACTTGTTGTTGTCCTTGTTGTTGATCGGTTGAAATAGTTATATCATTATCAAAGTCTATATCACCAAAGTCTACACCATTATAGTTATTATTATTATTATTATGTACATGAGATTGATGCAAGAAATAACTTATTGGGAATGTAGGAGGTAATAGTATTGATTTCTGTACTCCAATAACAACATCATTGAATTCATCTCTTGTCTGCATCCTATCTTTATATGTATATATGTGTAATAATAATAATGATGTCCCTCACTTTCATGAATTCAAACAAAGAGGAAAGAGACGTCTGTTCGAAGAAACCCGAAATTGAAGATGGGATGGGGGTCGATTCGAAACCAATTTCCATTTATGAACTAATTTGGACATGTCCACACGACGATGTCATGACTCGACTTGATCAAGGATGAAGTTGACTACTTTGTTTCTCGTATGATGATAGGAGACCTTGTCTACTGCCATCGTCTTCTTCGTCATAACTACTACTAAATATATGTGGTGGAATTGTTATAACTGTATCTCTCTGTGATGTTGATGAACTTGTGTTTGTGTTTGCTGATTGGTATCGAGTTGCATAGGCAAACGATGAATCACTATATGTTGGATATGTCGGACCCTTGTTGTCCAACACAAAGTGGCAACAAGCCTTCGTTGATCCCTCATCGTATGGATTCTTCAATCCCTTGAGCTAAAGTATGATTGAATGAATGATTGGTTGTTAGGATATGACCTGGACACGCTTGGAATGATTAAACATACATCCTCCTTGGTTGTGACGTTCTTGCATATTAGATGCAGGTGATATCCTCCAAGACCAATCAATGTCCAGAAGAGGAAGAAGGCATATCCTCCAAGTAACAATGCAATAGGTGCATGAGCAACTGCTTGTATAAATGAATGTAGTTCCTAAATTGATTGATTGATTGAATGAGTGCCATGTCGATCTACTTCATCTTCCACTACCTCCACCTTACATTTGTTAGCATGATAATGGTAACTAAACTGGTGGACATTGTTATAACGGCCAGCAAGACAGTGGACCAGACAAAATATACAAAGTGTCTATAGTTCCTTTTACCGACACAGTTACTGATCCAAGGACCTAAACATAGAGTGTGTCAGTCACATGATTGATTGATTGAGTCAGTTGATCGATCAAACAACTTACAATGATGATCAAACTCTAAGACGCATCGATTACAATCTCCGCAATGTGTAGACCTCGGCGGTCGATATATGTTACATGATTCTTTGCGATGTGATGTGTCAGTTGACTGGTGATGGAGCAGGTAAGGGATGTTATACATACTACAATATACTAATGCAACTTCACGATTGTTGATATATACAGTCTTCTTTGGCATTGATGTCGTCGAAGTTGATGAAGATGTTGTTGCCTTGTGTGATTGGATTGTTGATGATCCACCTTCGTCGTCATCATCTGAATCGTCGTCGTCTTCATCATCTTTGTCAACATCAATCTCTTGAAGTTCACCAGTTGATGATGAAGATGATGCTCCTGCTCCTGATCCCGCAGCTGTTTCTATTATATATGAATGATCAATAACAACATCATCATTAACCTTTGGAGGAATACCCTTTGGTATATAACCAGGATCTAATAATCTAGCCGTTAATAAACATGTCAATGATGCTACGAATGATATTGCCCATGCTATTATAAAGTAATAACCTATTCTAACGTATAGAACTGGTACGCTACATTGATTGATCGATTGATTGAACATCACAAGTTAGTCATGTGATATACAATGTTGTATGACATGTACTTACACAAAGATTAAATAGAATATAGATGGTATGACTATAAGTAACAGTGATACAATAATAAGATGATCCTTTACTGCCATCCTGTTACTAACCTATCTCTATCTCTATCTCTTTACCTATATCTGTATCTATTACATGTCTCTACTAATAACATTCATTAACCCTTTGGCTCAAGCAAGCAAGGTTGACGAATCACGAAGGTGGTTAACAATGAGATTGAATGAATGAGGGGGTACTGGGGTTGTTCGGGTTCATAACCTTCGTGTAGTCAGTCCCAGGCTTCTAAGAATGACGAATAAATGTAACCTGGTACATTGAATTTGTGAACAAAAGCATGTAAGTGTATTAGTCTGAAAGAGATAGATAGATAAATAACAAATAGTTGGAGTCTATTAAAAGAAGAACTTCAAGTCCTCGCAATTTAGATACATGTCAAGTCATCTTGATCAAACCAACAGTCGTGCTCCAGATCGATTCAATTTTACACATATCATGATATTTGTAACCATTGTATTAGGTCGAATTGATGATTGATCAATGGTGAGTAGTGCCCTCTACGACTGATCAGTTAATTGATGGTCAATCATAGTTAGACAGAGATATATAGAATGACGATAATATATAAGTTGTTTATTATTGCCTTGGTACTTGCAGGTGTGATAGGTGGACCAAGTGCACCAACAAGTTCATGTAGGTTCGCTAAAGACTACTCTTTGGACAAGTTGATATCAAGTTCAGACGAAAGACATTCATTCATCAATGATGTATTGTATTGGGAAGGAAATGTATGTATCATCAAGATTATAAAGTTGATTGATTGGAATCATTCCACTCACACAATCACACACAGTTCCATCAACACCTTATTGGAGTCAATACACTATCTGGATATACTTATGATGGTCACGCAATCAATTATACAACTGGTGAACTTGCTGCACCTTTGCATAATTTCAGTGCACCATCAAAGGAGTCAATACATCTTGGAATGTTGGCATTGGCCTTGTTAGACAAGACGTCAACAGGCTTTGATGCATCAATATTCTTTCACGTCCCACTCAATGGAACCAGTGGCGGTGGCAGTCCATTGGACAACATCATCACCATCCTCACCAACAAGATCACCACCTACGAGGCATTCAACAAGCAGTTCCCAGGATATGGTGGCTTCATGCCTTGGGTTGGAGTGAATGACACTGGTGTCTACCCTTTGCCCGGTGCATGGTCGATCAGTGTACCAGGTCTGGACAATGGTGAGATGATCTGGGGTATGTATGCGGTAGTCCAAGCACTTGAAATGAAGGCTGCTTCCAGCGCTGGTTCATCATCACAATCAGTGTATACTGAGTTGGCTCAGAGATACCAAGCCTACCTTGACCTTCTGGCCAACAATGCCAAGATGATCTTCTACACTCAACCCGGCTACATCAACTCTGTCACACACATCAATGACATCTACTCTCAGCCAACTCCATCAAACTATGCCAACAATTGCAATTGCTTCCTTGATGACCCAGTAAGTACATCTCCGGAATGATTCCAATACATCACTCACCCACTCACTCACACCGATCAATCAATCAATCAGTATGAGGGCGAGATGTTGACTGTGTTCATGGACCTGTTCTGTGAATGGGCCAATGACACTGAACGTGACCAATTATGGGTCAACAAGAGACCGTTGCTGCAGAGCACTACTTTCCAGGCACCAGAGGGCGAGATAACAGTGCAGCGAGGATGGTGGTTCTCCAGCCATGAGCAATGGAAGTACTTGATGCTTCCCTATCAAGACGTGGACATCAACCGACGTGTGTTTGAGAATGGCGAGCGTGCAAGAACATCATTCTCCTCAATGCATGGATATCCTGGACTGTTTGCATCATGCAACAACATCTCATCAGTAGACTCTTATGTGTACAACTACTTCTCGGCCAATGGAATCCAAGAGATTGCATTCGAGACTGTGTTGTCCAATGATGTGATGACTCCATATGGTTCATTCCCACTATTCCTCGTGCAAGACGTTGATCTCTTACATGGAACTGCATGGTATTACAACATGATCAGTGCGCCAGCCATGCAGAACCAATACGGTTCCACTGAAGCCGGTAACAATCAAGGAAGTGAGATAAGTCCACTCGTCACATGGGATTCAAAGAGTGAGTAATTACATATATTCTTGGAATGATTCCACTCACTCAATCACTCAATCTCTTACCAAACTTTCAATCATGGATATTTAGTTACAACTTTGTTCGCCATGATGGGTGGCGCGGTGGACTTGAACAGACAAGGACTGGAGAAAGCTGGAAAAATAGGAAGGTTCATGGAGGTGATTAATAGAGAGTGGACCATGGCATTCCCATCATTAGAAGGCGAGAATATTGACTTCAAGTTACCTCAAGTGACAATCCCCAATGCTTTGGCAGACTTTACAACATGTCAATAAACCAAGTTGGGTTTTGGTTGATGATTTGTAAATTTATTAATTAATTTTAATTTTTAATTCAACCGTTGGTACTATTTTATCTAGAATATCATTATAGGCAGGTGTAGATTGCAATGGAACAATGGGAAGGATTGTGTCGTCATTGGGTGTACCACCATCCAGTACTTGTATGTCAGAAGGACTCTTTCTTCTGTTTTGATATATTGTTATTCTTGAATCGTAGAATCCACTAAGCAAACTTAAACGATTGAATAATTTCAGACTTTGATCCTACAAATAGTAAAGAGACTAGAAATATAAGGATAAACTATTAAAAAAAATTATTCTTCATTGTCCAAATAAATTTATATTATTATTTTGATTAATTAATATACTGATTGATTAATTGATGAAAGATATTTATATTGATAATAGATTGGAAAAATTGATGATGATGTGGATTACAAATAACAATCTACCACCAACCATCAAGATTGCTCAGAGTGTTGCTTCCAACTCTTCAAACGAGTAACTTCCAATTTTAATCATTCGGATATATAACCATATTTATCTGTTTATAATGTATTATCGGAGATAGCCAGCTCGTTCTTATGGGTGGACTTGGCGAATACCCTACGATCATGTGATTGATTTGTTGGTGATAACTTCGAATAATTTGAACGAAATGGCTACGTATTTTATATTATATTATATTATATTTATTTACTTCTGACTTCTAATCAGACTGAAGAACTCTGCTCTGGTCCTTGAGTCCACCTCAAAGACACCGCACACTGATGAGGTTACTGTGCTGGAGCCAGGCTTCTGTACACCACGCATGACCATACACATGTGACTGGCCTCAATGACGACGGCCACGCCCAGTGGATTCAGGGCCTCCTGGATAGCCAATGCAATCTGTCTGGTGAGACGCTCCTGGACCTGTAGACGACGGGCAAAGATCTCGGCGATTCTGGCCAGCTTGCTCAGACCCAGTACCTTGTGATCGGGGATGTAACCAATATGGCACTTTCCATAAAATGGAACCATATGATGCTCGCATAGCGAGAAGATATCAATATCCCTTACAACAACCATCTCATGATGGTTCTCATTAAAGATTGCACCTCCAATAATCTCTGTTTCATTTGATTGATTGATGTGATTGAATGAGTGAGTGAATGAGTGATTGAATGAATGAATGAATGAATGAGTGTATACATACCATCGACAGACAACTCATAACCATGTGTAAAGTACATTAAAGCTTTGGCCATACGTAGGGGTGTCTTTTGGAGACCCTCACGCTCGGGGTCCTCACCAATAGACTCTAGCAATGACTTTACATTATCTTGCATCTTGCCCAACACCTGTTCACACTTGGCCGATGCTGGATCTCTTGTCTTTGTCTTTACAGACTTCATCAAAGCCTTTGAACCATTCTCATAGATCTCCTCATCATCATTCTCCTCCTCCTTATGATGATTGTTATATACTTTTAAGTTATCCATTATTATGTATGTTTATATATTGTATTGTATGTATATATATATATATGTTTGATTGATTGATTGATTGATTGTATGTGTATAAGTATAGATAGTTATACTTTGTGAATATATAAAGATAATAAGTATGTTTATGTGTGTGTGCAAGTGTTAATTAAAGATGGATTGAGGTTCGAGAAGAAGACGAATGTTTATTGAGCCCAAATGACAACAGGGTTCGCGAGTTATGTGTTTATGTGGTGTGTGTGTGTGTATTGGGATTCCAACAAAGATGGAGAAGTGCGTTGCTTTTTATAAAGAGTGCTTGTAAACGAGTTTGTGGTTAAATAGTGCCACTAGTGGGGTGGTCCACACTAACACATGGACACATCATAATTGGATAAACTTAGGACCAGGCCCGACCACAGGTACCACACCCACCCCACCAATATAAACATGCTCATTACTGCAATGTAGGTGTGATGTTTGCATCAATTAACTGGTGTCATTTGCTAAAAAGGTACAACAATGATGTTGGCAGGACAGTTCCCAATCGAACATAAAATCAAGAGAGTGATCTAGTGTGCGGGCTAGTATTGGGTAGAGCATTGTTCAGGAATTGGTTGGAAGTTTTGGATAAATGGATCTAATTAATTGATATGTTTCTCGAGACTTTTCTCAAATATAAGCATAACATTTAAATGAATTGAATGACATAGATAATACGTAAGTTGATTATTCGTAATGCCGACAATATAAATGAACGAATGAACGAATGATAAAGATATCGAGGGTCAGTAAGAGGCCTTTGCCAAAATAAAAAACACAAATGTTTACAAGTGGCACTTGACAGGTGTCACTCGTGCTGCAAATGAAGGAGATATACATGACCCTACATGATAAGAATTACGTTGATCTGATCATTTACGTAATGTTTGAGTGTGTGATTGATTGATTGTTGATTGAACAACGTATAGACATGCATGCCTTGAAACTTCTTTCCAAGATATACTAAAGTTATAAATGATTGATTAAAGTAAAGAGAGAGAATTGAATGTCGGTGGAATATTTGGTGGTGTTATCTCTTTGTTCCAATCAATAATTATGAGTTTGTTGGAATCAATGTGTTTTTGAACAGTTGGCGCTCAAATTGAAGGGTTTTTGGCGCCAATTTTAAACAATGTCTATTTTCAAATCAATGATGATCTGAGTCTTATCACTTACTTGTACTTATTACTTTATCTCTATCTTATAAATATACATTACGACATTATCTTAATCAGAGCAATACAGGCCATATTGATCACTCATTCAATCGATCAAACGATCAATCAAACGTTTAGAATCAAGTCTGTCAAGTAGTTAGTATGACTTGATTGAACAAAAGATACTACTCAACCAACAAACAACATCATATATATTCAACAAACTACCAACGAATCAATCAATCAATCAATCCAATCAAATCAATCATATTTAAATATATATAATGGAGAAGTTAAAGAACAAGTTGTTCAAGGCGATAGAGAACAGTGGACATTCAACATTTGTAACACTGGCCTCACCAAAGAGTGAGGATGGCGCTAAAATGCAAGAGTTTCTCGCATGGCTCCCAGCAAAGCATCATGAGCAACTCTTTGATATATTGCTCCGCGGCAAGATGGTGCCACTGATCGAAGAGGAGATGTTGACACCATCGGACGACACCAACATGGACATGGACAAGGACACTGCCAAGTCAATACTAATCGAGTCGCTCAAGAGCTATGAGTGCGTGCTCCATCTCTGCTCATCATACCTCAAGCTCAAGACCTTGGACCCCCCCGAGCAGCTCTTTCAAATCATCAATATATCACATGGTACGTTGTGTTTTGTCGGCGGCCAGGTCAGATCCGCGAGCACATCATATACTAACTCAATCATGTTTAGACCTCTTGCTGCCAATCGTTAGTCTGCAAATGAACATTGAGACACAGACACAACTGTTTGCCAAGGATGTGCTGGCTAGACTGGCCAAGATGTATGGCAAGCTGGCCAACGATATCGCCATGCTGTGCGAGCTTTGGTACAAACAGGATAGGCCCAGGAAAGAGGAGCTGGCGCCCCAAACCATTGCATATCTTATCCAAAAGGCATATGAATCAACTGTTGTGGCAGGTATGTTGTTGGCGACCGCGACGCGACACACTCACCCGCACGATACCCAATCACTCACTCACCGGAACCATCCCAATCAATCAATCAATAGACATCACAAGACTGTATAATATGAGGAATGCACTGTTGGCGCTGGACTTTGGCGATGAGAGCTCAATGTCCATCCAGGAATTGCTGCTGGGCTGCTTCATCCAGCCTCAGTTTGTAAAGACGGTGGATGGCCGCAAGATGTTGGCCTTCCTATTCACCATTCGTCCACAATTCATCGATGCCATTCATAATGTGGTCAAAGGTCAGCTGCTGTCTTGCTCGCGCACCATCATGGACGCCTACGCAGAGGTCTACTACAAAGCCTGGAGGGTTGCCACCGGCCCTTTCCTGCTGCGCATCGAGTTTGGTTGTCTCCAAAACGTGGCGCAGTGCGCCATCCACGCCGCCAACACCAAGTTGTTCAAGGCCACAATGGCCTTCTTGCACTACTTCCACGAGATGAAGGCCAAGGACAAGACGGTCGACTCAATGCTGCTGCGCGTCTACGAGCCCATCCTGTGGCGCTCGCTGTCGGTCGCCAACTCTGGCGTGCGCGCCAATGCCACCCGCCTGTTTGTCGACTCCTTCCCACTGCACGACCGCGAGGCGCCACAGCGCGAGATCGACGAGGTGCTCCAAAAGCAGTTCATCGAGCTCCAGAAGCTGCTGTTCGATCCAGCGATCACTGTTCGCCAAACGGCCATCCACGGCGTTCTCTGCAACGTGTTGGCCAAGTTCTGGGAGATCATTCCCGTGTCCACATCGCGCGTGCTCCTGTCCAAGATCATTGGCGACTTGGCCCGCGACAAGTCCAGCGGCGCGGTGCGCGAGACCGTGTTCGAGGGCATCAAGTACCTGCTCGATAACCAGGCTCTGTCACACAACATGCTCAAGCAACTGCTACCACAGATGTCGGTGCTGATACACGACAGCTCGGAGCGTGTGCGTGAGGCCTTTCTGGACCTGATGCTCTTCCTCAAGGGCATCTCGACCATCCGCTTCCTCGACATCGTCCCGCTCGACCATTTGTTGGAGCGCATGGTCGTTGATCACAAGAGCGCCACACTCTCCAAGAAGCTCACACAACTGCTGGTGGAGGCCTACTTCCCCGAGAACGAGAAGTCATCCGAGATGGTCAACCGCTGCATCATGCTAGTCAAGAGCAAGAGGAATGCCACGGTGGGCTTCTACTCCAACATTGTCAGCTTTGTGCCCATCGTCTCCATTGCCAAGTTCCTGTCGATCACTTTCAAGTTCATCATCACGTTCCTGACTCACAACCCCGACGTCAGCCAGCTGCACCAACCCAGCAGCAGCGTTGATGCCAAGTCGGCCAAGGGACGCGGCAAGGCGGCTGGCCAGAAGAAGGCGGCGCGTGGCAAGGGTAAGGCGGCCGCATCAAAGAAGAAGCAGCCAGAGGTGGAGGTTGAGGTCGAGGAGCAGCCAGCTGACGAGGAGGATGGTGAGCTTCAAATCACCCTGGAGGACATCGAATGTCTGTTGGAGATTGTAGAGAACACATTGTCATCGATCAAGCCTCATCTGGAACTTGAAGAGAATCAGTATATTGTCAAGGTATGTTTGATTGCAACGCAAGTCACACTCCATCACTCACCCACTCACTCAATCAATCACAGGGCTTGCTGGCCAAGTTCAATGATCAGAGTATCACATCACTCTACATTTGGTTGTTCTCTGCGGCCACACCACGAATCAACTCGATGTGCCTCGCCATCAACATCGCCTCATTCTTTAGCATGTCCAACTTCCCAATGCTCAAAGAGGTGTTGTTGCAGAACTTCCAAGAGATCGACCAGACCACACCAGACAAGCTGAAGCAGACACTGTTGCTCTGTTTGTTCTCCTGGAACATTCCCGACCAGGTGCTACAGATCATATTTGAGAACATTGGCACTCCGTTGCTTTTGCTCAACGAAAGAAACAGTCATCCAGACACCTCTGGTCGCAAGTCCATCACCAACAACAACAACAGCAAGAGGAAGAGAAAGACTGGCGATGAGGACGAAGACCAGGACGATCATCCCGAGGAGGTACCATTCGAACTCAAGATGGCCGCGGCAACTGACAAGGCAATGATATCCCTGATATTCTTGGACATTCTTTTGGTATGTTGATCATTCTCCATCGATCAATCAATCAGTCGACCAACCGACCATGCACTAACATGTAGCCAACTGTTGTAGAAACATCACGAGACACGTAGCAGCACTCTGGCGCAACTGGAGGTGTTGATGTTGCTCATTGAGAACTTGTTGGCGTATATGCCACACACTCAGATGCGCCTGACTCATCTGTGCCGACCTGATGATGACACTGTGCAGCGTTCCGATGTGTACATCAGTGAGAAGCTATTGGTGTCCTGCTTTGTAATGTACTGCAAGATCCTGTTCCATGCTGAGGGCGCCTCCGAGAGACTCCAGAAGGACTCGGAGCTGTTCCAGGAGCTGTTCCGCTGGGGATTCGAAGTGCTCATGCCAATGATCCAATCATACATTGAGAATGGACAGCAAGTGAGCTCGAGCAAGCGAAAGAGATCGTCGTCAGACGATGAAGACGAAGAGGATGATGAACCGCAGGAGGAGGCCCCAAAGTTCCCTCTCGATATCCTGCACAGCTACCTGCTGTTCGTCACGGAGAACATCACGCTCGGACTCTGTGGACCGACCACTCTGTTTGAGCTGTGCCAGCGCATTGATGTCCTGCTCGAGCTGATGCCAAAAAATGGCGCATTCGACGCCGTCATCCCCGTCATTGCCAAGTTCACCTACCAAGCCTACTACGCCTCGCAGGACGATCAGATGCTGCTGCAGGCATCGTTCAAGCTGGTGCGCACATTGCTGGACGTGATCGACCACTCGTCGAGACGCGAGCTGGCCTGCTCCGAGTCGCCTCTCAGCTTCTTTAGGCTAGCGGACCTGCTCACACTGCACTTCCAGCGCGGCACACTCAGCAACTTTGTCAAGTTGATCATGGAGCCGGTAATCATCAACATCACCGAGATTGGCGAGTATCTGGCGCCGAGGACCATCAGCAGTCTGGACAAGTTGACGCCCATGTGCAACTTTGTCATCTCCACCGTTGCCAAGTGCACGCCTGCCATCAACTCATTGGCCGAGCATCTACTCAACTATGTCAAGTTTGAATCAATGAGCAAAACATCCATCTATCACAGTCTCAACGTCATCTCCATCATCATACACACTGCCACTCAATACTCTAGTATGTTTCCAGTCCAATCCAATCAATGGAACCATTCCACGCTTGACTCGATCAAACACTAACCACTTCACTTCACACACCTTACAGGAACCACCGACTTCTCATCACTCCAGAACATATTAATCAGTTTCATTTCCAAACTGCCACACATGTCGTCCAACTCTTATGATGACGACGATGAAGACAATCATGACACAAACCAAGATGACGGATCATTATGTATAGACTATCAACAACTATTGAAGTTGTCCAATGATATACTGAACATCAGTATGTCCAAGAAGAGATCATCCGCCAAAGACAAGGCTAAGGACATGGCTGCCAACAACGCCATAGTGTAGAATAAAGGATACATCATGGTGGTGGACATGTCCCTACCACATTAAATGACAAATCTAAGATTGTTTGTTATATTATTATACAAATCCATAACTCATTTTTGGAAGTAGTCGTTTTAATAATAAAAATAATTCAAACATCCAACCATTCAACGGATAAAAGTGCCGTTTGGAACTCATCGTCTCTCATTGTTCTGACTTTGAGGTCAAATTAAAGATCTGACAATGGTCCCATTGAGAACAAAGTGTGTGTGTCCAAATTAGGATAAAATAGTGCAGACCAAACGGTCCCAGGTCCAAAGCTTCATGACAATGACGATAGAGTCCTTCTTGAGGTGGTATTGATAGTTTTGTGACTTGTGAGCCTTAGACCTTCAGATGTCTGAGTCACAAAAGGACCTCACAAATTAGATGGCAAAACCACCTCCATCCCCAAGGAATGAACGAATGAAAGAATGAGTGTTGGGGTCGGTCGGAGCAAGATTGGGGCGTGGACACGACTTGTGGGTGTTGGGGGTGTTGGGCCTTCGTCAAGCCTCGTTGTATATGTGTGGGGGTTGGGTTTGCGTAGAATGTTTGTAGGCATCTCTAAAGATTTGCTTCCAATATATCCTTTTTTGGTAAATTAGCTCATATTTGTAACCCTTCATCCAATAAAGAATAATTATAAAAGTATCATATATATCGAAAGTTGATGGAATATATATGTCCAACAATTTGGAAACAAGTATCATTATCAAACATTAAACTTAAACAAATAATAAGAAAGATACATATATCCGCCCCTCCTCATAAAGGTTACATACATTATATTTATAAATATACCAGGTCAATTCAATCGATCCATTTATTTAGGTATGCCTCCCAAATACATCATATCATTAATCAACATGCAAACATACAAATAATTACATCAAACCGATTGAAGGAACACATTTCTAGAACAGCCCCACACACAACTTAGATTTTCACACCTTCACTTCGAACAACCCCTTCGCCTCACTACACTTCACTTCACTTTGACTATGAGTCATTCATTCATTCCACACCCTGGATGATTTCCCGGGAACCATTATGTTTGTTGTTGTAGAATGTGTTTACTTCTACAAGACGGCCGACCTAAGATATAAATGGCCTAAAGTCTGCAAAGAGTACACTTCTATTTCTAAACACACCACATCTACATCAACATTCATCCATCCGTCGATTCATCAATCATTATCAACAATCTGATTCTTCTTTACATATTGTATTCCTCGATTGTTTACTTTCCAAACGAACTCTTTTTAAAGTTAATCAATTCTACCCATTTTTCATCTTTCAAACAAAGAGATAACAAGGTATTATCCCTTAACCCCACTCACAAGCGCAGACCCATACATAGAGACACTACATCTCTTCCTCATTTCAGATCTAAAGCAAACCAACAGTCTATCTCTCGTTCATTCATACCCACCCACCCAGCATCTCTCACATCTTCACACCTACCCCCACACACACACTCTCTACCATAAGCACACACACACACACACACTTGTCTCATGTGAACATAGTGCGCCATGCAGTTCATTTCAATGTATTGGCGCGCTAAGTACTGTCCTGGCCTCTACCACGTTTGGTAGGTGGCTCTCGCCCACCACACATACCAACGGACACTCAGTTGCTCGTTCATTCTCACTCAACTCCCTTTCAAAGTTACCATACTAACCAACCAATCTTTATTGTTGTTTCCCATCTCATCCCATCCGCCTCTTCTAGATTCATTCAAGATTTCCCTCTATTCTTTAACTCTACGCACACATTATTATTATTACATTTATAATTATATCTTTATCTTTACACAATTCAAACAAATAATTCACATATCTCTTTTAAACATTTAGGGATAATACCATATTCATCTTAATAATTATATATTATTCAATTTATCAACATATATTACAATCAACAAACAATGTCATTCTTAAAGAAGTTGTCCAAGAAGGACAAGAAGAATAATGAAAAGACAACATCATCAAATGATGATAAGGTTGGTAACTCTGCAGAGGACCAGGATTATATGGACCATGTAGATTTTGGAAAGGACGGAGAAGCATTGGAGCCACCAGAGGACAAGAAGAAGTTATGGACCAAAGTCAGCGGCCTGATAGGCAAGGACACAATGTCATTGGTGTCACTCCCAGTCTACTTCTTTGAGCCACTGACCGTTCTCCAATCCCAAGTTGAGCCACTGCGTTTTGTCCGTCTGTTAGAGAAGGCCTGTGATCTTGACAACTCAATCGATAGACTGGTCTACATCACAGCATTCAATATTGCATTATTCAGTTCATATGTCAGAACTGGTAAGTTATTATTATATTTATTATTATACTACCCATATATTGATACTAATATTCAATCAATTAATTAAATAGCAAAACCATTCAATCCACTACTCGGAGAGACATTTGAATATATTCCAAAGAATGGAAGTTACTGTACATTGAGTGAGCAAGTGAGCCATCATCCCCCCATTGGAGTTTGTGAGACTTCAAGTGCTCGATTTAACCTTCAACAAGAGTCATGGATTACAACCAAGTTCTGGGGTAACTCTGTCGATATCTTCAGTATGGGTAACAACCATCTCTATCTCAACGATCATAATGAGCACTACTCATGGAAAGTTCCATCGTAAGTTTCCATCTACTCATTCAATCAAACAACCATACTAATATATCATATTCAATCTAGATCATGTTGTCATAATATATTGGTTGGCAAGATGTGGGTGGAGCATCATGGCACTCTGTCCATTGTTAACCATGTCACTGGTGACAAGGCCATTATAACCTTCCACAAGTCAGGTTGGTTCGAGGGTAATGCCGCCAGGAAGATCTCTGGAGAGATTTCCGATGCCAACGGAAAGAAGAAGTTCTTGGTCAGTGGACGCTGGAACGAGTACATTGTGATGACCAAGCTCGATGACAAGGGAGACAAGATCGACGAGTTCACCATCTGGAAGGCTGGCGCCGACCCCCTGGAGAAGACCAACAAGTGGAAGCTTGGTTCCTTCATTCAATCATTGAATGGTATGTGTTGACAGAGTTGTGTGACCTAGTTCTAATCATCAACATCAAACTAACAATCAACGAATCAATCAAATATAAACAGAGATCAACCCAGACTATGAGCACATCCTTCCACCAACAGACTCAAGACTCCGCTCAGATAGAAGGAGCTTGGAGGCCGGTGATAATAAGCTGGCCAACAAGGAGAAGAGTAGGATAGAGGACAGGGAGCGTGAGAAGAGAAGAGAGCGTGAGAGAACCGGAAAGCCATTCACTCCCAACTACTTCAAGAAGGTGGACGACCCCCAGTTTGGCTACAGATGGCTGTTCAACGGCGAGTACTGGAAGGAGAGGGAGATGAGAATCCAAAAGTACGATGCAGAGAAAAGCAACAACCAGGCCCTCACCGACATCAGTTCGCTGAGCATGAGCGATGATGTCTCGGTCATTTCGACTAACACTGTTTCCTCTAGTCTCAGCCAAGGCAGTTCGGTTGCATCGATGCCCACCTTTGTCGACGAGTCCAAGACGGCAGACGACATGGCTGCAGACAAGAGGAAATCATTCAACTCGGCCAAACCAATCTACACCAACGTTGTGCCCATAGGGCAGTCGTCTCACTAGTCAGATAGTCAGCCAGTTTAAGTCAGTCAGTCTGTTAGTCATTCAGGACATTCAGTCGACACAGCTCAAACCTTATCAAAAACAACGATTGTAATATGTACATTTAAATGATTATCTGTGTTCAATTATTTGACGACAGTCAGTCTGTGAGATCACTTTGAGAAGCCTTCAAACAATCAATCACACATTCATTGTTGTGATCACTCCCCAAACACACACACACAAACATCATACATACTCAGTTCTCAATCAGGATGGGAACGACAGGTCTTTTGTTGGACTGGTTGATGAATTGGATKGGATGATGGGTAGGTGCCCTACCTCCTACCTCCTACATTCCACATCACCAATAACAATGATATTAGTCTGTATTATCTCTATTCATTATATATATTTACATGTATTAGAAGATGGGAGTGTATAGGTCATATCGCTATATCAAGTACTTTGAGACAATGCCGCAGGGTCATAGAGTTGGCCAAACAATCAACCTAAATGAACTTGATAGTTCCAGAAGTATGTTACAGTATCCAGAGTCATTGAAGGGCCATCAATCTTAACAACATCATAATCCATTCATCCAGGGTTATGGTCATTGATGCCAATGCATTGGCCTACCACTTGGCAACCCATGATCCTTTAATCTCATGCGGTGATCTTCAAAGAGTATGTCGTTTGGAACATTACTTGAAGTTTGTACCAACATCCATTACCCAGCCATTAACATCATAACTTAGTATGTTGATACAATCAAACAATACCTACAAGACAAGATCAAGAAGTTTGGATTGGACGTTGTTTTCTTCTTTGATGGCAGTACTCCAGATCACAAACACCAGTCAAAGCGTGGAGACAGCCATTTGGAACGACTTAGAAACATGATGGGCCTGCTCAAAGAACATGACCACCCATCTCCCTGAATACTTCAAACAGTTCCCTCCACCAATGCTCATGGATGTAAGTCAATATCCTCCTCTCCTTCGATCACATTCCTAACATTCGTTCCACCAACAAAGAGTGTGTTCAAGCTCACTATTCGAGAAGAGGGATATGAGAGCTATACTTCATTCCAAGAGGCAGACACTGACATTGTTAGATTCGCAATCATCAACCGTGCATTTGGTATTCTATCCTGTGACTCTGACTTCTTTTTCTTCAAAAACCTGTCCTCTACCATGTACTTCAACATCAATCATTGGTGTACCAAGGATGAAGGGGTAGCCATTGGATACAATATCCATAATGTGGCTGACCAAGTATTTCGAATCCCTACGGAGGTAGGGTACCATCCAAAGAATTGATTGTGTTGATACCAATGACTGACCATCAATTGATCAAGTTACTTCCAATACTAGCAACATTGGTTGGCAATGATTATACCAAACAGTTTAGACGATGGAAGGAGTTTGAGACCAATGATGGACTTGCCAATGTTGGTGCCATTGTCAAACATGTGAGGACAATCAATGAGAATGGCTGTCAGAAGCGAAGTGATCGTATGAAGATATTCTCATCATTATTTGTTGAGGGTAACGTCCACTCTCTCAATCACTCATCAATCAACATGGTGATTAATTTTCCACAATCCATTTCAGGACAGAAGAACTTGATGGAGAGATGTGAACAGTCATATAAGTTCTATTGTGTCAGTAGTCAGCCTGTCATTTCTCACTTGTACATCAAACATATCAAGGATACATACCTCTCTCAGCTCTTTGGTTATGGAAATCATATCATTGATCATAACATACTGTCAACCTTGTTGTTGGCGCCTACATCATCAGATAGAGACAWTTGGTCAATGCTCATCAACATCAACTACATCCATGGCCATGGAGTACATTGTCCATACCTCCAACTACCTATTCGAGGAGACCCCAACTGCCATCCCTATAATACCAATGTCTATTTCCAGGTTCATACCTGAGCCAAACTTACCAAGAGATCAATCATTCGCCACATACACTCAACCCATAGTACAACGTCTGATTAGATTAGTGGAGCACTATCGAGAGACACAACAACGAAATGAGATTGACCAATGTATACGTGAGTTGTGTTGGGTGTTTGGAGCATCTGATCAAGAGTCCCAACGCCTCCTAGACCATCACATTATTACAAAGATATCAAGTCCATCAAGAAGGAGTACATCATCCAACCATACTATTGATGAGATACTCATTATCCTGTAAGTATTATATGTATTGGAATGGACCTTATGGACCCACTCACTCTTTCATACATACTTAGGTTCACAAGATTGTTCATTCCAAGTGATAACGAATCATTGTCACTTTCAATTGATATTGATCAATGGATGATTGACATATTCTTGCTACATTATGTTTGGTTGAATCAGAATGGTAGTGTTCCTGAGAGGGATACATTCACTTCCGAGAGTATCATCTATATCCCAACATTGCTCAATGGATACTTCTCCTACTTGTACAATCTTGCCTATTCAGCAATCACTCTAATGCAACTGGACCAATTTATCAAACATCCATGTAGAGTCATTGATATAGTCAGTCTTCATCTATTTTGGAGCAAGGTCACAGATGTCAAGCCAATAGAACACTCAACCAAAGACCTTGTCCATTCTATACTCTCAGATCCTGAGTTCATTTCACCAGGTGATGCACTCAATATCCAGAATGGATATGACCGACTCAAGACACTCTTTCAATATATGTCTATCCAAAGACAACTCCATCTGGTACTGGAGTTGCGTAATCACTACATATTTATCATTAATCAATATTAATTCAATAAATATAAAAATAAATCTTCCAATCTTCCAATTAAATAGCCTGGGCATTTCAACATTTAGGTACTAGTATGTAGATTAAGATATATACACTGATACTCAAACAGACAAACATAATATTATCCATGGGTATCTTTTTTTCGACATCATCATTCTTCAATAGTGTAAGTATATTCTATTGAATATTTATTTTAAATTATCCAAAAGATTTTATTAATATCAATCAGTACCAACCTTCCCCAAGAGGTGATGGTATGAACACTCTCTTTGAGAATATTCCACCAAGCAACATATGCCAATTTAGTATTGGATATCGCTCCAGGTCTTGGAAGAAGTACCATATGACTCCTCTTCAAAAAATACCAACTCAACTTCATCTTCTGGATCCTGTGTACCAACTGGTCAGCACCACGCCCTACCATTTGTCCATCATTGGACTTTGCCATTTCGGTCAGTTCATCAAGAACGAAAGTGGGGATACCTGTACCTGGGGAGCAAGCTAACTGCCAACACTTTGCCAGGTACCTAGCAATAGCCTTTGGATTATCGTGGCCGGAATATATACCTGTCTCATCCCAAGAATATCCGTGGATATCGAAGTGGAATAATATAGCCTCCAAGAATTCTTTATCTAGATCAATTGTCTTCCTTCATCCTTGGTATGATTCTAATCTTTATATACAACTGATGTGGATGGAGTATAGATTGTTATTTATTCTTTTGGAGGTCAGTGCTGCTGAACTACTTCTTGATCGCAGCGTCCTTCTTCCTAAAGAAGTTCCTGCTTAAAGTGTTGAATCCAGTGATGGCAGCATTTCCTTTCTTTTTGTCATCCATTGAATGCTTTCCAAGTGTACCATTGATGTTACCACTACTACTGCTACTGCTGCTGCTGCTGCCACCCTCCATTGAAGGATCCACCATCATATAGTTGTTATCAAATTCCAACATACTCTTTGGACCTCCACCGCTCATCGTCGAATGTCCACCATTGGACACCAGCTGTTGTTGCGACATGGTTGGACGACGCAGCGAGATGGACGCTGTGTGACTGCGATATGGTACCAATGGATGCTTTGCCCTGAACAGGGCGGCGCGCTCCTCGATCTGCTTTTCGAATGCCAGACGTATGAAGTTCTCTTCGTTCTCGTAGCACTCAGTCTCGGAGAGAGGGAAGTAGATCTGCCTCCACACCTTCATCTTCTTGATGGAGCAGTCGGGGAAGATGACGTCGCGGTCGTCCGAAGGCTGGTACAGTGGGTTGAGGTAGCTAGCGATCGCCTGGTCCATCTCCATCCACAGACTGATCGTCTTGCCGTATGAGTGCGCCATGATTCGCTCGCGCTCGCAGTTGAACAGGAAGTTGCCGTACCTGCCGCTGTACACGTGCGTGTAGATCGTGCGCAGGAAGTGCGAGTTGAACTCAAACTTGTTGGGATACTGATTAATGATCTGGTAGACGGCCTCGAGGAACTGGATAAAGACGGGCGATCGCTCGTCCTCATCCTTGCCATAGACCATTCCGCAGCGATGCGCAAACTTGTGTCCGAACGACAGCCACTCCTTCTCGATCAGCACCTGGAAACCGCGGATTGTGCGGTAGTATGGGTCCAGGAAGATCTCTGCCAGGCCCACCAGTTGACTCGTGCGGTCCCAGCCGTCGGAGCAATGCACCAGCACATTGGAGTGATTGATGTGGATCAGCTTGGCGATGCGAACTGCGCCAACCAGGATCAGCTTGAGGTGGTGGAACCATCCCGATGACTCTAGTGTGGCAAACCAGTTGTCCTCCTTATTGATGCTGGACTCGACAGCCTCACGTAGCTTCAGCAGTGACGTGCGCATCACACATGTATGTTGGCAATGTCCATGAACTCAATCTCACAGTTTGGATAGTTGGTCATGATCTCCCATCCTGCACCCTTAGCCCTGTTGCCCACGGCGTTGGCATAGGGTCTCGCGTCTATAATATACAAAGTCTTCTCGCTGCCACTCTTCTTGCCGTCCATGGTCGACCCCGTAGCGTGGACCATCGTCGACGAGCTTGGCGCTGCGCTGCTCGTTGTGGCGGCGACGGCGGTGAGACGGATGGCGTTCACCAGTTGCTCGTCCTCCTCGCATCTGTTTCTGCCAATGCCCACACGAGGTTGACTGCAACGTGTGATTGATGTCTTGTTGCTCCAGTGGCGGTAGGAGAGCGCAGGTATCCTGCCCTTGGATCGGAAGTTGGCCACTGCCTTGAGCTGCTCGTCCGAGATGGTGTCTGGCACGACTAGCAGCGAGGGGTACGTCTCGCAAATAAAGTGCGTGCTGTTGATATGTGTGTACTTCCAGTCGGGCGAGGGGATGCCCATACGGGCAAACTCGTCCTTGGGGTCGTAGATGTTCCAGCCAAGGTTGGTCACCTCGTTCTGAGTGTACTCTGCCTTGTACAAGAAGCAGAACAACGATGTGGCGATTGTGTTCTCCACGCACTTGCGAACATCCTTCAGAGAGTTGCTCGACTTGTCGAATGACAATGAGATTGTTCTTGCATCCTTGCACAAGAAGTTCAATCTATACGAGAATGAGTTGCCAACAGACTTCTTCTTTCCAGACTTGTCCATCTTTTGGATCGAGTGCAAACTGAATGATTTCTGGATTTGAGTGTAAGTTTGAGTTTGAGTTTGAGTTTGAACGATTGGAAATGATTCCATGGATGGTACATACTTTGAATAGACTGTTTTGATGAACTCCATTGAATATGATCTGGTAGTTTGTGATGAAGCAGGTGCCTGGAACATACTCCTCTTCGTTGGTGGATACTGTTGGGGCGGTATTGTTATCGCGTGGAGATGTCAGACTGCCAAATCCATGTGAGTTGGAAGTGCCATGTGTTCCTGATGCCAACTGTGTGGTCACGTTGTCGTAGAGATGGTAGCGACACTCAACCTTGAACAAGATCTTCTCACCATCACACAACACCACCGAGTCTGGCAGTGACAGTGTCCTTATACTATTGAGCTGATTCCTAATATTCCTTATGATCTCGCCATAACTAACTGCTGTGGGCACTGATGTCTCCTGCGCCAACTGTCTCTTCATCAACAGCACCTTATTCCTAATATTGTCCAGACATTGCTGCAGCACAGTATGCAGCGAATCGATGCTGTTTACCGAGCGTTCGGTGGCTGGGATGAGGAAGTTAAGGTTAGATTATGGGTTCGCGAGCCTGACTATCCGGGCTTGCTTACCTTTGGACTTCCTCTTGGTGTGCACTGACTTGGAGTGAATGATCTTGATGAGCTCGGACGCAGAGTCGAGCTTCTCGGATGCACCAGCTGAGCCTGTGGATGTGGATGGCTGGGAAAAGTCGATGATATCGATGGGCTCCAACATGCGCTCAATGTCCACGAGTGACTCAGAGATCTTCATGATGTCCTTGAATGATTGATGGAACTGCTTCTCGCGCTTCATCTCGCTGATCTTGAATATAATGTTGTCAATTGTCTTTGTTGTGATGTCTTTGAGTTTATCAAGTTTCTCATCGGGTGCCATCATCAGTGACGATGATGATGTGGACGATGGTGTGCCTGAGCCCAGTTGCGCACTACCATTAGCCAATGACACCAAATTACTCAGACTATTACTGCTACTCATTGTTGGAGTTGTGGATAGTGCCGGTGTCGATGTGTTTGATAGTGGCGTGCGAGGTGCAGGCGTCGATGGAAGCGAAGGCGAATGTGAAGCCGAGGTCGAGGGCGATGTTGAACCTGTTGTACCCATGCTGCTGCTGGATGTCTGTGACGTGGAGTGTGAAGTGGCCATTGGTTTGGATGTGGGATGCAGGGGCGGTGATCGGGTGGGTGGAGAAGATGTATTTGGCGAAGCAGAGGTCGTGCCAGGTGAGGAAGCACCTGACTTTGTGACGGGTGGTCCCTGGGGCTTGGGTGGGGGTGGCGACGACTGTGAAGTATTATTATTGTTGTTGTTGGACAACAACGATGTTTGAGGTGGCGGCAGTCTGGAAGTCATTTTCTAAAGCTTAAGCTTAGAAGCTAAAGAGTTGGATTGAAGAGAGGAAGATGGAGGGAGGTCGCAATAAGGCTGGATCGTTGGCTGGCTTGCTGGCTGACTGGCTGGGATTGATTGTTGTATGAGTATGTTATGTATATACAGAGAGGTTTCGACGTCGTCGTGGATGTTTGTATAATGATTGATTATTAAATGTTGATGATGTTGTTGATGATGAGCCTGGATTGCTTCTGGTAATTGTTGATGGATGGATGATGGTTTATGATGATCTGTGATCCAATAAGAGAGGGATACGAGATTTGGCTATCTTATCTTGGTATGATTGATTGATTGTTAATATAAAAATTATGAGTGAATGGATCATCCAATCAGTTTGGCAGACGGGCTAGCGGGTGTTGTCTCTATCTTTCCTTTCTCGGGCGAGTGTGTTGGGAAATGATTGATTGAGTGTGAATGTGTGAATGATCAATCAGGTGACAGACGGAAACTTGGATCGTATGGGCACGTGATGTGTTGTGTTGACTTGAGAGTTGTGTTGAGTAATGATGAATGTGTGGATGTTGGGAATATGGTGTGTGGTGGTGTCGACTCGTCTGATATGATCAAAGTTCGATTTGTAAATCAGGACAGTGACACTGATTGATTGATTGATTGATTGATCACTGTGTCTAAGTATTATGATGGTAATAAAACAAAAAGTGTGTGTGATTGTGTGATTGAATGTAACAATGTTGTACCTGTTGCTATTGCTCTATCCTGTAGCGTATGGATAATGTTCCTGTTGCTATTGCTATTGCTGAATGCTATTGTTGATTGCTATTGCTAATATGTTGTTCACTCCAAATGTGAATGTAATATTTAGTCAGTCAGACGAAAGTAAGTTAGTGATAAAGAAGGTAAAGGGAGTAAGTGAGGTGGATTGGATTGGATTGGATATGACTCGGATTGATTGATTGATTGAATTGGTGAATGATGATTGCAATAAAATTAATATCAATATATTTAATAGTTTATTCAAACAATCAAACCCTGTATCTTTCTTTTCTCTCTCCCTCTTTGTCTGTTGGTACCAACTACCTTTGCACCCCTGCTCCATTGACATAATGGTGGGCCTAAGGGGTGATGCTTAGGCCATTGAAGCACTCTGTTTTCATGATGAATGGGCACTTTTTCGCAATGTTTCATCAGAAATTCAAATAAAACATGGGTCTGAAGGCAGAATGAAACCCAAGAGGTACCCCATTGTTTGTTTGTGGTGGGACCTATGGTGAAAGGGTCCACTCAATCATTCCTTATGATCTGTGGGGTATAGGTCATAGTAGATACTAATCTCCCCTTTTAGAGTGTCTCGTCTCTATGAGCTGACCTACATCATTCAAACTTTACCTGAAAAGCCCAAACCCAAGTGTCCATGTTACGATACCCTTCATTATAACCTTGGTCACCTGACAATCATTCTGGACTGAAAGACAATTATTATGGATTCATTCCAGACTCTGGACACACATGGTCGATAAATAATGAATGTGTAGGAATCATTCCAAATCATATGATTGATCAGATGAATTCCCACATTCCACAAGTCATTTCGACTCAAAATCTTCATCCAAGATCATTCAATCAATAATTGAGCGTGCAAAGAGAGAGTACAATGACACAATTACAAGAACAAAGAAATAGAAGAAGAGTTGCATTGGTGACAGGTTGTTCATCAGGCATTGGAAAGGAGTTGGCCAGATCATTACATGCTCATTCTGATATCAAGGTCTATGCAACAGCCAGAAGACAACATTCAATCAAAGAATTGGAGAATGAGGGCATGTCCATCCTAGAGTTGGATGTTACAAATGATCGTTCAATCAAAGTATGTCAATGTCATGGTTGATTGTTTGATTGAATGATCACTGACTGACCATGTGTGATGATCATTAGGACTGCGTGGCGACCATCATGTCCAATGAAGGACACATCGATATATTGGTCAACAACGCTGGAATCACACATTACTCACCAACCATTGAGTTACCTGATGCTGAGGGCCGAGCAATCATTGGTAGGTCGCCACACTCACTCATTCATTCATATGATCACTCACTCACTCATTCAATCATGATTGACGACTAACATGGCAACCAACATTTAGACACCAACTTCTTTGGACTGATCAATGTAACAAAGGCAGTGTCAAAGATAATGATTGATCAACGATCGGGATTGATCGTGCAGTTGGGTAGTGTCTCGGGCTTGGTGGCCAACCCTTTCTGTGCGATGTATTGTGCGAGCAAGGCGGCCGTACACGCATGGAGTGATGCACTACGTATGGAGTTGGCACCGTTTGATATCAAGGTGGTAATAGTCAAGCCTGGTTGTGTAAAGACAGAGTTGGCAAACAATGCCATACCCGAGATGAACCTGCGACTGGACAGCTACGGAACGTTGTACGAGCGAATCAGAGAGTACATTATCAAACGATCGACCTACTCTCAGGAGCGTGGCATTACAGCCAAGCAGTTTGCCGATCAAACCATCACAGCGGTGTTGAGGGACAATCCACCAGCGCACTTTGCCGCGGCGCCCTTGGCCACACTCATGCGCATCTTCTCTCATCTTCCATCATGGGCCTCCGACTACTTCCTGTCACGTATCTGTGGTCTAGACAAGCTTGCTCAGATGGTCAAGCGTGAGACTCAACACCAGCATCAACAATGATCGTCATCTTCGTCATGGACTGGACCGTGACTCATCAAGGCCTTGTCCGTTCCATAAATTCAAACTAAACCCCACCCACAACATGATCATCGCCCAATTTGATCACAAGATGATCATTATGATGTAATATATATCTGGTGCCATTCATTCATTCATTCATTTGTCAAAGACAAGTAAACATACTTATAACAAACAAACAAATAATGACAACAAGTGAGCAACAACATAGAACTAAAAGGATTGCTTTGGTAACAGGATGTTCATCGGGCATTGGCAAAGAGTTGGCAAGGGCATTGAATGCTCAATCAGATATTAGAGTTTACGCCACAGCCAGAAGGTTACAATCAATCAGGGATCTGGAGAATGAGGGTATGGTCATTCTAGAGTTGGATGTGACCGATGCCAAATCAATCAAAGTAAGTATACTCAAGGACACATCATCACATCACCCCAGCTGACCCTCCCATCTCATTCATTCATCCAAGAACTGTATATCGACGATCAAGTCAAACGAAGGAAGAATAGATATATTGGTCAACAATGCTGGAATCACTCACTACTCGCCAGCCATTGAGTTGCCTGACAAGGATGCACGAGACATCATAGGTACGCGTCCTTGATCACCAACACCATCACTCATACTAACTCAATCAATCAAACATGATCCATGGTCAATGAACAGATACCAACTTCTTTGGATTGATCAATGTTACAAATGAGGCTGCAAAGATTATGGTTGATCAACGCTCTGGACTTGTGGTTCAGATTGGTAGTGTCTCGGGATTGGTGTCCAACCCATTCTCAAGTATGTATTGTGCAAGCAAGGCCGCGGTACATGCATGGAGTGATGCACTTCGTATGGAGTTGGCACCGTTTGGCGTCAAGGTGGTGATCGTCCAGCCAGGCGCAGTCAAGAGTGAGCTGGCAAACAATGCCATACCCGAGATGAATCAGCGATTGGAGAGCACGGGCACGCTATACGAGCGAATCAGAGAGTATATTGTCAAGCGATCGACATATGCTGTGGACCGTGGCATGCCAGCAAAGGACTTTGCCGAGCGCACCATTAACGCGGTGCTGCGCGCCAACCCACCCGCACACTACGTCACTGCTCCACTCTCCATGCAGATGCGCATACTCTACCATCTGCCGGCCTCGATCACCGACTACATCCTCTCCTACGTTGCTGGACTTCACAAACTTGCCGAGATGGTACGTCGTGAATCAAATGAACAGAAATGAGACCCATGGCATGCCATTGATCTATCGTCAGTCATTCAGTGCCCTAGGTTGGCGCTGAAGTGAAGTGATCACAATATAACTATTCATTCATTCATTCATTCATCCATATCCTGGAATAGTTCCAACAACATTGGAGAGTGGGTGAGTGAGTGGCCCAATCAATCATTGAATCTTTCTAACATCTTGTTGTACCATAGACTCGAACTTCCATGGAAGCCCCAACCCATTCGCCCTATCACATCATCAAAACAAGGGAAAGCCCAAACAATGGTCCAACCCTTGGTGGGGGTGTGGGTCGGAGGCCAAGGCGAAGGGCCTAATAGGGCCAAAACACTTCAATCTCTTGATAATCAATTAAACAAATACTATCTTTATCTTTATATATAATGTCGCTGCAGCTACTTCTTGTGCTGTTGCTGCATCTGCTCTGCTGCGCACAGAGTGGCAACGCACAAACACTACAGCCACTCACAGTCTACATTACACCACAGCCAGCAAGCGGTGTTAGAAATATTACGTGTGGCCTGGACTCGGACCACCCATGTTGGTCACTGGCAGACCTATTTGCATCGCTTGGCAACCAAGACTACAAAGCGTCGCAGCTGAACATGACGATCTACATGGCGCCAGGCACCTACCCCAGCAAGGGCAACATCAACGCGCAGCTCTTTGGTCTCACAGTCACGATGGCCGCGCAGAATGAATCGGCCCCGACGACAATCGACGCCGGCTTTGAGGGAGGTCCCATCTTGGTCGTCCAGGAGCCAACCACCAGCGTCCCGGCCAACGCCTCGACCACGATCAGCGTACGCGGCGTCACCTTCCAGGGTGGCAACAACAAGAATGGCGACGGTGGTGCCATCTCAGCGATGATCACCAACTCTTCAATGTCTATCACACTGACCAACTGTACATTCAACAACAATACGGCCGGCGACAATGATGGCGGCGCAATCAACGTTGTGTTCAACACGAGCTCGTACGACCCCGCGGTCCTTGCACGCGCAGTGCTCAGCGTCGATCGCTGCCTGTTCACTGCGAACGAGGCGAAAAACGGAGGCGCCATCAACACCGAGTACACTACTCTACTACTCAAACACAGCGAGTTTGTGGAGAACTCGGCGAGGAACGGAGGCGCCATCAACTCAGCAAGCGCTCCCATCCACGCCATGCACGTTCTGTTCGACTCGAACGGCGTCAACGCCGACGGAGGAGCCATCCTCTTCTTCAATCAGCACGTTTCCTCCTCAACATTCGACTACTGCAACTTTGTCGACAACGAGGCCGGCGTTGGTGGTGCGATCTACCTCGGCCAGTCCGGTCTTCACATGCGCAATACCAACTTCACAAATAACGCTGCACGCGGTGTAGGTGGCGCTGTGGCCGCGAAAACCTCGCCCAGCTACCTGAATGTGTCGGAATGCCATTTGGTCGGCAATGCTGGCTCCAATGGTGGCGCGTTATACTTTGACGAGGCCAACTTTGACATCACTTCCACGTCATTCGTGCAAAACACCGCGATCCAGGGTGGCGCGCTCTACTTTGGCTACGCCGAGGGCGATATCACCAACGTCCACATCGATGGCAACAACGCATCGCTCAACGGTGGCGCCATCTTCACCACGTTTGGCCGCTTCACAATGAACAACGTCACGATCGACAACAACCGCGCGCAACTCGGCGGCACGATGTACTGCAGCGCATCGTCCGTGACTATCCCACAGCCCGTGATCATTGACAACAACACCGACACCTCACACACGGGCAACAACGGTGACAGCACCGACAACAGCGGCAGTGCCAACGAGTACGAGAACCGCTTCAACATATACTGCAGCCTGATACCAGAGTACACGTTCTGCACGTTTTTTGGCGCAAAGGACTACATCGAGCTATGTGGCGAGGTACCCATACCGCAGGCGCACAGCATGGCCAAGTGGAAGCTGGTGCTAATCATTGTGGGAGGCGTGCTGGGTCTGGGCGTGGTCGCATTTGGCATTGGCTGTCTGCTGGCTCGCTCCACAGACAAGGGCGACAAGAACTATGACCCCATCCTCACTGGCATCAACACTGGCGAGGATGACTCTAGCATCCAGGATGCCATTGACGCTATGGATGGCGATATTCAATCATCTCTCGCCATTGAGGAAGACTTCAAGGACAGGGAATTATAAAGTAAATATTGTGTAATATACTAAAATCGTGGAATGATTCCAGGTCCAGGTCATTTATTTCTTCTTCTTCTTGCTGCCACCATCGATGGCTGGTGCTTTAAATGCATTGTCGTCCCATAGCTTGACTGGGGAGTGGCCTCCAGGTGCAACTGGTGTGACAGCAGCGCCAGCATTTGGTGTCTTGGCATCGCGTCCTGTCTTTGATTTCTTCTTTGGCTGTTCCTCAGTCTTGATCTTGGGCTCGACTTTAAATGCTGGCTTGACTTGTTCGATAGCCTTGGGCTTGGCCTTGGCCTGTGTAGGGGTCTTGGTCGTAGGCTTGGGCTTGGTCATGGACTTGGATGCTGTCTTTCCTTTTACAGTACTCTTGGGCTGCGTAGCCTTTTTGGGTACTTTGGTCTTGTTCGTAGTTGTTGTTGTTGCCTTAGCATTATGTTTGGCAGCTTGTGATTGTGATGTTGATGTTGATGTTGATTGATATTTATGATTCGGTTGATGTTGATGATGGAACTTTGGATCAATGTCGATTGGTGGAAGTGGCAATCTGGCTTCGATCGGATTGATTGGCGTTGGATTGATCTTCTCGAAACAGGCAACAAAGAATCCAATTGTGTTGTCGCTTGCTGGTGACATTCTCAAACAATACTCGCTGTTCTTGAACAATGACAATCCCCTACTCTTATTCCAATGTGGCAATATGTTTGCCAGTCTCCACTTCTCTCCATCACAATTCAGCTCGTCCAGTGCCCTTTTCACAACATCCTCATTCTCAACCTGATGTACCGAGCATGTTGAGTACACTACTCTCTTCACACATGGGACTTGAATAGCGTGGCGGGGAGTGAGTTAGTTCATCAGTCTGATTGCTTGATTGAACGAATGGGTGAGTTGGCCAGCTAGCCTGTATACATACATTGGAATGCATGCATTATGATTGAGAATTGGAAGTCAGCCAGCAGGGCCAGCCTTTGGGACTCGTCCATGACCTCAACCTCTTCTTCATCTTTGGAAGCATCGCCAGACTTGTCCTTTGAAGCATCTTTGCCTTTAGATTTGCTCTGTTTCATCTCTTCCAACTTGCGCTTCATTGCTTGTTCCTTCTTCTCTTTCCTCGTTGGTTTCTTTGCATCCTTGTCCAAGGTGTTGGTCGATTGCTTCTTGCTCCCTCCACCGCCATTCTTCTTTGCCTGCTCGCCCTTCTCCCTGATCAAATCTTCAATATCATCATTCTCTTCAGCTGTGGCTGGTGCAGATCCACCAGTGGTCGATGCCAACAAATGATCCAAACGATTGACGATACCAGATCCCGAGCATGATGGATCGCACAAGACATACTCCACATTCTTAAACCTTGGATCTGAGTGATCCAAGTCAAAGAAACTCTTGTTCAATGGCTGAATGTCTAATGTGTCGCGAGGTTGTGGCGGGTCAGTGATTGATCGATTGATTGATTGATTGATGGGATCATCCCATCCCATCCCCAAGCCAGTACAAACACATACTGTTACATCGCGACCTTCCTGTGAGCTTGACCAATGTGCCCATGCGCTTGGCATCTTTCTCGATGGCGTAGATCCTGCCTGTGTTCTTCATGAGTGCACTTAGGAGAGATGTCTTGTTTCCTGGTGCCGAGCATGAGTCGATGGCCAGCGTATTCTCGGGAGGATTGAGAACAAAGGCTGGCAGACAACTAGCCTTGTCCTGAAGGATGATGTGTCCACTCAGCAGAAGTGGATGATCGTGCAAGTCGACGTTTGGCGCGAATACCAATATTGAGGGAAAGTCCTGGTCTTGGAAGAAGGTCTTGGCGTCCACGCCATAGTCCAGCTTGGTGCAATATGTGTTGGCCGTGTTGAGCGTGTACGCTTCATTCTTGACAAAGTGATCGATGACATGTTGTGGTTGACAGACATTGGTATTGACACGGACATAGCGTGGCAGTAGTATAGGGTTGCGTATCGACTCTGGCAACAAGTCAACATTATTGGCCACCTGTCTCCTTATCTTTAATCTTGCCAAAGCAGCAGACAATTGAACTTTATAAGCCATTACCGACTTCTTAGCATGACCTCCACCCTTTATCGATTGATTCGCTCCAAACATCAACTCATACAGCATCACTAGCAACAAACTATATCCAATCGTCTTGTCATCCTTCAATCCCTGTACAGTTGTTAACAACTCATCAATTGTATCTTTATCTAAGAGTGAGTGAAAGAGTAAGTATGAGTAAGTATGATTGATTGATTGGATGAGTGATATGTATGTGTAAGTATGTTGACTTACACTTTAGTGTCTCGCAAACTAGAGCGTAGGCAGTCTTGCTGTTTGACTCTGAGTTTGAGGATTGGAAGGATAGTCCTTTGATGCTACCCTTCTTCTGAAGTAGCTTATCAATAACACCTGCTGCCTGTCTATAATAGTCACACATTATGTGATATTATATGATATATATAAATATTACTTGTAGTCTTTATTACAACGAATACACGAATGAATGAATGAAAAGGGTCAGATTGTGTTTCGTTCGTTTTTCCAATCAATCAAATCAACTCAATTCTTGAAGTTCTTTTCAAAGTTGAATTACTTGGCGGATACTCTTGACATGTTCTCAAACAGTAGTTTGTTGTTGGATACTACACTGGTTGATGAGTTGGTAGTGCCAGACACTTTGGAGCTCGAGTTGGAGTGGGATATGGATGATGCAACTGATGATGTCGATGTCACTCTTGGGATTCCATTGCTTCCAGATGTTGTTGAGGTCGTTGTTGATGCTCCTCCAGTGCGAAGACTTGTTGTTGGAATATTATTACCACTATTGCTGTTGTTGTAGTTGCTGCTGTAGGTGTCTGGCGACTTTGGTTGTACCTTGGCCACACTCTTGAATGTCTCCACTCTTACAACATTACTCTTGATTGGTGTTGCTGTCGATGATACTGGTGCAGTAGTTGTCTTGGTGGATGGCTCATCCTTGGGCGTCAAAACAACAATTGGTGATGTTGAGAATGTGCTGGACTTTGGCGCGACAACATAGTTGCTGTTGAAGTTACTCTTTTGGATATTTAGGTTGCTACCATGACCATTGGATTGGTTGCCATTGGATGATGAAGATGATGAAGATGTGGACGATGTGACAAACATTGACTTTGGTCTCTCATTCCTCTGGGCAGAGACAGGCTTCAGACTGACATTGTTGAAACCGGGTAACATCACACGGAGTCCGCCACTTAAGGCGGCCGCATTAGGTGTAGTAGTTTGATGATGAGACGCGTTGGTCGATGAAGTTGAATGACTTGATGCTGTAGTGGCTTCGTCTGGAATTGATGTCGAGGTTGACGATGATGATGCAATTGATGATGAGGTGGTGCCAATGTTATCATCTTGAGTTGTTCTTGGAGCATCACTCAAAGGTGACTTGACATGGCAACTTGGTGTCTTGGGTCGACCACGAGTGATCTAACATTCATACTAATTAGTGGATCGATGAATCAATCATAGACTCTTATTGTACTTACATGAACCAAACGGATCTGTTGCCTCTCCTCAGCCAACTTCTTTAACTTCTCCTCAACGGATGCTTCCTCGGAAGGTACTTGGACCACAGGGACACTGGCATCTGCCTTGGGCACAGCGACAGAAGTGTCGGCGGAAATACCTCTTGGAGATGTAGTATATGCCAACTTTGACACCTCATCCGCCTTCTCTTGACTCCTTGGTGATGTAGTGTCAATCTTTGGTTCGTTCACTACAGCAGTAGCTGGGGTATGAGTATGGGCATGGGCAGGGGCAGATGATGTTGTCGTAGTTGATGACGATGATCCATTCGTTGTCTCCTTGAATGGACTATAAAGCTCAGTTCTTTGGAATTGAGATGCAGTTGATGTCTTTCTCTCATAATATGATGAGCCTGATGATAATGTGCCATTACTCTCCGTCGAAGTTGATGATGATGATGAGGCTCCGGAGGAGGTGGAGGTGGAGGTACCAGCCAGAGTTGACTTGATTGTCTGTCCTTTTATCCTAAGTGGATAGAGATTGAGTAGTGACTTGGCATCGATATTGGACAAAGTGAGTACTGCCACACCACTTGATTCCTTCAATTCAATTGCAGTTATTGCCAGATTTATATCCAAACAACCAGAGAGTACCCTAATAACATCATGCTTCGTAGTATCCTTGCTCAATCCACTCAACATCACCTTTATCTGTGTTCCATATCCACTACCAACTTCCAATTCAAACTTAACCTGTGGTCAATCAGTTAGTCATGTGATCAATCACATCAGTACCATGTTACTACACTACTTACAATCTTCTTCTTGATTGTTATTGGATACTCGATTAGTCGTTCGTAATCCTTGTGTGAGGATAGTTGGAATGAGACGGTTGTCGTGTTGGACTTTGATGCTTTGATACAATCTACGTCTGTGATGCATTTGACAATGGCAACAAAGTCATCTGGCTTCATACTGAATGGGAGATCCCTAACACACACCAGAGTGTCTACTGTTGTTGCTACTGCAGCTGTCATATTGTTATTATAATTATTATACTATTATTATAAATATATATATATATGAATATTAATATATGGATAATGGAATATATGGATTGTGGATTGTGGATATTGATCAATCAAACAATCGTCTGGTTGTTGTCAATTTCAAGACGATCACTTGGATGATATTTATGGTGATGTTGATGATGATGATGATGATGTTGATGATGTTGATATACTGATGTGTTGACAATGATCTACAACCAATACTATTAATGGATATCTGTGTCTAGTACTACAACAATAAACATATACAATATAAGTTCAATTTATGTATGTGTATGAGTGTATGAGATTGTAGTAGTATCTAATGATGGTGTTGACACTGACTGAACAATCAATCAATTAATCTCACAGAGTGGGTTCATTTAGACAACTAGTTGTTGTTAACATTACATTCAATCTCGGGCTCAATAGACACACAACACACTCATTGATTGATTGATTACCCAGTCAAACCATCAAGCAGTGCTCCATCATTCAACCACTCAACAACATTTATCATATCTAACTCGCGATTAAGATAATTGCCCATTCATTATTTCATTCATTATAACCAAAGTAAGAAGAAACATCCAATTTCAAGACCCAAGGACCCAGGGACTATGATGTTACCATCATCATTATGTTGATCACTCTATCTTGAACTTCGCTATAGAATACTAGATTGTTAGTACAATGATAATTACCTATTATCTGTATCATTCAATCAATGTTATGATTAATGGGGAACTATTTAGTGCGAGGGTATTGTCCCCCCTCAAACATCTTGTGTTGAGAATCTTGATTTGATAGTCAACTCATCATTCATTCAATCAACTTCATTCATTCACCTAAATCAATTTTGTTATATTTATACATTATATTATATATACTTGTTGTTCACAATGTCTCTTTCATCATTCAGACAGATCATATCAAAGGTGTTCAATCACACCTCACAGCAACAGGTCACAGCCAACATTGCCAAGGAGCGTATGCAGAGCTTCCTTCGTGATCAACGTGGTGTCCGTTCACTCAAAGATGAGAACCTCAATCAGATAAAGGGAGAGGTGCTGCAAGTTGTATCTGTATGTCATTCAATCATTCATTCATTCATACATCGGTTGACATGCTCTAACAATGTATCAATCAAACAATGAATAGAAATATTGGAAGGTCAATATGAATGATGTTACATTCTCATTTAGAAAGAGCGATGATAGGAGCGACTTGGACGTGTTTGAGATGCAGGTCACATTGCCATCAGATCTGTTTGCTTCACCTGTCACTGCAACTGCATCATCACCTCAATCACAAAAGTTAACACTTTAATGATGATATGATATCAACTCGATGATGTAGACAACGAAACGAATGATGACAACGACGATGATAATGACGAATACTTTATAAAGACGATGTCGATGTCGTCTGTCATGAAGAGAAGAGTAGAGCAGAGTAGAGTAGAGAATAGACGACAACATGTAGAAGTAGTAGTAGAATCAGCAGCGACCAATCAATTAATCAATCAATATAGCTGCAGTGTAATAATAGTTGACTTCAATCAATCGATCAATCGTTCGAACAGCATCAGTATACAATATATATATATAGGTCTAGCGACAACAACAATAAACACAATAGATTGATCAATCAATCAATCATTGTCCCCTCAATATGATGTCCATGGGCAAGTCCCTATCGCTCGACTCGACTCGATATCTAGAATTGTTTATTATTATATGTTACACTGTGTATTGATTAGGATTGGCTCGACGCTGGCTGAGGTGTTGTGGTAGTGGCGGTGGCAGCTGGTGGAACAACAGCAGCAGTAGTAGTAGCAGCTTGTTGCTGTGCCTGCTGTGGCTGTTGTGGCTGCTGTTGTTGCTGTGGCTTAATTGGCAACAAAGCACTCTTATCGATATTCTTTATCTTTGTCTCCAACCTCTTTGTATATTCATCAATCAACTGAACAGTCTTCTCGAGATCGCCTACATTCTTATCGAGCTCATCAATCTTGTCCAAGTATGGCATGAACTCCTCGTCTAATCATCGACAACAACATGTCAGTAAGTAATTCAATTCGTTTGAATATCGTCAATCACACGAGTCTTGCATGCTTACACTTCTGCTTCAGGTCGCCCATGTACAGGGTCAGACCCTTGGTGATCTCATGCATATCCTTGTACTTGGCAGATGTAACATCATTCATCTGAATCAACAAGTTGTAGTCGGCAACAGTAGCTACATCATTGATGATGATTGATGAGATGAATGAGTGAGTGAGTCGAATGATTGATTGATTGAATGAATGAATGAGCATATACATACCTGATAGCTCTGAACTTAGATACTTGGCAACCTTTGTAAACATCTCTGATGTGGCATCCTGGAGATCAGCCTGTGGAGGCAGGTTGGGAGTGATGATATCATTGGCAGCCTTTTGTTGATTAGTAGTATCTTGTCCAGTGCTACTATTCAATGATGAAGTGTTTGCCGATGCTGTCGAAGAAGTCGATGATGACAATATATTGCTGCTTGCTGGTATCCTACTCTCCATTACTATTATTTGTATATCTATAAGTATGCACGAGATTGAATGAATGAATCAAAGAATGAATGCCAAAGATATTAGTACATGGACTTTTCAAAGGGGTCCCCCCTTTGCAATTTACAACTTTATTACATTCATCCATTCATTCATCATCAAGATAGTTGTAGTTATACAAATACATACATACATACATACATACATAATATATGCAGAAGCTTAACACGGTGATTGACACCTTGGTACCTTCACAATCATTGGTTGGCCGTGCCACATCCGATAACGATCAACCTACACCAGGTTACATGTTTGTTGACCTTCAGAGTATGTTGTTGATGTCATATGAATGATCGAATGAATGATACTAACAAGATAGATTGATTGATATATAGATGAATCCAATCAGTCGGTTGAGAAATGTCAACAGATATTATCACAATTGTTGAATCGTTTGAAGAAGGACTCACCTGTTGTCAAGCTGAAGTGTCTAAAGTGCATGAAACACTTGGTACTCAAGGGTAGTGCAGTGTTCAAACAAGATTTATCAACATGTTCAGATCATCTACAACAATGTACAAGTATGAATCTGTTGACCAATCAATCCATTCATCAATCACTCACACATCATTGCCCTCACTAGATTATAGAGGTCAATTGGACCAATTCCATGGAGATGCTCCATATGCTGCAGTAAGGGAGGAGGCCAACAAGTTATTGAACTTGTTGTTTCAATTCACATCGACTCCTACTCCTCATCCATCATCATCATCATTATCATTCACACAGACGCCACAGACTGTGGTTCAAGTCCAACCGAGGACTCATCAGCAACAACAAAGCAATGGCAACACAACATCATCAACATCATCATCATCATCATCAAACAACCGAGTTATAGTTGGGTTTGGATCAAATGGATCAATGACAAATGCACCATTGCCACCTCAATCAAAGTTGGACAAGGTTGTAGAGAAGATTGGCGCGGTCACTGATAAGCTACACGGCAATCACAATAATTCAACAAGACGACCAACATTGAATGATGTTGACTCACGACCATCCATTCCAGTGCGTGACGGCACACATCTAATGGGTTCATCACCATCATCATTATCAGACCATGATGATGTTCATAGTGCACCACAACAAGACATTATTGATGAGATCATTGGCAATCATACTTCAACTACATTATCTTCTACATCAATTGCAAGATTCATTCAATATTGGAATGAAGTTGGACAACAACAACAACAACAACAACAACTGGTGATACTCGATCAACTGGATGCCAAGACACAGAGCAAACATTGGCAGATCAAACAAAAGACATTACAACTGATAGAAACACTGATCAATGATGGACAACAACAAACTTGCACAATGTACTTTCAACAACATTCACAATCTCTCATCAACTTATCGACATCATTACACAAGTCCATCCGAGAGAAATCCAAACAAATCCTCAAGATACTTGGCATCGAGATGCCCATCGTCCTGCCCACGACCAGCAGCAATAACACCAGCGGCGACAGTAGTCCAATCATGGTACCTTCTCCGCCAATCGATCACAAGAACAACATGTTTGAATTTGACGAGCATCCATCTTCGTCAAGCCCTGGCCGTGGCATTGGCGTTGGCCTTGGGCTTGGCTCACATACCCCTCCTCCAACATCTCCTGGAATGTTTGGAGGACTTTCAGTCGTCAATGTAACCAAGACAACCTCACACAATCACACGTTATCCCCAACAACATCATCCACAACCACCACAAACACTACATCGTCCAGACATCGATCGTACAACAACAACAACAATAATATCCTGGATCTTGATCTTGATCCACTGTACATTGGCAATGGTACATCATCGCAGCGCACCATTAACAACAACAAACATAACATAGTTAACTATGACCTATTACTTGGCGAATCATTCGCCATTGGTGATTCCATTATACTTCCAAACAACAACACCATTTCGCCCAACCCGATCACAATTTGCGAGGACAACAACAACAAACAATCGACCAATCGTCATGTCATCGTTGGCACTGTTGACGACCCATTCAAGAACCTTACCACATACGCCGAGAATAAACTGAGTTGAGTCAAGCGAGACCTCACTTACGCACTCTTTTACACTGTTCAGTGTCATGATGGTCGCACAGAAGCAACATGGATTGTATTGGATTGTATTGGTTGATGACGTGCAGTGATCACACTTGATTGTTTAGTGGTTGTATGGTTTGTGATGTGCAAGGGCAGAATGGACAACAGAGGCTTTTTTTTGATTGGGTTGAGTCCAAAAAGAAAATCACACAAAAAAATAATAATACAAAATAAAATTGGAAAAACAATCAGAAGGAGAGGTCTTTGGTTTACAACATTGTTTTTAGAGAGGCATCACTAAACAAACAAAGGAGAAGGGGTGCATGACGTGTAGACTTATTAAATTATTACATCGTGATCAGAGATAAAGAGAGATAGAGCACACAACACATCTTTTTTTTAAAAGGTATCATCATCCAAATCCTTCATTCATTCATTTGCTCATCAACATCATTCAGCGTAAAGAGCAAAGAGCAAAGAACAACATTGTCTAGTTCCACTCATTTCACTCATTCACTGATTCTCTGAGGTAGGGCATTCATTCATTCATTCGCTCATTCATTGACTCTCATCACATCACCATCGCAAACACACTCGCTCAATCAATACGATCTTGATTCCAACCGTTACACGACCCACACACCTCATTCTTTCATTCATTCACATCCCCCACACACGACACACACGATACAACGGTTACTTCTAAACACTCTTGTTGTTGTTGTGTTTGCAAACACGCTGTCTATCATTCATTCACATCACATCACATCACATCAATCATTCATGCAATCACATAATATATACATATATATATCAATAATCTAACACCTTGTTTCCAATGCTTTCGCATTGCGCGCACTATCCACAGACAATCAGACAGACAATCAGACAGACAACAGCACAACAATTTTACAGGCATACAGATAGACACAGACACAGACACAAAGATACACAACAGATGATACAGACTGATTGTTGAGTAGAGTAGTCTCATTCATTCAATCATACATATAATATAATATATAAGCAATAGCTTAAAGCTACAGCTAGAGCGCCACAGTAGCAGCAACAGCAGCAACAGCAGCAACAGCAGAAACAGCTAGAGCTATAGCTATGAACTTTACAGCCCCACAAATGTCGGGAAAGATTGTGACGGCAACGATGGAGTCACATATCACAAACCTCGAGTCACTGCTGGCGAGGATGGAGGACATGATGCACGAAGCAGACTATAAGGACGTGACATTCACCAAGCTGCGCAAACGAAAGAATGACAAGGAGGAGAAGTTGTTTGTGGCCAAGATCAACAACTTGATGCGACACCTCATCGAGTTCAAGGCCGATCGCTCGCTCGTGCACATCTTTCATCTGCGCTTCATCCATTCGTGCACGCCCATCCGGCGCCAGCGCCTCGCCAAGATCATCGCTCAGCTGACAGAATATCTGCGGATCATCAACAAGGAGTCGCCATTGATTGTCAGCAACCCCAACAGCAGCAACAGCAGTTTGGGCGGCCAAACATCGTCAGGCCCCATCTACGAGATGTCTGGCTCGATCACGTCGACTGGCACCTCGAACAGCACCAACTCACCCAACTCTGTGCCATCCAGCGCGCAAGGCCACGACTCGTCAGTGATGGAGAACCTGACGCTGGCCGGCCTGTCCATGTCGTTGCACAGCAATGGCGCGTCGGCCAATCCCTCGCCCATGCACATGTCGCCCAATCTGGCCGCGTCGCCACCCTCAGCCGCCTACTTTGTCAAGGAGGCGCCAGAGGTCAAGATGGCGCGCGAGCTCTACGACTATCTCACATCGCATCGTACCGATCCCGACAACTCACTCATTGGCTGCGAGCTCAGCTCGTCGTTCATCGACGGCCTCTTTAAGTTCCGTTCACAGCACTCATACAACAAGCGATCGTTGGTCAGGATGATCAAGAGCTGGGGTGCGCTCAAAGACGAGTCGCTCATCAAGGAGGTGCGCAAGATGTCCGCCACACTCAATGGTTTGGACTTTAAGCGAGGCGAATTGGTAGTGGTCGACCTTGGCAATGATGGTATTGGCGGCGGTAGTGGCATAAACAACAGTAATAATGGCAGCGGCAATGGTGGAGCGGATGACGACGACTATGTCTTTGACATTGATGATGAGCCTGCTACCACAGTAGCACCAACTTCCAACAAGCCACACAACACAAGCAACATCAGCATTAACAGCAACAACAACAATAACAACAACAACAACAATCACAGCAACATATCAATCACAAACAAGAGTAACAGTAGTTTGAGTCACGCGCTAGACGAGTCCATCGAGCTGAGCAATCGACCAAATGTATATAAGTTTGCGAGATTCGACGACGAGCATCTGAGCCGCAGTTGCAAGATCTTCACGATACCAACCGAGGACGCCAAGACGTCCACGACCATCGTGAACAGCTCCAACGTCTACAAGCTCAGCCCCGAGATCGTTGAGCAGATCCGGTCGGAGAAGAACATCGTCAAGCTGATCGTCGACCCGTCCATCCCCTTCAATCTCAGCCTGGCGCAGCGCGAGAACGACCTCTTGTATCGCTACCTCGAGTCCAAGGGCGTTGAGATTAGCATCTTTGAGCGATGTCGCAGCAACCAGACGTCGTTCGCCGAGATGCCCGCCATCAAGAACTGTCGTCGCGTGATGGGCCAGCTCGAGAACAACCTCAGCCAGCTGCCCCTGCTGACGCAGGCCATCCAGTTTGCCAAGCAGGAGTCCAAACCATTCTTGGAGACCACGCGCAAGACCTGCTTCTACATCCCCCTGCTGATGCAGATGGAGGAGATGGCTAAGAACATCGAGGCCGACCGCGAAAAGAAGATCAGGACGCGCATTCAACAGCTGATGACCTATGTCGACCTCAACCTACAGAAGCTGATGGAGGAGAAGAAGGAGATCCTCGAGGGATCGGCCAACAACAAGCTGTCTCAATGGTGGATGGCTATAAGCAGGGAGGAGGTCGAGTCCTTCCTCCTGAAGCGTCAATTCGACTTCAACGCCGTTCCACAAGACTACATGGAGAAGCCGCCACAGAACATGGCAGCTGTCCGATTCAACCTTGATCTGCTACACGACATATTGACCCCTAATGTAAGTGTAGTCCGTCACTCCCCTGGGCTGTCCAGTCCAAGACCTGGATACTAACTACCATTCAATCACTCACAGGGAGGAGGACAAACAAAGTCTAGCGTGCAGTTCAGCAAGACGGTTGTGGAGAAGCTCGTCCGCGACGTGTATCCAAAGATAGAGCTGTTTGTTGTAAAATGTAAACTGGTAGTATTGGATTGTATTGGCGCTTTTGACGTGTCGCTGGCCGAGCTCGAGGCCAATGGCATGCTGGATATGGATCGCCTGCGTCAGCTGTATCTGATGCACAAGCAGAACCTCGAGCGCCAAAAGTGCTCGCATATCGATCGCATCTTCAAGGACATCGAGTACCTGTTGGACATGCGCCGCCTGGAGGACACGACCAGCCCGACCGAGAAGCGTCTGGACATCGTAACCATCAGCGGCATCACGTTTGGCAGGCTGCATCGCCTGGAGAACGAGATGAGGACTGTCGTCGAGCTGTGGAAGCACCTGGAGACATCTCCATCCAGCAGCAGCCCGCCTGTCCTGCATACCAAGAACTCATTCCTGAACTATATATCAAAGTCGACTCCGCAGCTGCCCACCATGATATCGGGCGGCAGCCACGCCTCGGAGCAGCAGTCGACGGCTCCCCAGAAACCGCTGCCGCCAACTCCCAAGAAGGGCTCCAAGGAGGACAAGCGATGGAATGAGCCACTCAAACCCATTGCCCGTCTGCCTCAGCTGCTCAATCAACAGAGAACCAAAACACAGCCCCTTCAGCACCTCAACCGCAGCGAGCTGTCGCACAGCAGTGGCAGCCTACCGACTGCCGCTTCGATATTCAACCTGCAGCGCGACATGAGCAACTCGTCGACCAAGAGCAGCTCCAGCGACTCTGCGTTCAGCGAGGACGCTCAAGAGCAGTTCCAGTCTGACATGTAATGTAATACCCCTTCTCTATCTATCTAGAGCTCTCTTTCGCATGCGCATTCGCTGCATGTGCGTGCCGCGCGTCTTGTGTATTTGTTATTTGTCTTTTCCAAGTTGAGGCTGGTCATCTGATCAGAGGCCAAAGACGTACTCTGATATCTTGGAGAATATTGATGGATTGGAGGAGGTGTTTGGTTGATTTGTCGAATACTCCATTGGGTCGTAGTTGCTTCTATGTGGAGCATATGCCTCCAACTCTTTGAATGGAACTTGAGCACTTGGTTCTGGAAGTGGTCCAGATTTCTGGAAGTCGTGTATGATCAAGTTAGCGCGATCATTAAATCAATAAACCGAACAATCAAACAACTGAGCACTTACAATGATGTCTTTGCAGGGAGTTATACCAATCATATAGTTGCCATGTATCAAACCATTCTTTGTGAGTAGGTCATTGGCTACGGATTCTGATTCGAGTCGGATGTGTATCCAGTGAGCGTTGGCATGTGGATATTTAAGTTCGACAATGTGTGCATGTGTCTCGATAACGTCCAGTATGACATCGCTACTGGCCAGTGGGAAGCCAAATACTGTCACCCATCGCTTATCATACTTGTCGCTGTAGAGATGTTGACTGTCTGCCGTGGGCGAGAAGTAGTTGGACGTGGTCTGAATGGATGATGACATCATTGGCGCTGTTGCTCCTGTGCCAGAGGCCACCATTGTAGAGTTGTTAAAGGCTGATAGTGACAGCTGCTGCTGTTGTTGTTGTAGCTGCTGTAGTTGCTGCTGTTGTTGTTGCTGCTGGGGTGGCGGCAGCGCCAGCTGGTGCAGCGAGTTGGGTTGGCCGGGCGTCTCAAAGAATGACATGGTGATGCTCTGCGAGGTGGTTGGTAGTTGGTTGTTGGCGCCGTGCACTGATGAGAGTGCCGATGGGCTCGGGTCGTCGTATATCGATGTCTTGGGGATGTAGTCTTTGTTGATGAGCATGTTCTGCTGTTGTTGCTGTTGCTGCTGCGAATAGTTGGACTGCGAGGGGTAGCCTGAGAAGCCAGACTGACGCATCGAGTTGTACCCACCACTCTTGACGTTGAACGGCGAATATGGTGTCGACGGGGAGTGCTGCATCTGCTGCTGAGTGTGTGGCGGCGAGGTCGTCAGAGAGGAGACGCCAGGGTTCTCCATGATGGGCTTTCGCTTGTCTGTGCTGGTCGACAGGTCCACGCGATCCTGTGCAAAGATCCTGCTCTGTATGTAATGTTTATCATTCTGTTGTTGTTGTGATTGAAGTAGTTGTTGTTGTTGCAGTTGCTGCTGTGGTTGTAGTTGTAGTTGTAGCTGTTGTGATTGTTGTTGTGGTTGTTGCTGTTGAGATGATAATGATTGAGTTCCCATGCCCATGCCACCACCGCCAAGAGAGTATTGACTTAGTGGTTGAGGACGTGATGTCATTGAGAACATGTTATTGCCGCCATTGGCAGTCGTACTTAAAGACGCCAGTGATCCATTGTTCGTTGTCGACGATGTAGCAGTAGAGCCAATACTACTATTAGCTCCACTATTGAACTGACCAAGAGATGTTGATCCCAATGATGATTGATTAGGGTTTGGAGCAAACATGTATTATATTTATATATATGTATAATTTGTTTGAGTGAATGAATGACATTCACATGAATGTTAACTTGAGTTCGTCTTCAAGTTGAAAACGCGCCACTTTCTTTCTTTTCTAATTCATGTGGTCATCTGGATTGACACTTGTCCAGGAATGATCATTCTTCATTAGAGTCTTCAAGAAAGTAGTCAGCATCAGGTTCAGCTCGCTGTTGTGCCTCCCTTGATCTGCTTGGTTAAGCTCTCTATAAACTCGTTACTCAACTGGCTGAGTTTGTCATATATCTTGTCAATATTCTCCTGGATCAAGTTGTGGATGTCAATTTGAGGTTCAGAGCTTGTAGCTCCTCTTCCTACTCGGCTGACTTCAATTATCTTGTTCTTCTTCTCCAGCAACGATGACATTGTGTTTGCAGTCTCTTAACACTGACCTTTTGCCTCTTCAATTCAATTTAATTGAGCCAGTGACGTCATACAGTAAAGATATTCGGCTTTTCGGGTTCAGTTTATTCTCACTTTGATCTAAAGACATGATCTAAAGACAATCAAAAGGTCTACTATTTGAAGACATTCAATTCATTATAATACTTACTTAATTCTACAACATGAAATCAACAAATATATTAACTATCTTATTCCTTACTGTTAGGTAATGTATATATATATATATATATATATATATATATCCAAGGATATCATCTCCAAGATAACGTAATACTAACTAACAGTACAACAAAAAGTGTTGCATTCGCCTGCACAACAGTAGAGCTCTGCTACCAGGAGAGCTCAAATCCATTGTATTGTTGTACAACTACAAATTCCAATCCAAACAAAGATGACGTCCTACTTGGCGATTGCACTGCAGTGACCTCTTCTGAAACTGTTTCTCTCCAAGTTGTCCTAATCACAAACAGCAACTATACTTCACCACAAGTGAAGAGCAATTTAGAAGTTAATTACAAAGACTCTGGTATCCAATATGATAGTAAGTCTTTCTTTGCTGCAACAAACGTAGTTGTTATCCAAATCACTCACTCCATCCATCCATCCATCCATCCATCCATCCATCAACAGTCGACATGTCCTTGCAGAGACAGAATTTAACAACTTGGGAGAGTACGACCATTGTTGCATATCAGAATGATGGAAGATTTACAAGATATACATACTATTCATCTGTTACTTGTCTGAATTAAAAGTATTTTGGAATCTTGATTGTTGGTGGAACCATTCTAGGTCCTTAAAACACATCATCCCCAAGTCAGTCATAGAGTTGGGTAGTCAACGCCCAGCTGGATGCGGACAATACTAGACTATTCCATTAAACGGTAGAACGTCATCACGGAATGAGTCGCAAACTTGGAGAATCTTGGCATGATCGTTGGTTATAGCTGCTTGTCTAATCTGATTCCTAAAGTTGATGGTTGAGTCTAATATAGGTTTGAGTGACTCTTCCACTTTGTTGGAATTCGTCCATCCGTGATGGTCACGGCCACCAGCGCTGTTGGCCACTCCAAACACTCTAAGTAAATACGTTATGTAGTTGGCAATATTTGTGTTGATTGATACACGAGCACTCTCTTGATTGTCGGTCAAATAGATATTTGTCCGCTTGATCAAATTATTCAATTCATGCATCACATCCACCGTGTTGAAGCTGTCCAAAAGGTATAGGTGTATGTCTTTCTTGGCGGCTAACAACTGTGCGTTCAGGTCCTTGTCAACTTGCCTCCATGATTGTGGTTTGCGGCTGGATGACGAGGATCTAGTCTGATCGGCATCAATTCTAAGTACAGACTTGATCAAGTGAAAGAACTCTGTGAATATCCTCTCAAACTCTATCACATTCTTCATTGTATCGGGTCCATAGTCCAAAGGTTTATCATATCTATGAAGCAAGAACAACATCCTCTACTGTCTGGCAGTGAACTTTTCAAGAGCAGACTTGATTGATTGATTGATTAATTGAGTGATTGGAATGTTTCCAGTGATTGATTAATAAAAGTTACTTACCTTGATGGTAATATAGTTCTTGATTTCCATATGCATTCTCTGTCCACTAAATGTTAGATGTCCAGTGTGGATAGAGTAGTTGGCCCATTGATTGCATTCATGATGAGCCTCGCATTGCGCTATCACATTGTTGTGATGAGGGAATGTGAAATCCTCGCAACCAGAGTGAATGTCAATGTTTGATCCGAGTATATCGCTTGCCATTGCCGAGCATTGTACGTGCCAACTAGGTTGGCCTGGGCCCCAAGGTGATGGCCACGCCAGTTCACAATCAGTCTTGGAATGATTCCACATGATAAAATCAGTGGAGGCCTCTGCGACCACTGATGACTTTGATGGATCAAGCTTGCCATATTCATGTCCATACTTCCCGGTCTTGAAACTGTTGACATCAAAGTACACTGAGCCATTCGACACATAAGCATATCCATTATCAATGATTCTTAGAATGAATGATATTTGATCATTAATAAATAGACCTATCATTCAAAAGAATAGAGGTCTGTGAAGAATGATTCCTCCCATTGACGTGAGAGCTCAATGTAAGTGTTGTTGATACCAAGTGGTTGTGGTGGTGGTGGCTGATGATGTAATCGTAGTCGATTGGCTTGAAGAAGTATTTGATGATCAATATCATTCATACTCATAATGTATTGAACATCGTATCCAAAGTAATCCATCATTATACGTCTTTGAATATCGAAGCAAACATAAGACCTGGCATGTCCCATGTGCGGTGGTGTCTTTATCGATGGTCCACAAACGAACCAAGTCACCAGCCTTCCACCACTTATTGGTATGAATGTAGTCTATAAATATACTTAATGGTCAGTGTATCATTGGAGTGATTGAGTTGATGGAACCAATCATACCTTGTTCAATGTTAATGAGTTATAGATCTTCAGATGATCAGAGTGATGTGGTATAAGGCCTTGGGGTTGGTTTCCTGAAAGTTCTTTGTTTCCAGTGATTGCTGTTGTTGTTGTTGGGTTCGACTCAGTAGTCTCCTGACCTTTTCCAACATCAATAATTCTTTTTATTTGATTGTTTGATTGTTTGAATGATTGATCGATGGATATGATTGAGACTAATGATATACAATATTGATTAGAATCCAGTCTAAAGTGGATAGAATCAATGAATATAATGACCAGTGATCAACTGAAATAGAAATCTATGGTCCACATTTAGACAAAAGTCGAAAGAGAATTCGAAAAAATGGATATTTTGAAGTTTTTGGCCCTTTCAATCATCATTCATGTTCATCAACACACAATTCATACTTACTTATTATTACAACTAACATTTAAACATACATATATATATATATAAGTAAGGAATGCTACAGTGGAGGAAGTTCCCATTCTTTGATAAAGAGTTGGTGAAGGATGAAGGCACACAGAGTCCAAACAGTGTCATTCAAGTATGTCATCATCAATCCAATCAATCAATGAATGGACATAGTAGTAGTAGTGATGGATCATCAATCTAACTTGTTCGAACAAACATTGTTGTTATTATAACATTATTAGAAACTATCGATATCATGTATAACATCAGGCAGAGGACGACTGATCATTGGTGACTCTGAAGGATTCATCAACTTCTTTGATCGCGAGTTCCATTTGAGCTCGTTTCACGCCTATCAAGAGACAGTCAGCTTTGCTCATCAATTAAAGGAACGTAACTTCCTTATAACCATTGGATTTGACGAGTCTGGCACATCACCATTGCTCAAGATCTGGAACCTCGACAAGCACGACAAGAATGAAGTGCCACTATGTGTTCGATCAATCAAGATTGATGTCCTACGTGATCAAAAGTACATGAATGTATGTACCTACGACTTGTCAATGTCATGTGACTCACTCACTCACACTCACTCACTCAATCACGATCATTCAATCAGATTACTACACTCACATGTTTGGAAGACTTATCACAGATTGTTGTTGGATTGGTGAATGGAGAGGTGTTGTCAATGCGAGGCGATGTGTTTAGAGATAAGGTGATCAAACAGAAGACTTTGAAGACACCTGGCGACTCACCAGTGATGGGAATGGGCTTTGTGACCAAGGGCACATCGTCCCCAGTGCTCTTTGTCCAGACACTGACACACGTCTACACGTATGTGCGCGATCACGAGGAGGTCATCGACAAGATCCGACCAGAGGAGGAGAGTGGCGACAACCTGTCGTTCACAATGAGTGACGACCAGGTGCCAATCGTGGCGCGTAAGAATGCCATCTACTTTTACAACGTAGATGGCCGTGGCCCGGCCTTTGGTTTCACGGGCATCAAGTCCAAGCTGCTGTGGTTCCGTTCGTACCTTGTGGTTGTTGAGGAGCCCGGCTCGCTGAGCGGCGTCGGCTTCCCCAACGCGCTGGGCTCGCCATCGCTCAACAGCTCGATTGGACAGAAGCAGACCACCGTCAACATCTACGACCTCAAGAACAAGTATCTGGGCTTCACCGACAAGTTTGAAGCTGTGTCGCATCTCACAAGCGAGTGGGGTTCGATCTTCATCTTCACCACGGATGGCAAGCTGTACCAGCTGGAGGAGAAGGACACGCAGACCAAGCTCGAGACCCTGTTCAAGAAGAACCTGTATCCCGTGGCTATCGACCTGGCCAAGTCGCAGCACTACGACAACAGCTCGATCGCCGACATTTACCGCAAGTACGGCGACCATCTATACACCAAGGGCGACTTTGACAACGCCATCTCGCAGTACCTGTGTACGATCGGCAAGCTCGAGCCGAGCTACGTGATCCGAAAGTTCCTGGACGCCCAGCGTATCCATAACCTCACCTCATACCTGCAGGCGCTGCACGAGAAGAACCTGGCCAACGAGGACCACACCACACTGCTGCTCAACTGTTACACCAAGCTCAAGGACGTCAAGAAGCTGGACCAGTTCATCAAGACCGACTCTGAGATGAACTTTGACGTGGAGACCGCCATCAAGGTGTGTCGACAGGCTGGCTACTATGAGCACGCGCTCTACCTCGCCCTGAAACATAAGCAGCACGACTGGTACCTCAAGATCCTGCTTGAGGATCTCAAGGACGATCAGAAGGCTCTTAACTACATCCAGACACTCTCATTCGAGGAGGCCGACAAGAACCTGAAGAAGTACGGCAAGATGTTGGTGAGCAATGTACCCGAGCCAACGACCAAACTGTTGATGAAGTTGTGTACAGACTATCAGCCAATGCCCGCTGCTGGCTCTTCTTTGTCGACATCCTCAGCATTCGGTTCTCACAACAGCAACAACAACAATGAATCAGTGTCGTCGCTGACTGGACGCATGGACGAGCTTAGATTCAACAACAAGTCTGCGCCAGAGGAGTTCATTCACATCTTTGTGTCGCAGCCCGACTGGCTGACCAAGTTCCTCGAGTACATCATCCAGCAAGGCAACGAGACACCCCTCATATACAACACTCTCCTTGAACTATACCTGCGTTCCAGTGCCGAGAAGGACAGCCATCTGCGTCTTGAGAAGGCATATGAGTTCCTCACAAGTCCAAAGGTATGTGCACTGGACAAGTCAATCAATCAACACGACCTAACTCAATCTCGTTCAACAACTACATAGTCCAAGTTTGATGAAGACCATGCACTCATCTTGGCACAGGTACATAATTGGAAGCAGGGTATATTGTATCTTTATGAGAAGCTAAAGTTGTACAATGAGATTATCGAGTATCACATGGAGAATGAAGACTTTGATGGATTGATCAGAGCGTGCAAGAGATACAGTGACAAGGATCCAAACCTCTGGGTACAGGTCCTGTCATACTTTGCCACCAACAACAAGGATTGTCAGACAGAGATTGGTGAAGTGTTGATGAGTAAGTACACAACAAATGGAATGTCGTGTTGATATTACTTATTAACTCAATCAATCAAACGTAGATATTGATAAGGATAACTTGATTCCACCATTGTTGGTCATTCAGATATTGGCACAGAACAAGGCTACAACATTGGGAGTCATCAAGGACTACATCTCGCGCAAGTTGTCACAAGAGACACAACTCATTGACAAGGATTACTCCCTGATCAAGCAGTTTAGAGACGAGACTGATAAGATGAGGAATGAAATCAATGAACTTAGAACAAAGTAAGTGATCCAACTGATTGAGCATCAACATGGATGAACGAATGAACTGACCATCCATCCAATCATTAGCGCCAAGATATTCCAACAATCTAAATGTATTGTTTGCCAGAGTCCTTTGGATCTGCCAGCGATTCACTTCCTCTGCCAACACTCATTCCATCAAAGATGTCTGGGTGAGAATGAGCGTGAATGTCCTGTCTGTGCACCAGGCAACAAACGACATTTGGAGATCAAGCGATCACAACAAGAGAGTGCAGGACAGCATGACCAATTCTTCAAACAATTGGAGAGTTCAGTCGATGGTTTCTCAACCGTCAGCGAGTACTTTGGCAGAGGTATCCTCTCTTGAGGAGATGATCGATCCATTCATACATCAACTTCATTCTTTCATTCATTCGTACAATCATTCTTCTTCATCCAACCATAAACAATTGCACCAGTTGCTTGTATACTTAGACACACTTAATGAATGGTACATGGTTGTTGGTCTTTTATTAATTGATTATTATTCACCTTAGGCTTCAGAGCTACCTTGGACAGAGATGCTTGTAGTCTCCTCTAGCTCAACTGGCTCGATGGCAGCTGAGTGTGACGCCTTGGACATCTCGAAACTTGTGGCAGTGGTACTACTCTTTCCAACCTTTTGGAGTGATGGTGATAGGATGAGGATCATTGTCACGATCCAGCTGAACTCAACAAGACGACCGAATACGTTGAATCCTATCACTAGACTCAATGGCCATACTCTTGGTGCGAGGTACATCCAGAGTATGATTGCAATTGTACAGAAACTGATACCAATTGCTACAATAGATATCCTTGTAACTCTACTAAACTTGGCATGAGTATCCTCATTGAACACTCCACTATTCCTACTCGAAATAAACTTGTATTCATTCCAAATCATCTTTCCAAGGATGGCAAATGCAATACTATAATTAATTGTTTGATTGATTAGTATACTGACTTGGACTATATAATCAAGGTTGATTAACATACCCAGCGAGGAATATATAGATTCCAATTGTAATATTTGTGTACATTGATCCAAGTTTGAGAAGTAGGAATAATATGGCTATTACAAAGAGTAGTACTTGGGATCCAATTACAATCCATCCAAGAACAGGGAATACCTTTTCAACAACTTTGGAGAAGTTGACAGCATAAATAATCTTTATCCAAACATACAAAGTGTTCAAGAATGAACAAATTAAGAAGAATGCTGGAAGTGCATGTAGGAATCCCATCACAGGATTTACAAGTCTGGCAAATAATAAACCTGATCTAATTATACGAACTATTAATGAACGAGTGTAAGTAATGAGTGAGGTTAGGCTTGGAGGAAGAATGAGGACTTATACATACCAAGACAGGCCAAGATTATAAAAGTATATGAGGTAACATGCCAGCTATGCCATGTATCAGCTTTAAAGAATTGGAGATATAGTCTATATATACATATTATTATAGGGATACCAAACATTGGTATAAAGATACCTGCTATTGAGAAACAGGCCGCTTCATTACATCCACTATAAAGGAAATTAGGATCACAATAACATTTGGCATTATCTTCCATTGTTATAAATAAATATTATTAAAATTAGTATTATTATTATTACTTTAGATATATATATTGATTGATTGGTTGGATAATAAATATTGTGGTCCTCAGGTACTTGAGGAGGCTCTTTTATCCCTGTTGCTACTACTATAACAATGACAATGCGAATTGGGATTGGGCCTGGATTAATTGATTGGTTGTTAATGTGGATGTGAGAAACCGGTGATCAATAATAGAACATCACAGATAGTGATCTCATGGTTTGATGAGCTTCATCCAGTCTGTTGTTGATGTTATTGTTGTTGTTATCAATCAAAAATGTGCTACCACACTAGCCCTATCAATCAAATTAACACCTATCATCTGATTGTGATTGAATGCCAGATCAGAAAGTACCCCATCTATCGTTTTAAACTGGCCCATGGGCAAAGGTGTTCAATTAAAAGATGTAAATCTAAGTTGATGATGTACAAGTACAAAGAATACCAGCCATCATTAAACTCAAATAGATAAGTGTGTTATTGTCATTATTTATTCAATTCAATTAATTGTTATTGGTATTATTTGATTGGTGATTACTAGTTAGTGTGAGTGACTGTATTTGAGTGAATGTGATGTGATTGCCAGGATGATGGCGGGTATCTTTGTTTCCATGGGCCAGTCTAGACTTATCTACTAGAAGCTCCAACCGGAGGAATGGACTGTTTGCTTGGCACTGGGTACACTGTGTTGTAGATGGTCTAGAGACGGATATATCGTTCTTTAATGGCCTTGCTCTGATCAATGGAGGCATCATGATCGACATCAACAACATCAAAAGTACTCACTGATGGATTCGTCCGACAAAGGAATGGCAACCAACCAAAACAAAGAAGTCATTGGAAAAGAGTGCGGCGACCTCAGATATGAAGGTTATTGTTAGATGCGACAGTTAAGAACATGGCCAAGGTAGTTGGAGATTTTACAATATAGGCTTTATTCGCATCATTATGGAAATAAAGACAACAACGACAAACAAACTAACCAGCCTCGGTTAGAGCTTCTTGACTATCAATCTTGACAGTCCAACACGGAGAACGACGAATATTGTCATCTGAGCAGATGGGTACTTGTATCTGAGATGTTTTCCATATTCCTCTGCCTGTTGTATCGCATTCTGCAAGAGTTGGCCAACATTGCATCCATTGTCAGTGTACTTGAGTGGTTTCTTCAGCACATCTTCGTCAGACTGCTTCTCGATAGACTTTGATATTGCATACTGATCCTCCCAACTTTTCTTTGCACCCTTCAACTGGTTGATCTTGATGTTCTTGAACTCGATACAATGGATCCTCTCTTTCTCTGAATGCATGTCAGTATCAACAACAACATCTGTAAACTTACCATCGTGGGTCCTTGAAATGAAGTAGTCGATGGCTCTGCCTGGATCGGTCTCACTCTTCATCTTCTCAACCTTGAACTCTGGGTGAACTCCATTCAGGTTGGAGAATGAAAGAGCAAATGCCGTGTTGAAGCACTCAGACAAACTGCTCTCATCGTGATGGATGACTTGGTTTCCCGACAATTGACTGAGGTATCGACTTTGAATGAGGTCGCAAAGTGACTGGATATCGTCTCTGGTGATAAAGTCGGTGATTGCTGTTCTGAGGTTGATGATATCATATGGCTTCCAGTCGATGATGTTCTTGACCTCTTGGAGGTATTCCTTCTTGGCAGACAGATTGGGGATGCACAGATGGGCTCCCTCTGGAAGGTGTGTCATAGCACCTGTGTAGTACATGAGGGAGACCAACGGCTTTCGGTCTTGACCCATGTGTTGAATCTGTGAGAGAGTGAACCTCCCCATTGGTCCTCCATCACATTTGATATTGTTAGAGATGAGAGCCTCGTTGACTACCTCGCGACCAAGGGGATGGTTGGTGACCAAGTCGAGAGTGGACTGAGCTGGCATGGTGTTGGGATCTGGTAAATCCGAAAGGAGTCCAATTGGATCCTGGTCGAACATCATACAGGAGTATTAGAAGGGATGTTAACATAAATATAACATGGACATACCTTCAAAGCTTTGGATTGATACATCTGAAGGCGTCGCAGTGAGTAGGAAACTTTCGCTGGGTTGTAGAGGCCATCCTGTTGATCCTTGCTGAATCGGTACCCATTGTTTTCGGCTCTCAAATGTTTGAGTATTGACCCCTTGGTTGTTTCTGGAAGTGGAGGAGAGATAAGTCCTAGTCCCTTCTTGATAGTTGTGTCTGTGAAGCCATAGAGACCGGAGAACTTTGATTCGAGAGTGAGATCTGTGGCATTGTTGTGGAATCCAGATGTGAACTCTCACATGGCAAGGGGAGTAACACCAGTGACGAATGTTCGAGTGTTGGATTGGTCACTTGCTGTCTTGAGACGACTGAAGAATTGCTTGAATCTGCTCTCAATCTTGAGTGTAGGGTTCTGTGCTGATATTGACTCTACAGGACTCGGGTTGTTGCGAATCGCATCGTTGAGACTGACATCATATTCGTCGATGAGAACGTAGAAACGATGACCGTTTTCCTCAATTTTGTTTAGGAGCCTATCAAAGCTTGTGAGGGAGTTGTCTGAGACGTTGACCCCTGGGATGAGCGCCTTGTAGCGTGAGAAGAACTTCTCAATAGAGGTATTGATCTTGTCATTGAAGTCTGATTGGAACGTCTAGATTGAAGTATGTTAGAGAATGAAGAACAGTGTTGATATATCTATGATCTTACCTCAAATGATGATGTGTCTAAGCCAGAGAAATCCAACCTAAGCACCATGAATGAGTTCCTCAACTCTGTAGGGTTCTTTCCAATTTCCAGCTGGCCAAACAACTTGTCGAACTTTTCCTTGTTGTTGATGTCATAGTATTGGTGCAACATGTCGAGGAACAGGGTCTTGCCGAATCGACGAGGACGAAGAGAGAGAATAGCCTTCGAACCCAAAGACTCTATCTCTCGGATATAGTTGCTGTTGTCCACATAGAATGAACCTGGAGTGTCCTCTTGAAGTTGCCGTCACCATAAAGGAACTGGGGAACTAAAAGGTCATCTTGTTGGTATTGAATAGCAATAAATGTGAATAGAGCTATTACATACTCTCGTCGCTGCGAGCAGTTGTGTATGCTCGAAGGTGAAGGTGATATGATTGGTGTTTGGAGAGTATGTTTGAACAATGATGATTGTCGGTGAAGTTGTTTGCAATGGAGGGATATTGTTGTCTCAAGCTGCGGCTCACAGGTGTGGTAAGAGACCTGTAGACTTTAGACAGCATAGTGAATATGTGAGTATGTGTGTATGTGTATGTTATGAGAGTAACTGATCTACAACAATTACTGGTTTGGTTGAATGGTATTTATTAATATTCATAGTTTGTGGATTGATTGATATTTGTTGGTATAATATTATAATTACTCTTTCCAATATCCCTTATTTCTACTTCTTTATAAGTATCAGTACTTCTATATATATAGTTTAAACCACTACTCTCTTTAAATAATATATCTTTATATATCTTATAATATTGTTACTACTATTACTTGATAGATAGAGATAATAAGAATGAATGAATCAATGAACAAAGATGAATTGATTGTTGAATGTACCAAGAAGCAAACAATGCTGAGGATCAACAAGACTCAGATGTTTCACAAACACTCACTACTTTCCAAAGAATGCAAGATGTTGGAGGAAGGTGGTCGATTTATTGATGATCGAGATAGAGATAGAGATAGAGATAAATATAGAGTAGTACACTTACAACACTTATGTACTTGAGTTGGATAGGCCAAGATGGTACAACTTGTTGGCAGTACCTCTGAAGATGTTGGACGCAAACTGCTTTGCCTCATCAAGTGTGATCTCCTCATTGTTGATGCACTCGGTGAGTAGCTTGTAAAGACAGTGTCGCGCCCATTTGGAACCAAGGTAGAAGATCTCTGGTATCTGTGAGGCATCAGAGCTGTAGAGTATCTTCTCCATGGGACACACCTCTAACAGCGCGGAGAGTGTGTCCATCATTCCACGCTGGCTAAGCATCGGTATCGCCAACCCAATGTCAATGTAGCAGTTGGGATAGACCCAGCACATGTAGGCACCCTGGCGCGTGTAGGGATAGGAGCAGTGCAGCAACACGATGGGCACAGTGGGGAACTCGACAAAGAGTGGTTTGAGTAGGACAGGGTTGGCTTTCTCCAGGTCTAAGTCATTGTCGCCATAACCAGTGTGTATCTGGATGGGCAGTGGCGGGTTCATTGTGGCGCTGATTCGCAGGGCCATGCGCAGGAAGAAGACGATCAGGATCTTGGATGACACGCGGTAACTTGTAGGCACACCGGCCAACGCAGGATCCGTGTTGAGTAGTCTCGCGTACTCTGCCATGACATCATCCTCAGTCGTTTGGGGGTCGATCCCAAGGCCACATCGATAGGCAAGTATACTCTTGAAGCCTACTATCTCGACATGGTTGTCACCGTCGCCACACGATTCCTCGCGTCGTCTGTTTGTGATCCTTAGCATTCGATGTAAATGTTTGATCCAGATCTGATATGTCCACTGCTCACGCTTTGCCTGAACCAATGATCGCTCCAAGATTGACTCAAGACGCAGTACTCGATAGACCTTGTGCGCTGACATATATTGAGCGTGCCATTGTGATGGCATATTTGGCACTGGCACTCCATTATGTAAGAGTGACAACATATCATCTATGATCAATGCATCTAACTTTGCTTCATCAAAGCATCGTTGACTAATACGATCCAATCCCAAGTCCACACGTCTTTTCTCCAACTCTGTCTCTGATCCACACTCATATAGTTTGGTCAACTCTTTAACAGTCCTCCTGTATAACAATGTACTCTGATTGAGTGATTGAAGAGTCAGTTCAGCGAACACATCATAATCAATCAATCAATCAATCATTCAATCATACAGAGGACTGCTCTTTAAAGTACTTGTCATTGTCTGAACAGACTGATGCTTGGGTGAATGCTTGGACTAGAGGTATATCGAAGCAATGTGGTGCACTAAGTATGTTATGACAATGTTGATCAATGGCCCTAATACCATCAATATGTATCTTTAATGTATCTTCCATCTTAGATATATAATTTTGATTGATTGAATGATTGATGTTCACACCACACTCACTTGATCAATCATATTCATCAGATTTATGGTTTCCAGCCTGGCTGGAAATCCAATCTTCAAACACACTCGCACACTCGATTGGACATTTTGTGTCACCATCGATCGTCTGATATACTTGGCTTAAATGTCGAAGTAGATGTTGTCTTTCCTCCTGTGGTTGTCCATGATTCGTTATTGCAGTCACGTACATGGTGTCCAAACTGTCTACAATTATGACAAGGATGCATCCTGCTGTTGTTAGTTGTCTCATGTCCACCATAATGTTGTTCTCCATTTCGGTGTTGTCCTTGATGTTTTTTCTTATGTTTGTTGTTGTTGTTGTTGTTGTTGTAGTTGTTGCCACCGCCAAACAGTGACTTTGAGTTTGGAGTGGTTGATGATGAGGAAGTAGCAGAAGTTGAGGATGTTGAGGTAGTTGATGTACTGGTGGAGCACACTTGGCCAATCTCTTGTTTGAGGCGATCAAACTCTGTAATGATATATTCATCGATCAATCCACTGAATTGTGATTGAGAGAACAACATTTGGAGTGTATGTTGTTGTTGCTGGGTTGTGGTGTCCAGATCTTGATGTTGTTGTGACTTGTTCCAAGCCTGTTCAGCAACATCCCAAAGCATGTGCAACGTGATAATGTCCATCACTTGATGTGGTGCCTTGATTGGAAACTGGCCAATGATGTTCAACAACTCTATTGCTGGGTAGGCCAATGAGTAGAGATAAGAGATCAGCTCAGTCAACTGCATGGGCTGGTATCTAATATTCTCCATTGAGTCGAAGTTGTTACGACCACAGCCAATCAACAAGTAGCTAAACAACCATGTGTCCACCATCCAATTCTTAATGTCCATCACAAGTGACTTCTCATTGAAGAACTGACAGAATCTATGTGATTGATTGATTGAGTGAGTGAGTCAAGGTATGAAGTATCCTCACATACAGTATGAGCATCAAGTCGTCGAATGATCGTTTGGTCTTGAAGCCAGGGAGGTATCCGGCACTGTACTCGAGGGCTTTGGCCTCTGTCGTCCCGAACATTAGACAGAACTCTTTGACTCGGTCGCTCATGTCCACCGTACCATCCCAACATTGATCAACTCCAAAGCTTGTAAGGATTGGCTCGAAGCCCTCTCCATGACAGCTATCATTATATCCCTTTGGTTTGGCAGTTGGTACAACCTCAAAGTCTAGTGTATAGTTGGTTAGTAGTGATTGCAATCTCAACATGTCGACGAACTATACTTACACCTCTTGCCTGTCACTGTTGAGGACTTGTCGACCAGTCCAAACATCCTGTGACGGATGCTAGCTGTGTGGTGGGTGATGGTGAGTCCGCCAGGAGTAGCCGGCGCAATACTGTTGACTGATAACTGACTTGTCTTTGATATCAACGGAGTCAGGTAGATGTAGTTCACCAGACTACATCCACCTCCATCACCATTGCCAAAGAAGCGTGTAAAGTATGGCTTCAGCTTGAGGAAGTCAGCTTTGGAGAGTATGTTGTTGTTGTTGTTGTTGTTGGATGGTAACTTGACAATGGGGCTTGGGTCGCGGTAGAACCTGATGGACTCGTCACACATCTTTAGGTCATCCAAAAAATCTTCATACTCTTTGTCTGACAACCTTAGTCCTCTAAGATAGTGTTCAATATAGACCTTTCGATCTGGGTCTCTGGTCTTGATTGAGCGACATCTAGTGAGAATACGATCTTTATCACGCTCGGCATTATTATACTTGGTTTGTAATTGCTTCGTGTGGTCATTGCCAATGAGCGTGGCTACAATGGGCAGTATCTAAAGTTTTGTTATTACAACAATGTCAGATGACTGCCAATCCCTTGACTGCTTGCCAATCATACTACTGTACATACCATCTCATTCACCCGGAGTGCTTGAGCCACATTACTGACGAGGTATCCACCGGCTTGGATTCCAGGACCATCCATTTTCCATTCAGACATTGGAAAGTACATGATATTACCGAGGAATTCAAAGAAGAAGTAATCAGTATCTGAGGACAGGATACCATAGGCTTTGTTGTCCAGGGACCATTGGACAATGTCTTGGTCGGCCTCCTCGACCGTTGTCCTGCACTCAATGCCCATCCTCTCCATTGCGCTCTTGAACTGGATCTAAGAATGTATGAATGGGCGGCTGTCAGGTCCTAGTCAAGACCATTGCTTGTGCCTTGCAGTACTTACAATCATTAGAGCTGGGACACGATCCCATTTAGAAACATGCTGATGATCATGTACTTTGAGTGTGCGTGCAGACTCTCTGGTCTTTCTGAGCTTGTCTTTGAATCGGCTGATTATCTCCTTGTACTTGTACTCTGGAGTGATACCATCAAAGAATACAATCGGACGGATATTGTGTGACTTGAGCTTGGCAAAGAACTTCTCAATGTCCCTATTGAACTGATTGATTGATGGATTGATGGTGTGATTGGATGGGATGATGAGTTGTGGCCCCTCTCATTAGAGTGGATGGATGGATGAATCATACATGTTTGTAGGATCCACAGTATGATAATGGATTGGACTCGGTGATGTGGTAGTATAGTCCATTGCCATCAATCACAAGTATCAAAGGAGCTTGGTTGTACAAAGGTAATGGTAGGGTAATGGTAGGGTAATGGTAGGGTAAGGGTAGGGTTAGGTTATGGAGTAAGGAGGATGGTGAGAGAGAGAGAGAGTATACATTGGTTATTGGGATCAACAGTGAATGTTACATTTAGCCGAGCACGATCATAAATATTATGAGTCTTCATGTATTTATGACATCCATCTACTCCCATATTGTTATAATATATATTTGATTAGTTGGTTTATTTGTTGAATGAATGAAAGCATGAATAGTTGAGAAGAAGAGTGTTCCTCAACAACAAAGATTGATTGTGAACCCACTCACCAATCAATCATTGTGAGTTTTCCATTCGAATTTCCACTCTTCTCTTTGTTGGTGATGATCAAATTGATATCTAGATTTGCGAACATGTGTGGGGTGAAGGCAAACAATACTCTAACTTTGGTTTGCTGATCAATCAAACTACCATTTAATCACAGATAATAGAGATAATGTGATTGTGATGTTATTATTTGAATGAATAGGAAGGTTGTGTGGTGTGAACAACAATAATAAATAAACTAGTCCGATGGTGATGTCAGAATGTGGATAGAAGTAAACATTTTATTTATTTATATTTATATTAGTTTAGTTTAGGAGGGAACCAAAAAAACACAAACTTTTTGATTGGCCACCATTACACAATTACTTGGGGCGATGCTTTGGCAAGGTCATCAAAAAACTGTGTGGTTTGAATAGATGATCATCGGCTTGTGCACTGCATCCACACACCAAAGCGATCAGAAGGAATGCCATCATCATTCCCACCCACTCATTCAGTCACACACACAAAAGTCATCGGTATTGTTTGATTGTGGGTCGTCAGCCCACCTCTTCTTCTTTCTATCATCATTATTTGACAGATACCAACTTAACATCAAACAATCAACTATTTATGTATACACAACCACAACACACATATTAACTTATAACTTATCAATCAATCAATCAATCAATCACAAAGACAACGAACAATCTTAACATACTACCTACTCTCACACACACTTGCTTGTGAAGTCATTGTTTGGACTTGATTGATCATCTATATAGATATAATATAATATTTATTTAACTTAGTCATTCATCAAGTAAAGGAGGATGGATGACGATGTAACACAACAACAGAAGAAGGAGAGGAAGGAGAAGGAGAAGAGAGAGAAGAAAGAGAAGAAGGAGAAGGAGAAGAAAGATAAGAAGGATGAGAAACAAGAGAAGAAGGATAATAAGGTGTCTTCAAGTGGTGGCAGCAGTGGCGGCGGTGGTCTATTCAGCAAGGTAGTCAACACAATAGCAAAGACAGGCAGTGGCAGCAGTAGTGGTAGTAGTAGTGGCAGTGGTAGCAACAACAGCCCATCCACCTCATCACCTGTGATAGTCTCAGCAGTGACCGATCTCAGTAATATACCATCGACAATGCCTTTGACCCAACAGCAACTGCAGCAACAGCAACAACAACAACAACAACAGCAACAGACAACTTTGAAGTCATCAACGAATGATCAACCAAACATCACGTTATCAGCAGCTTCCTCACCCATCATTGCCGGCGGCGGCAATGTCAATGGCAATGGCAATGGTAGCGCGACCACTCAATCAACTTCCTCAGGCACCAACACTGTGGTGGACAGATCAACCTTCCATTCAAAGGTGTTGGACAGACATAGCAGCGGGAGTTCGACAGGTGGCGTGCCGCCAAACGTGTCGCCAACAATGACGAAGCGTGTCGATGCAACGGACGATCAACGCAAGATCATCCAGGAGATGACCAAGTTCACGTTGGACTTTAGCAACAGTATCAGACTGTTGATCGAGGTCTACTACCAACCGCTCAAGAAGAACGACCAGCTGCTCTCACAGGATGAAGTGCGCAAAGTGTTCTCATCGATCGAGTCCATCTCTGGCTTCAACGCACTCATCCTGGAGGACCTCCAGAAGTGTTTGACCAACTGGACCGCGCAAGGATCACACTCATCACTCTTGCACATCTTTACTCAATTCGTAAGTTGCTGCCCGCTCATCCATGGGTCGACGTCAGGATCACTAACCAATCAATCGAATACTAGACTGGGTACCTCAAACTATATAAGCTCTATGCTCTCATGTACAACTATTGCCTAATGTCACTATGTTCATTGTCCTTCAACAATACAAGGTTCGAACAATTCCTCAAGACTAGTGAGCAGAAGCTTCAGACTGATCATGGTTACATGCTGCCATCTATTGTACATATTAATCCGAGTAAGTGACCTACATCCGTCCATCCGTTCACGTGGCATCCATCTGGCATCATTACTCACACCATGCCTACCAATCTTAGATTCAAGTATCACCAAGCCAGTATTATTCTCTGATATATTTGGTCAGCAGCCGAATGATCAATCATCGACGTCGTCTGGCAGCACTACCACCACTGGCATTGGCAGTGGAATATCACCAATGATATCATCATTTTCATCACAATCATCTACCTCTGGAGGCAACACTGCTCATCTCACCATTCGCAAGCAGGCATCACATCACTCTGTCAACAAGGGAAAGTTCACGACAGAGTACACGTACGCCAGTTTGGCCTCGCTGTTGGTGCTCCCGATACACTACCTGGCACGCTTCACCTATAACTTCCGCATGCTTCTCGAGACTGTGCCCAAGCAGTCGCAGGACTACAAGGCATACGTCAAGCTCTCTGAACAGATTGGCGTTGTGATCAAAGAGATTGTAAACGATTCCACCAACATTGGCAAGGTCATCTCCATCTCCAACTCACTGTCCTCCACGACCATCGGACTGTTCAACGTAAGTAGTTAGAATTTTGGCATTGATATCCAGTCACGTGATCAGATATCCAGGTCACGTGACCGATCAGATGATCAGATTTACTGATAACGAACAATGTCTCGCCACTTACAGAGTTCAGAGATAGTTCAGAGTAGAAGGTTGTTGAGGGAGGGCACATTGGTGGAGAGCTATAACAATCAAAAGACTCCATACTACATCTTCTTGTTCAATGATACAATGCTGTTCACCGAGAAAATGGACGATGCTGCTCAATCCAAATCAACATCCCTGCTGCCTTATGAAGGCTCTCTCTACATGCTCAAGAAACTCGAACGTGTTGCCAACCTCCAAGTACAAGATCCAGAGTTGGGCTTTGGTACGTACACTCACTTACGCATGCTCATCAATCAATCACTTACACAACATTCATTCAATCAAACCAATCAGAGTTTAGGAAAGGATTCCAGATAAAGACAAAGGACAACTCATTCTTTTATATGGCCGCGACTTTGAAGGAGAAGGGAGAGTGGATACAGGATATAACACATGCAGCATTGAAGGCACCTTCAAACTCAACGTCACAATCTGGAGCACAACGTGTCCAATCCTCAATGTTCAATATGCCCGCTTCGGCAGCCAGCAACAACAACAATAACAATGCCGGTGGCAGCATCACTATTGGTGGAAGTCTGTCCAGTGCCCAGCAGGACGAGAATGATGAGGTGGAGGACCCACGCGATATCCAAAGCCTCACCAAGTCTATTCTGTCTGGCCATCGCTCCAAGCTAGAGTTGAACAGTGCACTGATCAAGACTGGCGACCCCAAGATGGTGTTCTCACTGCTGTCAACGACGATCTACATCACGCAGCTCAGCTTTGCGCCCAACACACTCACGGACAAGTTGGTCACTCTTCTACAGGGCTTCCTCAACGTCAACCGCTCGCTCGCCCATCTGACCCTATCGCAGAACGCCCTCACCCCGTCGTGGACGGCATCACTGGGCGACGCGCTACGCGTCAACCAGTCCCTTGTTCAGCTCGAGTTGGATGAGTGTCAGATCTGCGATCGATGTCTTGGCAACCTGGTCGACGGAATGCTGGCCCACCCATCGCTCTCCATCGTCAGCCTCAAGATGAACACATTCACAGATGTTGGCGCACGCCATCTCATCCGTCTGCTCCTCTACCAGCAGACGATCCACGCCATCTACCTAGAGGACAACACACTGGCACATGCCACAGTCACTGAGTTGCTGGACGTTTGGATGACCAACTACGCTTCAGCCCTGGCCTTCCTCGTGTTTAGCGCCAACCCGCCCGATTATGCCGAGCGCTTCAAGAACAAGATCATCCACATCAATAGCCGCCAGGACACGCGCAAGAAGAAGGACGCGATCCAGAAGCCCGCGCCCAAGACTCAGTCGCGCACCATGCTCGACCTCTCTCATCTGACGATTGGCGACCTCTCTGTGAGCTATCTCAACAAGATCAACATGATGCAGCTGGACAACCGTCGCCTGGGCGACTTGACCGAGCTTTATCTGGACAACAACTCGATTAGCGCGGTGCCCGCCGCCGTCTTTAAAGAGCTGGGCCACCTCCAAGTTCTGGACCTCTCATTCAATCAGATCTCAGTGATACCGCACGAGATTAGCGAGATGAAGGAGCTGCGTAGACTCAACCTGGCGCACAACAACCTGACGGCACTGCCGTCCACAATCAACCAGCTGCGCCGTCTCGAGTACCTGGACATCTCGTTCAATGTGATCGAGACGATCGCCGAAGATACACTCGACCAGCTGCTAGCACTGCGCACTCTGATGATGCAACGCAATTACTTCACGCAGCTGCCCACGCAGCTGTTCACCAACCTGCGCAACCTGCAGGCCTTCTCAATCAAGGGCGCACCATGCTTCCACCCAGTCAAGCAGCGCGTGCTCGAGGCGTGGGCTCTGCGCGTCACCAAGCTCGACCTGTCCGAGTCCAACATCAGCAGTCTGCCCATGGAGATTGGCAACATTGTCTCGCTGACCGAGCTCAATCTGAGCCAGAACAGGATACGCACTCTGCCGCCACAGATTGGCCGTCTGACCAACTTGACCGTTCTGGACATCTCCAACAATCAGATCAGCGAGATCTCTGAGCTGCCGTGGCAAATGTCCAAGCTCGAGAGTATCAAGTCCATCTCGATAGGTGGCAACTCAGACACCAAGCTCAACTTGCCGGACGTGCTGGTGGGCGACGAGCTCAACGCATTCATGTCGTACCTGAGAATGCCTGTTCTTGAGCGACCATGCATGAGAATGAAGCTGATGCTAGTGGGACAAGAGAACGTTGGCAAGACATCGATCGCCAAGTGTCTCAAGAAGGAAGTGGTGCCCGTCTCAAAGAAGCTGCGCCAGACCATAGGCCTCAGCTCAAAGAAGAAGCCCACACCCACCGACCGTGAGCGTGAGGCTGACGCGATGATGTTGTTGCCAACGACAAACAACATCAACCCACTCAACACATCGATGAACCTGTCGACAGATGGCATTGACATGGACGACTGGCGCCCGCTAGTACAAGAGGACTCTCAGACGCCCGTCACTTTCAGTCTGTGGGACTTTGCCGGCCAGGAGGTATACTACTCCACGCATCAGTTCTTCATCTCTTCGCGTTCTCTGTTCATCGTGGTCTTCAACATGGCCACTTTCCTCGTGTCTGACGAGTCACGTGTTCCCTACTGGCTGCAAGGCATTGAGGCATGGAGTGGCGACGCTCAGGTCATCCTGGTAGGCACGCATCTCGACGAGCTGGCCTCAGGTCAGGAAGAGCGCATCGTCAACGAGATTGAGTCTCGCTTCTTCACGACATTCCCCTCGATCAAGGCCTTCCTGCCCGTGAGTTGCAAGTCGGGCAAGAACATCAACAAGCTGCAGAACCTCATCGTCAAGCATGGTCGCGCCGAGAAGAAGCTGGGCGTGTCATACCCTCGCTCTTTCTATCAACTCGAGTCACTGGTCCTCAGTGAGCGCGAGATGAACAACCCACCAATCGTTGCCATGGAGTCATTCACGGCGATGGCCGAGTCATGCGGTGTTCCGACCGCACAGATCCCCGCTGCACTCCACTTCTTGAAGGAGCTTGGTATCATTGTATTCTTTGACGACATCAAGTCGGGCCTGGACATGTTTGTCTTTATCGATCCGCCCTGGCTCACCAAGCTGATGGCCACACTGCTAACAAGCAAGCCCAACTTTGTACAATCTGGCGTGCTTGATCAGTCCAACCTACATCAGATCTGGAAGCCACCCGATTTCCCTCATCACCTCCAACACGTACTACTGGCCATCCTGCAGCGCTTTGAGATCATCCACCCGCTGCCCGATCCCAAGGCCGTCAACACCACTCCCATCCCCAAGACTCAGCTTGGCACCAACTTTTCCAAGCTACGCTCAGCTTTCCAACCTGGCCAGTCCGCACCAGCTTTATCGCCTGGTGTGGCGTCACAACAGCAACAGGCAGCGGCGGCTGGAGCACAGACTCCAGGCACGACAGGCGCAATGTCATCTTCAATCTCAAAGTTGGGCATCAAGTTTGGTACACTCACCAAGTCATCGGCATCAACAATGAACTTTAATCATACATCAGGAGGCAAGGCTACTGGCAACAACAACGATCAGGGACCAGCGGTTGCCACATCGGCCGCCTCACAGTCACTCGTGCCCAGACTGAACACCAAGTACTTGGTGCCCGTGCTGCTGAGCGCTGAACGACCAGGCACTCTGGAGCACACACTGGAGGAGCTCAGGAAGGACTCACCATCGGTACTGGAGCGCATCTATCAGTTTGAGTTCTTCCCCGTGGGCATGTTCTCAAAGTTTATGATACGTGTGATGCACTTTACCACTGTGAAGGAGTACTGGAAGCATGGCCTGCTGGTGGAGCGTGATCAATCATACGCACTCACTGAGGCTGGCAACAACCAGGTGGTCATCTACGTGTGGGGCAAGAACCCCGTCACACTACTGCGATTCATCGTCGAGACTGCTGAAGTGCTGCTCGGCGGATGGTACAAGCTTCGATTCCAGTTCCTGGTGCCGTGCAACTGCGCCACCTGCAAGTCTTTGGCACAATCTGGCGTCAACAACAAGGGCGACAAGCGATACAGTAGCAGTGCGGAGCTGTCATCAAGTCAGGACAGCCCCATGACATGGCATAACAGTGGCCTACCAATGAGCCCCGCAGCACTCTCACTGCCAGGCACACCATCATACGACAGCGCTACGACGGATGTTGACATGACTGATGATTTGGATTCGATATCTTCAGACCTGTCTACATCGGATTCTTCCTCAATGGGCGGCACACTCAAGATCAAACGCAAGAAGAATGCATCCAAGTTCCTCACGCTGTACAAGCCCAAGCAGTCATCCAAGAACAACCCGACCTCGGTCAAAGATGCCAAACACTTCCTGACCACAGCGTCCACGATGATCAATCAGTCGATGGCTGGCGCGGCATCATACAGGAATAGCATCAATGCTGCCGAGCTCAGGACGATGTTCACCTACGAGGATTGTGAGCGTGCTGTCATTGCCAAGAAGAACGACATGATCTGTAAGAGCAGCATCTCTGGCCTGGTTGGCGTAGGCGAGGACAAGCCCATCAAGCTAGAGACCCTAGTCCCCGAGTTGCTGATGGCCGACCTTGGTTCAACATTCACCATTCTCTACAACGAGCTAGAGATCATTGAGAAGATTGGCGAAGGTGGCTTTGGCAATGTGTACAAGGGCAAGCTGCGCGGCCAACTCGTGGCCATCAAGCAGCTGATCGTTCAAGGACGCATCAACACTGAAGAGATCTTCCGTGAGTTTAGACGCGAGGTGTGGCTTTCAAACATACTCAATCATCCAGCCATCGTGTCACTCAAGGCCTGCTGTATGGACCCGTGCTGCATCGTTATGGAGTACATCCCCAACGGCAACCTGCACAGCTTCCTGAGGAAGCAACCCGCTACCCCATGGTCGACAAGAGTCAAGATCGCGCTAAACATTGCCAATGCCATCCAGTACCTACACGAGTTCAACCCCAAGATATGTCATCGCGATCTCAAGTCACCCAACATCCTCATGTTGTCCGACATGTCTGACAGTGCCAAGGTCGTATGCAAGGTGTCAGACTTTGGTGAGACTAGGGCCGTCGTAACGTCGGCTCTGGGTCGCGAGAAGTTGTCCAACCCCATTTGGCTGGCGCCCGAGATCATGCTGGGTGAAGAGTACACAGAGAAGGCCGATGTCTACAGCTTTGGAATCATCCTCTGGGAGATCCTCACTGGTTTGTTGCCATTCGATGAGTATCCTGTGGCTCACTCCTCCTTCCTCTATCAGCTTGAGGACGAGATATGCAATGGCCTGCGACCGACTGTGCCTGCAGCGACCCCAGCCGCTTACGCCACACTGATCAAAGACTGCTGGCAGCGTGAGCCCAAGCAGCGTCCAACATTTGCAGCGATCTCTGAGCGATTGGTGTCTATCAAGAATCAGAACTTCAAGTATGTAGTGCCCGCTGCGCCCAGTCCCAAGGGCTCGGTCGAGAACAGTCCGATAAACAGTAGCGCAAGCAACAACAGCAACACAAGCAGTGGAGGCAGCAGTGGCAGCACTCAGACCACCACTGCCAATGCCACTTCGACGACAACAGCCACCGCGCCAGCAGTTGCACATGCATCACCAGCCAGCACTGTGGTCAGTGCTGCACAGCAACAACAGGCTCCGCAGAAACCAGTCAGCACGGCAGTAGACAAGCCATCACAGGTTTCATCGACTACACCTCCAGCGAACAGTCCACGTCCAACTTCGATGGCAATCAAGCCAACTGCCGCACCCTCGGCTAGCCCAATTGTGGGAGGAAACACCGCCTCTGGCGCCACTGTTCCAACAACCTCCAAGCTTGCACCCAGTCCAATGAACCCCAAGCCAGTGTCCATACTTAAGACTGTTGTATCGTCTCCAGCACTAAAGGTTGCTCCAACAACACAGACAACGCCCATCCCGCCTGCAACACCACCCAACAAATCACCAATTACCAGAAGGCCACTTCCAGCATCAATATCCTCGGCCACTCCTCCATCACCATCTCCATCCATAACACCTGTACAACAAACAATACCAACTCCAACTACTACTACTACAATTGAGGCACCTGTTGTGGTTGCAACACCAACTACACCCACTGCCACACCACCTCCAGTCGCCAATATCCAACCAAAACAACCTGAGCAACAGTCGACGACGACAGAGGTAGCAGCAGTAGTTCAACCGACTACTCTTCCTCCAGTTGTAGCAAGGGGCCAGTTGCCATCACCTCCAGTTCCCAGGAAACCACAGTCTGCTGTATCAGCTTCTGCTCAACCTCAATCACAACTTCAACCTCAACAACAGGATCAGGTTAGTTCCGACAGTGGTTCATCAGCTCCACCAACATTATCGACGCAAGGACGATCACTACCAGTGCCACCCGCTCCTCCAAAGCCAGTCGTTGTATCCAAGGCATCAGTAATGAGCAAAGCTGCTCCAAAGGTCGCACCAGTGTCCACCAGCACACCCTCAACCCAATAAATAGCAACACAAATGTACATTATTATTATTATTCCAAAGAATGATTGATTGATAATTTATAGGTTGCTCCGTCCAAAGATAATTGAATAGAACAGATCTTCCACAATTGTGGACGTTTGTTTAGGACAATAGATAACTAGTTTGGTAGAGGAACTACACAATACTGTACAGGGCGTTTGTTGAAGTTTATTTAATCAATTCCCTATTGAGTTAGATAACTAGTTTGGTAGAGGAACTACACAATACTGTACAGGGCGTTTGTTGCTATGCCACTATAAGTAATAGATAATAGAGATTATATGTTAGTATACATACAAATAAAGTTAATATCGATAAAACTTACCAGTTGTTGCTTCTGTCCTTTGACATCAAAATGTATCCGGAAATACCCCATGTGGTTCCCCATGAGTTTTTGACGATCCAGTAGTTTCCATTGCCACCTCCAGTGGAAGAGGAGCCAGATGAACCGGATGATGGGGTGGTAGTGGAGCCAGAGGAGGCAGATGAGGAACCACCTGATGAAGAGCCACCTGATGATGAGCCACCGGATGATGAGCCTGAACCTGATGAAGTTCCAGATGCGCCAACCTCCTCAGACTGAGCAGAGGATGAGGTGCCAGAGGAGGAGCCACCCGATGAGGTCTGACCAGTGGATGAGGAACCAGAGGAGGTACCCGATGAGCCACCCGATGAGGATGATCCACCAGAGGTGGAGGCGCCACCAGATCCAGATGAGGAGATGCTTCCTGATGGGGAGGTCGACGAACCAGAGGCTGGGAGACTGCCACTTCCGTAACCAACGACGAGGACGGCGTGGTCGAGCTCGGTTGTAGAACACTGGGGCTCGTAGTAGATACCGCCAGTGTACAACTGGAAGGAGTTGTGCGAGGCATCAATTCCGACAGAGACTGGGGCTTGGTTGGAGGCAGACTCGAGGCCAGACTCGGAACCAGAGGCAACATTGACGTAGCTGCTCAAGGTGGAGCCAGAGTTGGATGGGTCGTAGTTGCAGCTTCCCTGGGAGGCAGTGTATGGGTATGAGGACTCAGTGTCAATACCTCCGTTGGAGATGATGTAGTCCATGGCTGCGCTTGGCTCACCACCGTTGCAACCAGAGTTGCCCTCGTTGGTGGAACAGTCGACGAGGTTCTGCTCAGAGAGTGGGACGAGGTTGTTGGTCGAGATGAAGTGAGCACCCTCGACGGCACCAGTGGTGGAGAAGGACCAGCACGAGCCACACTGGCCCTGGTTCTTGATTCCGGTAACAGCACCCTTTTGTCTCCAGTCGACGGCAGCGTCGTTGACACGGCCAGCGGGGGCAACAAAGGTGTTGGTGGCGGATCTCTTTGTGAACTTGCCACCGAGGTAGATGCGGCGGTACTCTGCGTTGGAGAGGTCGGCCATGCGGTTCAGACCAACGATGGTCTCGGATCCCTTGGAGTTCCAGTCGTGGACAAAGTCCATGTTGCTCTTAAAGATGGTGAAACGCTGGGCAAACTCGTTGGCAGCGTACTTGACGTCATGCTCGATCATCCAGTCGACGAAACGGTCCTGGTACTGCTTCTCAGTGAAGGCGGCACCAGAGGCAACTACCATCAGTGCCAATGTAACGAATACAAATAATTGTTTGTACATTATTATATTTATATATAAATATTTATATTAATTGATTGATTGATTGATTAATATGGGACTAGATATCTTTATAAGATTCGGATAGTGAGCAGATGATGAGGGTTGATGAGGGATGGGACCATCCTTGATCAAAATATTAATTTAATTCTCAAAAATATCTTTAGGTTTTTGAAAGATTTGCGAATCAAACTAAATATCTAATCGTTTTTAGTTCGATGCATGCCTTTTTGAAGCAAAGATGGGTCCATCCATCACATGACCTCATACACTATCCCACAATACCATCTAGAAGTTGTTGGAGAAAAAGTCGTCGCCATTCAAAAGCCATCATCATTGTTAAGATAATATTCATTTGAATCTTCCATCATACATCATATAGCCAATTATCAAAGAGAGACTTAAGACCCATCTTTATAAACACGTGTCGGGGCTATTAATCTTATCTCCATCTCTAATGTTCAGTATGTTCAAGTTGCCAAGTGCAAAGAGACTCAATGCACTCCACCCCGATATCAGCCCATTGTCAATTCAAATTAAAGTTCAATCACATCACAAAGCCCTGGTACATGTCTCTGGACTGTTCAATCCTTCACTTATGGTCACTCTCACACTCATCATCAATTGTTTACCAGGGAGAGAATAAATATTTTATTTGAGCAAAGTATGTTGGTAACTTGGTTGATCATTTATTGTTACAATTCAAAGGTCGAGAATGTTATATGTATGAAATAGATATGTAAGGGTATTTAGCATCCACAACCACCTCCCAGGAGACCACCGAGGAGACCACCAACAATTCCATTGACAGTGCCAAGTACTCCTCCGACCAGACATCCTACACCTCCCAGATTGACATTGACATTGGCATTGACACCAATTCCACTTCCTCCACAACCTCCACAAGCCACAGAATTGGCACCTTGTCCAGCACCAGCACCCAATCCACTACCAACTGAGCTCTTTGAAATAGAGTTCATTGAGCCAACGTTGCCGAGGGAAGACATAGCGTCTAAAGTTTGATATTATATTTTATGTTAGATAGGGAGTACTTTGTTTGATTTGGAAGGGGTTTACATACTCATCAAAGTCATTTTGGAATTGATTGATTAATTGATTTAAAAGGGGAAGATTTATAACTTGTTTGATTGATTGATTGATTATCTTGAAGATATTGTTTGATGATTTGTAAATGACTGGATCCAATTAGTATTTATAGACATGATATTGTAGGTCATTAATGTCAAGTATGATACGGTTCAATTTAACTTAATGTCAAGAGGTACACCCTCTTCAAGGAACTTAAACAGTACAATTTGATACTCACTTGTACAAAACTACCAATCAAATTACACATTGACAATAATAATGGCTAATAGGTCTCGATGACGATGGTGATCTGATTGAATACCAAGGTATACACTGACCACACATTAAATCAATCAATCGTTGAAGAATTTTTATCAGTGGTTGTTTGTGTGTTTGATTGAAGTGTTGGAGTGATACATACCATAAATGGCAAAATGAATACCTCTACACTTTTGTTATTGTCGTTGATGGTGGTTTGTAAAAGCCCACTTGGGCTTGATCTAGATTAATTGATTGATAGGTAGTGTGTATGTATACCTGTCTGTATCAATCAAAATCAATATATCACCTATCTGTAGTTCATACAATATATAACACCACTATCACCATCATCAATAATTAGAATGTGAATCAATGTATCAATACCATGATAGTTGCGCAACATCCTATTGTATTACATTCATGATGGAAATTTATACTTGGGAGGGATTGTTGTAAAAATATTAAAGTGTAATAGGGAAAGGGAGTACCAGTTGTCGGTAAATAATTTTTTTTTATTATACACTTTTACAAATATTTGTAATTAGACTATAATAAAAAATAAATTGAAAAGATATTTATTCCAGGATTGAATGAAGTTATAACCCTATTTAATTCAAGAATTAATTAACAAACTATAATAATGAGAGTAAATTTATTATTAATAGTATTATTATTGTCTGTTGTGACCCTTTTTGCTCAGAAGCATAGGTATGTTAATAATATTAATAATAATTTAATTTAGAAATATTTTATTAATATAATTATTATTTGTATACAAAGTTATTATATTATTAAAGAGTCTGAATCTGATACCCATTGGTATTAAATAAATCAATTTATGATTGTTTTTGGATTTAATATTGATTGACGATGACGTTGGCGTCTAGTTAATTTAGATAACCTTTACAATGATTGTATCTGTTCGACCAAATGTTGATGGACAATACATCTCTTCGATCTTGGCTGGTGGACAGATGTAGTTACCATGACAGAGGGCCACGACGTTGTAGGTGAATGAGTGTGTGCCACGGTAGAGGTTGTCGGCAAACACTTCAGCTCCCTTGTCACGAAGGTTCATATGGTCATACCAATAGTGACGGTATGGTGTGACGTTGGTGGGCTCCAGACCAGCTGGCAGACGATCCTCAATCACAACAAACTTGCAGGCATGCTCCACATCAATGTCCACCTTGACCTTGATCCTTGCACCACTCTTGATTGTGCATGTTGTGATCTGAGTGTTGGCGTCGACTGAGTATTGAACGTCGTCAGGCTTGCCAAGTGGCAGGAATGTCCTCTTGATCATGAAGCCACGACCAGACACTGACTTGTAGAACTGGTTCAACGAGGCATAGTCAAAGATGAATGAGTAGAACAAGTCTCCCTTGCCTTGCTTCTCAATAAAGATCTCGCCTTGGTTCTTGATCAATGTCTTCATGGGGATGAAGGTGGAGTGGAAAGGCGACTCCTGCGACAGGTTGACCGGTTGCTCATAGAGTGTGTGGTCGTTCAGGTAGACCTGTGCCTTGAACTTCTGGGACAGCTTGTCCTCTTTGGAAAAGTATTGATAGACAGTGTGCAGGATGTAGGCATGGTCCTGCGTGTTGTACCAGCATCGGTCAGTGTTGAACTTGGTCTCTAGGCCACTGATGAGCTTGGGGAGAAGGTGGCTGTCGCTGAAGTACTGGTCGATCGATTGGATCAATAGACAGTTGCCACGTGTGCTTGAGTAGATGCCATCCATCTCACCAGTGTTGAAATAGGCCATGGTGCCAGTGATCGTGAGGTTGTTCTCCAACTTGGTGAGGATCTTGGTGTTGGGCAGATAGAAGGGCAGCAAGTAGGCGACGATCTCCAAGTACTTGCAAGACTGGTAGTCCTTGAGGCAAGAGTCATTGATGATCGAGTCGGCAACATCCTGGACGTCGGCAGTCACACCGACTGTGTAGCGCTCGGTTATGTAGCATGCAAAGGCCATCTTGGCGAGGTAGGTGTGGGAGTCGGCCTTGTACTGCTTGGACTCGAGGTCGAACGAGTCGATAAAGGTGCCGAGATACTTATTGCACTTGGCCATTAGCTTGACGGGTACTTCCACTCCAATGTCCTCGAGTGAGAGCAACACCCAGTACACATAGAGATTGACGTATTCATAAGTGTTGGTCGAGTTGTCCCAATACTTGAATGATCCATCGTCATTGCGTCTCTTTAGCAATTGCTCAAACATTCCCTTCATCGTCTCATCCACCTTCTTCTCATCAAACTTGATATCCTTCTCCAACAACTCTGGCATGTTCCTCAACACTGCCAAACACATCAACTTGCTTGATATTTGTTCTGAGCACTAGGGTGGAGAGTGTTAGTGATTGATTGATCGTGAGATAGTGGGAGTAACACATACAGCCAACTTGTAATCCAAGAGATACTTGTAGGACTCTGAATACTTTGTAAAGGTAGTGGATGAGAGGTTGACGGTTATACCTCCAATCTCTTGATCCAGTTGTTGCCAGTTGTTAAACTTGACTGCTTGCTTGATGACCTGGTTCTTCTTGGTGGAGATATGGTTGATCACATTGGACTCGACACATGATGGTGAGTGCACTGGGAAGTCAAACTTGACTGCATCAGTGAACTCGGCAGTGATGCCAGGTGCATTGATCACCTTGCTTGACACTGCCACGTGCACCACTGATGTGCTGTTTGGTGTGATTGCGCGCACTCTGAGTGGTACGTTGATCCTCGAGTTGCCAGGGATCACAGCCTTGTAGCCGCTCTCCTCGCACAGACAGTTGGTGGTCTGGAAGGCCACATGCACCTCTACATCAAAGTCGACAATGTTCTGGATGATGACGGGGAATGTGCACTCATCGTTGTAGTTGAGGAATCTTGGTGGACTCTGTCTGATCATCACTGGCAGTGTGGACGTGAAGAACTCCTCGGTCGTGCCAAATGATGTGCTGGTCATCGCAGCCAACATGATACGGTACTTGGTGAGGTTGTCTGGAAGCTTGAAATCGAATGACACCTCTCCATTGTCGTCAGTGAACATGTTGGCCTGGAAGGTAGCACGTGGATTGAAGTTGTCACGCACCTTTAGCAGGTTGAGGGCAGGCAGGTTGTCCAAGATCTCATCCTTGCCATCGTCACCACCTCCAGACAGACGGATGAGCAGGTTGAGAGTGGCGTCGGTGGTGATGCCATTCTCCTCGAGAGTGCCACACTCCAACTGCTTGTTCTTGTAAAAGATACGCTGGTTGGTGAATGGTAGACCGTCACGGGCCAGCACCACCTTTCTCACCTCGTCCAGGTTGGCAGAGGGTGGCAGCGTCATCTGGATGACACGGCCAGAAAGGTAGCGCACGGTGATGGCCAGGGTGGAGGCAACCATTGGGACGACCTCATTCTTCTCGATTGGTCTGTAGAACAATGTCTGGTCGATTGCTGTAAAGCAGGTCTCGCCACTCAATTGGCGACGAGAGTAGAACTCGCTCAGTGGCATCCAGTCCTTGATGGTCTTTCTCGAGAGCTTGAGCAAAGACTCATCGGCAACGATCAACATCACCTCGGCATTGGATACTGGCTTGCCCTGGTTGTTAAGCACACGTGACTTGAGCGTGATGTCCTGGCCAGGCGTCTGGAACTTGCGGAATGGCAGCAGTTCGACCTTGAGCTCGCGGTCCTCCCTGGATATCTTGATGTCCTTGGACAAATGGCCACAGGCGAAACGATCAACCGACAGGCCGTCCGAGGTGATTGAGCCAACACCCTCGACAAAGAACGAAATGTTGACAGCTGGGAAGTGCTCCTTTGTTACCAGGTGCTGGTGTTTGAACTCGCCATTCTCAAACTGGAATGGCTTGGATGCCATGATCGTCCTGTCCTTGGAGAGTACAACCAGACCAGTGCCACGAGTCAACTTGGTCGTCAACAGCATTTCAATGGTATCGCCAATCTTTGGCGTGGTCACGTCGTCCTTCAATGTGAGTTTCAAGTCTGTCTTGAACTTGTTTGTGAGAGGGTTGCCAGCTGGCGCGCCAAAGTATGGCGTCGATGCATTGACGATTGGCGCAATGGTGTCGCGGTACTCCTTCTCTGTGGCGGTCTGCTCACCCAGCACAAACAGGGGGAAGGTGAATGTCTGGTTGGGCTGACCAACGCGCTCGTACACAAACTTGAGGTTGTAGGCGCCGCGGTTGGGGAACACGTGCTTAAACACAGTGGGCTCAGTCTTGGAGGGGACGATCTCGCCGGTGTGCACATTCAATGGTGGCAACTCTTCGTCCCATGGCACCTGCTTGATGTCTACCCTGATCTTGCCATCGCTTTGCATCTTGCCGTTGGACTTGACGACGACGAGCGAACACTCAAATGGCTCGTTGGCATTGACAAAGGCCTCCTTCCTGCTCGAGATTCCAAAGTAACGGTACTGGCCATGTACATTGAACGCCTTGCTGAAGGACTCGGACACGTTGGTCAGGTCTTTGATTGTGCCCGTGACATTGACGCGCACGGGGAACAGAGAGTCCTGGAGGACGAGGCGGAGTTGGTGCTTGCCAGATGGGTTGCGCTTCGACACGTACTCATGCTCGCCCGGCTCATACATTGAATCTTGGCTGTTGAACTGGAAGCCAGTGTGCAGTGTGGGCGTATACTCGTCGATCTGGATCTTGTACTCGACCATGGTGTTGGCCATGATCTCGCCAGTGAATGTCTTGGCCACAGTCTCCACGTAGAATGGCTCGCCACACTGTAGAACCTTGTTGGCATTGCGCACGTCTACCTCGACGTTGTACTCCTTCCTCTTGCACTCCAACACGCGAACAGTGTGCTCGTGGCGATGGGTAACGCTGCCGTTGGTGCATGACAGTGCCAGGCGGCAGTCTCCCAAGTTGATATCCTCAGGCAACTTGAAGCAAAGCTGGAAGCTGCCCAGCTCGTTGATCTTGACCTCGGTGTCCTTGAAGAACTCCTTCTTTCTGGTGTCGGTCAGGGTGTACTTGACAAACTTGATCTGGTTGTCGCCAAAGTATTCGAGAGGCGTCTGGATGCCGTCCTCGTCGACCATACGCAGCATGCCGTGCACGTGGACCGTCTCGGTTGGACGGTACATTCCCAGGTCGTCGATCACGTGCCACACAGGCTTGTCGCTCGTGTTCTTGGTGTGCCTGAGTGAGATGGGCATCATAGTGGTGTACTTGACCTTGTTGATGGTGACTGTTGCCGTCAACAATTCAATCGGTTTCTTGTCGTCGGTTTGAAGTACCACAGCACCATTGTGTCCGACAACAGAGAGGTTGGGATCAGAGTTCAAGGTCTCATTGTAGGCCTCGATCAATGGTGTCTGGACAACCTGGTTGGTCGTCGTGTTGGTCACCCATGCGATAAAGTCCGATGCAGTCTTCTTGACATTGATGATGAATGGCGTGTACTGGAGTATCTTGGTGGTCTGCACGAGCTTGGAGTTGACTGTCGTGCTAAAGTAGAGCAAGATGAGACTGTTCTTGGCAAACATTGGTGTCTCGCCGCCAAAGAAGTCACTGAGGTCAAGCACAGTGTCTGTGGACTTCTTTGGAATCTTCTGGATCTGGACCTCCTTTGTCTTGATCAACTTCAAATCCTTGAATTGCATAGGAGTCTCCTTGCCACCATACAATGGTGTATCATTGTATCCATTGGCATAGTGACTATATTGATTTGGTCTCATAGCATACGCTGCTACCTTCAAGTATGATACTGCCTTGGTAGTTACTTGGAAGTAAGGTCTGTGTGATTGATCATCAGTGAGTTAGTGATTGATTGAGTAATTAAGTGGAGTGGATGTGACATACCTTGTGAGAGGATCCAAGTTGTACTTCCTTGTCCATGATTGATCGTTGACAGTGATTGATGCCTTCTCTTTCTCAAAGGTGGCAGTGTAGGAGTCTTTGGCAATGGTTGAACCACTCTCACTCTTGATGTCTCTGAACTTGACTTTGTACTCAGTGTCCAGGTCAAAGTCACCATTGATTCTCCATGAGTACTGATGGCACTTCAATTCAAATCCAACAACCTTTGGTATGACCTCAACATGACCGTCTGCCAGTACCTCAGCAGTGCTCAACTTTCCAGCACTCTGATTGAAGTCAACAATCAAATGAGTGCCCTCTGATCCATTCTGAGCTCTGACCTTGAGGATTGAGAATACGTCTGGTGTCTAAAAGTGAGTGTGAGTATGTATGCTTGGGTAGAGAGGAAGGATAGCGGGACTTACATTAAACTCAATCTTGGTCACGGTAGTGGTCATTAATGGTCCTTCAGTGGACTTTAGTCCCTTGGCAATGTTGACCTCATACTTGGACTTGTGCTTCAGTGATTGTTCCAAAGCAATGATGATGACCTTGTCGGGCGAGAGCATACGGATGTTTTCTTGGATTGTCTTGCTGACCAGCTCGTCATCATGGGCAAGCAGCTTGAAAGAAGTGTTGTAGGGTATGGTACCCTTTGATCGCACTGTGATCAACTTGTCCAGTGTGGCACGTTGTGACTCGGGCAGTGACTGAGACAGAGTGATAAAGAGCTGAGGCTTCTCTACATTGTTGTTGAAGCCACCGAATGTTGGCAATTGTGTGCACGTCTCGAATGTCCATGGTTGGCCAATCTCTGATTGAGTGACCTCTGGATCGTACGATCTAAAGACGTCCAGAAGTGGTGTGATTGTGTATGTGGTGGACTGAGCAAACTTGCGATCTGATGCGGCCAGAGCCATGTCGATGGAGCAGACACAGGTGACACCATCGATCCAGTGCCACTTGGCGCCGGGGACTTGAGGCTCGAGCTGGAAGGGCACGGTCAACTCTGAGAGTGTGGCAGCCAATGGGATGAAAGGACGATTGAAGACGACTTGGATGCGATGTACATAGACGTTGGAGCCAGTGGGTGTCTTGGTGAGGTAGACGATTGGGATGCGTGCCGCCTCTTCACGCTTGGGCTGAGGTGCCAGCGACAATGAATCAAACTCAACATGTAGGTTGGATGCAGAGTCTGTGTCAGAGCTGGCCTTCTTATGGCCACCAAGAAGTGATGACAAGAAGCCCGAGGACTCACTGGGTCGCTTGGACTGATACATCTTGAAGTTGTCCTGTTTGGTTGGTGGTGCTTCGAGCGCGGGCATCCTGACAAGCAGGTCAGAGGCCTCCTTTGGTGTGAGGGCTTCGAGCTTGGAGAACTGGAACGATGTGTCGGACACCTGGTCGTCGACGCAGAGCACGTAGCCAACGCGATCGTTCACCTTGGCACCAGTGAATATCTTGTCACTGGTGGAATAGGCCTCCTTCTTATCGGCATTGATCAGGCCCTTTAGAAGGTAGAAGGGCGAGGCGGCCACCAACAAGGTGACATCATCAGCAATGTTGTTGTCCTCCACAGTGGACAGATTCTCAAGTTGCTTGCCATTGAATATCAGACGTATCTGATATGGATGAAGTATTTGAGCGGGCAAGTTGGTGTGATCCTTCATCTCTACATCCTCATCCTCTTCATTATTATGTGTTTGTTGTGATTGTTGTGGTTGTGGTTTGTTGTCAACCTGCATTGCATCCACTGCAGATACAGGAGGTGGAGGTGATTCAAATACAGTGGTTGGCTGTGGCAATAGGTCAGAGTGTTCTCTGAACAAACGAAGCTTTAATGAATCGATTGTATCATCTTTGTTAACATTATCAAATGTTATCTTTGAACAGCCAGTTGTTAAGAAGTTGATCTTCATTGTTTATATTATGTTATGTTATGGGGAATGGTATTGAATGGAATTGAATGGATATAAAGTATGATTGATTGGTATTGGATGATGTATTTACACAATTAATGAAATAAAAACAAAGTCAAAGACAATGAATAAGTTTAATTAAAACAAGGGATGATGATGTAATATAAGTGAGAGAGAGAGACAGGGAATGAAGCCCACAACTCAATTCTTGCAACCTTCCTGGAAGTCATTGAATGACAAGACATGTCACAATGGGTGAGTGAATGAATGAATGTATGACTCAAAGAGAATCACCAACAACAGACAGACACAACAACACAACCCTATTGTTGGAGTTGAGTTTTTGCACAGAATGATCTTTGTTTGAACCAATTATTGAGAGGTGGTTGAGATGAGGTGTTTGATTGATCCAGAAGTCCATCGTGATCACCCCAACAAAACAGAACAGATATGTATTTTTTATCACCTGACCAGGGTATTGATCGTCATCGTCATCCATCATTCAGTCTCTTTCATAGTTCCAGCGTCTCAAACATACTTACGAGTCGTGTCACTCATACCATACCAATAATACCAAGAATTCACCAAATGTTGTCCATCTCTCTCTCCAAGTTAGATAAGTCAATCAAATAAACAATAATGATATAAGAGATAAGTGAGAGACAGAGCAAACATGGTTGGATGACCATCCACACAAAGTTATTGATCATCCAATCCAACATACACACAATCAATCATCAATCTTATTGTCATTAATGATCACACAGCACACATCAATCACATGTTCACTTACACACCTGACACTCACACACACTGCGCAATCAATCTAAACAACAATGTTACAACCACTGTTCAGTGAGATTGTGTTGATCGTCACCATGTTTGGACATGGCGAATGAATGGAGATGAACACGGGTAATGCGTAAGACACATCTCCATCTCGATTCGCCAGAGACGCGTGGTGGATGGGTATGTAGGTGCGTATTGCGCATCATGTTGTGGATAGTGGATGTTGGATGTCAGTGGCGGCATCACTGGGGAGATAATCAATCAATCAATTAACTTGATATATACTTGCAGTCAATGAATGAATGAATGATCTTAGACTGGTTGAGTATATATCATTGGCCTTACAACATACTAATAATACACTCACTCCACTCCACTCCACTCCATTCACTCCATTCACTCCACTAAAGGATAACTAACAACAAACAAACTATCAGGTGACAGCCAATCGACTGTGACTGACGACTTGGACACGACGGCAAAGAGACGATGGCGATGACCACAAGTGTTGTTCTATCACACAATAGAATGAACTGCACAAATCCATGCAAGCAGCAGTCCATCATTGATTATGATTGATTGATTCATTGGGTTGTATTGTTGTAATGAACCGATGGAGATGCAAAGACGATATGCTTGTTTATTGATTGATTGATTGATTGATGCCACTGCAGTGTTGATGTTGTTGTTGGCGACAAGTCGATCCAAGCTTTTGTTGGATCCCTGCCTGAGACCTTCCATCTCCAGACTGCACATCAACCTCACCTCTCATCACTTCTCATCAGCTCCTTTCAACTACCTACATTCATTATTAATATATATACTCTCTACCTAAACCAAAGGGTATTTCCTTTTCTACTACTACAACTACTACTTGTACAACAATCTTTAAATCTATCAATCACTCAATCAAACGGAACTATTCCATTCCAGTCACAAAATAATTATAATATATAAAATATAAGATGGAAACAAAGACATTATCACAATCAATCAATCAACATATTGGTGAATCATATAATGGAAAGGTGTACAAGTATCATGGTACATCATATATTTACCAGGCCAATCATCAACGTCATATATCAAAGTATTCCAAGAGGAAGGCAAGAGATATCCAAGCTCAATTGGAGTTGGCCAGTCATCATGCCAACAATCTCAACAACCTCAACAGCAATGGACAACAACCAGAAGTAGTGGCAGATGAGGCAGTAGTGGCAGCAGCCAATTTAAACATCAGTGGCAATCATATTAGTAATGTCACTCATATTCAATCTGAGCCACAAGGACCTAGCAACACAAGCCAAGAAGATAGCATACTTGGTGTCAGTTCCAAGTTCAAGAAGATGACTCTCAATGTATCAGCTTCGACTCAGAAGTACCTTGAGAAGCTTGGTGCAGCTGCAGGCCAGACCCGTTCGCAAAGAACTGACTCCAACGACATTGACGAGTTGAAGCTACTTCTTCATCAGCTCAAGAAGGATATGAGGGCCATTGAGAAGGTTGGCAAATCAATCATAGAGTCAACTCAAAGTATGTACATAAGTTATGCCAAGCTTGATCTCTCACTAACTAACTCATACTCAATCAATCAATCAGAGGAGACATCAGGTATACTGTTTGGAGAGTTGATCAAAGGGTTTGGAGAGGGTGCATTCAAGTCAACGAATGAGGGAATGGCATTGAGAGAGCTTGGTGAACATATTATGGGCTTTGAAGAGGACCGCATGGAAGAGAAGATGGACAATGTTGGAGGGATGGTCGAGCCCATGGTTCTATTCTATCGCGAGGATCTAAAGAAGTCCAGAGAGCTCAAGAGGGTATGTTCGTGTGAGCCCACTGGTATCATTGCAATCTGATCAATTCACTGACTAACTCCGTCAATCAATTCCAGAAACAAAATATGTGTAGGATTAAGTTTGAACAGGCCACGATGAACTTGAAAGAGACAAAGAAGAAGCATGACTTGTTCTCCAACAAGATGATCAATGCAAAGAAGGAGTTGGAGGACTCCAAGAACATGTATAGTGGCACAACAAAGGAGTTTATGGAGAACATGAATTCTAACAAGGCCACGCTTCAGTCAAACTTGAAGAAGATGATCAAAGAGTATGCCAGTGTCCAAATCGACAGTTACCGCGAGGCCATGGAGTCCTGGGAGGACATCTACGACTCGTTGGACATCATCCTCCCCGAGGACGAGGAGGAAGAAGAGGAGAATGTGACTGCCAAAGCTGGTCCAGGTCAGAAGTAGTCGCGGTCGCAGTCGCAAATAAAGATTAATTCGTATTGGAGATAATATTGTCCAACTCTGTGGTTGACTTGTTGTCCAATAATTGATTGAATATACGATCGAATGTCGCGCTGTCAAAGAATCCTCCGGCAAATTGAAGTCCGAGACATAGGTAGAGGTCGCTTGCTATTCGTCTAATGTCATAGGACACGTAGTCAATGATGATCAGCAACGAGTCAATGGTCTTTGGTATGTTTGAGAATGAGTTGTCTTTGAAGTACTCGCTGACCAGTGTGAGTTGATTGACTGATGGCGGTAGATTGCGGATGGTGCGAGCGTTCTTATACTTGCTGGTCACTGTCAGGCTGGTGACGGAGGGCGGGATGGCATTGGGAAGGAACACCTGGTCGAATGTGTGGCCAAATGACAGTGTCTTGAGTGTGGTCGGAAGCACGCCAGCTTCTATCACCTTGTTGTACTTGTAACCGAATCTAAGTTCCTCCAACTGTGAAGGGATCGATCCTTTTTCCAGCGCAGTGTCAAAAGAGAATCCGAGGTCAAGGAATCGAATTAATGGTGGCAGTGCACCGGGCTCCAGAACTCCATTGAATCGCAGGCTTAGGTTCGTGAGCGAGCTGGGTAGCACGGAGATGGATGGTGTGTGAAGATAGCCAAGTACCAGCGTTGTGACGTTCTCCCCAATAACACCTGGCACCAGCTCCTCAACATATGGGTCCAAGTCCAGTGTTGTCACAGAGGCGGGCACATCACCAGACTGAAGGGCCACCCCACCCGGGTTGGAGATGGTGAGTGACTTGATGGGATTGTTGCCTCGCAGGTATCCCATACCATCCGATGGATATCCCTTGAGAGAGGTGACCGATGCAGGTATTGACCTGTGCTCAGCCATTGCCCAGTCCTCTGGCAGTGTGAGGTCAATGAGTAATGGCGGCAGTATTCCAGGTGGCAATCCATGACGGTACAGATATCCAAACTCCAGTGTCTGAAGGGAAGAGGGCAAGGCTCCTTTTTCCAACGGTTGATTGAATGAGTCTCCAAATACCAATGTTAATAGCGAGTGAGGCAGAGATCCAATTGCTATTGGTTGATTGAACTCTGTACCCAATCTTAACTTTGTGATGCTGTCGGGCAAGGAACCAGCGTCAATTGGATAATTATACAAGTCACCAACACTAACATATGACACATTGGATGCGATCAATTGATTGGTGAGCTTTGTGAATGGATGAGTGAATTGATCCGACAAGTACAATGACTTGACATTATTCGGTATAACAATGTTTTGATCTAAACTGATTGAGTTAACATCATTCATTCCGATCCAATCCAATCCAATCATTGATATACATACCATAGACTTCAATGTAATCATTTAGATCGAATGATTCTTTGGGCGTGAAGTGACTCATTCCATCAATAGAGTCTAGGAATATCAGTGCACAGTCATCTTTCTTCTCGATACAGTTCTCAATCAATCTGCGGTATGAAGTCAATGCTTTGACCTTTCCACCTTGATACTTGAACATTGACATCAATACTAAATAAGTTGTGAATGACAAGTATTGTTCTCTATCTCTAAACCATCTCTTACAAACAAGACTAAAGCATATTCTATCAATATCATTATCTAGAAATGATACTATATGTGATAACAATAAATGAGATAGTCCAACTAACTTGTTTGTATCATTGTCATTGGTACATTGTATTGTAGTTGTTGTTGTTGTTGTAGTTGTTGATGTTGTATCACTATCAGACATGTAATGTATTATGTGATTGATTGGATGGATGAATGAATGAATGGATGAATGAACATGTGAACATGGCTTGGATGAATCTGAAGACCAAGTTGGGAAGGTTGAGAAACTTGGAGTTTCGGGAACAACCCTTGCCCTCAACCCTCAACGAACTCATTCATTCTTTGTTGTAATCTACTTTATTATTATTTGTATATATATATACTGACTACTTGGGAACAAATATAATGGATGTTAATCGAACGTGACTACCGAGTGCAGTGAAAGTGTAGAGGTTGTTGTTTACGTTGGGACTTAGTATGATGTCATAGTCTGGTGATGTTTCAACTATTGCACTTCTAGAGATGAATGGTAGAGCGAATGTAGCAACATCAACACCGTTCTTGGACATCTTTAGCGAGTTGGCCACCTTGGAACCAGTGCTCACACGCAGGTACAGGTCAAATGCTTGGTTGGCAGTGTGACTCGACTCGAAGCGGAAGGTTATCGAGCCATTGGCAGGGATGAACATCGTGTGCAGGCCAGGACCATCGGCATCAACCTCAAACGTGCTGCCATTGACCGACAAGTACTTCTGCGCATCAATGACAGTGGTGACCGACTTCAGCACAACATTGTTGGCAAAGACATTGGATGGCAGCATGCCGACAGTCATGGCGTCAAGCGCGGGGACTGGTGTGCTACGCTCGTTGACACCCCAACCAAAGACGGTGCCAACCTTGTGCGCGGGCACCGATAGGCTGTCCCTGATACGGTCACCCAAGGCACCGTAGAAGGAGTTGCAAAAGTCGTCGGCAGGACGACAGCGTCTATCCAGACTGATACCGCCTATTCCGTTCGAGAATGATATCATTCGCGGCAACTGATCATAGTGGAAGCTGACGTTCTGTGTGTTGGATGACGGACCAAACTTGATCTGTTTGATCAATGTAGAGTCAGAGTCGTCAGTGATGGAGGCACCCACCTCCACACCCTCACGCTTGCTTGCCGCGGTCATTGGACGACTACTGGTGTACACTGGTTGGATGCTGTAGATCATCTCGTTGTCCTTATGTGTGATGAACAATGTTGCCAACTCGCCACGGTATTGCTCCTGCTCAAGGCCCGACCACAACTCTTGGAGACGATCGTATGTTGGGCTCAGGTAGTCACTCACATTCTCCGATTCAATGATGTCAGGGTCGATGCTGTAGCCAATGGTGTTGGAGAATAGGAAACGGACGCGCTCAGCATGGAATCCGCGGACCTGGGCAATCTTTGGGTCAAGGTTGTACCACATGGCGACAAAGTCCGACACAATGGGGATGAACATGCGGCGATACTCTTGGTAGTTGTCGAATCGTCCTGAGCCGTCAAAGTCGCCGAGCTGGTAGATCTTGTCCTGGGCATCGCCGTACACCGTGCCGAGGGCGTGATAGGCGTAGTCTTGGACGAGGTCAGAGTAGAGCGTGCGGTAGGTCGTGATGTTCTGCGTCGAGAAACCCCAACGTGTGCCCCAACGAGCAATGTCGGTCAGCAGGAGTACGTGTGATGTGGCCGCCAACGAGAAGATGGGCAATTGCTCGAGTGGCTTCTTACGGAACTCACCACCAACGGCGAGCATATCTTGGAGAAGTGCGGAGAACTGGTCGATGGCATAACGGATGTTGATGCCATTCTGGGGGTTCGTCGGGGCAGCATTGAACGCATTCAAGGTGCTCGTGAACTCGAGGGCGGCTGTGTAGACGTATTGGTATGGCACTGGACTGATCCTCATGGGGTCCGATGTGTTGGTACTATAGAGTCTGGACGATGGATCAACGAATGATTGGAGAAGGTTGGAGTAGTCTCCAGTGACATCGACCACGCCCGTGACAAAGGGGTCCTCGTGTGTGGAGACATAACGCCAGATGGATGTGGCGAATCTTGTAGAGACTAGTGCGGCACCTATTCCATTGGTGTACAATCCGTTGATAACCCGGTTGACGTGTTCAAAGAATGATGGACCCTGGTCTACAAAAGTTGGGAAAGTATAATTATCCAGGGCAACCTTTATATTCTTAACAAAGTCATCATTCTCCAACAACCATCCTTTCTTTGTCTTGGCTCCATACTAATAATAATAATAGTTTATATATATTTCAAAAGTGGAAAATAATTAATTAATGTTAATTACAATACAGATTGTCTGGATGGATGAATGGATTAAATATAATACTTACACTTAGGTCGACATGGACGAGCCCGAATATTATTATAGTAATAATTATTATTTGTTTAAACATGGAATAATATTTGTAATATTAATTATTTTGAGAGTGATAGATAGTTATTGATCCAAGGGTGATGTGAAGTCATTCTAATCATTCAATCAACGTCCAGAGTCGTCCATCATGGGTTTGTTAGATTTTAAGTCGATTGTGAAGATGATGCGACCCCTGACCTAACTTACACAGAGGAGGCCTTTTGGGGGTTGCGCAAGTTGATTATTCGTCAAACGAGGAGTTGCATAATCTTGATTTAGCGAGGTGAAGCCTATCGATACAATGGACAATCACGTTCTATACAACCTTGCACTACTACAATAGGTGTCTATTCTTTTGATTGATTGATTAATTAAACAGATGATCGAAGGGGCTTTTTAGTTTGGCTGGACCAAGGCATGCCCCGCAATTGACCTGTTTGATCAACCACTCAATTCATTAACCAACTATTGGTCAGTCTACACTCTATACACACCTTCACAGAGATATAATTAGATTAAACAGGTGTCTGTTTACAGTAATAGTCAGTCTTCATAGTATTACGTCATATCGATTCATGTTCCAATGGTTGTACAACATCTTGCGAATGCGATATTCAAGAACTCATGAGTGTGGCCAACCAACCAGACTCTGACGAACGAATCGATACAGAATGAATGAATGCCTGATTGGTTGATTGATTGATTGTGTGACTCTAGGAAGGATGATGGGTCACCTGACAGTACTCACTTTGACAGGCCTTAGTGTCGTGTAGTGTAGTGGAGCTGTGTAGGCTACACACGCCATTCAATCAGACAGTCAATCATTCAAACAGGGTACATGAAGTGATCGATCAATCATTATACTTCTGGATCATCATCAAACATATAATTAAACAATGAATAGGAAGTTGATAGGTTTATTCCTAGTCGCGCTACTGTGTATGCAGCTGGTTGTCGATGTAAGTACTCGCTCACGCTCACTCACTCTCTGGTTCACTCACTCACTCACTGACTCACCTTGTTGTTCAATTCCAGACACATGCTGTAGTTGCCAAGAAAAAGAAGAAGACAAGAGTGAAGAGAGAGATTGACCAGGAGCTGACCAAGCGCCAATGGTACAAGTCTGCGGTGGAACTCACCAAACAGATGGCTGCTGACCCAGAGTACTTTAAGGACCCCGATGCCGGCGCACCAAAGTTCATGGAGGGCATCAAGGCTGCAGTGGTGGGCGCCTCCGCCTTCATCCCGGATGTCGGTCCCATTGTCAGTCCAACATTGGACGTTGTCTGGTCGGCCTTCATCGAGAACACCCAGAGCACACCGTTCAACGAGGAATGGTTCTTGAGCGGCCTGCGCGCGGTTATTGGCGAGGAGTTGGTCAAGTTTGACCTGACCGACATCAAGGCCAAGCTCGACGCCACTGGCATCCTCATCACGACCTTTGCCGACTACGTTGATGACTTTGCAACTTCTAACACGGAGGGCACGCGCGAGCAGGTGCGCGATGCCTACAACGCACTCGAGACCGGACTGCGCATGCATCTGGCCGGCGACTTCAAGAAGGCTGGCTACGAACTTGGAGAGTTGCCAGCTTTTGCCATTGCCGCCACCCTCTACTTCATGCTTCAATCCGAATTCCACAAAAATGCCGCCGCTTGGCAGTTTGACGCGGCCACCATCAGCACTCAGCGCGGCTACTTCACCAAGTACCTCAAAGAGTACACTGACTATACGCGCGCCACATATGACACTGCCGTCGCCAGCATTGTCAACGCGCCGGACGATCCACACGACCCGTACACCTCGGGCAAAAAGAAGTTTGACAAGGTGTTGTTGCTGCGTCGAACACTCATCCCGCTCGTCTTTGACTACGTCTCTATGTGGTGGCGCTACGACGGCCTGATGTTCCCCAATGGAACGTACGGTGAACAGGTTCGCAAGTTGTTCACTCCGACCGGAGGCTACGCCGTGGACAAGAACAGCGTGCCCAGCCCTGCCGAGTCGGGCGGCGAGTACTTCTTTGGCTACCTCAGCTATCAGAAGCATGATGAACTGTTCACGGCAGGCCGCTTCGAGGAGTTCCGCGGCTTGATCACCCAGGCTCAGATCAAACATAACAAGGAGTTCATGCTGGCCATCCGTCGTCACTTTAAGGACCCTGGCAACAAGAATTTTGTCATCCCATGGTATGGCAGCAAGAACGCCCCCGACGACTGGGTTGTCAAGACCATGGACTTCAATCCAACTTATTCGGACCAGAGCATCTCGCTCACCAGTGTGGCCTTCCCCCTGGAGATCGCCTCCACCTCCCCATCGTGCAAGTTTGAGTTCTCAGTTACTGGCGGCTCATACCGCGAGGAGACCTGTCACGGCATCTTCCATCCCACATGCGAGGTCAGCTATGCGCAGTGGGACCTCGAGAAGACCACAGACCTCAGCGTGCCCGGCCACAAGATTGGCGATATCTTCACTTGGAACCTCAACCCATTGATCATGTACAACAGCTACGACGTGGTCGATGTGCTCCAGGTCGGCTTCGTCCCTGCCGACGTCTTTGCCCAGAATGTGGCCTTCAAACGTCTGACCACGATAATTGACGCTCAGAAGTACTTTGAGTACTCGGGCACCGTGACCTTTGCCAAGGACCACGTGACCATTGGCGCCCACGCAATGAAGATCAGTGTGGGTGGTGCTCTGCGATTCTATGTCGAGTCCCAAGACTTGGCCAGCACCTTCTCCATGGGCTTCCGTGGAAAGTCGTCTGGCGGCATCTCATTCGTCAACATCTACAGGAACCTCGATGGAGTCAAGACGCTGGTGGTCTCTGGTCTCATCGGTAGTTCAACTTCATATTCAACATTCTTTGATAATTATACTCCAATTCAGTTGAAGAAAGACCCTTACAAGAAGAAGGAGTACCTTACTCTTGAAGTGGATGGTAGTGATCTCTATCTAAGTTCACTAATCTTTAAACCAATCGATTATATACCTCCACCTTCGACATAATTAATTAATTAATTAAATAAATAGTTCAATCCAAAGACGTGATTGCACAAGTCGTTGTGTGTGGACCCCACAAACTTTGATGATCTGATCAAAATGTTCAAAATATCCAAAACTTGTCGGTTGATCTCACGTGTTTTCTTGTTGACATCAACGTCAATGACACTATCATACGACATCGGAGAAGGCAGGTCTGTAAACCCGACATCCATCCCAGGAACCATAACCCAGAAATCACAATGTCATCAACAAAAATGTCGGGGTCCACCTAACCATCGACGCTTCTTCATTCATCCTCATAAACATCATTGTAAACATTTATTTACATCCTCATAATCCATCGATCAATCATATTTATTATTATTATTATAAGAATGACAACTAAAGTATTATTTATCATAGTTATAAGCCTGCTGGTGATATGTTGTTTGAGTCCTGTTGCCAACTCATATGGAGAGGAAGATCAAAGTACACCAGGACATCCACTTTGGAATGAGCGTGAAGCTCATGTACTTACAAATGCTCTAAGAATTAGTAAGTTGAACTGAAGTAGTAGTTGTGGACTCCAACTAACTAACATTGACTGTTATAGATCCACTACAATACGCCAAGGTGTTCTATGAGTCTGTGATGGGCGCGCCAATTGGACCAAATGTGTTGACCCCTGCCAAGTATCCACCAGTTCATCCAATCTACTTTGAGTTTGATCTGATGCATGCGTCGTTGGCACATGACAATGACATGATCACCAATCTGACTTGCAAGGTGTCTCACAGTGATTGCAATGGAACATCGATGGGTGATCGCCTAAAGAAGTTCATCAGTCCGACCTGTAATTCATTCCTCGGTGAGAACATGGCCATGGGCATGTCTGGTGGTCTGTCCGCCAACAACTTGTTGATATGTGAAAAGGGTGCGCCACCCTGTCTCACTGACGACCTGCCATTCGACAAGATCGGACACAGGGACAACTTGATGAGTCTGCAATATCGCGCCATGGGCATTGGCTTGATGCCAGGTCAGGCCAAGTCCCAGTACTCTTACTATTGGACGATGGACTTTAGTAGTTGTCGCGCCAACATACCTACTGGCTTCCCAGTGCATGGTGGTTCGCACACGTTCATCAACTCTAGTGTCGTCTACATTACCAACTATTACGATGTCTACGGATCGTCCAATGTTACCGAAGCTTTGATCCACTTCTCCAATGGCCAGACCTACCAAATGTCTTTGGAGTACAACTCCGCCGCCAAGTTTGGCCAGCTCTGGACCTACAGGCCGGCAACTGTTACTGAGTGTCTTGGCTATAGTTTCGAGTTCAAGACAACCAATGGTACCTACATCTATCCAACTACTGGTCAGCTCCAGACATTGACCAAGTTGAGCAGTCCTTGCAAGGCTTGGACCAGCAACACTCTTCCTACATCCTCCACTTCCGCTCCATCCACCACCACATCGTCTACGACTGATCATCCAAACTCAACCATGTCCATCCTCAATTCATTCTCCTCCTCCATCTCTCTCTCTCTGCTCTTGCTCTCTCTCGTCATCCTATCAGCCTCTATGTAAATAAAGTTAGTTAAGTTAAGGTAATAGGTCAGCAGGTCAGTGTATAATGTATTATTATTTGATTGATTGAATGATTGAGTGTTTGATGGGGGACTGTACAGCGACACTTCTTAGAGGTAACAGGTGACAGTTGGTGGGTTCCACCAGTTGTTGTTCAAACCGTCACTGTAACGGATTGGGATGGCGGCCAACTCGTCGGCGGTCAAACCATCGAGGCAGTTGACACTGACGGTGTAGAACTCTCCAATGGTTGGGATGTTGCACTTGCTGTAGACAGACACTCCGCAACGCTTGCAGAAGTGGTGCAAGGCGGCACCGGACAGAGTGTAGACGGAGCAGGCGTCGGCACCAGCAACCAAAGTGAACTCCTCGATGGCAACACGGGCATTCCAGGATCTCTTCTTCACACAAACAGTGCAGTTACATCTACCAGTGGCGGACAAGTCGACATTAACCTTTACCTTAACATCACCACAGTGGCAAGCAGCAGTGTGAGTCTTAAGAACTGGGGCAGGTGCTGGGGTAGTTTGGACGGGGATTGGCTCAGATGACATTGTTATTGTTGATGTTATTATATATTTGTTTGTTTGATTGATTGTTTGTGTTGTTGATTGAATGATGATTGACTTGTGAAACTCAAGTTATATTTATCCTTTAACCCTTTGATGTTCATGAACATGTAGAGACATTCAAGTGTAAGAGACATGGCGTTGACCTCTTAGTCTCGTTTACAAGAAAAAAGATCTCTCTGGATGTAACCCAAACAGTTGAAGACTATCATGAATGATCTTCGGAGGGCATTCCATGTGTGTTTCCCACACCACACTCGACCTCATGAAGTAGTGTTCTACAACCCACAAGTCCTCGTCCCACCCCCTTTTCCCTACACTACGATATCTTCGCACATACACAAACACTTTTTCATACATATACACTTACACTTAGAAATACACAACATGTCACACAACAACGAAGATAGACTTGACAGCTCAAAGCCTTTGGATTCGATCGCACCTTACCCCCAGCCACAGCCTGGATTCAAGAGACACGCGATTTATGTGGAGCCATTGCAGAATGAGCATGATGCAAAGGTGGAGCTGGTCATCGGCAAGACAATGACATTGGACGGCAATAGACATTGGCTGGGAGGTCAGCTCAAGGAGACTAACCTCGACGGCTGGGGCTACACCTACTACGTGCTGCCACAGGTGGTCGGACCAATGTCCACCATGATGTTTGTGCAAGGTCCACCCACCGAGCAATTCATCACCATCAACTCGCTCGAGCACATCAGATACAACAGTCGTTTGCCAATCGTTGTCTACGCACCAGAGGATATGGAGGTCAAGTACCGCATCTGGAAGCCATCCGAGACATTGTCGACTGCCCTCGTCAAGTAAAGAGTTGGGCTTGCACCGGTGCACAATAAACAAACTAATGTATGTTGTAGTTATAACTTGCCTTAACTTTGTAGTAGTCGTTTATTAGGTTGTCGCAACGAATAGCAGTCTACATGTCCACCATCGCATTGACAGAAGGCAATCAATCATTCAATCGTCGATCGATCAATGTTGGCCCAACACTTAGTTGTATCCACCTTGGTCGCCAAACATTGATGCGATCAAATCATTGTTTGGATTGATGTCGCCGAGCCACTCGGGATGATCCTCCATCAACCAGTTCCAGTACACTCCAGACATGAGGTAGTTGGCAATCTGGTTGGGATGGAAGCCGTCACAGGGCTCGATGAGCTGCCATGTCTGGCCGCCCTCTGCAGTCCAAATGGCGTTGATCTCTGGGAATGGGAACTCGTAGTACTGCATATCAAAGTGCGTGTAGGTGTAGTTCTTGATGATCTCGGGATACACGGCAGACAGCTCAACGGCGCGAGCAGTCGTCAGGTCGCGGACGGTCTCGTTGGAGTTCATCCAGCCCCAGCATGGACTGGCCTCGAGACAGTTGAGGAAGTCGTACACCTGCTCATAGCTTGCGCCAATTGGATGTGTGCGGTTCCACAATGTGTCCCAGAGAATACGTCCGTCGGCCAGACCTGTGAACACAATGTGGGAGCCCATTGGGAGGATAGTGTCGAGGTACTCCAGGGTCCTGAGGGTGTTGTTGGCAAACTCGGCGGGTGTTGTCATATGGTCGAGGTCGTGATGGCCCGAGCACACGTCGTTGCCAACCAGCTCGTAGAAGAGGATGACTGGATGGTCCTTCTCTTGGTTCCTGGCTACGCCAAGAATGTTGCCATCGGCTACGTTGCCAGATCTGGCGCCATTCACTCCAGTGTTTTGGTAGTCGCGATGGTTGCACAGGTTCCTCTCGCGAAGACGGTGGTAGACACTGTCGATTGGACCAGACTCGGTGGTGTTTGACGCCCAGGCGGTGATGGCACTCTTGTGTGGCCAGTCCAGCTCGTTCTCGAGGATGCCAACCATGCCCTGGTAGGTGGTGGAGTTGATGTCGGCGGCAGTCAACCATTGAGGTGGGATGGAGAAGTGTGCACCGACACTGTCACCAACGAGAATGATTCCCAGCTGGCCAGATGTGCCACAGAGTTCCTCCTCCCAAGCCACACCCTTATCATTGACACCCTTGATTCCATTACAGTTCCAATCAATCAATCCATTATGAGTGTCACCAATTGTACCTGGATAGACATCACGATCAATGTCATCACAGTCCTTTCCACGCCAGCTGTAGCCACGCAATGTGCTATCCACTAATATAGATTGATTGATTGAGTTAGTAATTGAGCGGGTCTGAGCCGACACCATGATTGCTAACATACATGAATACTTGTCTCCATCGATATCCTCCAATGGCACGTGGTCATTGCCAAAGCGGTTGAAGAGGTTCTTGATCCAGTCCCATGGATTCTCGTCGAATCTCTGCATCTCAATCTGCTCGAGTGCTGGACGTGGCTTATATGGTCCATTAAAGACAGAGGTAACATTGTTGAACAAACGACATGATTGAACAGTGCAGATGTTCATGGCATGGCATACTTCATCACTCTGTTGTCCATGGATTGATTAGTCATACATTCAATCATTCAATCATTCAATCATTCAATCACTTACATGTTTGTAGAGCATGAAGTATTGGATAACTTCATCACCATACTTCTCAACAAGGTAGGTACAGATTGGAGAGATCTTATCTGGGAAGAACTTGCACACCTCTTGCATGGACTTATCAATGCTCTGCTCATGGATGTCAGAGTATTGTTCCAAAAGAGTAAGAAGCTATGTTATTTGAATGAATGACTATGTGTTAGATGATGGAGTCAGACTGTAGACTAGCCAAGGATACTTACGATTGTACAGGCGGCACAGGGGATACCACCTCCAGCACGACCGCCACCAAGCATTGGTTCGAAGGTAGAAAGGTCAAATCCACCAAAGGTATTTGCAGGTGATGTGGCTGCGTCGGCGACATTCTGGACCAAGTGTGAGTTGGTTTGGTACTTCAACACTTTAGGTGTTCGACCAGTCAAAGCATGTGTGGACTCCAACAAAGTAGAGGAGACCATCAACAATGCCAATACAATAGCATTTAAAGTGTTATATCTATACATTATCTAAATATATTTGTAATAATACGTATTATAATAAATGATTGAATAAGATATATATTTATATACAATGCGTTTGATGGGGGAGGCTGCAAATCATCGTTGTCTGGATCGATTGATAGAGCTGAGTCCTCAGCTCGCAGTCCCAACTTATTAACACATTTACAAAGAGTACATTGGAGGTGGATAATTGAGATACCAACAAATATCTGTTTGGAAATTTCACAAGGATTGGCAATGCTGGTCCCAATCATTCCCACTTTCGTGTGCTCGCGAGCAAATCTTCAAGTTTGTTTCAAGATGGAAGGGTTGGTCAAAGATACTTTATGTTCATGCACCATAACATGCAACAGTGACTAACAAGTAATAATAATAATAATATATATATATATATATATGGTACAATATATATCTTTAAGGAAGTGATGAGATGTAGGCAAGAAGATTCTTGAAGTTTGGTGTACCAAGTCCTGATGCTGGATCCCATCCAGAGGTGGCAGTGTATCCGTATTTGGTGCAACACACCTCTGTACACATGTTGTTGCCAATGGTTATGTCATTGAAACAGTTGGATGGAGCTGCATAGAGTATTGGATTGAGAAATCCAAGTGGTGACTGGTTGTTGTTCAATCTGTGTGAGTTGAGCAATGCCACCATTCCCGCGAATGATGGAGCGGCGCACATCGATCCGTCGACCAAATACATCTCGCCTCCGACAAACGTGACGTAGCTGTGGCCCACCGCCGACACATCTGGATAGCCGCGATTGGACGAGTTGAATGACCAACTTGGAGGCAGAGGTATGCCCCATGTCAGGTAGCCCTCTACTGCTGTCTTTTGATATGATGGCATGGGGGAGTAGTCCGAGAAGCCACCTCCAGATGTTGTGCTGGCATTGGGGTATGACTGAACGTACTCCAATGTTGATGTCGCGCACTGATGCTTGGAGCAGATTGGTGGTTGGTCATTGCCCTGTTGGGAGTTGATGATATTGTCGGTGCCCGACTGGACCAACATTGTTGAGCCGACAGTGGTGATGTATGGCGATGAACCAGGATAGTACGAGGACATTGGAGAGGCATCATTCAGACAATTGTCGTTGTACTCACCTGGTGCACCATTGTCACCAGATGCCGCAATCAATGAAATGCCGCGCAGACCAATCTTCATGAACTCTGTGTTGACTCGCTGGACATACTGCATGGGCGTGGAGCCATTGCACATCTCAATGTCACATTGATCAATCTCTGGGAATCCCCATGGCAGGGACACGACCAATGGTGCAGGGTCCATGTTGAACAGATCATTGGAGAATTCGTACAACCAATGATTGGATGTCCAGTACCAGATCTCTGAACCCTGGGCCAAGGCACCTCCATACTGAATGTCGTACAATGGTACGAGCTGAGGAATCCAATGATCTTGCTGACATTGATTGGTGGGATGTCAGTCTCCTGTTCAAAGCTTACCAAGTCCTTGTTGCTGTACGACATGTCTCCCGAGCCATGATAAAACTCGATCAAAGCGATTGAAGACTTGTTGTTACTGCTGGCGAATGGTGATGGAATGCCGTAGACATTCTGGATTGTCTGGGGGATGACGATGCCAGGGTCGACCTCCCCATCATTGGTCTCACCAACTCGACGCGAATGTGGCTCCTTGACATAGGGCAACTCTGTGAGTCCTGACACCATTTGGATAACTTTTGTGAACTGATCGGGGATGGTGTACCCAACTGATGATCGAATGATTCGATGATTCCTCTCGATCACATGATCATAGATGATCATATTAGTTTTGAAGATTCGCTCAACATCAATGACACGGGCTGAAGCTTGGACAACATCACGTAGGTTCACAATGCTAAGATCCATTTATCTTTAGGTACTCAACAACCTCTTCGGAGACCTCACTAGATGGTGAGATAAGATCCAATATTTGATCGATCGACCAATGTTTGCCTTTTGGATATGTGGTTAGGATCACATGATCAATCACTCATTGAATACATACCATAGTTTATAGATGTTGGCACTGAGACGTCAAGTAGAGCAGACTCAAGGATGTCAAGATTGTTGTGTACAAGTGCAATGTGAAAGTTGATTATTGAGTCTGGGTTAGCTTTGGACTTCTCCTCCCAAGGTGAATAGATACTCGTTGAATTGGATCGAGAGAGTATAACAACCAGTATACATAGTATTAACAATCTACTATTCGTCATTATATTAGAATGTATGTTCGATTGATTGAGTGATTGGTTGACTGTATTGATTGATTGATTGATGGATGTTGTTACATCAACCAAACAACAATACTGAGCGGCTCAATCAATCATAATGCTAGAAGGTCATTTTCCTTTGAAAGTGATTAAGAATAGTGATTGATGAAGTCAATTTCCAGGTCCAATTTGATTATGCGAATGTGCCTAATCCAATGGCACATTATTCAACTCTTTGGTTTAATTGACTACTTTGCTTCGAATCCACTCTCAATGTCCCTGACTGTCGAGAATATCTTGTTTGGAAACTCCTGCCGCAGTGCGTCGATGTACATGGCTATTCTTGATCCGACACCACAAATTCTCAGGTGTATTTCGCCAATGCTGCACTCTCTTGCCAGGTCGACCACCTCGGTGATGTTTATCACCTCGTAGTCAAAGTCCAATGAGAGAATCTTGAGGGAGGATGAAGGTGGCGCTCAATCTTGATAACGATATCTTTGTGCCTTTTGCAATTCGACAGGATGATGAGATCGACCAGGCGGAGCGACTCCAATGCCGCGATTGTTTGGACATCATCCAGGTCTGTCCCACGATAGACCGCGAGGTTAAATGAATGGAAGGGTCGTTTGAGCTCTGGCAGCAATCCGATGGGAACCAAGTGATTGAAAGTCTTGATGCTGTCGCTCTGGAGCAGATAAGGAAGAATGTTGCTCACCAGTTCGACATCGCCCAATCCCAACCGGAGCGAAGAGCATGTTGGTGTTTGATCCAAGAACCAGATAAGATTGTCACGCATGCTTGAGTATTCGAAAGCATCAATACTATTCAGATTCAGCGACAACGACCGTAGGTTTGGAGATGAACGGTGAAGTCGTGAGAAAAAGTGACCAGGATAGCTGCCTAGGCTGCGGCCAAGTGCAAGAGAGTCTCCCCAGCTTTCCAGCTCGAATGTCAGTAGTTTCTCGAAGGCCGACGATTGGAACAGGCAGTTGCAGAGGTCTGAGAAGATACAACAGACTTGCTCATCGTTGTCTGTCCTGACGTCTCTGTGTTGTTCACGATCATCGGACTCGTCAAGCTCAATCCTAACTACAAGCCGTTCCAGCTCGGGATAGTCTATGCCGAGGCATTGGATGACATCAAAGTTCTCCGTGAGCTCCTCTTCTCCAAGCGTTGTGTCCAACGACGCTCTGATGTCGAGAGACTTGAGCATATGTGGGAGGAGGTTGTCGCGAACAGGGGAGTGTTGGATATCCCCAGCGAACTCTGTCAGCCCTTCGACGAGGAGGCGGAAGGCAGCCTCGTTCTTTGTTTCGTTTGGTCCGTTTAGAAGTAGGTTATCATTGAGGGTCAGGCATCTGAGTGGCAGTTTGAAAGGAGCATAGCGTGAGGTGAGGTGGGGCATCATCTCTTCGCGGCAGCGTGGAAACTCGAGTGCGTCATTTAGCAAGCGAATAATGCCGTGAAAGGTCCAGCAGATACAACCAAGCGAGAGCGCCCATCGTCTGTGCTTTTTGCCAATCTCTCTCTCTGTATCTCTCCATCAAGCGAATGATGTTGTGGTAGAAAACTTTGGAGAGTATTGTCATTGTCGGCACAACGTTGAAGATGATGGTGTCGCCGTCTACTTGTATTCGCTATTCGCCCTGCAATCCAAACTGACTGAATATATATGAATAAAGAGTGTAACCTAGAATTAATAATATAAAAAGTTTAATAGCAAAGTTTGGTATTTTATCTGTCTGTTTTAAATTAATCCCCAAAAGATTAATAATAATTTTCCAATTGGAATATACTTACTGTGGAGACTACGATAGTTAATTGTTTGATTGTAGAAAAGCTAAAATCTCCCTATTTTATTACCCTCAAAAACGAATTATGAATTTTTTCAAAAAAAACAGTCAGGATGGTGTAGTTGGTTATCACAAAACCTTAACACGGTTTGGGTCATGGGTTCGATTCCCATTCTTGATAAATCCTTTTTTGAACTTTTAAATTTTTTTATTTGTTTGAAAATTTGTTATTCTGCGAGTAGAAAAAATATATTCCAATACTAAATATGTATTATTAAGTGATATCTATCAAAATACTTAAAATTAGATTATTTAAGGTTAATTATTTTTTTAATAAAAATTTTTAAATGATTTAAAGTCTCTCTTTATTATTGGTTGAAAAAAACCTTATGTCTTGTTTGAATTCATAATATTTTTATGGTTTATTATTTTTTTCTGACTTACAAAATTTATTCAACGAATCTGAAAATTGGAAATAAAATCTGATCATGATCCACCTTTTTGCTTGTTCTATAATTATAATCAATCATCAACAATGATTGATTGAAACGGTGTAATATGTATGTCAATGTCAACAAGACAGACATTCATTATTATCATCTAATCAAATACATAACCTAATACCAACAACAACTACATCATAAACATCAAACATGATAATATTGATCAAGACCAGTACCATCACATTCTCACTGGACATCAATCCATCGGATAGGGTGTCAGTGTTGATGATAAAGGTGGCAGAGAGGGCCACACTCGAGCCCTATCAATTCCAACTATCATTCGCTGGTGATGTCATGAGTGATCCAGATGCGCCCATCTCTGCATTCGGTATCAAGAAGGAGGGCACTGTCCATCTCACCGTCATCAAACAACTTGTATACAGTGTAGAGTTCAAAGGTACTGTCTACGAGGCAACAATCGCCAACAATCCAGGTCTTACAATTCACAGTCTAAGAGTGTATGTATATAGTTCATTCGATTGATTGATTGATTGGTTGATTGAATACTGACCAAGCATCACTATACTTGTAGCGTGTTGAATGGACTATTGGTGGGCGTCGAGCCTAACATTTCCAGGATGAATGTGCGCTTGTTCCAAGGCAACAATGTACTGAGCCCTGGAAGTCCTTTGCAGACAACGATCAACACAAGAGAGACAATTAGAACAGAGTATGATGAGTATGTGCCACCTCCTCCATCATTAGGTCGCGCAATTCCAGTGGAGGAGGAGTTGCCACTGGTGTCAAACGATGAGGTGTTGCAACACTTTATCGAGACATCAGTGTCCAATGACGTCGAGGTAGTGTTCTGCTTCGATACAACTGGCAGTATGAGTGGCGTGATCAAGGAGGTGCGTGAGAAGGTGCGCGAGACCGTATCAAGATTGATCAAGGAGATACCTAGCATCAGAATCGGAATCATTGGATTGGGTGACTACTGTGATACACTCAATGCCTACAATCAACTTGATCTTACATCCAACGTTGACAAGCTATGCAAGTTCATCACTAGTGTACCATCCACCAGTGGTGGAGATGAGCCAGAGGCCTATGAATATGCACTGTATGTATCGATGGATGAATTGATCAGTCGGTTAGTCAGTCAGTCACTCACACTCTATCAATCAATCTTTAGGTATAGAGCCAAGTCAATGTCCTGGTCCAAGCATACATCAAAGGCGTTGGTGATGATTGGTGACTCACCTCCACATACTCCATATTACACCAACTTGAACTTGAACTGGATACAAGAGACTGATGATTTGGAGGCCTTGGGTATCAAGATTTATGGTGTGGTTTGTTGCCATGACAGGTACAAGAGCTTCTACAGTGCAATGGCTGAGAGGACCAATGGTCTATGCATCAAGTTTGACAGGTTCAATGTATGTATCTTGATCAAACAATCAATCGCTATCCAACTCATAGTCATACTAACTTATCATCAATCACACACTCAGTTGATCAGTGATATGTTCATGGCCATCTGTTTTAGAGAGTCGAACAAGGCCAAGTATGAGGAGTTTAGGAGTGAGACTGCAAAGAACAACTCATCGGATGCTGGAATGCAACAGATGTTCAGTGACTTGGATAAGGAGAACTATAAATTGGCGCCAATGTATGAAGAGAGTGTAAAGGAGAAGGAGAATGAGAAGGAGTCCGCAGCCGACAAGTTGGAGGTCGGTGGTGAGAAGACCGACGCAGTGGTCGCAGCCAAGCCCCAGGCGATCAGGAAGAGATATGGAGTGATAAGCGATAGCCCGGGAATGCCCGACTTTATATCATTCACCAACATGTCGGACGAGACACTCAAGAACACCAAGATATTATATAGGAGTGTGGGCAGACTGTTCATCAGCAGCGGCCACAGGAACAGCAAGTACAGGAACCCTGTGATTGCCATGGTGATCGGATCCATTCACATTGGATTCGCGCAGATGTCCAAGCAATTGGTGTTGGAGCACATTCACAAGAAGGGCAAGGTAATATTCCACGACTATCGCCAGGACCGCTTTGTCAAGCCACCCGTCAAGAACATCATTGTTGCCGCCTTTGCCTTTGACTCGGTCGAGTCCTTTGAGCAGCTCTCGGACAAGATCAAGGAGGTCAAAGCCCTGCTGCCCAAGACCCCCGTCGTACTCATGGGTCTCAAATCAGATCTGAAGGATCTCGATACCGAGAACATGGGATTGATCGGCAGGATGAGGTCTAGGACAAGATCAAAGTCAATGTCAGTATTGCCAACTACCACTGCTTCCACCACAGATGGCGCATCTACCACCACTACAGCTGTTGCCGTCGCGGCACCAGCTGTTATTGTACCAAAGAGAAGTATTGTCAAGAACAATATTGACATGTTGATGGCCGACTATTCTCTTGATGGATACATCGAGTGTAGTTCAAACAACAAGAGCTCACTCCTCATGGCTGAGAAGAAGGTGTATGAAATATACAAGAAGTATTTGTAAATTAAATTAATAAATATATTATTATTATTATTATTATTCCAACTTATAACAATAATTATCCATATTGATCAATATGAATAAATATTCTTTACAAATCCTGGATGGTCAAGTGAAGACTGGTCTTGGGTCCGACTGACTGGCTGATCAGTTTGGGGTTCGGGAACCAAGTGCCAGCGAACACTGGATTGGTTGAAATTCTTTCAAAAATGGAAGTTGAACTGCATCAAGCTGGGGTTGAAGGGTCGTGGCACTTGCCCTTGTTGCATGATCAACGTCTACACATAATCATAATTCATTAGTAGTTAACTGTTAAGTACAAGTAGATATTATAGACCTAAACAGTAATCAACCAATCAATCAATCAAATCAATCATTCAATCAATATATACAGTGTATTTGTACAAATAGTAGTCATCCAAGTCAAGTCTAGTCAAGTCAAGTCAATCAAGTTTCAATCATGGTATCAAGTGTATACTTCTATATCCCTAATATAATAGGCTATGCTAGAGTAGTGTTTGCTACATTAGCCTTCTTCTACTCATACCACAGCTATGCACACTTCTTTGTGTTCTACGCAGCCTCTGCTTTGCTCGATATGGCTGATGGACACGCTGCAAGATACTTTGGTCAATGTAAGACATAGAGATATAGATTAGATGAATGAATGATTGATTGATTGATTGAACAATGCTGACTCACTCACTCATATTGTCGACAATAGGTTCACAATTCGGAGCATTGTTGGATATGGTCACTGATCGTTGTTCGACCACTGCACTCATTGTTGTACTCAGCCAGTTCTACCCAGAGAACCTCAACCTATATATCTTCCTGATCGTGCTTGACATCCTGAGCCACTTTGCTCGTCTGTACAGCACTCTCATCTGCGGTAACAAGAGCCACAAGGCCGTCAAGGACAACCACTTGGCCATCATGAGGATCTACTATGGCAACAAGTACTTCTTGGCCTTCATGTGCTTTGGTAAGTTGTCTTGTAGACTTGATCAATCAATCGATCGATCGATCAAACACACGGTACTAACCAACAACCATTAATTCATCTTATACAGGTAACGAAGGATTCTTCCTCTTCTCTTACCTCTATCACTTCTTCCCTCATCCAGTGGTCCACGCCATTCAATGGTACATTTGGTTCCCAATCTGCTTCGTCAAGCAGAGCATCAACGTCATTCAGTTCTTCCAGGCCGTCTCTGACATTGTTGAGTTGGACGACGCCAACAAGAGAGCCGAAGATTTGACCAAGGGCAAGAAGAGAACATAAACAACCAAGTGTCTAGCCTAAGGTACTTAGCGCATATACCAATATCCATTCTCCATTATCCAATATCCATTGATTGAATAACCTGGATGTTCATCCATTTAGTCCATAACACATTGTGGATGATCAGTGATCAGAGTTTGGAGGGGTGGTGGGGTTGCGGGTCCAATCGATCGAGATCACAGATATGATTTTTTTTTTGACTTTGAGTCGTCATGGGCTGATCAAGAACAGTACCCACTCTGTCCTTAACTAGATCTCACTGCCAACATTACTCAGTTCATCAACTTGTACATATACAAACATTCATACAAATAATATTATATTATATATATATTGTAACATTATTAAGGATCCATCACACAGTCTTGTGATCAATCAGACAATCAATCAATCAATCAATCACAGCATAATCACAAACAAAACAGACAAACATGGTATTGATAACAAGATATCTACCATCTCCACATGAGAATAATATGCCACAGTTGGAGGGCACTTCAAAGCCTGAACATATTGTGGAGTCAATGTTGCAGACGAATACAGTGGGCATAATCAATCAGATAACGGCATTGGCCGAGCATGCCAATAATATTTTTGCATCACTGGCCAATGAGACAGCCTTGATCACAGGCCGCCTCAACAGACTGAATGAGCGTCTAGCGCCACTGACCCAGTCGCTGCCCCTGGTCGAGGCCTACCACCAGCGCACGCCCATCGACACCATGAACAACAGGGCCCGTGTGGAGTACCACAGCGACCCCGCGGAGAAGTGCCAGCTGTTCACGACCAGCTCGATGCCCGACACCGTGACCATGCTGTACAACGAGAAGTGTCGCCCGCCCCCCAACCTGTCGCAGCTGGACACGTACCAGGAGGACGGCACGCGCTGCCTCAAGCTGTACACCAACCCAGACTTTTTCGTGGACGAGTGGGTGGCCGAGATGAAGAAGAAGAATGAGGAGGCGCGCGAGCGTAAGCGTCTGCGCAAGGAAGAGCGTTTGAGGCGAAGAGGCGCCAAGGGCGAGGCTCCCGAGGTCAAGAGCGTGAAGCGTGTACAAAAGGTGCGCTACGATCCAGAGACTGGCGCCAAGATCACGGTCACCGTGGACGTGCCCATCAACAGTAGGTCGGGATCGTCGCCAATTGTCCAGTCATCAAACTCGGCTGGCGGTGCCTCTGGCAACTACTTGCCATCGCACAACAACAGCGCCAGCTACTCCATGCCCCCACCACCCCCTCAAGCAGGCGCGTCTTCGTCCACCCCTGGCCACACCACGCCTCCCCCACCAATCATGAACGCGCCGGCCATGCCATCGACGCGTCCACAATCGACCTCCTATAACTATCCACCTCCACCTCCATCGAACAACAGCTACAGCAACATGGGCTACCAGACACCGCCACCACAACAACAGGTGCCACAGTCGCGTCAGTCGACCTACAACATTCCACCACCCATTTCCAACAACAATCGCATGGCGCCACCTCCACCCTCGTCGACGCCTGCGCCACCCCCTCCACCTCCTCCCAGCGCGCCAGCACCACCTCCTCCACCCCCTCCCCCTCCCATGATGGGCGGTGGCGGCGGCCTGGCGTCGGCTCTGGAGGCTGGCGGCTCCTCGCTGAGGCCCGCCGAGACCAAGCCCAAGACAGTGGACACTCGCTCCAACCTGTTGTCGGCCATTGTCAGCGGCATGAACTTGAGACCGGCCGATGAGCGCAAGGTACCTGAGAAGCCCGTTGTCGAGGCACGTTCAGAACCAATCAATGTGGCCGATATCCTTGCAAGAAGAATTGCCTGGGCACACTCTGACTCTGAAGATGATGATGACTCTGATGACGATTCCGAATGGGACTAATCCATTACATTATACATTATACATTATTAAAACCTTATATTCATGTTTCCAAAGATCATCTATCTTGGTTGGTTAGTTGGTCGGACAATCATTCATATATCTTTGACCAAGTCGTACTTCGATCTGATCAGATATGTGTTTGAGTGTGTTTGATTGATTGAGTTGTTGGTCGGTAATTGATAATGATGTGATGGTATGACAATAAACATCACTATCACGCAAACAATCAGAAGACGACAAGGATCCGGACAACAATCAAATTCGAAGGATGGCCCTGGTTGATGAAAGTAGAGCTATGATTTTATTTGAATTCCAAGGTTCCAACTCACACTCAAAGTGACTTTACTTGAAGTGAACGTGGTGAGTGAGGGGAATGAATGTGTTGATGTGATGGTGTTGTTGAGATGTGAATGTGTGTTCAAACAACAACAATAACACTTTGTTGTAATAAACATTCATTCAAAGTAGTACTAAATAGATATATATATATATACTTGTAAATAATAGTTATATTATAACATCAATCAATTAATAATATAAAGAATGAAGAGCTTCACAAAGAAGGTTGCAATGGTCAAGCAGAATGCCATGGAGAAGATGGGCAAGTCAGAGTCTCATGCAGATAACGATGCTACCAAGGAGACAAAGGAGAAGCTTCGTGTCATCAAGACTGAATACAACGCCATCTATACAACTGGCAAGCTTCATTGTCAAGAGACAGAGAGTATGTCATTGCTTGATTGAATGATTGAATGATTGAACTGGATACTTACAACTTAAACAGAGTCTGTCCAACAGGGTGTCCAGTTTGGTGAGGCTTTGAATAACTTTGGATCGGCATTCATGGGAGACGAACAGATCGCTGATATATTGAAGCGTATGGGCTTGCAGATTAAGGCCGTTGAGCAGGCTCGTCAGACTTGCAACAACAACTCGATGACATCACTGGTGACCCCAGTGGGCAAGTTCCAAGACACCGAGATCAAGCGTGCCAGAGAGGCCAAGCACAAGCAGGACGCCATTCGTCTAAGATACGACACTCATCTCGAGAAGCTGGCCGAGGCCAAGAAGAAGAACGACGCCAACTCGCTCAAGGTCAAGACCATCGAGCAGGAGTGCAACGACATCAAGGAGGAGTACGACGTGGTGAACCGCGAGTTCAACGAGATCATGGAGCATCTGAACCAAGAGATGAACAAGCAGCTTGTGGCCGAGCTGCGCGAGTTTGCTCTGCAACAACTGTCATTCTACAAGCAGGCCTCTGCTCTCTGGGCTGAGGCTGACGAGATCCTCTGTAACCTTCCAGCTTAAAACACTACACTATAATTGATTGATTGATTGATGATCAAGATGTGTAGTCGTGTAGTGTGATATACTTCGTTTCGAACGATTATAAATCCAAATTTCTCCCTATCATCCCAGTGTCTTCCTCTTCCTGGTTGTCTGCTGCAGTGACAACATTACATGTGTATGTATTAACATTGTCTTTGGGCATGTGCCATCATTTAGTTGGAGGCAAGCAACTCCACTTCAAAGACCAAAGTAGCATTTGGAGGGATATCTGGCTCACTGCCCTCTTCACCATAGGCCAGATCTGAAGAAGAGGAAGGGGCATACGTTGGTCAGTCAAGTAGCAACCTTATGATCACTCAAAGTACTTACCTCCTGTCATTGTGAGCACGGCAACCTCACCAATGCTCATCTGAGCAATACCGTCATCCCATCCTTGGATGACTTCTCCAAGACCCAATCTGAACTTGAAGGGATAGGACTTTGGTGATCGATCAAACACTGTACCATTGGTCAACTTGCCAACATAGTGAACAACGACTACGTCTCCTTTCTTTGGATATACTCCATTACCTGGTTTCTTAACATCTATTTCAAGACCCTAAGTTATTATTACATCTTGTAAGTATCTATGAATGATCAATCAATCATCAACATAATATTATTTATTACACACCATTATTTGTTATTTGATTGATTGACTGGCAAATCAATCCTGGAAAGGGGCTGTTTTGATCAAGAAAGTTGCAAAAAGCCCCAAGGACCTCAATGTTCAACAACAAAATCTGATTGTTTAGTCAAGTTGTACTTGTATAAAAATAGATAGAGATAGATAATAAAGTAGATATGGATACCATTAAGCAGTTCTTTAGCGGAAGTAGCACAGCTACTGAGAACCCAGACGCACCAAAGAAGATGTGGGACATTGCGCCAGAGAACTACTCGCTGCAAGGACCCATCCAGGTCGACGTGTCCGAGGGCGACAAGTTCATCTGTCGTTGTGGACAGTCAAAGACCTACCCATTCTGCGACAGCACTCACAAGACCTACAACCAAGAGAAGGGCACATCCTTCACCCCACTCAAGGTCGTCCAAGAGGAGGGCAAGTCCGTCTGGGTCTGTCGCTGTGGTCACTCTCAGACCGCTCCATTCTGCGGTATGTACATGTAGTATCGGATGATGGTTGTCGAACATGCATGCTAACAGGCGTGGACCACTACAGACGGAACACATAACAAACTTCGCAAGATCAAGGAGGCTGGTCCACAAGGACAGGCCTATGGTTTCTGGGCTATAGCCACTGCAGCCATCTTGCTCGGTGCTGTCAAGGGTGCCAATTACCTTGGTAACCATTAATCAACATCATCATTATCATACACCTTTAGACAATCAATCAATCAATGAATGGCCTATACATTATGCGCGAATAAAGACTCACAAGTCGACTTGAGAAAGGGGCGACCTCTCTCTCGTCACAACAACAACGCGACCAATGGATGGATGGATGTTGATGGCTTTATTTGAACCAGCAATAGTACACAACAAGAAGACTTGCTTATTGATTGATGGAGTACTTGCTCTTCAACCAGAAGTTATCGTGGACAATGTTTCTGTTGTTGCCGACAAACTCAAAGTAAAGGTCGGTGGTGTTGGCGTAGAATCTTGTGTAGCCATAGTTGATGGCGCGGAAGACTGAGTAGCTTGGCTGGTCCTCGTGTCCCTCGCCCTGGCTGTTGATGTCGTCTCCGTTCCAGACGGTCTGGTAGGTGTTACCGGCCATACCGATCAACACGTGGACAGGTGCGTCGTTGTCGCTCTTGGCGCACTCTCCCTTGACCATGCCACACATTCTCTCGTAGACGTGGACGTGGCCCCAGAGACACATGTTGACGTCGTACTTGACCAACAGTGGCTCAATGTCCGACTGGAGGTGCTCCATCATGCCGATGGCGCCGCCTGGACGGGCGCTGTCATACATTGGACGATGGCCAGTGAAGACGACCCAGGGGGTGGCCGAGCGGTCGACGTTCTTCAAGTCCTCCTCCAGCCATTGGTACTGTAGCGATCCCACGAGGAAGTCGTGCTCCATGGACATGACAGTGACGTGGACTGGTCCGTTGTTGTAGGAATAGTAGACGTTCCTCTGTGGAGTGCCCTCGGCTCCAGTCATGTGGTAGCGCTTGCTAAAGGGGACACCGCACTCACCACCGCTGTCTGTGTTGAAGTCGGACCACGATGGCTTGAATGGTTGCTTGGGGAAGTCGTACTCATGGTTGCCGATGGTCACCATGTATGGTGCACGCGAGGCAATCTCAGTCATGTACTCCTGGAAGTAGTCCCAGATGAAGGCGTAGCCACGAGCATAGGAGATATCACCAATGTGCAGGATCGACCATGATGGTGGGGTGTTGAGACCGTTGGTTGGCTTCTTGCCCAACTTCTGGGCCAGTGGCGAGTTGGAGAATGGCGCCGTTATGGTCTGGTAGATGTTGGCCACGGTCTTTGGTGCGGGTGTCTGCATGTCGGACGTGGCGGCAATGAATGGTGTGTTGACACCGAGGTCGCCAAAGGCAATGAAGTAAGCCTCACTTCCTACGTATGGCGAAGAGATGAAGCTGTAGACCTGTGAGTTGCCGTCCTTCTCGCTGCCCACATAGTAGAAGTACTCGGTGTTCTCCTCAAGATGCTCGAGCTTGACATCGTGGAAGTAGCCGGGGTCCTTGAAGTACTTGGGGTCGTTGGCTGGGGCGTCACACATGTCACCGATGGAGTAGGTGAACGAGTCGCCAGTGAACTTGGTGGTGATGTTGCTGGGCGAGTTGCCGACGTAGACGTAGGGAGTGTCGTCGGAGCCACTGATCCATACGACACGCATCTCGCTGGTGTAGTTGCAGTGCGCCAGGTATACCTTGCCCGGTGCATTTGGGTTCTCAAAGTTGACGCCATTCGATGTGGCGGCCAACTCCAAAGTCTTTCCGGCCACCTTCATGGTGGGGGCTTTAGTGCCTGGCACCCAGACTCTAAAGTTGTACTCTGCTCTAGTGTTTACCAATGGTACAGTGACTGATCCGAATCCCTTTGCCCATGCTAATATACATTGTGTATGTGAGTGTGAGTTGATGTGTGAATTGTGATCAAGCACACTCGTTTACATACTTGATGAAGTGGTCATCTTGACGTAGCCGATTGGAGATGTGATGTCAGAGTCTACTGGGTAGTATATGGCGATGACATCGTCCTCTGATGGTGTAGTGACGTCCTTCCAAGTGATGGTAACATCATCACCAGAAGTCTTTAGTACAGCTTATAAGTGTGTGTTTGTTGGGTTGGATTGGGTGATTGGTTGATTGATTGATTGAAGTGATGGACTAGTTAGGGATAATGTGTACACTCGTTTCCATCACTATCGATCAAACATACATGGTGATGCTGTTAATGTAGTTGAATGGGCTATGGCAATAAAGGCCATCAGTGCCACCAACACAATCTGTAGTTTTGATAACATAGTTTATATATTAATATGTATTTGTTTAGTTATCTATAATATAAAGTGAGAGAAAGAGCTATGTAGGTATGTGAGGGAGATCAAACAGGTATGAGTCTCTTCCTTACATTCGGCTATATTAACAAATAATCGTTATAATGTCGTTCAAAGGATGAGGACAACTCTTTAGAGAAAGAGAAGAAGGGAGAGAAAGAGGTATGAAGAACCACCTCTTTGGTCAACAACACCCGAATCGACTAAGTGTCACCCTTTACGGGACCTTCTTTGCACCCAACAAGATGAGGTCCTTGCCCCCAAGATGACGAAAGGGGTATCCCTAGTACAAGGGAACCAAAAAGAACAAAAATATCTTTTTCAAAAGTCATCCTTTCAATCTTATCATCTGATCACCAGCACGAGGCCCAATCATTGAGCAATATCTCTTTGTTTGGTTTGGTTAGATTAACCTTGGAAGTGATGGATGCGCCACTGGTTGACAACCTGGGCTGGTTCAAGATGGTCAACTTGTTCCCAGACCCAGTATATTTATATTCGTAAATGAAATTTCATCAGACGACCAGACTATCAGTAGGTAGACTGTACAGATTTGTGACACCCTCTAACAGTGTCTGTTGGTCTATGCTTTAAGAATGGATATCCGGTGTTCAATCCAATTAGATGAATAACTTAATTATTCAATGATTGAGGTAATGGTAATTACTTCCATTTTGTTAATTCTGGGTGATGAAGTTCAACTAGTTGTAAACAATTGTATTTTAACTAATTGTGTCATAGATAATATTGAATTATATAATATATGTATTTGGAAATTAATACTTACATCTACTCATAATTCTATCTCTACCTCTACGCTCTATCTGTGCCTCTATCTCTATCTCTATTATCTAAGTGTGTGTTCACAATAATTGAACTTTGTGTGGTTCACTCTTTACTTCACTTCACACTTCTGTCACCCATTCATTTATTATTTAATTAATAAAGATACAGTTAACTTCATATACATAATCAAACATATATATATATATATTTGTATATAAATACATTGATATTGATTTGGATAGATAAATAGGATGTTGGCAGTCGATAGAAAGAAATCTGATAAGGTCGACCTTGCTAAACCTCTGGTCAAGTACATTCAAGATCACTTTGGCAGACAAGAGTCCGACGATCATGAACAACCATTGAACAACTTACAGCAACTGCGTGAGGACGTTCGTAACATACAGGACAAGACTGATACGTCCAAAGAGCTACTCTGGAAGTACTACTCTCTTTTGCAATCACTTGAGCTTCGCTTCCCCATCTCAGAGAACAATGTATGTTGTCTAGACAACATCATCATCTTGTATGAGGAGACCGAACTAACAGCTATCACAACATAAAGGTTAGGATATCATTCTCATGGACAGACGCCTACAAAGCAAAGAAGTACTCTTTGTTCTCAATCTACTACGAGAGAAGTGCCATCTTGTTCAACTATGCCTCGTTGTTATCACAGCTTGGCGCCAGTGCCAGTAGAAGCACGGTGGATGGAATTAAGAAGGCCTGTCAGAACTTCCAGGCGGCCGCAGGAGCATTCAACTCTTTGCGCGAATATATATCATTGCATAGCGAGTGCTCAGTATCGCCCGATCTCAGCTCCGACTCACTTACAATGCTCTCAACTCTAATGATTGCCCAGGCGCAGGAGTGTGTCTATGAGAAGGCAGTGATGGACAACCTGTCCGACTCGATCCAATCCAAGTTGGCCATCCAAACGGCCGACTTCTACGACTCGGTCCACCAGCTCAGCAACTCCAATGCTCTCAAGAATGTTGTTGACAGGGTATGTTTAAACACAAGAATGTTCATGATGATCCAGACTAACTAACACCACAACAATCATTAGTATTGGTCGATGGCATGCCTCATCAAGTCTTTGATATACAAGGCAATTGCAAACTACAAGGTTGCCATTGGGCTGGAGATGTCTCAACAGTTTGGCGAACAAGTTGCCAGACTAAAGGCTGCAGTGGACTACCTGGCGACTGCCCAACAGAACATACCAAGGACTGCCACCAATGATCTAAAGGAGCTACTTGATAGAACTAATAGTGTATGTGTTGTGAACTAGCGACATGCATCCATTGTGAACATACTCGGACTAATCAATCAATCAATCAACCAATCAATCATCATCCTCGTACAGACTATTACAAAGTTGTTGGAGTCTGCAAAGAAGGACAATGAGACTATCTATCATGACACTGTCCCACCCAAAGAGAAGTTGTCGGATATTGAGAGGAAGGCAATCGCAAAGCCATCACCATTGCCAGAACAAATCAGTCATGACCCATTCACACTGTTGATACCCTACGCCATCAAGGAGGACTCTGCCATTTACAACGATCAGAAGGAGATCCTACTCAAGAAGGAGTTGGACAACATCAAGTTCCAAGATGAATCGGCAAGAGCGTAAGTGACGAATGAGTGCGAGTCAATGTCACTGTGCTCGTCCAACTGACACAATCTACCTATCACCAGTACTCTCCTATCAATGAACCTTCCTGCTGCCATTGAAGCCCTGGAGGTCGGTATACCCAAGGCTTTGCAAGAGAAGATGGACATGGTCAGGTCAGAGCGTGGAGTGGAGATGATAATAGACCTTTTGCGATCATTACAACAACTCCATGATGAGGATGCATCGATTGCCAACGCTGCCAAGAATGTGCTCAACAAGGAGGAGGAAGACGACACCAGGATGGCACAGCAGTATGGCCCGTCATGGAATCGCACGCCATCACACACACTGACGTCCAACCTGCGCCAAGACCTGGCCAAGTACCAAAGCAACCTTCAGCACTCGGCCAAGTCGGACGCTCACATCAGGAAGAAGTTTGATGATGCTAGACCCCTCATCTCGGCGCTGGAGAATCAGAACGAAGTGATCAGCTCACTTCCATCCAATGTCATCCCATTGAACCAGGTGCACGAGGTTGCCAACCTCAAGACACTCATTAAGAGTCTGGACTCGCTAAGTGTGTCGCGAGAGTCTGTCGCAGAGAGGTTCAAACAACTTGTTAGAAGTGTAAGTCAATAATGGATTGTGATCAATCAATCACATTAACTAACCCGTCTTTGATCGATTTAGGATGACATCACAACAAAATTGATCAATCCAAGCAAGGATAAGACTCAAGTGTACAAAGAAGAGATATCAAAGTATGAACCATTCCAACAACAGTTGAATGATAGTTACTTGAAACAGGAGTCACTGCTTGAATCAATCAGTGTGGAGAATGAGAATTTTGCCAGGACTCATTCCAAACAGGGTAGCCAACGCGAGGAGACTCTTCAGAGATTCGCCAATGCATACAAGACTTACAACGAGCTCAAGTCCAACCTGAGCGAGGGCATCCAGTTCTACACCAACTTCCAGGAGATCTTGGCCAAGTTTAGAGCAAGATGTGAGGACTTTGCCAACGAACGAGAGAGGGAGAAGAATGATCTGCTGCGACAGATCCAGTCGGCGCCGTCTATCCAGTCGCCACCACATCGCCAGGTCTACACCGGCAACAACATGCCTCCACCACCAGTCTACAATCCAAACAACTACCAACAACAAATGCCCTATGCTCCTTCTGCACCACCCGCTTCATATGGTGCGCCGCCACCATCATTCGCAGCGCCTCCACCCTCCTTTGGCGCACCTCCCCCACCCTACCAGACCTATGGTGCTCCTCAGCCACCACCAACTTACAAACCAGCTGGCCAGTATCATACTCCTCCTCCCCCTCAACAACAAAACAACAATAATAATAGGTACTACTAAGGTCTGGACTGGCTCAAAGATGCGAGACTTGCAATGGCAAGCCATGTATGTAGACTGGCTCAACTCCAATCATGTAATTAAAAAGTGATCACGCTTCATTCAATCAATCAAAGTCCAAAGTTTACATGATGGTAAGCAGACCATCGGATGGATGGATGTTTAGGAGTTTTCAGACGGACAACCTGATTAGTAACTGGGTTGTGATCGCACTCACCCATCACCCTTCCCACCCTGATCGAATGTGTATCGTTGTTGTCTTCCCAAGATTCCCCCTCAATCAGATTTTTTTCCCATTGATCCCATGCTCTTCATTCCAATTCAACAACACAACAATGCACTCACCTTGGTTCACAAGATTAATTGCATTCTTCACTCATTTCACATTATCCAAATAATAATAATAATAACTAATTATCTATCTCTATCTCTTGTAAATATATATATACTTTGTATATAGTTTGTAATATAATCAATCATATAAATAACATTCATTCATACATTCATACATTCTATCAATCATTACAATCTCTATCTCCATCATCTGGATTGCTGTCTGAACAAACCAAACAAACAAACGAAACAACAATAGACATGACCAAGACATCAACAAAGACAAACCTTACAAAGAATATTGTGAATGCCGCTGCACCTGTAGAAGCCAACAGTTCAAAAGGTGGAAAGAAGAAAGGAGCCGCTGGAAAGAAGGCTACTGGACCATCTATTCAACCTCAGACACCACCAACACCAACTATCAATGGAGACAATGAAGAGCAGGTGGACGAGTTGCAAAAGGAGATCCAACAATTTAAGTTAAAGTCAAAGATACAGCGCGAGGAGCACGAGAAGGAGATTAGAAAGAAGAAGGAGCAAAATCAGCATGAGGATGATGCGCACAACAGCCATCCCCACAGCCATGGCGGTCTGCAGATTCACGCCAATGCTCAGGTGATCGTGTCGGGTGTCAAGCGATCAAAGCCACAGACGCCAATATCTGCGTACCAATTCTTTAAGGATGCCAATGCATCAAAGTCAAAGGGTTGGTGTCAGGAGACCTGGAGAGAGCTGGCGGACCATGAGCGCAAAGCTTTCTACGAGAAGGCCGACGAAGACAAGAGGCGCTACCAGACTCAGATGGCCGAGTATGAGCGCATTCACGCTCAGGTCACACATCAAAAGGTTCAAAAGAAGGACAAGAAGAAGAAGGGTCAACAGAATGATGGCGACAGCGATACTGTGGCCAGCAGCGGTGATGATGAGCACAGTGGAGCAAAGCCAATTGCTGGTAGAAAGTCAAAGAAGTCAAAGAGTGTTCTGTCTCAGTCGCCAGCATGGTCCAACTCAACTACATCACAACCAAAGTCAGGAAAGAATGATACTGCAGCATCGTCAAAGAAGATTCATCCAAAGAATGAAGAGGRATGAGGAAGAGGATGAGGATGACGATGAGGATGAGGACGATGAGGAAGAGGATGAGGATGAGGATGAGGAGAGCAGCGAAGAAGGCGATGATGATGAAGAGGAGCGAGCACTGTATGACGACCAAAGGATTCGACGATGAAGAGGACGAGGGATACGCAGAGATGAAAAGAGGATTTAAGTCTCGTGGCGCAGCACCAAAGGCCAAGTTTGGCAGAAGATGGAACAAGTAACGACCTGACTGTTGTTGCTTGCTTGCTTGCTATCTATTGCCAAGTCGTTGACCCTACACGCCCATACATCTACTATTGTGATGCCAACATGTATATTACTATTACTATCACCAACATAGATTAGATAGAGGTTGCAATTAATAAGAATAAACATGGCTTGCGTCATGTGTCAATGTCAAGTGATACTACCCAATTCCTATGCATGTATATGGTCCATAACATTGGCGACGAAATATCGTTCGTCATTGCATTGTTGCTAATGCAGCAATGGTCATCAAACATCCGATGGCGGGGCTTGCTTGCAACCCCCATGCGAGGTGACTCGTTGGTGTTATCCCATCATCCCTCCGCAGTGGTCCAGTCATTAGTCCCATGTCCGCAAACGAGTAAATCACTGTGAATTGAACGATGGATTGATCACTCATTGATGTAGATACATAGATAGATATTTCCATGGATGGATGCATGTCACTAGTGACCGCCCCAATCACACCACCAGGCAACATCGAATATTAGGAGGGTGTGTTGGGTGCCGTGGCCGGCTTTGTCTTTAGAATCTACACTCACTCCTCTAGTCATGCCTGTCTGCCTACATGTATTGCATTATGATAACTCTGACACGGCGACACCATCCATCAATCAGCTCAAACACACACACACACAGACAGATTATTTCGACGCCGCGTGTTGTCGTGTCAAATGTCAAACACTTTACTTGACACCAACTCGATCATGGTTGACACGAGGTCGTTTTAATAAATAATACAAATTGTAATTATTTGACAATACCAATGTATCCATACTCAGCGCAAAGCAGGTGGTTGGCAGCGCACTGTACACCACCGCTCTACCTGGCTTTTGATGTCGCTTGTACGTCTCTGTGTCCACCCTCTCTCTGACCTGACCTCTTCTTCTTCATCTTCCCAGAGAGTGATTGTGAGTGAATGTTGCGAGAGTTGACAGTCACTTGCTTGCTTACTTTCACTTGAACAACTCGCTGTCAACACACACAACAACAAGTCTCGTCCATCCCCTCAACTTCTCAAGTACTCAATGTACTTGTACTTCTATTCCTACTTGTTATAGTTATATTTCCTTACTTGTAGTAGTAGTAGTTCATATCACATATACATATTTATTTATTACACCTTACATTCATTCATTCAATCATTCATTCAATCATTATACATGTAAGTTGAACAAAGACAACAACACCAACACCGTCAAATACACCTATCTCTCCTTTGTTCGCCTATCAGTTCCCAAAGGACTCTGTTCAGATCTTGACATGTCTTTTAAAGATTGACATGACTTGACACTTCCAACATCCAAATGTGCACAGACACAACATCAACACATATACACAAACACACAAACACACAACTCGTATTATTATAGGTCAGTGTACCCATAGATGGACGTATGTCAAGCCATGTCACATATTCATTATCGATAAGATCGGACATGACTTGGTCCTCTGGACGGACCTGCACAACCAACAACAACAGTTATCAACAAAAATCACACACAATGGGCCACCAAACTTAAGTTTTTATCTATTTTTCTCGTGAATGAAGACGACCGTTGTTGTAGGCTCGTTGGGTGGGCCTCATTGTTTCACACCAAACACACTCAAAAAAACACCCGCGACCGTTAGATCACCAACTTCGATGGGGGCTCTGACCGAGGGGTCTAAAAGTTGAACATTGACCTTCAGTGTTTTCATTCATTCATTCATTTGTTTCAAACAAATAATAACAACCAATACCAATCTATTAGCCCCCCTTTATCACTGTTGTTGTTTGTTGTTGCTATTGTAGCTTGCTCATCTTAACAATTCGCGCATCACCATTCGCACTCACCACCACACGAACACGTGATCAACTTCAGTTCAATTCAACTCATACTCAATTCTAATTATAACTTATAACTTATAACTTTCATATATTAATATATACATTATATAGATAGATAGAGATATAAGATAGAGATATAGAGACAGATATACATACATATATATACACAAAACATGACAAATTTGGAAAGCATCGGATTGGACCCAATGTCCGATGAGTTCAAGTTCGATCTAAAGACACTTGGCTCATTGGTGGACGTTCCAAAGAATCCGGATTTGTTGAAAGAGATTGGAGGCCCACAAGGATTGGCCGACGGTCTGAAATCCTCATTGAAGGACGGTCTGCCCAACGAGCAGAACTCTACCGAGACAAACAGAGTCCATATGTATGTTATGCACAACATTGATTGGATTGATTGATCACAAGCATATTCTAACCATTCATTCAATCAAACATACTACATATAGTTACGGAAAGAACATTCTACCACCTCCACCACATACTCCATTGTGGCGTATTGTACTTGATGCCTTGTCCGATCATATTCTTATCCTTTTGATTGTTGCTGCCGTTGTGTCTATCATTCTGGGAGCAGTGCCAGCCACGTCGGAAGACCCAAAGATTGCTTGGGTCGATGGTGTTGCCATTCTGGTGGCTGTCGTCATCGTCGTCACGGTGACCTCTGTCAACGACTTTAAGAACCAGGCGCGTTTCCGTGACCTGAACGAGAAGACCAGCGACAAGCAAATCAAGGCCATTCGCTCGGGCGAGCAATGCCAAGTGTCAATCTTTGACGTGCGCGTCGGAGACATTATCACGTTGGACACGGGTGACATTTTGTGCGCTGACGGTGTCTTTGTCGACGGCCACTCACTGACCTGCGACGAATCATCCATCACCGGAGAGTCAGACCCCATCAAGAAGGGCCACATGGAGCAGGGCTTCGACCCGTTCTTCATCTCGGGCAGTCAAGTGCTCGAGGGCTTTGGCAAGATGATGGTCACCGCCGTCGGTGTCAACTCATTCAACGGCAAGACCATGATGTCGCTGCGTGTCGAGACTGAGGACACCCCACTGCAAGAGAAGCTGGGCAAGCTGGCCGACAACATCGGCAAGTTTGGTCTGGCCGCCGCCGTGCTGCTGCTGCTCATCGTCATCCCCAAGTACTTCATCGAGAAGAAGGTTCGCCATGAGGACCTGCCCAAGTCGACCGCCTCAGACATCACCAAGATGATCATTGGTTCGATCACAATCGTCGTCGTTGCCGTGCCCGAGGGTCTGCCACTGGCCGTCACAATGGCTCTGGCCTACGGTATGATGAAGATGTACAAGGAGAACAATCTCGTGCGTCACTTGGCCTCGTGTGAGACCATGGGTTCCGCCACCAACATCTGCTCCGACAAGACCGGCACACTCACCCAGAACGTCATGACTGTCGTCACTGGCTGCATTGGCCAGCGCTTCGATGACTGCCCCGCCTACGCCGATTACGCCAAGACCAACCTCAAGGAGATGTCCACCATCCTGGTCGAGGGTCTGGCCGTCAACTCCAACGCCTACGAAGGCATGTCCACCAAGGGCAAGATGGAGTTCATCGGCTCCAAGACCGAGTGCGCCATGCTCAACTTCACCAAGCTCTTTGACTGCGACTACCTCGAGGTCAGAAAGCGTCTCGAGGTCATCGAGCTCTACCCCTTCTCATCGGCCCGCAAGCGTATGGGTGTCTTGGTTCGTCAGAACGAGCAGACACTGCGTTTCTACCAAAAGGGTGCCTCAGAGATCATCTTGGCTCAGTGCGACCGCTACATCGACCCCAACGGACAGACACAGGCACTCACCCCCGAGATCAAGGCCATGTATGAGGAGACTATCGTGACATTCGCCACTGATGCCCTGCGTACCATTGGTTTGGCCTATCGCGACTTCTCAAACGACTGTGGCATTGACTTCAAGGGCCAAGCCCCCGAGACCAACCTCATCTTCATCGGTGTGATTGGAATCAAGGACCCACTGAGACCCGAGGTGCCAGGCGCCGTTGCCCAATGCAAGCGTGCCGGTATCACCGTCAGAATGGTCACTGGAGACAACATCATCACCGCCACCAACATTGCCAAGAACTGTGGTATCCTCACCGAGGGAGGCATCTGCATGGAGGGTCCAGTCTTCCGTAACCTGCCCCAGGATGAGATGGACGCCATCATTCCACGCCTTCAAGTGCTTGCTCGTTCATCGCCAACCGACAAGCAGCTGCTCGTCGGCCGTCTAAAGGATCTGGGTGAGGTCGTCGCCGTCACTGGTGATGGAACCAACGATGGTCCCGCACTCAAGTTGGCCAACGTCGGTTTCTCCATGGGTATCGCCGGTACTGAGGTCGCCATTGCCGCCTCTGATGTCGTGTTGCTCGACGACAACTTTGCCTCTATTGTCCGTGCCGTCATCTGGGGTCGTAACATCTACGACGCTATCTGCAAGTTCCTTCAATTCCAGCTCACTGTCAACGTTGTGGCCGTCACTGTCGCCTTTGTCGGTACAATCACCAGTGGCTCTCACTCACCTCTCACCGCCGTCCAGCTGCTCTGGGTCAACCTTATCATGGACACCCTCGCTGCCCTTGCCCTGGCCACCGAGCCACCCACTCCAGAGCTGCTCGACCGACCACCCACTGGAAAGAACGCACCACTCATCACTCGTGGCATGTGGAAGAACATCATTGGACATTCTGTGCTGCAGCTCATCATCCTATTCGTTCTGCTCTACAAGGGAGACAAGATCTACGAGAACTTTGTCGACTTCCCAATCGTGTACTCAGAGCGTCACCACTACACAATCGTCTTCAACACATTCGTCTTCTTGCAGCTCTTCAACGAGATCAACAGTCGTGTGCTGGGCAACCGTCTCAACCCATTCACCAACTTCTTCAACAACCCAATCTTTGTCATTGTGTTGGTTGCCACATTCATCATTCAGGTGCTCTTTGTCACATTTGGAGACGACGCTACATCTACCGCCAGACTCAACATCACAGAGTGGGTGGCATGTATCATCACAGGCGCCTTTGAGCTTGTCTGGGGTCTCATCCTTCGTATGATCCCCATCAAGGAGCCACCCGTCCAGAAGGTCATCCCAGAGAAGTCCGAGACCGTCTACACTCCACCCGTCGACACCGCCAAGCCACACGACGTCACACTTACCACCACCACGGCCGCTGTTGCTGCCTCAGAGATCGAGCCCATCCTCGAGTCATCCAAGATCACTCTGGACAAGAACACCGACGGATACATCCCACTGCCCGTGGGCGTGCCCATTGACGGCGAGGACAATCAAACCACCACAACCACAACCACCACGACCACCTCGACCGAGCCAAGCGAGGGTGGCGCCAACCAGAAGAAGGGATGGGATCTCATTCGCGAGACTCCACAAAAGATCCGCGTGGTCAACGCCTTCAAGTCATACCGTCGTCCAGAGCGCGAGGTGGAGGATCCAATCGAGGTTGGACGTGGCTGGAAGCTCGTCAGACAGACACACCAAAAGATCAGAGTACTCAATGCCTTCCAGAGCTACGAGAAGCCAAACGAATCTTCACTCATTGACGTTGTTCGTCATCCAACCAGACAGTCGATATACCTTCCATCATCATCCCATTAGACCTGCAGCCCTTTGCATCTCTAATATTATATTATATATACTATACCAAATAAATAAACATCCGTGTACAACCAAACAACTTACTTACTTACGTATTCACTTTAATTCCGCGGATAACTAAAATGACATCATTGTCTTGAGGGGTCTCAAACTTCGATCGATCGATCGATCAAATTAAAAAAAAGAGGGAACACGAGGACTCAGGAAGGCCCAACACAGGTGATCACTTTGAGCAATGATTATCCAATCAATTGCACAACAAACACATAACCAACTCAACAAATAAATAATCAAAGATGTCGGACAACTATGTTGACAAGTTCAATGTGATTGTCAGAGAACTTAGTGTCAATCATACACTTAGATCCAAGAAGTTGTATGTTTCCGTGGACTTTGACCAGTTTAAGCAGTGCAAGACAGAGGTGTTGCAGTCGACACATGACGGCAAGGCACAATGGCCAAACACCTTTCACTTCCAATACGAGACAAAGTTCATTGATAAGCTCAATCGCAAGTTGTGCAAGCTGACACTTTACAGGAAGAAGAAGATTGGTTCGGATTCGATGGTTGGCCAGGTCCAGATCGACTTGCATACACTGGGTACCGGACCCGTCCAGCACGATGTATTGCTCACCAAGGGCACGGTTGGCGTTGGACGCACGACCTTTAAGCTCGAGATGCAGCACATCACACAACTACGCATTGACATTGCTCAGATTGCAGTCACCAACATGGACTCTAGTCTCTTCTCCAGCGCAAGCGACTCAACCAACTTTATTGAGTACTCACTAAAGTAAGTTCAAAGAGTTGACACCAAGAGAGACTTGTCACTGACCCACCTCGCATCGCACATCTTGTATAGCAAGAACAATATAATCACAACTCAAAAGGTCACTGGATCATCATGTCCAACCTGGAACAAGTTGGCACCAATCACTCAGGTCATTTCCCTCAAGGATCTGGTCGACAGCCATGTACATATAGAACTCAAGGCTTCCCATGCACTCAAGAGCTCATCTCTTGCTCAACTAAAGGTATGTTTGTCCAGGTCCAAGGAATCTCAAGTACAACCCATCCTGACCATCACATCACATCCATGCCATCCATGTATCCAGATACCAATCAACAAAATATTCTCATTCATTGAAGGCGACAACAAGGTGATCAATAGTGTGCTGCTAGACATGCATAACAAGAGGATGGCGGACATTCATATCAAGTTGCAATTCAATGATATCCCTCAGTTGGCACAGATGAAGGATGGCATTCATACAGAGACTGGCGTGCTCAATGGCCAGCCCTTCTTCTCTGGCGTGCCCCTGCCAAACATCCTTGGCGACATGTCCAAGCAGCAGTTGCAGCAACCAGAGCAGCATCTCCAGCTGCCACCAGGCTGGGAGGCCAAGGTGGACCGAATGGGAAGGACATATTACATCGATCACAACTCGCGAACAACCTCATGGCACAGTCCAGTCGCAGTCAAACAGCCGATCGAGAATCGTTTGATCCAGTCCCAGCTGCGTCCTCTGAGCAGCAGCAGCGCTGAGAAGGAGAGACGTGAGAGGGCTGCCAAAATCATCCAGCGCACCTTTAGGAAACATAGAAAGGACCAGTATGAGCAGAGCCTCAGACGGCCATCCTACAGCCAGCAGCAGCAGGGCTACACGAGGTCGCCTCTGCCGCCAGGCTGGGAATGCAGGGTGGACGGCCGCGGCCGCACCTACTACCTGGATCATAACAACCGTGTGTCCACATGGACGCCGCCCCAGCTACAGATGGCAAAGTCTAGATGAAGAGCAGGGAGGAAGACTTCCAGCTTGATTTATGGATATACATGTTCCAGCTCGATTATAACATGTTGCCGCGTAACATATATGATGTTGTTAATGAAAGTATATGAACCAAGTAAATTACAAGTATTGTATCGACTTTCTCTTTCCAATGATTGATTGGTTGATCGTAATGATGAGTGCCATCCAGTTTGTGGTAGTCAATGTGAGCCAACCAGTGAGCATGTTGTGGATTAGATTGGATTAGAGCTCTTCGTCCAAGCTTGGAACTGTCAATGGATTATAACCATCATCACTGGCACCAACACCACGACCACTGTATACCGACATTGAACCACATGCTCGCTGTGAATGGGAAAAGGTTGAGATGTCAGTGTTTGTTTGATCGATGACACGATTGATAGATTATAACATACGCTGACCATTGAACCAAAGCGACACCATGAATCATAGTTTGGAAGTGCCGTCAATCCACATTTCTTGCCTCTCATTGTAATGTTAACCAGAAGTCCTCCAACGATGTATGCTGTGACGACTGAGAGAAGTCTACATCCCCGACACAAGCAGATGTTAGTCTTGTGAGTGAGAACGAGTGATTGCGTATACTTACATGATAATGAATATCCAACCTCCTCCAATTGAATGATGTTGTTGAGGATACCTGTCGATGCAATGTTGGGGATAGTTCACATTTGATGGATATCTATCGCCAGAGGGCATTGGTGTAGCCAACTGTGTGAAGGTGATCTGTGCGCGGTCTTGCACCAACGTCATGTTCCAATATTGATTGGTGTGATAATAGTAGAACACTCCATTGAAGAGTTTGGATGCATCTTGTATCAGCTGCACGGCAGTCTTGTTGGGCATGAACGTGACCTTCTCAAAGAATGTCATCAGCAGGTCCCATGTCGCCTCTTCCTGAGGGTCATCGATGAGAACCGCCTTTGTAGTCGCAAACAATGAGACGCGACCACGCATAGGTGTATCCACACCCGCGGTGATGTTTGCGGTCATCTGTGCGCCAAGGTTGTAAAGAGTGCGGAATGAAGCCCATGTGAAGTCATCGCTGATTGAGCTGTCCAAGGAGGCGGTGTTGGTTGACGAGTCGACCACCTGGTAGGGGTTGTAGTATGGGTTGGTGTCGTTGTAGTAGCCCGTCCAGCAGAGGTAACGCTCGAGTGTGTAGCCATCGATCGTCATGACGTGCAGCTGCGCAGCCGACCAGTATGACGTGTTGAATTGTTGTGTAGTCTGTACGATGCCCTTGGCATTCCAGATGATGTCCTGCGTGTTGACGATGACCAAGGGGAAGAGTGCGGTCATGAGTGAAGGGCTTGACACATACTCCACAGTATAATCTTCATTTGAATGGACTGTATGGAAATGTAGACCAGAGTGTAATACAACTACATCATTCAATAGTAGACCATATTGTTGTGTATTTGTTAATGGTGCTCTGACATGATACACCTCTACACGCTCATCCATTGAGTAAGCATTGACATAGGCATTATTTTGTTGTCCAATGATATAGAGTACACATATCAACAACAACAACGATATTGAACACTTATTGGTCATCATTATGTTATTACTATTCTTATTATTTGTATTGTAATGTATAATTTAATAACAAATGAATGTCTCGAATTGTCAAGAAAGATCAACTCAGTTGAGAAAACCTGAATCAAGAACGACATTCTCTGATGAGGGAACTTCCCTCAACGATAAAAGACATGGTCGATGTTTGATTGAACTACTGGAGATAAACTCTTGAAAGATTGATTCGAAAGCCATTGACTGCTCCAACACAATGTATGATGATGTTGGGATCATTGGCTGTATTGTGGACTAATTCGAATGGTACTTGTAAGGTCGAAACATTGGGGAATGCTTCAGTGAGGGTCTCGTGATCCGGTGTATATTGATGTGTTATGGATACTATAGGAACGAGGTTCTGGAAATACACTTGTTGCCACTGATGTTGTTGGAGATTTTGTCTTTCTTTGTTTGTCATTTGAATATATCTTTGAGCTACATATTCGTTGAAAGTAGAAAGATCCAGTTGTTCAAAATGTTGAATGTTTTGTTCTAACTGATTGATCTCATTGTCAACAATGGCAGCCTGGGAGACAACTAACTGTTCAAGGTTAAGTTGTTGTTGACCTAATGAAGTAAGTAAGTCAGTTCGGGAGAATAGATAGATATTTCTATATTTTGGGTCAAATAGTATTGCTGATTGAAGACCAGAAGTTATCAATCTACACATCTTGAGTTGTAACCAGAGTAATTCACTGCAAGCTCCTAATGCTTCTGAACGGCTTTCTATCCAGAAGTCTGGAGGATTATTGTTAAAGTGTAGCATCTTCATCTCTTCTGGGATCTGGTTCCAATTGACCTCAGAACTGAACGCAGTATCAGGCATCCTTAATTGATTTGTTTGATCTTGGGACTTGAGGAGGAACCTTGCAGAAGAATCGAATACTTTTCCATTGATGTTGTTCTCCCTGTTCCAACTGAAGAGTTGAGTTCCCAAATCCAATGCCCTAGAACTTTGTATCCCAGACATGCACTTTACACTCAAGATATTATGTCCTTCGGTTTCGATGTGAAGATCCCAGTTGTCCTTAACAAGTTTGATTATCTGTTGAGGACTAATTAGTTTGGATAAAGGGAAGAATGGAGATACATCCATTGGACAAGAGACTGGAATTGTAATCAGTTGTGTATAAAGGGGATCAAAGTTTGGGAAAGTATATGTATTATTGATTGTAATAAACTTGTTATATGTTGATTGATTTTACTTCCATTCTAATGGTAAACTTAGTGTAATATACTCAAGTTTATCTCCATGATGAGATGATTCCATAATAAATAATTTAAAAAGAAGTATAATATATATATGATGGAGAGAACTATCAGCACTTGGATTATATATAACATGTAATGTAACTGAAGTGACAATCATTCATTCATCCCCTTTCTTTACACACACGTCACAATTATTATTATTATTATTATTACTGTATTATTAGTGTCATTTGAGTTCGAACTCAATGCCTAATTTGGTAAAAGTATTCACGAATGTGATGAACTTTGATTAATTTATTTGAATGGAGTAGTCTTTACCACACACACCAACATGAACCAAAATATCTCTGCCCTTTGCAAATGTTGACCATCCCATCATCCGCCGAAAGGTAGGATGTGGAGTCAGTCTATTCGTATACTTGCAAACATATATAATCGATTATCTCTATCATCAAAGCAGTCTTGATCAATCAATCTAATAGAATGGATAATACAACTCAAACACCACAACAACAAGATGGTGGTGGAGCAGTTGTTGTTAATAATAAGGCAAGGGCTGTATCAAAGGCTTTAAAGATGATTATAAATCCAAGAGAGAAGAGACAGGAAAAGAAGAAATTGGTACTAGTCAGTGCACTACGTATATTGATCAATCACATCACAACCAACTTTATCGATCTGGAAGGAATATGTCGTATCTCTGGTAACATTACAAAGGTCAAGGATTTGAAACGATCACTTGAGAATGGTATGTATCATTCGTCTATCAATCAATCAATCATACTCACTATCACTACTAACTCATTCACTCAAACAATCAATATGATCACTTAGAGGAGGATATCGACTTGTCCAAGATCCAGGACAAGCATACTATAAGTGGAGCGTTGAAGATGTTCTTGAGAGAGATGGATGAGCCAATACTCACTTTTGAACTTTACAAGAACTTCCTTGGTGCATACGATATCAAGGATCGCAATGCCAGAGTTGCCTTTATCAAGTCACTCTTGCCAGCACTGCCCAAAGAGAATGCCGAGATACTCCACATGGTCCTGAAGTTCTTCCATGAGCTCCAGGTATGTTAGGTTTGAAATTGATGGACTGATTGGAATGATTCCATACTGATTACCCCACAACCCCACCCGACACCCGACACCTGACACATGACAGCTACACTCTGAGAAGAATAAGATGACCACGGTTAATATTGCCATTGTATTCGCGCCAATCATGTTGAGACCAAAGGAGGAGTCGTTCGAGACGATGATGAACGCATCAAACTACACGATGGAGATTGTTAAGAGTTTGGTGGAGGACTACCTCGTACTTTATGAGGTCAACACATCGCCAATCATGTATTCAATATCATCCAGTGCTTCGCCAGACAGCACCCTCAGGTCACATGGTGAAGCGGCATCATCCCCTTCCACATCTTATGCTCCGGAAACTGCTGCCAGCAACAAGTCTGTCGAGGAACAGCTTGATGAGGCCAAGGCTTTGATTGAAAAGTTGTTGAAGCAGGCCGCTGAGGACGCCAAGGAGAGGTCGATATTGGAGACTTATGCACATCAGGTGCATAGTAAGTTCAAGGAGGAGTTGTACAAGGTTGGCGCTTTACAAGACACTGTGTTGGAGTTGGAAAACAAGGTGCAGCAGACAGAGGATGACGCGGCGACACTCTGGAAGAAGAAGGTTGATGATGCCGAGGCCAAGAACAAGAAGTTGGAGAGTCAGCTGCATGACAACACAGTCAAGATCAAACAGTTGGAGGATGATCTCAAGAAGAAGAATAAGCAGGCCAACAACAACAACAACAACAATGCCAAGAGGACAGAGTCAAGTGAACAGCTACTCAAACGAGACAGCAGTCAAGACAAGCTCAAAGATCAACTCAAGACCGAACTGGTCAAGAACATCAGTGAGCAGGCAGTCAAGAAGAGTCTGAGTTCTAACAACATTGTCGAGGCGGCAGATGGCAACAGCAACAGCAACAGCAACATCAGTAACAGTGGCAGCAGCAGTAGTGGATCAAACAACAAACAATGACTCGGCAACAAGAAGGAAACAGACAAACGCCACAACTGCACCAGTAACAACAACAAAGAAGTCCAACAACAACAATAACAATAATAACAACGGTCAGCAGCCACAGGTACAAGACGAGGATGATGTCAAGTCAGTCAAGGAGTTTGCATTCTACTGGATGATATTGTCCTTAAAGTCCGACGCAATGGCGCATGGCAAGAGTTGTAATATAGCATCGAGTGACGTGTTGGATGAATTATTATCCAAGCGAATCAAAGTGATTGAATGGAATGAGTACGTCTCCAACAAACTCAAGGAGTTGGATGCGTCCTCCTCATCCTCATCCTCATCATCACAAGTTCGAACAACAACATACCAAACATATCAATCATAAATAATGAACATTGTATTGTATATCCATATCTCAATCAATCAATCAACCAACAGGCAAGCATCCATCAATGATTATTGAGTTCATTTATGGGTTTGAGTAATAAGATGGAAGTTCGAAAGTGAGTTGGTATTTTATTTTATTTTAATTAATTTATGAAAAATTGGTGTTGAGTGGGGATGTTTGGTTTTCGTTGTCTGCTCTGTCTATCCCGTCTCGCGAGCAAGCCTAAAGGTGACTACAAGATTACAGCGCGCACACTCTCACCTCACTCTGTCTTACATACATAGCCAAAATGACGAAGCCAGCCTACGCCACCGAGCCAACCAACCCAGAGAAGTGTATGTCATCGATGACATCAATCATCGCGACGAACAGCGCTACAGGATCGATCAATATCAAGATGATGGATACACCGCGATACTAACATCAACTCAATCAATCTCATCAATCCACACAACTCCAGCCAGCAAGTCACGTGGTTCCAACTTGAGAGTCCATTTCAAGGTATGTAGATATACAGATGAAGAGAATGAACGAATGAATGATAGGTTTGATATTGACTCCATCGACTCTCAATCAATCAATCACAAACAATATAGAACACCCGTGAGACTGCCAACGCTATCAAGGGAATGTACCTCAAGAGAGCCCAGACTTACTTGTGGAACGTCCTCAAGCACAGAGAGGCCATCCCATTCCGTAGATTCAAATACGGATGTGGTCGTACCGCTCAGGCCAAGAACCTCGAGGGTGTAAGTATCCTTTCTCGCTCAGTTGTTCAATTGGTCGATGTCTAGACAGCGACATACAGTGGTGTCAAAGATGGATCGATCAACAGGTGCATGCATGCGACAGACAAATGCAATATAATGCAATGAACGAATGAACGATCGATCGAACGAATCAATGAATGTGAATGAGCGAATGATGGACAGGAGTCGCGAATAACAAACTGCTTCATTGTTGATACGCCTGTGCGATTCGTTAAAGACAACCGACCTCTTGTCCCAACTCGACTCATGACGCTAACATTTATCTTCAATGTATTATGTAGGCCCACTCTGCCAGATGGCCAAAGAAGTCGGTTGAGCACGTTCTCAGCCTTTTGAAGAACGCCGCTGCCAACGCTGAGGCCAAGCAACTCGATGCCGACAAGCTGATCGTCTCACACGTCCAAGTCCAGCGCGCCCAGAAGACCAGACGTAGAACCTACAGAGCCCACGGTAGAATCAACCCATACCTGTGCAGCCCATCCACCGTCGAGCTCATCCTCACCGAGGCTGAGACCAGAGTCCCAAAGCCATCCGACTCCAAGATCGTCAAGGCCAACTAAACCTAGTATCAGTTTAGCTCTCCAGTCTAGTAGCCGCATGCTGGTGTACGACGATGACCAACATTAAATAATCATTATTGGCAATATGTGGGGCAATTCATTCATTCATTCATTCATTCATTCGTTCATTCTATCTTTGAGTTGTCGTAGGGGAAGTAAGGTGTGTTGCCTGTAGCCACGACTTGTCCACGCATGAGTGGATATTGGTAGTCCACTTATTCATTCACTCAATCAATCAATCAATCACTCAATCAATCATAACATTTCCAACTTGTCTGATTCAACTCAAAGGTGGGTCGATGGAGATAGATAGGAAGACTTCCAACAACAACAATCAAACAAGTATCGGCCTTCGCCAGCACGCCATATTGTGGATCGCAATTACCCAAGAAGTGGGCAACGCTGGCCTGATGGACTAGGCTCGCATTGGGAGGAGGAAATTTCGTTTGGCTATGTGTTTCCGCAGGTCTTGGGTCCACACCACGAGGCACAAGTTTCCTCGGAACATTCCATCCTTCTATGTCAGGAGGCTCCTTCAATGTTCCTGACCATGTTTTTGATTTCTTTCTCATAGATCCCAACGCAAAAACATTGGAGGTCCTATTAAGAGGGGCCTGATTCGTGTGTTTTGTTTGTTTGTTTGTTTGATTTTGACATTGTGTGTGTGCCTGTGATTGATGGATTGAGGCCTCACTCCATCAATCACACCAAAGATTCATTCAACCATTCATTCCCGTTCGTTCTACAAACATTTGTTATCTATCTAACTAACTATCTATCTATCTCTATTATTATTATTACAATGAATAAAGTACTGTTATGTATCAGCTTTGTGCTGGCAATGGTTGCTGCCGCTAACGCAGATTGCATCTTCACCGACTCCAGCAACAACAAATACGACTTCTCTAGCATGACCAAGTAAGCAAAAGAAAGAAAAAAAAATAGGGCAAACATTGTTGCAAAGGCCTACTTAAATGCAAATGGCAATGCAACTGTGTCCTGGTCACATGGACATCCATCCATGTTCAATCAATCAATCAATAACTTTATACTTACATTTGACTCGATCAATCAATCAATCAATCTAGCTCAACTCAATACTCATGGGGAACCAACTTGGGTGGTGCCAAGGTAAGTCATCATTGTCATTGACATTTATGGAATCATGTCCACTCAATCTAACATCTCATCAATCAATCAATCACACACGCACACACAAATAGTACTACTGGAACATCTGTAAGAACTCCTTTATTTGCTCTCAGTCATCCACTGGTTTGCAGGCAACCACTGCTGCCTGCCAGCTCAGCTCATCAATCTACAACAGTCTTGGTCTTCTTTCCTCTGGTGTGTTTGGCTCGTTGCCCTCTGGAGCTAAGGGTGCCACCCTCACCTACACCGACTCTGTCCTGACCTGTGCCAGCAAGACCAAGGCTCGCAAGGCCCTCATCGACCTCCAGTGCGTCCCAGGTGCCTCCACCCAGACCGTCAGCGTTGCTGAGAACCCACCAGGATCATGCATCTACCAAATCGTCATGACCAGTGGTCAGGCCTGTCCAGGCGCTGGTGGTTCATCCTCCTCCTCCTCATCTGGTGGTAACAATGGTGGTAACCACGGTATTGGCGGTGGCTGGATCTTCATCATCATGTTAGTATCTATATTTGTGCTCTGATCTGGAACATGTTGATTAACCTCATCAAACAATCCAATCAATCCAAACATAATAGCTTGGTTTGCACTGCTACTGTCTACATTGCTGCCGGTATGATCATCAACTTCAAGGTCCGTGGACTCCAAGGAAAGGAGATGTTCCCCAACTATGGCTTCTGGAGCGATCTCCCGGGCCTCATGAAGGACGGTGTCTTCTTTGTCAAGGGCAAGATCACCGGCACCAGCGGAGGCACGAGTGGATACCAACAAGTCTAAAGCGAAGCATTGTAACAATCCATCATTCATCCAAACTAGCCACAACTAATAATAATAACAACACAATAACTCCTTATAATCTAATCTTATATTTGATTGATTCTTTGATTGATTGATTGAGTCACTATCTATCTCTTTGATCCTTTTTGTCCCTGGTACTTCTTGAACTCTTCCTCGGTCATGGTAGTGAGACAGTCTTGGGTGCCAGTGGCGGCGGCGAACATCTGGAGGTATTTGGCCACCATGGGATTGGTGGTCATCATCTTGCCATCTTTGACATAACAGGAGTCGTTAATGTTACCAGCACCAAACTCATCATCATCATCTTCGTCATCATAATCATCCTCATAAACATTATCATGGTCGTAGCCATACTCGTCATAATAGTCGTATACATCATCATCATCTTCATCCTCGTAGTCATAGTAATCATCTCCATCGTCGGAATCACTTTCGCTCTCTTCGTCATCGCCAATGTCACCACAGTGGCGCATACAGTCCTTCTCACGCGGCTTGATGTACGTTTGCCACGTGGTCTTGTTGTTGATGGAGGGATGACTACGGATGATCTCGCACAGACGCAGGTACGGCAGCAGACTGGACGTGGGACTGATGTCCATCTCAAAGTCGATGTAGATGTACTGCAGCGTCTTGTTCTGTTGTAGCGCCTCGAAGAACAGGCGGATCATGTCACCATGGTCCTCCTCAAACAGGTGCAGCTTGAATGAGAGCGTCTCCACGCCGGTGCAGTGGCGCAGGATGGTTGTGGCGATGGCCACGTCCGTGTCGAGCAGCGCGATGGACTTGATGTTGTTGATCGACTCGATGATCAACTTGGTGTTGGGGTCGTTCGGCTGGACGTAGAGGCCGCGGGGGTCCAGATGCTGGATCTTGCGCTTGACGGGCACCAGCCAGCCCATGTTTGCTCGGATGTCATTGATCGTGCACTTGGTCGACTGCAACAAGTACTTTGTGATTCGTGCGTTGGTAGGGAAGTTGATGTCCAGCGTGTTCAGAGTGCGCTGTGTCTTGAGGTACGCAAGGAACTTGCTGTTGAAGTCCTCAGAGTTTGCGACCATCTTCTCCAAGCCGAGGTGTAGCTTCAGACTGTTGAGTTGTCTCATCTCGAGGAGACCGCCAAAGAAGCGCTCGGTGATGGTAGCGTGCTCGACCAGACACAATGTAAGATTGATCGTTGAGCACTCCACAATGGACAATGATGTGAGTGATCGCGGTAGTTCTGATGCAATGTAATTGACTAGAAGCATAAAGTCCTTGACTTCTACGATGCTAGAGACATGCGACTTGTTGATGACCATGAGCTCGAGATGTCGAAGTGTGTTGGCGACACATTGGACGTTGGCGCAGAGTAATGGGTGCTTGTCCGGGCTGTAGGACGTGATGAGACGCGTGAGTCGCATGTGTCCGCCCTGGACCAGCTTCCAAAGGGTGGGCTGCTCGTAGCACTTGAGTGATGTGACGGTCTGACCCATGTATCCGATGATCTCTCTGCTGAGCTTGGCCGGTGGCACGACGGAGCATTCCTCGTCGCCAGGTTCTCCTCCCGCCTTGTCGGCGGCACACTGACGACAGCTCAACTCGATGCTCTTGAGCGGACCGCTCACAGACACAAGCTTTGTAAAGATACTATGTTCACTGTGATGCTTCAACAGTGTATGATCGTCGCCTACGAATGATGTATTGAGTGATGCCACTATTCTCAAGTATGTATGAGATACCAAGCCCAATGACAACAGCCATCTTAACTCTCTCTCACACAGATTGATCCATAACAACTCAATAATCTTCTTATGTAATGATATTGGTAGTTTACTACTTATTGCCATCTATCTCTATCTCTTTCTCTTTGTTGGTTGTATGGATGAATGCATGAATGACTAAAGTTGAAGTTGAAGTTGATGATGAAGTTAACATGATTGATTTCTTTGAATGATGAAGTTTATTTGTTTGGACATATCCAATGAACTACTTGTCTGGATCACAACTTCATTCATTCATTCATTCATTCATTAGATGTAGTTGGACAAACAATAACATTGAAAAAGTCTGCGAGGGTATGTCTGCGAGGGTATGTCTGCGAGGGTATCTGTGAGGGTTTGTTGACACAAACTTGTTGTGTGATACACTCTGAGAGATTGGTTTTCAACCAACACTCACACTCATCATGTGGATGTGAGCATGACCACAAGGCAGAGAGAGCATGCTCTTGTGTGTTGGATGCCAAGTCTAAAGGCTCAGGCCCCAATGCATATGACATACAAGTACCCCTTCAATGATCCAATCTACACACATGTATATATTACACACACACAACACACATTAACAATAACAACAATAACAACAATTACACCATTACAAGTAGTATAGAGTGACGATGCATAATAGTACTTGTCATCATACCAACCCAACACTACAACATTGATCGATCAACTTTAAACTCTAAAGTTACATTCAATCAATCAACAAACAATATCACCCTTAAAGGTATTAAACCAAAAGGTGTTTGTTGCATTGGCATTATTCAATCACATTGACATCCATCACATCCATTCATTCCAATCAATCAACTATATACATATACTTATATACTTATATATAGATATATAATACATATAATAATACAACATTGCCATTGACGATGGCATTGACTACAAAAAAGGTCTGGACTACGGTCCAGTCAAAGATACGCACTATATTCGGTGTGGACAGACGTTCCTTGGCCTTGATGAGAGTGATGCTCGGTGTAATCGGTATCTTTGATCTCATTGACAGGTTCCCTGATATCAAAGCACATTACTCTGGTATGTCCATCCATCCATCCATTCAATCATTCAATCAATCATTCAATCAATCAAACATATACTTACATACTCACATGACATTAGACGAGGGATTCTTACCAAGAGCAACTGCCGCCGAACATTTCTGGCATCCAAACTGGTTCTCTTACCATATGTGGAGTGGCAATGTTATCCACATTCAATTGTTGTTCCTACTCAATGCGTTGGTTTGCTTCTCCGTCCTCGTTGGCTATCGTTCCAGAACCAGCATGTTCTTGATGTGGACGTTCATCCTGTCCATCCAATCCAGAAACAACATTGTTGGACATGGAGGTGATCTCTATCTCAGATGCATGGCCTTCTTTGCCATGTTCCTACCCATCGGAGATGTCTGGTCCCTTGACAGCGCATTCAAACGTCCAGTCATCCGACGTGAGTTCAAGAAGTACAATGTCCTCAGCATTGGTAAGTGATTGATTGTTGGGTGCGAGCACAACAACGCGCTAACCATGTACGTATACACAGTGACGGTCGCAGTACTACTTCAAGTATCATTCCTCTACGTGTTCTCATTCATTCACAAGACTGGCGATGAATGGAGAAAGGACTACACTGCAACATTCTTGGCACTCAAGCTGGATTACTTCAAGACTGCACCAACTGAATACATCGTGCCATACTTTGAGGTGCTCAAGGTGCTCACATTCCTCGTGCTCTACTATGAGGGCTACGGAATCTTGCTCTGCCTCTCACCCGTCTACACCAGCCAGCTCAAGACCCTTGGCGCCCTGGCATTCTTTGGCCTCCACGTTGGCTTTGGTCTGTTCATGCGTCTTGGCATCTTCAGTCCGGTGTGCGCAGCCGGCTCCGTGCTGCTATTCCCCGCCTGGATGTGGGACAAGCTGCTGGGCAGTCTCAAGAGCAAAGAGAGAAGCAACTTCAAGCTCTACTACAGTGCCAAGACTGGCTACACTATTGCCGGCATTGCTTCGACCTTCTTCCTGTTGCCCGAGGTCGAGGTGGCCAGGATCCCACAAAACTTCAAGGATGTCTTGAGCGGAGGAGATGGTGCCTACAGCAGGGACGACTCATTGTTCAGCAATGCCAACAACCAGCCACAGCAGATCGCCGCTGTTGCACCATGGATCATCACCAAGGATAGCAAGGGCACCTTCCACACTGGATACAATGCATTCACATCCATCTTGCGCGCCTCCCCAATCCTTTGGCCTTTCGCCAGACTGTCGCAGACCAGCATTGTCCGTGCTGGATCACGCAAGGTCTTCAAGATGTGGGTGGCCAACGACAATGAGTTCAACAAGCAGTCAAAGACCGCCGCCAATATCTCAACCGAGGTTGGCCAGCGTCTTGACTCGTCGGACGGCGCCAACGATGAGGATCACCACGTGTTCAAGAAGCCCAAGGGAATCAGACCATTCAAGCTAGCACGCAAGGCCGTTGTCAACGGATTCATCGGATTCTGCATCGTCCTGATCTTCATGTGGAACTGCCAGTCGGCCAACACTGGCCTCGACATCACCTTCCCACACAAGTACCAGGACTTTATGTTCGCTCTCAGACTGGACCAGATGTGGTCTATGTTCTCACCACGCCCGCCCGCAGTGCTCTGGTGGTACTCGTTCGAGGCCGAGCTAGACAATGGTGCGAGCACGGAGCTGTGGGCCAACGACGGCATGTTCACGATGAAGGGCAATCCCGCGCCATTCTCTGTCGGCAAGCCATGGCCATACGCGTCCTGCGTTGGCAACCACAGATGGTTCAAGATGTACGAGATCTACAACGCCGGCACCAACTTTGAGATCGTGCGTCGCGGCTTTGGAAAGTGGTTGTGCAATGAGTGGAACTCGCAGCATGCCGGTGGCGAGCGTCTATACAAGTTCAACGTGGTCTACAGGAGTGAGCAGCAGCACTACAACTACACAACCTCTCCATTAGATCCAATGGTACTCTGGACTCAACAATGTTATGATAAGCCAGTTGTCCATGTTGCACCAACTCCTCAACCTGTATATATACCACCACCCCAGCAAGAGCAACAGCAGCAGCAACAAGATCAGCAACAACAGGCTCCACAGATATCACCTCCATCACAGGAATTACTGAAGCAACAAGAAGAGATGCAAAGGGAGTATGAAAGGCAACAGGCGTTGTTGCAGCAGCAACAGCAACCTGAGATTATAGTTCAGTAGTGTAGTACAGCTAATTAATAAAGAGCGCGTCATGGTCCTAGTCCATACATTCCCATCACATTCCTTGTTTCCAGTTTCCAACTTTGTTGTTTCGTTTGTTCTCCCCCCTTTTTAGTCGAGTTCAAGTTCAAAACGAACCTGAACACTCCATCTTGGTTCAAACTACAATCAGATGAGCAGGTATTACTCGACACTGTTCAAACATATACATACAGCCATGTCATCATCTCCACTCACTATCTGCACTCACTCTGGCTCGTTCCATGCAGACGAAGCACTAGCCTGTTTCATGTTGAAACAGACTAACAAGTATAAGGATGCACGTAAGTAATGAATGATTGAATGAATGAATAAGTGAGCAGTCATAACTAACATCTTTGTCACTCAAAGAGATCATTAGAAGTCGTGATGCGGCTGTTGTTGACAAGGCAGATGTAGCTGTCGATGTTGGAGCTGTTTACGATCTCAACAGGAACAGATTCGATCATCATCAAGCTGGCTTCACAGAGACATTCGATGAGCAGCATGAGACAAAGCTGAGCAGTGCTGGTCTCGTATACAAGTATGATCATCATCTCACATTGGACGATGTAGACAAGGACAGGACATGAACTAACTTTTATGTGTACACACTGCAGACACTTTGGCAAAGAGATCATCAAGTCAAGATTGAGTCTGAACGACGAGTGCACATCGATCATCTTTAACAAGGTCTATAATGAGTTCATTGAGGAGTTGGACGGCGTTGACAATGGTATTGAGCGCTACCCAATCGATATTAAGCCAAAGTATAGAGTCACCTCCACTATTGGTCAGCGCGTATCAACACTCAATCCAAACTGGAATGAGCCACAGACTGACGAGCTGTTGGGACAACGCTTTGAGAAGGCCATGCAGTTGATGGGCGAGACATTCTTGGACAAGGTGGACTACTTTGGCAACAGCTGGCTGCCTGCACGCTCAATTGTCGAGCGAGCTCTGCTGACACGTCGCGAGGTGCACCCATCGGGTCAGATCATTGTGTTGGATCAGGTCTGTCCATGGAAGGATCATCTGTACGAGTTGGAGGCTGTTCACGACGTCAAGGAGAAGCCAGTGCTGTTCTGTTTGTTCCAGGACAACCTTGGAAGCTGGCGCGTGCAGGCCGTCAATCTCGATGGCTCATTTGCTCTGCGCAAGGCACTCCCTGAGGCCTGGAGAGGTCGTCGTGACAAGGAGCTCAGTGAGCTCGTTGGAATCGAGGGTTGTATATTCACTCGTAAGTTAATCAATATCTTGTGGATTGATGATGGATGGAGTGGACGGATTGTGATGAATGTGAGGCTAACTTGGTTGTATTGTCCAACACACATAGATGCAAATGGATTCATTGGAGGACATGCCAACAAAGATGGAGCATTGGTGATGGCCATCAAGGGACTTGAGTCATAATACTTGTCTACTCATTTGGAATAAATCCAAGGATTATGGATGAATGAATGAATGGCCAACACTGTGGCTATGACAGTGGAGATGGCTGTGGCTGTAGCTAATGCTTGTTGTTGCAGCTGTACTGCTTGGTGGACTTGTTTCCCATCACCAACACGTACTTGTTGTCCCTCTTTAATATTATCTGTTTAGTTCTGGAACTGGATAATTTATCACTTTGAGTTATTACCTCCTTTTTTTCAAATTGATCGTTGGAAGTGTGAACGGATGATCATCCATTTCAAATCTGATTGATTGATCAACAACTGAAGTAAAGACGACCAATCATCAATCAATCATTCAGTACTGACGACGTGAATAATGGACGACTCAAGGTCATCCGATATAGATACAGGTGAAGACGAGGTAGATGACAACACCTCTGGTGATGAATCGTCATCCACGACGACAACAACAACGACAACCACAACTACGACATCATCGTCATCGTCCAACTCTTTACAGACGACCAAATCAATAATAGATGGATCTCCAAAGTTGAGAGACAAGGCAGAGATCGTTGCAGAGTTGGAGGCGCTGGTGGCTGAGAAGGAGTCGATCGAGTCAAAGTACGCAAGCATCGAGCGACAGATATATGCGTTGGAGGGGCGCTACCTGGAGGACACGCACCACATTGGCAACGTGATCCGTGGCTGGGACGGCTACCTCTCGGGCAGTGGTGCCCTCAAGAAGCTGCGATGGCGAGAGGTCGACAGAGTATTTTCACAATCATCCATTACCTATCAAGACTCGGTATGTTGTTGATCATCATTCATTCATTCATTCATTCAATCATTCATTGTCTAACTTCCAATCAATCAATCGACTTGTAGATAAGCGATAAGAGTGCTAATGATGTACCATTTAAAGAGGGTAAGTCCATGTTTGTTGTTGGTCAGTCGCTACCGAGGTTTGGTCAAGTTACCTGTTGACTAACAATGATCACTTCGTCTCCCCGCCACTAAATATAGAGGATGAGGTCATAAGAAGGAAGAAGACAACCGACAAGATTAAGAAGAGAAGTCAAGGATAGGAGTTGGCCACAGATCGTTGTTGCCAAACAAACTACTTGGAACGATTTAAATATACTATTATGTACATATATATATACAATGCACTGGTGAATGATCTAGGGATTGGACGATGGATCGATCAGTGGATACCATAAGGGTCGATGGTAAACAGACATCTCTGATTGGTTCTCTATATGTGAGGGACAAGTTAGTTATGATTCCATGGCCATTGCGTATGTCACTTGGTGAAACATACATATCTAGTGGACTTCTCCAACATGATTGATCTTTCTATGTTCTCATCATCGTTGAACTCACAATCAAGCATGAGTTGATGGTTGGACACTGCTGCCCACGACTCACCAAGTCCTGGCTTGTGTCCAGACTTGTTCTGTCCATTCTGATCATCTGCGCCAACAGTGTTGTTTGTTACCTGTCAATGTGTTCGATACATGGGAATGAGTTAGTTATATACCAAGCTTGGTGTGCTATCGCGGTCTCCAACTTACTAACACTGCAATCTGATGATGATCGGCAATAGACTTTAGTAGTCTGGCTATTCTCATCATTACAAAGTGACCATGTGTAGACTTGCCACCAAGTGTTGATGAGAGCAATGTTCCAACAGAGTCGACCACAATCAGTTTGAGTCTATCATAGAACTCGCTACTCTTTGACTCCAAAGCTATATGAGTGTTCTCCAGAATCTCTATCAACTTCATAGGGTCGTAACAGTTGTGCCACTTTATCCTATCCAAAATGGCCAAGATTGATTGATCAGTGTCCTACAGGGTTGGGTTGGTCAGTACATGTCTAGGATGTCTCGAGAAAGATGAACACATACAACTGGTTCAAAGCCTTCTTGACATTCGGCCACTAGTTGGTACTTGTGCATTTCGACAACTCTGTCGGCGGAGAAGGCAGAGGATGTGTCGATATAGAGTACACTGATACCATGATGTTTGGCCAATTGAAGTGATGTGAACATTGCCATTTGAGTCTTGCCACATGATGTTGGTCCAACAAGTTCAGTGAGTTCACCAGTGGCCAATCCTCCACCCAGCAGTAGGTCTAGACAACAACGAGTAGGCAACAGTGGTGCTCGCAATTGTGATTGATAGTGATCGCTTGCCAATACGGGCGTGGCACAGAAGTACTTTTGAAGATCCCTCTGTATCCTTTGTATCAAGTCCACTGGCAACTTTGTCTTATCATGCAGTCTTGTCGCATCCTGATATAACAATGCATCAACAGTTGTAACATCAGCTTGTTCCAATGCCAAAATATTATCCTCACTTAATAACTTGCTATGGTATTCTCTTAACTCTGACATATGTATGTGTACGTACAAATAATTAATGTATATATATGGTAATAAACAAATAATTGATACAAATAACTGAATTACATATTGTTTAGTCGACTTGGAGTTTCCGAACTTTTCATCTTCTTAGAAAATGACTTGTCTTCATTCATTTCATTCCGCATATTCAAAGAGAGATAATAACATAATAACAAGGACAATGTCAAAGACTACTGCTACTACTACAACAACAATATAATGTTGATGTAACTTAGAGCATGGTCGAAAGAGCAGAACATAACATTGTTCAGTCCTCTCTCCTCTATCCATACTCGAGTCTTCTTGACAATGGTTATCTTTGTTTTACAACCTTGATAATCACATGTAGGTGGCCTAATGAATGTAATTAGTTAGTTTCAATATTGGACAATCACTAGTCCAGTCATACCGGTACCTAAAATCACAATCAAGGTCATCTCTCAAACATCGAAGTCAATGCCAAGAGGCAGAAACACTTTCACTCGGACTCTAATGATTATAATGAAAGAAAGCTCCAACGAGCTTCATTGATATTATATTATATTACAGATTATGGTTGGAGTGCCCATCCCTTCTCAAGATCATTGCCATTCCAACAATCGGACACCTTCATGTTCTTCTTGATCACTTTGTACTGCTTGATCTTCTCAACCAGATTGGGCTTGCATTTGTACACGTCCTCCATGGTCATTGGCTGACGCGTCCTTGGATTGGTCTTGTTCATCTCCAGCCAGCCGTAGAGACAGTCGTAGCAGTAGTAGGTGGCAGTCTGACCGTCCATTGTGAAGTGGGGGTCGACCAGCCCGCCAAAGCATATGCAGCACCTGTAGCCATTCTGCTCGACGCTGCTCAGCGCGCACATGAACTGCTCCTTGAGCCCAATGTCATACTTGAACTTGGTCAGTCGCTCTTTGTACATGAATGACTGCTCGATGCTTTCTTCCAGGCCGTCATAGAGCATCTTGATGTCTCTTTGCTCCAGCGCCGACTCGACTAAATTGGTCGTGCCCGAGAAGATTGCGCCTATCGTTGTTGGTACGGCGAATCTCACACTCGTTCCGCCAGTGAGCGAGGACAGTGCGAGGCCTCCAAGCATTGTGACGACGCCGCCCACTAACGACGCCGCACCAGAATGTTCCTGCTTCTTCATCTTGTCGACTTTGTCCGCCAGGTTGACTTTGGTGCGGTCGACTTCCAGTACCAAGTTGTTGACATGGCCACTGATATCGTCGTACAGTAGACACATGGTTGCTTGGATGGCTTCAAGCTCCCAGGCAAAGGCTACAATATCAATGTCGCCAACATCCCTGCAGTAGATATCCTTGAACTTTATATACTGTTGACAAAAGGATTTGGTACAGCACAGGACTCCACGCAATACCTTAATAGCTCCAACAGTATTATTATAGAACCTTGGTACAGAGATAAGTTTGATCAACTTCTCCATGCGTTCAAACTCAAAAGTCAGCAACTCTTGAGCCACAACAAAGAAGTCTATCTGTTGATTGTGATATATGAACGAGCGAATGTGATTGATAGAGTTAGTGAGTAAGTGATTGTGATTGAGTGTTCTTTCATTCATTTATTACCTTGGGCTTATCTTGTTTGATTGTCTGATACTGTTCATTGAGTACTACTGCATCCCTTTGATCATCAGGTGACATACGACTCCAACTCCTAATAAAGGGTTGCTTCTTAGAATCGTTGAACTCTGTTGACATGTTGTGATATCCTATGTTATAACTATTTGATTGGTTGCTTGATCAATTGATTGACAAGTTAAATGATCACAATCAAACCAAAGTTCCCTCATTTGGAAATTCCGAATTCCAGGTCTTCTCGAGAAGACCATGTACGATTGAAAGACCGATCGTCCGATTGATTGATGAACACACAAAGGAATGGTTCCAGAAGTAATTAACTCACATATATGTGCTTTATTGGTATCAATCAATGATGATGTTGATATCCAGGTCGTCTTAAAAGCCCATTGGTGGCTGTGCTGGAGCTGTGAATGCGTGTTGAATGAATGAGGCGAGTTAGTGATTGAGCGGGCAGATTGGATGGAGACAATATCAAAACATACCTTGTGCAGATGATTCCTCCTTTGGCAGCTCGACAACCATGGCCTCGGTGGTGGTCATCAGAGCGGCCACAGAGGTGGCGTCAACCAAAGCAGTTCGGACGACCTTGGTTGGATCGATGATGGCCTGCGGCAATCATTGTTCTCGTATAATTCCCTTCTGGTGCGTTGTAACCGTACTCGCGATCACCGCGGTCCAGAAGACGTCCAATGACGACGGCACCATCGACACCTGCGTTCTTGGCGATGGTCTTGCATGGCACGACGAGAGCGTCGCGCACGATCTTCACTCCGATGTTCTGATCAAAGTTTTCCATCTTGATCTTCTTGAGTGCCAATGTGGCGTAGAGCAAGGCCGTACCACCGCCTGGCACGATACCCTCCTCAATGGCGGCACGTGTGGCGTTCAGAGCGTCCTCAATACGGTCCTTCTTCTCGCCAACCTCGACCTCGGAGGCACCGCCGACGCGGATCACACCAACGCCGCCGGCCCAACTTGGCCAAACGCTCCTGGAGCTTACCGCGCTGGTACTCCTCAGTGGTGGTTGTGATGGTCTCGCGCAACAGCTCGACGCGCTCCTGGATGGCTGCCTTCTCGCCGCCGCCGTCCAAGATGATTGTGTTGTCCTGGCTGATGGCAACCTTCTTGGCAGTGCCCAGCATGCTAATGTCGACTGACTCGAGCTTGGTGCCGAGCTCCTCGCTGATGACCTGTCCACCAGTGAGCACTGCAATGTCCTGCAGCTGCACCTTGCGCAGATCGCCATAGCCTGGTGCCTTGACGGCACAGACCTGAAGACCACGCAACTTGTTGAGAATGAGTGCAGTGAGTGCATCTGACTCGACCGACTCAGCGATGATCAGCAGCTTCCTGCGCTGTGCGTTGACAGCCTCCAAGATTGGAACCAATGTTTGAATGTTGGTGATCTTGCCGTCTGTCAGCAGAATCAATGGGTCCTCGAACTCCTACATTGATTGACATGTGAGTGTGTGGTAGTTGTTTGAGCTGTCAGTATCCTCTCCTCTATCTCTGTCGCTGTCCCTGTCGCGATACCTACACACTTCTGAGTCTTTGGGTCGGTGATGAAGTATCTTGAAATGAAACCTTGGTCGAACTTCATACCCTCAATGATCTCCAACTCATCCTTCAATGTCTTGCCATCCTGTGTGTTCGCGAAACAATGTGTGAGTTAGTGTTTCCGTGTGTTGTTCCGTGTTGCCGTGTGTTGCCACGTGCGACATATCAAACAAACTTACCTGAACTGTGATGACACCTTCGCGACCAACTTTCTCCATGGCACTAGCAATGATGTTACCAACAACGGTGTCACCGTTGGCAGAGATGGTGGCGACTTGAGCAATCTCCTCGGTGGTGGTGATGGGACGCGAGTTCTTCTTCAGCTCCTCGAGCACGCGGTCGACGGCAAAGTTGATTCCACGCCACAAGTCCATTGGGTTCATACCGGCAGCAACAGCCTTGCAACCCTCAGCAAAGATTGCCCTGGTCAGCACGGTGGCAGTAGTCGTTCCATCACCAGCAATGTCGTTGGTCTTGGAGGCGACGCCCTTGACGAGTGCAGCACCGAGGTTGATGCGACGATCTTGGAACTCGATGTGTCTGGCAACTGTGACACCATCCTTTGTGATCTTTGGTGGGCCGAATGGTTGATCCAAGATGACGTTGCGTCCCTTTGGTCCGAGAGTGACCTCGACGGCTGCGGCCAACTGTTCAACACCGCACAACATCAAAGCACGGCACTCTGCGCCGAACTTGATCTCCTTGCCTGTGGAGTAGTTGACTGATCCCAAATGACGCTGAACCAATGGCTTCAATCTAATTGAGTGTCTCAACATCGTTTTTGATTATCTATATATCTATCTCTCTTTAAATATATCTTTGATTGATTGATTAAATGAATGAATGACTCAGTGATGTGTGTGACGAATGACGAAAGATCAAAAAGTTCACACAAACCCATAAACTGATTGATGGAAGGTTACGTGGCAAGCCAACTGGGGATATAATACCTTGGGCCCAAATGATGTCAAAGTAATTGCACATGATATAAAAATAAAGATATGTTTGTTCATTTTTAATATTATTAATGATATAACTATGTTGTCTTTTTGATCCTGATGACCAAGTTTAAAGTTAGTAACTCATTCATATCTCACTTATCCACTGGATCTAATCCAATCACACACAAATCAATCAATCAATGATATCGTCATAATCAATCGTCCACTGTAACTATTCCAAATCAATCAATCAATTCACTGGATTCCTATTGAAAGGGAGTATTTATTGAATATTAGAAATGATGATTAAGATCATGGTGAGGAAGGTGGAGTGGAAGTCAATCAGCCAGAGAGAGCTATCTGCTTATGGAGAGATGGTCGATGGAGTGTTGAGACGGTGGATGATTGGAGTTCTGATCAAATCCTCAGCGACGAAATCAACAGTGGCATCAAAGTGGTTGGAATCAGCCCAGGTAGTGAAAGTGCATGTGAAGCCAGTGGTGGTGATGTTGCTGGCGTTGACCTGGATGCGAGTGGTGTAGCACTTGCCATGGGCCGAGTTGGCGTCGATGTGGCGCAGACCAAGGGCCACGGATGGAGCGCAGAGGAATGGCACTGGGAAGGTCACCTGGCGGGTGGCCGATCTCGAGCCCGAGGTCGATGGCTCGATTGAGCTGAGCTCACGGTTGCCAATGGCGACCGATCCAATCTGGGTGGTTGGGTAGGTGTTGAAGGGCAGGTGGTACAGCTCCCAGCGGAGACCCATGTTGGAGTTGAAGGTCACTGGGTGGAGGGCGATCGAACGGGCGTAAATGGGTGGGTCGAAGGCGTAGGCGACAGGGGTGTCGACATCGGTGTTACCAAAGATCTTGGCTCCGCCAATCAGGTTGAACCAGTTCTTGTTGTCCTGGCTGAAGCGGATTGTGTATGCGGTGATGAACTGGTCGGTTCCACTACGGCCCTGGGTGGCAATGCCGGTGAACATTCTGGGGGCGTCACAGCTGGCAACAATGTACTGCTTGTCATCGACGGCACCTGGTACCCAACCGGAGATTCCACCTGGACGTGGGCTGATAAAGTTGAGTCTGCAGTGGAAGATACTGTAGTCTGGGCTGTAGTCAGAGGACGAGCTAAGGTTCAACGATCCATTGTAGATTCCGGCAACTCCATTATCCAAAAGGGCATCAACGGTAGTTGGAACAACGGTTTGTGGGCATTCACAGTCAGTGGTAGTAATCATTTTTGATTTAATAAGGGGATTATTATTAATTGATTGATTGGTATAAGTATTTGATTAATATTTGTTTGTTTGGATGATTAACTTATTGTCCAAGACATGATTATTTATATTCTTTGGTATTTGGTCATTTTACAAACAAATAATATCAAAAATAATAATATTTATTAATTTAGATATTCTTCTAATGTTTGAAAATATTCTCCCCAATATTAAGCCTTTGAGGTTATATATCCATGTTGATTGTGTATAACTTGAGGCCTTGGAATATGTCGTTTGGGGTTCAAATCATGGTCTGATCAAGACATTGGTCCAAGTCCAAGGCTAACACTTTGGCAAGACATACAGTATCGGGGTGTGTCTATTCACGATCAGGTTTCGGTGTACCTGTTGTAAAAGGTCCACCCCAATCCAATCAAATCCAATCCAATCCTATTCAATCAGGATCCATCAAATGGTATTAGGTAATAGTTACAAACTAATATATTGATACACATGGCGAGTAATCACTTGGCGACACGTACTTTATGTCCAGGCCAAGGAAATCTAATTTTGACTCTCAAGTCTTGTTATTGGGCAAAATCAAGACATGTGATCACTCTCGGCCTGTGACTCCCCAAGCACACCAGCATGTCCTACTTTTCAAGATCACAAAACCGAGCAGACCTGTCACTCTGTCTGTCAAACAATCAATCAGTTGTTAATCCTGAAGAGACAGTTGGATGGATGGACGGGTGGATGGATGTATTCAAAACACCAATAACTCGAGTCGAACCAAGAGGACATGCTGGAAGGCAGGGTAATATTGGATGTTGGTTGGGTTCCATTCGCTACGCCTCCAGCACCACGAACAAGTGGACTGGCCCACTACTTACCTACTACAACTGGACACGCCAAACTGTAGTGCTAATAACAACAAATATACTGGCTTCTACTTTCCTGTTCAATGTACCACATGAATATGTGACTTGAAGTTATGTTATAATGGTGATGGTGATCCATGACAAGTTGATTGCTTAATTGATTGATTGATTGATCGATTGATGTTGTTGTCGACAAGTACCCTCATAACTGTAATGTAGTAGTAGTAGTAGTAATTAACAGTTTATTACAAATATTAAGATGACATCAATCGATCAATCGACCAATTAATCATCCTCTGTGAGCGCGGTCAAGTGCGCGATTGTGCATTGTCTAAGAGCTGTGATGTTGTAGCCACCCTCCAGAACGGATATCAGACGGCCACGGCACCAGCGATCGGCAACCTGGCGTAGATGACGAGTGATCTCTACATAGTTCTCGTCGAGCAGACATAATGATGCGAGATGGTCGTCAATGTGCGCGTCAAAGCCACACGAGATCATGAGCAGCTCTGGTTGGTACTCGTTCAGACGGTCGATGATGATGTTGAACGCCTTCAAAAAGGAGAGTGCCGATGACTTGGGGTCCAGTGGGATGTTGACAATGTTGCTGGCCGCCTGGCCCATGTTGGGGTCCTGCGCCGATTGCTCGGGCGGCACGCTGCCATCAGGCAACACCACGCCGTTCGCACCGTCGCCGCCACCGCTGCCAGGGTAGAAGCCCTCTTCAAACATGTGGATCGAGAGGAAGAGGAAGCCAGGGTCGCCGGCCAGGATCTCCTCCGTGCCATTGCCATGGTGCACATCAAAGTCCACGATGGCTATCTTCTCGACTCCATACTTGAGTTGGGCATACTTGGCACCGATGGCCACATTGTTGATCAAACAGAAGCCCTGCGATGTGGTGCCCGATGTCAGTCCCTCGCGTCCTGCATGATGTCCTGGTGGACGAGCCGCAACAAACGCTGAAGTCACTGCTCCCTGGACGACCTGGTCGACTGCATGGAGCGTGGCGCCGGCAGCGCGACGAGCAGCCCGCAGCGAGTGCTTGGAAATGAATGTATCGCCATCTTCGCCATCCGCAGACTGGATGCAACCGCCTCCACTTTGTGTCGCGCCATCCTTGGCATTGAGTGGTCGCACTTCATTGCCCTCCAATCGCTGGCTCATCTCATCGAGGTGTCGCAGGTATTCTGGCGAGTGCGCCGTCAGTATCCACTTGTCGGCCACCTCCTCTGGGTCGTTCTTGATGATCAGGCGGTCAGACTGCTTAGAGAACTCATTGATCGCGCGAATGACCGAGGCCAGACGCTTGGGCGACTCGGGATGGTCGTCAGGGACGCCATGCTCAATGCACTGCGTGTGGTACACGGCCAGCACTTGGCGCTCGCGGCCCAAGCTCTGGAACCGGCGGCTTGGTGACGGCTGTCTGATCGTGTCGTACTTGTTCAGTAAGTCGTTCAGGCGTGGTGCGTAGGGGTTGGACGGGTCGATCCACTCAGTCTCAAAGTCGGGGTCACCACGACGTCGACTGCCTGCACTCATTGATCGGAGCACGCTGTAGGCGAACGACATCTTGTCGGCATTGGTCAATGTCTGTTGGATAACGTCGACGATGTAGGCCTGCACCATGCGTTGATGCTTCTCGATGATTGCCTTCCAACTCTGCATGTGAATGGAGTAAAGTAGCTCCAACATGTTCTGGAGCTTATGTGTGACGCCCAACTCGCGTTGAGTTGCGCGCAGTCTTGTCTCGATACTTGTGAGAGTGGACTCGAGAGGACCCATTGAGTCCAGCGTGCGCTCGGGGTCTGACGGGATGGGTGGTGACTCCCAGCCATCATCCGACTCGCCGGCCAAGCTGGCCAACAGGCTCGGGTCGCTGAAGCTTCCCTCCAGGGCCTCGACACGGGACACAAGCATCTCACGGAACACTTGGAGGTCATTGAACACACCTTCGTAGGTGTCCAACAGGGGTTGGTACTTGTGAAGTTGGGCCACAATCACTTGGACCTCACGCTCATCAAAGCTGATCCTCGTCAGTGACACCAAAGTGTCGTCCATCATATTGTGATGATGTGCCATCAGTTGGTACAATGATTGATATGCCTTGGATATGTTGAACAAGGGACCATCGATGGTGGATAACAGACGTCTGGACAGGGGTGTCGTGTTGAAGCTCGACTCAGCACTCGGGGACGACAGTGCCGTCAGGTATTGTGCCAGGCGTTGACGATTGTCAGGTGTGAGCTCGCGCGAGAAGACTGAGATTGAGTGTAGCAGACGTTTGAAGCAATCGACCATTGAGAGTGATGGAATGAATTGGGCAAACTGTGCATTGTTGGCAAACTGTGATCCAGCACCAAATTGAGCGTTCGTGCCCAGAGTGAAGGACTCATTCTCGAACGAAGAGTCGGTGGCATATGTATCAATTATCTGTGATATCTTGGAACCATGGCTCGAGCGAGCCTGATTGAGTTGTTGATGTTGTTGGATAATATGTTGGTTATGGTTATTGTGTGATTGGCTGTGTCTGAGTGATGATCCAAGGTTCTGCTGACTGATTGAGCTGGTGAGTGTGGATGGCAGATGGGCGTGGGAGGAGCTGCGACCTGATGATGTTGGTGTATTGTTATTACTGTTTGGACTATTATGATTGTTGTTGATGTTGTTGTTGTATGTGGCTGCGGCTGCCATTGATAGTTGATTCATTGATGGACGTGTTGGAAGTGGTGGCATGTTGTTCGATGATGCGGAGGATGAGGATACGACAACTGGCTTGGTTGGGCCAGGTCCGCCTCCCAGTGAACTGAGTGAACTACTTGTAGTCAATGGTGGAGGAGTGCCGCCAATACTTGATGATAGCAAATGGTTCATGTTTGGTGTGCTTGATGCCATGCGATTTGGTGTGCCCATCAATGGTCCACTATTTGGTGTTGACACTCTTTGTTGATTATTGTTATTGATGATTCCAGAGTTGTTGGAAACACTCATGCGTAGGTTATTCGACGATGATTGATTGGACAAGTTCTGGATTGGTACATAGTTATTCATACTGTTATGGCGAGAGTTGGGAACGGACATGCAGGGTGGAGATGGAGGCGATGAGATTGGTGAATCATTGGGCGATGATGAAAATAATGATGGAAGGAATTGTGAGTTTGGTGAATTGCCTGGAACATCACCAATCTTTGACTTCTTAAATGGTCTCGCAGTCCTCGTTGCCAAGTCCAAACTAATCTCCTCTGGACCCATTCCATATGCTATTGAACTAGTATCTGGTACCATTGATGATGGATGTGTTATCTCTTTGGACTAAATATTTTTTATAAATGTTAGAAATAATTATTATTTTGGAATAATTCCAATTCCAATTTATATTCTTACAGTCCATTTAGTACCACAAGCTTTACAACGCCAACGTTGGGCACCTTTGTTTGTCTTTCCTTTACGTTGTGAGTAGAGAACATCTTCAATGCGTGGACAATGACCATTGCAATGACCACGTGAGGATGCTGCACAACATGGTGGTTTCTCAGCATGACCTCTAAGGCCATCTGAACCCATTGCCAATGTATGAATGGACGTCATAAAGTCAAAGAATGTTGAAGGTGAAGTTTCCATATTGGATTGGAAAAAAATAATAAATAAATAATATTAATATTAATAATTAAAATGAATAATTATAAAGTAAAAATAATAAATATTGATTGATTGATAATAGTTGGATAATTAATAATAATAATCTTTGGTGATGACCTTAAGTCAATCAATCATAAAGTTAAAAGGATGTTTGAGTGGAGGGATATTTTTTTTTGTTGGATTGATGAATAGGGAAAGGGATGTGATGAAGAGAGCTCTGATGCATGGAAATAACAGGTTCAATTACAACCATCACTGAGTGAATATGATATGATATGAGTGAATGAGTGAAGCAACAAGCAAGCAAGCAAGCTAGATTGAGTTGACGAGGTGCGCACCTGTTGGGAAGAGAGACGCGAAGGAGGGGGTGTAGATGCTCGGCGTGGTGGATCAAGTGTCGTGGTGGGACGGGACGCAATCATGCCACTCCATGCCATGCCATGCCATGCCGTAATGCGCTGCCACTATCCCTCCATCCCTTGCTTACTTCCTTCTTACCAGCCACAGGCCATCATCAGTTTCCTGGCACTCGGCCAACCACTCTGAGGGTAGGTGGATGCAGTCATAGAGAGGGGGGTCGGAGAGGTACGATGTCTTCACTAAACAGGTTAGAAACACGCCACTACCACCACCACTCTCAACAGCACCCTTGACCATATGTGTGTGAGTGTTTGTTTGGGAAGTTGAGATGCTTGTTGGTTGGTTGGTTGTTGTTGTTGTTGGCGTTGATGATGATGTAGATGGTAAGGGTATTTTTGGGTACGATTCGCATTGAGCTGTCCACTAGTCAACATCATCAACAAATTAATTCGCGCTCATTCTAACACCTGATCAGCATAAGGGCGATCCTTTAGTCAACACACAACATGCCACCTGATGATCAGTGTGAGTGCCACAGATTGTGTATGTGTTGGTGCAAAGGTCGGGTCGTACGACTGTGAGTGAGACTGATTGAGTGGGTGAGTGAGTGGTCAGCGATGTTCTTCCATTGATGAATGAGAGGGTTAGGTGTGTGTCTGTGTGTGATGCTGATCTATCAAACACCCACTAACGTTGTGGCTACTGATCAATTTGTAATCCTGTTGCTGTTGATGTGTTGTTGATGAAGTGTTGTTGGCTTGGCTTGATGTCCTTGGCAACACCCACGGCGTTGAGCTTCCGCTCATCTGATTATATATTTACACTTCACTTATTAATACATTAAACAATAGATTAGGTCAATCACTGTTTGATCAGCTGATCATTCCATTCAATCAACCGAGCCTCCAATATAACATTGCCACTACTACTACTACCACTATCTATTAATGGGATGTTGTTGATGATGACAGGAGTGAGTGAGCCACACACCTGATCAACAGCTGTTGTACGACTACTTGAGATTATAAAATCTATTAATCACATGATCATGATGTGACTTGGAACACACATAATGAGGGGTGTGACTTACAGACTGATTGCCTCGAGGGCATGTAAGATTGATGCATCCATCAACACTTCTCTTATTACCCATTTTGGTAATAAAGTTGGTTGACCGTGGATGGATTGAATTGATTGCTCTGTGTGGAAGAAGGGTGTGTGGGTGTTGACGGAGATGGATGAATGGATGGATGGATGGAGTCCAGGTAGATCAACGCCATCCATCAACCAACCTTACCTTACCATGATCAGAGTTAACATCTAACCAATCAATCACACACCCACATATATTCCAACCAGTGTCTACTACCATATCCTGGCCAATCAATCAATGCCAAGAAATGTTACTTACGAACATGTTCACTGATTGATTGATTGATTAATGGATGTGGGGAGGAGTGAGGCGGTGATCTACGTTACTACTACATGCGCATAAAGTATGTAGGATGATGATGTGATTGGGCGTGGCAACATGTTTATATAAAGGTTACAGGTTCGTGGTACTCGCATTATGATATCCAACTTTAATGATACATGCTATCGATCTTGATTGATTGAGTGATTGATTGAGTGATTGATCGCTTAGATCAATCAAGACGACCACTTTGGACCTTTGCAGAGCATGGCAAAGGTTTGATTGGCAAACCTGTACTCCTCCTTGGACTCATTCACTCGTTGTAATTGAGTAAGGAAGACTTGCTTGTCGGCAGAGTCGACGATGCCGCTCAAGAAGTCAGTGTTGATCAGGAACTTCCTCAGCTCCTGTCTGAACGGTGTTGGAAACACTGTGCCGTATGCCTGGAACACGTCCGCTGCAAAGTTGATCATCGGGTAATTAAACAGAAAGGCCACGCCCACCAACAGGTTCCTCAGCAGCACTCCACCTTGCGTGGCAATCACCTGGTTGACGGTCTCCTCGAAACGTTGTCGTACAATCTCGTTTGAAGACTTCTTTAGCATCAGTATCGACTCCATCAAGATGAAGCAGTTCCTATTCGTCGACACATCATTCACATCCAATATGTTGTGCAACACATAAGTGAACACTGTGGCTACGATATTCACATCCACGCATTGTGGATAACTCTTGAGCATCTACATTGATTGATTGATTGTGGAGGTTGAGTAAGTGGAATAGCTCCATGATTGAGTGATTGAACGAGTTACTTACATGTATAAGCATGGTAAAGTATTCTTTGGAGAGGTCACTTCGAACTGAGAAGCTGAGTAGGTATTGTGGATCGGTGGGGTACTTCTTGAGAGGATGTGAGGCGGACAGGGGAAGGTTCACATTTTGAACAGTCTCACTCCTCAGCACTTGGAAAGTGGTTGTCGAGATCATTGATAATGCCTGTCTGATGGTATCGTCCACCTCTGGTGAGGTCATGTTGCCATTGACAGTGAAAAGCACCTGAAGGAGGTGGTGGCTGGGATTCCTGGTGAAGGCGGTCGTCGCCTGCTTGATGATGCTCACCACAAAGTCCTCAATCAATGGCTTGCAATACATGAGTGTCCATCTGTACATCTTTGATATCTCCTCCAGTACGTCTGAATCCGATCCAAACACATTGAGTACGGTCTCCATCTGTGGAACGATCACGCGATACAAGTGATAAAGTGGATGTTCCTTTGGTATTGACTTGTCGTCCAAGTCCACAAGATTGATCGTCTTCTCATAAACTTTCAGCTGTATCTTTAACAATTGTAATGACTTTGATGTCGCGCCCTGTGTTCGTTCATTCATTGATTGATTGAGTTAGCTGAATGCCGCGCCATTCCTATCGCTGGGCCAACTACTTACTGCTTGAATGATTTGAGTGACATTCTCTATGACTGGTATGAGCAGCTTCTGGAAGGGCTCAGCCAACTGTGATGAGGGGACGACTCGGATGATGTAGAGCAGGGCCTCGTATACCCTGACAATGGATGGATGAGTCTGGTTCGATTTGAGATGTGGCGCACACAAGTTCAAGATAGCCGTGATATTGGTCATGAGATGTTGTGCGCACTGCCTGGTGACCGTGAGACAGTAGAATGAGTTGGCGGCCACCTCTAGCAAGTCGGGCGAGGAGAAGGCCGGGATCAGATCAGCCACCACCTTTTCCAGTGCGGCTACATCACCCTGCAGGTATCCAGACATCTTGCCAATCAGTACGATCGAGGTCTTGATCAAGGGCAGCGTCTTGACGGGGAGGGTTGGGATGAGCTGCAGCAACACGGCCATATACTTGGAGTCCTTGTTACTGGGCTCGGTCAACATCGAGATAAAAGCCAGCGTCACCTCGTACTTTTGCCACTCCTGCACGTTGTTCTGAAGGTCGCTCTGCAGTTGCGCCACCAGGTGATTGATGAAAAAGTTGCTCTTGTCAAAGAGGGCACGCTGTATGTTCAAAAGCATGTCCTTGACGGTCTTGCGGAATGTAGTGGTCTGCGAGGGGTCGTCCGTGCAGTAGACCGCCAAAGTGAGCAATCGATGTAGCATGCTCAGGAAGTAGTTGTCCAGGTACTCCTTGCCCAGCGACTCGTGTGTGTACTCTGTGCGTCCCTTGAGCTCCTGGAACAATGGCTGCATCAGCTCGCACATCTCGTGATTGCCCTGCTGGACAAAGTGCAGCAGGGTCTCGAGATATCGCTTGACCAGATCAGCCTTGAGCAGCTTGGATGAGTTGTGATACAGTACCTGGACAAAGAGGTGGCAGATGGCCTTGGCCGTCTCGAAGCGGCCCTCTTGCATCGCGCGGGCAAAGTTGGGCGGCATCAAAGCCAGGAGGTTCTCGGCCACCAACACAAACATCTGCTCGACCTCGGGTGAGAGACGCGCCGACAGATGCACGAGCGACCGCTCGATCAGCGTGCACATCAGCTCAATCTGCGATGGGTCCTTGTCGACGGTTGCCAATGTGCTCTCGAAAATCGTGCGCAGTATCTCTGTCTTGATGGGCAGCATGTAGTGCAGCCAGGCAGACAGCGCGCGCAGTATCTGCTTCTGCTCTGGACGGCCCTGTACCTGTGGAGGGATGGTCAGACAGGCCAGCAGGTACTGGTACACGACGTCAATGTCTGTGGTGATCTCGCGCTTGACGATCTTTGTCGAGTATGAGATGGCGCAGGTGATCAGCTCCTCGGGGAAGATCGTGAGGAAGTCGAGCACGAAGCGCAGACGATCCATGCGCATGTCGACCAGTGGCTGGTCGAGGTTCGGACTGCACAAGTGCATCACGTCGTCCAGTGGGCGCTTCCACAGCGATGAGTATGTGTACATGGCCATTATACTGAGTGCCACGCATACCCTTGTCGAAACGACACTATTGGTCAACTTGATCGTGTGCTCTGTCAGGTTAACCATCACGTTGAATATCCTAATCCTAACATCCGTTTGCAATGATATCCATTCCTTTCTCAACTTTTGTTCCAAAGTAGATGCTCCAAAGAATTGTAACTCCATTACCTTGACATGATTGAAGTGATTGAATGATTGAGAGAGTAAGTATTGATTGATTGTTATGTTGAACATCAACATACATTGGTACCAAAGATCAACTTGGGACAGAATTCCCAGGCCTCTGGTAGGGTCTGAATGTGCATCAACCATTTGTTGGCCATGTCTCTAACTGTAGCATCATTTGATTGATACAGTGCAACCAATGCCTGTGATATAGTCTCTACAGTAGGTGGTGCCAATACTCCATTATCTACAACATTAAGTGTTGGTTGTGTTGATGTTGTTGATGTTGATGTTGTTGTCGATGTAGATGATGTAGTTGGTGATGATATAGTTGGTGAAGTGATGCTATTACTAACACCATTATTCTTTATATTGCTACTAGTGCCGAACCCATTACTACTACTACTACTACTATTGTTGCCATTCATACTTATCTATATATATGTGTGTATGTGTGTATGTACAAAGAGATAGAGATAGAGATATAATAAATGAACTTGAGACAAAGTGGTTGGTTCAATTCAAATGCGCCCTTTTTCAAATTGACGCGTCTGTCTTGGTCTTGAGATGCGTGTGTGTCACTTCGAAAAATGAATGTGGACTTGTCGATGACAAAAACTGAGACAAAGGTGAAGACAATGAGAGAGACAAGAGGAGAGAGGGAGGCGGGTTGTGTTTCTAGTATCTTTTATTCCCTAATCACAGTTAAGTTGCTTATTACAAAAGGTAACAGGTTTAAGCAACCAAAATGCAGGCGCCACCAACAGCCTTGATCTTCTTCTCAGCGACCTTGGAGAAATAACGGGCCTTGACGATGATTGGTTGGGATGGGAGGAGACCGTGACCCAAGACCTTGAAGAAACCCTGTTGTGATTGATTGATTGATTGATAGATCGAACAAACAATGAATTGATTGATTGATTGAGTATGATCGAATGATTGATTGATTGATTGAATGAATGAGGATGATTGAGATTAGTAAGTGTTGGCTTTGATGTGCACATGCTTGAGGACATTGAAACATACTCTCTGGGTAACATCGACAACTGGGGCAGTGCCGTCGTTCTTGGTGGCGAGCTCCTTGCGGACGGTATCTGGGACAAAGGTCCAGATCTTCTCGAGGGAGACGGTTGGGCAGTAGGATCTGTGTCTGACCAAATGGAAGGTTCTCATACCGAGCTTACCGAAGTATCCTGGGTGATACTTGACAAAGTTGATACGGTGGTGAGTCAGACCACCAGCGTTTCCACGACCACCAGCATGCTTTCTGTGCTTGCCTATAGATTGGTGTATATGTATCCGTTAGCTAATCGATGTTCATTTGTCGTTCGTTCATTCATCAATCTTGGCAATCTGGAGTCGTCGTGTTTGAATGTTGTTGTTGCTGCTGTTGATCGCTGATGATGATGATGTATCCACATACCGACACGACCGTAACCGGCGCAAACATCTCCTCTGGACTTTCTGTGCTTAGAGAAACGGGTAGGCTGTTGGGTATCGCGATGTTAGTATATGGTCATTCTTTCGAGAGATGGATGCTTGATGGATGATCATCGATGCTGATTGACATTGATGATTGATTGACCATCCATCATTAATCGTTGATATCATTGACATGACGTACCATTCTGTGATATAGGGGATTGTGATATAAATGCTGCTGCTGATATGTTTAGCTACAAACGAAGACAAACATCCTCCTCGTGCGGCTCACCCACGCTCAGCTCATGATCCTCGCGAGCACATCTCTCATCCTGCTTCAAAAAAATACATAAAATGAATTTAAAATAAAATCCGAGTTTCAAAACACTTCGAATCCTTTCATCTTGTAAAATTAAATGCCCGGTGAGGGTATGTCTGTGAGGGTAAGATGACTTGGAAATTTTGGAATAAAGTCCAGGCACATCATTCATCCAAAGTGTATGGGTTGAGTGATGATCCAACTTATAAGTCGGAAATATCATCGATCAGATATTGTGTGTACCACATATCCAGAGTCTTTATGATGTGCATCATCACAACTTGATCACTCAATCACTCATTCAATCGATCAATCATTCACTCATTCAATCAAACAAAACAGATGGATAAAGATAGGACAACAACATTGTTATTCAAACAAATAATCAATGATATATGTTTGAGAAAGACGAATATATTTGGTTGGGTACATTGGATACATGGTGAACGATTTAAATGTCGTGTGATGTCATGGAGTGACTTGGTCAGTCGTTGGATAAGATTGGTGATCACATTAAGAAAGGATTACCAATTCGCTGGATATCAATTCATTCATTATCCATCACATCTATATGTTATCAAATATATTCAATCACTTGGAAAATCACAATCGTCATCTGATGCAGTACCATTGTACAAACATATAACTGCCATTGACTTGATGTCCATGATTGGTCGATTGGACCTTGTACAATACCTTCATGACCAAGGATGGCCCGCGACAAACATGGCTATGGACATGGCCGCATCACTCGACATTGTTCAGTTCTTGCATGAGCGTCGCGATGAAGGCTGCACGGTCAATGCAATGGACAGGGCCGCGTCAAGTGGCCGCTTCGATGTGATCAAATACCTTCAAACGCACAGGAGTGAAGGCTGCACGGTCAATGCGATGGACTGGGCCGCAAGGATGGGCCACTTTGACATCGTTCAATACCTTCATACGAGCAGGACTGAAGGCTGCTCAAAGTATGCCATGCACGACGCTGCCGATGGCTGTCGGGCAGACATTGTTCAGTTCCTGCATGAACATCGCACAGAGGGGTGCAAGAACGACACACTCCACGTTGCTGCCGAGCGCGGATGTCTTGATGTCGTCGCTTACCTCTGCGGAAATCGATCGGAAGTGTGGACGGCCGACCCATCGCCCATGTACGCGGCAGCCAAAGGTCGCCACTTGGAGGTGCTCGAGTACCTCCATCGGACTGGGCGCTTCCAATACACAGAGGAAGAGATTGACATTGCCGCGGAGAATGGATGCTTGGAGATTGTAAAGTTCTTGAACAGTGATCACAATCGCACAGAGGGTACAGACACCGCGATACAATTGGCCGCGATGAAGGGACACCTCGACGTCGTCAAGTTCCTGAACGAGAATGGGAAAATGGAGGGCATCTCGGAGGCTCTGTCCGCCGCTGCAGAGTATGGACACCTGGAGATAGTTGAGTATATGCATCATAACAGCACGGAGGAATGTGTAGAGTCGTACGTGGAGGGGGCGGCCAGAAAAGGATATCTGCCCATCATTCAGTTCCTCCATAACAATCGAACGGAGCCTTGGTCACCCCAAACCCTGGACATGGCTGTTGAGGGCGGACACCTGGAAGTGGCGGCCTACCTTATGGAGCACTGTGGGGTCAAGGGCACGGAGGACACATTCTCTTTGGCTGCGTGGAGTGGTAACCTTGGGATAGTTCAACTGCTGAATGAGCGCAACTCAGAATACTTCTCATCAGAAATGGAGATGGATGGTGCCGCGAGAGAAGGACATCTGGACATCGTCGAGTATCTTCACCGACGTGGTAAAGTATGCACTGGGGACACGATGGACAAGACCGCCAAGAATGGACATTTAGACGTCGTGCGCTTCCTCCATTACAACAGCACATTGGGCTGCACTACCAAGGCGATGGATAACGCCGCACTCAATGGAAGCCTCGAGATTGTCAAGTTCCTCCATTACAATCGAACAGAGGGTTGTACAACCAACGCAATGGACAATGCTGCGCAGAATGGGTACCTGGAGATCGTCAAGTTCTTGCATTACAATCGAACAGAGGGCTGCACAGTCACCGCCATGGACGACGCGGCCATGTATGGCTATGAATCAATCATTCACTTCTTGCACAATCGAACAGAGGGCTGCACGACCAAGGCGATGGACCGGGCCGCTGGCTTTGGTCAGCTGAGTATCGTCCACTTCCTGCACACTCATCGCACGGAGGGATGTACCAAGGATGCCATGGACAAGGCCATCGGCAATGGCTATCAATCAGTCATATCATATCTCCACGAGAACCGCACTGAGGGCTACTCTGTCCAGCTCAAAGAATCCAGTATTCATAGCACAGTCTACAAATACTTGAAGTCCAAACAAAGTCTGGCACAGTCATCTGGCATGAGTGACCTGGCCTCATCTTGGAACCATTCCAATCAATCACCACCCAATCAATCACTCATGGAGTCGTCGTCCAACACTCTTTCAATCAATCAATCTTGATTATTAAACTTTATTGCAGTTTTCCTGAATTGGGCTAGGCCGATGTGCTTGCTGACGATCTCTTTGGCTTCGTCCACTTGTTCGTATAGTTGGGCGTAGTGCTCAGTGGGCATCCAGTCGCCTGGCACAGCATCGCGGTTCCGCAGTATATCCACCGCTCGCTCCACAGTGATTGAACGCTTGCACATTGTCATGTCCATAATGACTGGCCGCAGCCAAGCCCTGAGTGAGCGAATCAGCTCATGTATGGCCTCGGGATGTGGCATCACCTTTAACTTCTTGACCATTCTCGTGAAGGGTTTGATGGCAAACTCTGGAGGCAGTGTTGCTTGAGCCTCATTGGCCGACTCGCTATACATCCTCTTCTCCTCCCTGGCATTGGCGAGATCGGCCTTTAGAACCTCGCGTCTCATATCCGGGTAGTTACTGACATGTGCTTCGTTGTCCTCTAGTAATATCTGGCCGGGTTCCACATCGGGTGGGGCGGGATCGGGGCATTTTGATGCCAGCTCATCGACATTCAAGACGCCACCCATCATCTCTGTGACGTACATGCCAATCTCTATTGGTGACTTGTTCTCGAGCAATGCCATTGATATCCTTTGCCATAACTTGACGGGATTGTGTCGCGCCAATATTGGGAATCTTGACAAATTGGCATGTATGATTGTCTTCTCGCTCGAGTCGAATGACGCCAATGTTCTATACTGACTTGTAATCTCTGGTCGAGCAGTTGAGAACAGACGAGTGTTTGCTGGTCGTGATGACGATGACTTGGCGTCTTGTGTTGTGGTGGACGATGTAGTGGCGATCTTCCAGCCAAGATCAACTATGGGTATGCCACCAGGTGCCATGTTATGACGTGATTGTGGAGTCAATGGTTCAACGATGTTCTTGAATGTAAACATGATGCCAACTCCAGTATCCTCCTTTGTATAATTATCCGGATCATTTTGTATTTTCTCTTGTTGTCGTCGTCTTAGTCGTTCATAATAATTGATTGATTCATCATCATCATCGTCGTCCTCTTCCTCCTTTGCTCCTATATTCTCTCCTTCATTGATGGGTACAATGGACAACTGATTGTTTACCCAATTGTCTTCGCCATCTCCATCTCCTTCTTTATCGTCTCTCTTTCTTTTCTTGATGTTGTTGTTAATGTTGTTGTTGTTGTTGTTGTTGTTGTTGCTGCCAGTGCCAATGCCAATGCTGGCGCCAGTGCCATGTGCCTTGGGCAATGATGACGATGTTGAAGTTGACACGCTAACAGTCTTATCTGTGCGTAGTAGGTCTTCATTGTCATAAATATATGTTTGAAATGATTGAGCATCCATTACATTCCTCTTGAGTAATCGTTCATACAATGACACTCCATTTGATCTCCATGGTGCCTTCTCCTTTGGTTTTGTCTTTATCTCTGTCTCAGCCACTGACTCCATCTTTATCTTTATCTCTTCGTCATCGTCTATCTCTTCCTCCATCTTTGCATTGGTCTCTTCCTTTGTCTCTGCATTAGACTCGGCCTTGGCCTCGAGCTTGACAATTGTGACTTCATCTTCACCAGCATCATTTATGAAGTCTGTAACATCATCTTCTTCTTCCTCTGTTTGTTCATCATATCCACAATAGACTACACCAGATTCTAACTCCTTTACTAAGAATGGCATTGGCTTCTTCATTGGTTTACATTGACAGTATACCTCGTCATCGCTCAAGTCCACCTCATCACCATCATCACTCCTATCAGTATAATCATCATTATCATAATGAGTACTGAGATGATATTCTGGCTCCATACTCCTATCCTATACTGTATATACACATAAACATATATTGATTAATTGATTGATTGAATGAATGGATGAGCAAGTCGAGAAGACGAATGAATGATTGGATGAAAAGAAGGGAAGTTCGAAACGAAAGCGATGCTTGAATTGTTTGATTTTAAATTGATTTTTTTCAATTTTTGAATGGAAGCACTGAGGTTGGAGGATGTCGTGTGGTCCATGAGAACGACTTGAGCGTTTCACTAAGATACCCTGACACTTAATCGACTGTATTGGTTCCCTTTGGTCATCATCATCATCTCCCTCCTACAATGGTGTGTATATAATATACCTATCTAGCTCAATCCATCTATCAATCCATCGAATCAATCAATCAATCAATCCAATCAATCAATCTACGACAGCAAGCATTCTGATGAAGGCGATGGATGATGGATGGATGAATGGATACAGTCAGGAGGACAATGGACTAACAACAATGATCATAATATATATAGTCTGCCGCTAAGAAGAACGCAACCAAGGCTGCTGCTCCAGCTGCTGCCGCCCCAGCTGTCCCAGAGAAGAAGGACAAGAAGGACAACATCAACAGAAAGCTCAAGATCGAGAAGTTGATCCTCAACATCTGTGTTGGTGAGAGTGGTGATAGACTCGTCCGTGCCGCCAAGGTGCTCGAGCAACTCACTGGTCAGACCCCAGTCTACTCTAAGGGTATGCATCACATCAATCAATCAAACAGGACTCATTAGCGACGACAACTACAACAGTGATCTAACATCAATCAACAACTATATAGCCCGTTACACCGTCAGATCTTTCTCCATTCGTCGTAATGAGCAGATCGCTTGCCACGTCACTGTCCGTGGTGAGAAGGCCGCCGAGATCCTCGAGAAGGGTCTGAAGGTCAAGGAGTTCGAGCTCCGCAACAAGAACTTCTCCAACAACGGTTCGTTCGGTTTCGGTATCCAGGAGCACATCGATTTGGGCATCAAGTACGACCCAGCCATCGGTATCTACGGTATGGACTTCTTCGTCGTGTTGGGTCGCCCAGGTTTCCGTGTTGCCCGCAGAAAGAGAACCTGCTCCCGCGTTGGTTTCCAGCACAGAATCACCAAGATCGACACTGTCAACTGGTACAAGCAGACCTACGAGGGTATCGTCATTGGAAAGTAAATGATATTATAGGCCTTCCTCACCTAAGCAGTCAGTCATTCAGCAGCTTTGGTTTGGTGCACCAATAAACCAAACGTTAAAGAATCTCCCTTCTCTTCCTTCTTTGTCCTAATTCATTCATTCATCTTTACCCTTACCCTTGCCCTTACCCTCGCCCTCGCCCACACTTGTCTTCGCCAACACCAACCCCAACCACACAACAACAACCATGTCTTCGGGAAAACTTGAGAAGTGAACATCAGTGTTGTTACTTGTCAACTTGTAGTTTGACACAGATAATCAATCAATCAATCAATCAATCAAACAATCAATCCTAATAAATTATTCATATCAAACAAAGAACAATGAACGACATTGAAGACAACAACAACAAACAAGTTGAGTTCACTCCACCTGTGTTACAAAAGGCAGTCTGTATGTGTCAATGAATGGTTGAATAAGTAGATTGAGTATTGTTATAATATGTATGATTGACTTACTGACTCTTACTTTGTATTGAATGAATTGATGAATTAGTCACCAAGGTAGAACATCTGAAGCCAATGACTACTGGACACAACTTGGTATTGAAGGTGTTGAGTACAAAGGTGGTCATTGAGAGGAATAGGGAGAAGAAAGAAGTGGTCTCAGAGGCAGTGGTAGGTGATGAGACTGGTACTGTCATACTCACAGCAAAGAATGGTATGTCATGTCATCATTGCTCCAAGTACATGAACTGGCTGGATGACTGAACCTTACTAACTTGTTCAACTCCATAGAACAAAATGATGTTGTACAACCTGGAAACACTATCATTCTTCGCAATGGCAATATCAAGGTATTCAATGGATTCATGAGACTCTACGTCAACATGTGGGGAAACATCAAACTGGCGCCAGAACCTGCAGAGTTCACGATCAACACCGCCAACGACATATCAGCAGTGGAATACGAGTTACAGAAATAGTAGAGTAGGGTAGGGTAGACTGCCGCCAGCCATCCAACGACAATGGACAACTTCACACACCAGTCCCATTCATTCAATCATTGATTAAAGGGGAGACAACAACTTGTACATAATGATAATGATATTGCTGTAAAGATGGCTTCGCGACGTTTATTACTTTATCAGTTATTGCTGATTTAGGCAGTGATTCCGTGCTTGATGTTGTAGACCTGCTTGGCAATACGATCCAAATCACGACGGCCGGTGGAGGTGATTCTGCGGCCACCCTTGACGGCGTCGGTCTCGATGACCTTCAAGGCGGTCAATTGCTTCAATGCGTAACGGATGAGACCTCCGTTGGCAATGTGGAAGTGGTTTGGACGGACACCATCACGTCTGTTGCCACCGAACACCTTTCTGTAGCACTCGACACCGTCTCCGTGGCGGAGGTAGACCTTGCGGGCCAGGACGGCGATTCTGACGTAGAGCCAGTCTGGGTTGATGGGTGGGAGCTCCTTGTGAGTGGCGGTCTTGACAATGTCGACCCAACGTGGAACGTGGACACGGCCAGTTCTCTTCAAGAACTTGGCGTAGTGAGCGATGAAGTCCTGTGGAGCAACGTCCTTGACAGTTACACTTTGCTTGGTGGCCATCTATATGATTGATTGATTGAGAGATGATAGAGTAAGTAACTAAACTATCAATGTTGTTGGATCTGCTGCATCATCAAGTTGATGAATGAATATTCTCTCTCATTTCCTCTCGACACTGTTTGTTGTTGTTGTTGTAGTTGTTGTCTGTGATTGATTGATTCATTCATTGTCTCTGGCGTCGCGACATGTCCATGTACATCATCAAGTTCAACATGATTGATTGAGTCTATATTCTCGCGCATGATCATTGATAGAATCTGCTCGCATTCTTGAATAATCTGAATGAATTGTCCCAAGCTGTCGCACCAGCACCAGTTGACGATCCACTCTTTATATCATAGTTCAATCACTCATTCATCATCATACTCCATTCTATCAATCATTCATTCATTTTGTTCTGTACGTTCGCTTCACTTGTTGTTGATAATGTAGTTGTTGAGGTTGAGAGGAATGAGAGAGTTCTTCTGCTGCAGTATAATAATAATATAGTAGAGATAAATAGATAGACACACACCTTTATGAACTGTATTCTATAGCACTCGAGTGGAAAAAGGGAGAGTTTGAATGATGCAGGCGAGTCTTTGTCATCGACTCTGCCCTCCCTCCAGTCCTCAACACAATCCAAGTCGCGCATCTCCTCTCACACACACACAGCAATTCATATTAAAAAAATTAAAAACAAATAACAGAACTTACTCATTATGTTTGTATTTCAATACATAATAATTACATTCTTATGTAAATTAGTGATTTTATTTTATTTTTTCAAATGAGTGAGCTGGTAGAGGACGACGAGGCAGGAGCAGAGTGTGTGCGGTCTCTGTCGCCAGTCCCAGCATTGTCTTTTGTGTGTTATCATTTATGCGTTGAAGGTTTCACGTCACTCATTGTTCAAAGCAGACTCATCAGCAACCCACAGGTAGGTGATATTATAATATTATATTCATTCATTCGATATGACAGCATCAACACAACGCAACATCAACACAACACAACAGCAACAGCAACAGCAACAGCAACAACAGCAACAGTAACAATGTGCGACAGTATACATTGATGCAACCAAAGACTTGGGCTTGATTGATCAATCATTATTCAATTCCAGACAACAACAACACAGAATCATATGATTGACGTGACAAGACTATGGTGACCTTGAGTGTTGGACTCAATCGGATGAACTTTGGATGATTAGGATGAGCAGTCAATCATGTATCATTTATCGACGAGTACAACAGCATGCGCCTACATCAACGTTATTTAGATCACTAGACATCGACATCACAAGGCCTACATCATCAATCATTCAATCATTCAACCATATCATCACAAACACACTGATACACATCACAAACAGAAAGAAAGAATAAGAAGTAGATTAACTCATACTCATTCATCAATCAATCAATCAATCAATTAAATAATCAATCGAATACAAACAAACAAACAGATATAAAAGATGACTCACTCATACGGTCAACGTGCAGGCACCAGACACAAGTTCGCCCGTGGCTTCAGAAACCATGGTATCCTCAAGACCACCACCTTCTTGAGAACCTACCGTCTGGGAGACATTGTCGACGTCAAGACCACTGGTAACGTCCACAAGGGTATGCCACACAAGTACTACCACGGCCGTACCGGTCGCGTCTGGAACGTCACCCCACGCTCTGTTGGAATCGTCCTCAACAAGCGTGTCGGTCCACGTTACATTGCCAAGAAGATCCACGTCCGCATTGAGCACGTCCGTCCATCCAACTCGATGGCCGCCACCAAGAAGGCTATCGCCGAGCGCAAGGCTGCCTTCCAGAAGGCCATCGCTGCCCGCAAGGCTGGCAAGACCGTCGTTCTCCCAATTCTCCCAGTTCCACCCAAGACCGGTTTCTTTGTCAACCCAAGAGACTCTGAGCTCCAGACCATCACTCCACTCAGATACGAGTTGCTCCTCTAAAGACGTCACTACTACTGGTTTCGCTTTGGTCCAATAAAATACAACATTAAAGTTAAACAACAAGTTTGGATTGATTGATTGGATTGGATTGGATTGATTGATTGATTGAGTGGTAGATGACCAATTAGGTAACCATACCATATGGATACATTACCTTATTAAGTATTGTTATCCATTTAAAGTAAATATACCTAAACTTATCCATCATTTATTGATTGATTAGTCATGTATGATTGATGACCTGTAAGTATTTATAAATACCATTGATATCCATTCTTTCCGTTCATCAAACAAACAAAGAACAATAATTATTACTTTATCAAATACATACTATCAATCAATCAATTATTCAATCAACAAATCATGACATTCATTGGTATGTACATATGATCTTTGGAATCCTCCCATCTAGCACTCCTAACTTTCATGCCATTATTAATTGACTTTAGCTAACTTGAAGAACCTGGTCCAACTTCTTGCTGCATTTCAACATGCTGAGTCCTTTGCTTCAAGGTGCCTCGTCCCTCCAGTCCAAACATGATATATGTTGTCAACACCAATCACTACAATAGTTAATAGTTGGGATGGTTCCAGAATCATGAAATTGTTTTTTAAAGTTTAATTTATGATTGATTGAGAAACACTGGCAGTCTCCTTAATGGACATGATCATGACATTATTATTGAAGTTGGCAGAATTGGAGATCAGCTAAGAATAGTAATTATAATAATATTTTAGTTAGTAAATACATATTTGATTTCCATCTCTAATCCTACATACATTTGTGATAGGAAGTGTTTGGCATCCAAGTGAAGAAGATATCTGTATCACTCGTGTAGAGCAAGGGAGCCATATCAAAGGGAACAGCTGGCTTGATATACTTGGTGTAGCCAAAAGTGCTCATCCAGTTGGAGATCACCAACGACCACAAGTAATCAGACCTAAAATTAAACATATTATTGAAGCCATCTTGTTCCTGTAGTTGTTGTTGGAAATGGTTAGTAAAATTAATAATATAAATGAATCAATAGAGGTACTTACAACACTCGTCACCTTGAACATGTCTGATCCGGTACCAGGTTGGAATTGGTAGTATCCACATGTGCCCCTGGTGAAATCACCCGCCGTCGCTGTGAAGTTGAAGTCTACGTCAAGGTAGATCTTGACCCATGGATAGGCCTTGTAGTTAAGGTTGTTGGTGCTGTCAATGTTGAACTTAAGCTCAATGCTGATACTTGGGATGTGGAGCTTAAATTGATTAAAACCAATTATATCAAAGGTGGATAATCTAAATGGATCAACATGGACAACTGCATCAATAGTATAGACCGATGGATATTCACCAAGCCACGACATTATACTTTGCATTCCCTGGCTTGCAGTGTTGAGCTTTAGTGAAAGGTAGGCCATGATTGAGGTTTCTGAAAGTGTATTGGGATTGAGGACGAGGTCGAGTTAGAATGAATTCATACTGGTATATTAACAAGATGATATTTACCAGTTAAGACTTTTCCATCCATCTTGTAGATTTCCTTGTTGAGTTCATACTCGATATCAAATCTGCTATAATAGCGATGGACGCTCTCCTCTAAGTAGTACGAGAACAGATACTCTTGGACATGACTCTAAGTGATTGGAATAATTTTTTAGTCACTGAATGATCATGTGAATCAATGAATGAATCAATGAATGAATGAAAGATGTACTTACTTTTATCTTTCCATTCAATTTGTTGATTGAGTTCTTGATTGACGTGTGATTGACGGACACCACTTGGGAGCCCAACAACGCCTTGGTCTCAGGTCTAGCGGTGAAGGCAATGCTGACATCCATTGTCTCAGAATTCATAGTTATAACATAGTTGATGGTGTTTGGGTTTGACTTGGAAGGTTGAGTGTCATTGAGTTTGGCGGACCCATCAACCAGCATGAACGGGACATACCTGGGTGGAATTGGAAATAATAATATTAATAAATATTAACTCTGCTCCTCAACTTTATAAATGAATATACTTACAGCGATACTTTGGTATTAACCTTATCAATGTAATCAATCTTAAGATTACTGGTGCGATTATTAAAGGTGAAGTAACCTTTATTGCGCGTTGCAAAGGTATTGGTCAAGCGATCAACAAACTATATATAATATTATTACAAGTGATTTATTAGATATGAAGAGGTCAGTACAATTAATCAATCAATCAAATATAGAGAATATATATACTTACAAGTTGTTCAGTAATGTTCTCAAAGAGATCGTCCAAAAGATTGTTGCCAAGTGCATTGTTTGAACATAGTACCATTGGCACTACAGCCAATGCCAAAAGTACAACTAATATTACTTTCATTTTGTTTGAATATATTAATTGAGAGGAGTGAGATGAATGAATATTATAATGACAGAATGGAGCTAACTTGCTAAAGTTGACATTTTTGAAGGTTGTCTAAAGTATCAATTGGAACTGTCGGTGATCGCGACTAGATTTCGCGAGATGAGGGACAAATAGATTTGTCGGGTGAAGGGTTCTTGCCATGGGCAATTTACAACTTCAATTGAGGCACGCGTGACGTATGTTTATATTAATATTGAAATGTGTCGTTTCTGATTCCTGTCGACTTCAAACAATTCTGGATAGTTATGTATACTTTAGTAGTGGGACATCATCATTAATTATTATTATTATATCAAACATTACCATCATATAGAGAATGAAAGTACTACTTATATTCTTGATCTTCCTTGGTCTGGTGTGTATCAATCACCTCCATCACTCATTCAATGACTCAATCAATCAAAATAATATTCTTACTCGTCAGCCAATTCATTCATTCATCAAAATATAGACTCAGAAATGTTTGGCCGCTGGTTGTCTTTGCCTTGACCTCAACACTCATTGTGCCAATGATTTTCCTGGATGTCCAGACATTGAACAGGGTTCAATTCTCTATCAGTGTGTCACTTTGCATCGTCCACCAGTACCTTTGAGCACATGTCCATTAAGTGGACAGTGTTTGCCACCCACCGGTACCAACAAGAATGCCGTTTGCCAAACAGTTGACAGCCAGTGCAAGTGTCCATCCGCCGGTGACCATTGTGGCTCCCGCCCTCCATGATTTCGGTTGTCCATTACTTGACTCCAACTCTGTGTACAACTGTGAATCATCGACCGCCAAGCCATTGCTAAAGTGGGGTTGTCCAAATGGATGTTTCGAGTATGCTGGCAAGAATGACTCGTGCAAGGCACCTCCTCAGCAGGGCCTTAACGCCATCAAGAGGATCATTGTGTTTATGCAAGAGAATCGAGCATTCGATCATTACTTTGGCGCGCTCGCAGGAGTCCGTGGGTTCAATGATCCCAACGTTGGCACTGCTCCCGACAATGTGTTCTCACAACCATCGCTCAACAATGCTGTCAACGGATATTCCATCCCCTACTATATCCAAGGAAACAAGGCTCTGTGCACTGGAGGTGGTGTCATCTCATGGGAGGAGACACACGATTGTTACAACAACGGTTTGAACAATGGATGGACATCGGCACTCGGAAACACCACCGCCACAATGGGATACCTCACTGGAGCAGAGCTGTCTCTCTACTATGCCCTGGCACACTCCTACACGATCGGGGACAACTACCACGCCTCTCTTCTCTCTTCAACATTCCCGAATCGTATTATGCACCTCAGCGGGACCATCAATCCCCGCGGGTACGACAACCCACCAACCTGGAACAACAACATCACGCCACCACCAACATGGCTGACGATGCCAGAGTACCTTGCCCACCACCAGATCAACTGGCAGACGTACCAAGACGGTCTGGACGCCTTCCAGTGCAATCCACTTTTGTGGTTTGAGCAGTACATGGATGGTAGCTTCCCAACCACTTTCTTCAACTTCCACTCTGGCACCTACAACTACACCGAGGTGGAGGTCCTCCTTGATCAACTCAATACCAACACTTTGCCAGAAGGAGTGTATTGGATTGTTGCCCCTCAACAAATGATTGAACATCCCATTAATGGACCCAAGGCCGGCCAGAACTTCACACACACTATTTTGGAAGCTGTTGCCAACTCTGCCCTCCATAGCGACACTGTTGTCCTCTTCAATTACGATGAAAACGGTGGGCTATTTGACCACGTAGTGCCTCCCGTTGCTCCCAAGGGTACTATAGACGAGTGGATTGTCAATGACTATGGTGCTTCTCCAATTGGTCCGGGTTTCAGAGTTCCATTCCTGATCATCTCGCCCTGGACACGTGACCCCGCCAACCATGGAAATGTTTTTACTGAGACCGCCGATCATACATCGATTCTGATGTTCATCGAGGAATGGTACGTCTTTAATCACATCATCAATCACCAATTACTCAATTTGGATTCATTCCAATCACTCAATCAAAAAAAAACTAACTAACTTTGATAAAATCACTTTATAATTTTCCAGGGCAAACCAAAGATCAAAGCCAATATACATGGAGAACATCTCATCCTACAGACGCAACTTCATGAGTGACCTCACTTGGGCCTTTGACTTCACTACCGCCAATGCTCTGGCAACTCAACTTCCCAGCAATTTCCCCATCCACATGATCAACGGATCAAAGTTTTACACCAACGAAACTTTGGTCTGCGAGGACCAGCCTGGCCCATTCAACATTGACATGGTCGATAACGTCTTCATTGAGACGGGCTTTATGAAGGTGCGTGGCAACTCCCCGGGACTGGGCCACTACTATGTCTTTGAGTTCTTCTCCAGTGGATTGGCCTTCCAGGTCAACATCGACAACACCTTGGTGGCAAGTCCTGTCTCGCCAGGCATGGACAACATCCAGCAGATATTCATCATGCAGACGCCAACCGGTCCCGGGACCTCCAACAACATTGGCATCAACATCTTCAACCAAGCGTCCAACTCGTTCGTTTGTTCCAACAGTAACAACGATGTGGTCTTGATGCCACCCAACAGCAATGGTCACTGCAACTGGCTGTTCACCACCAATGGATCGTCCTACAGGATCCAGAACACTAACGGTCAATACCTGTCTGTCGCCGGCGCTGTCCCTGTCACCATCCAATCCACCAACCCATCCAACAACTACGATTGGTACCTCTACTCCACCAACATTGATCAAACATCGAAATACATAAAGCTAACCAGCAGCGCATGAGTTATCCATTCATCATCAATTAATCGACAATCTACATTCAACCAATGATGATTGTGTTATCGTTCGTGCTGGCAACTGTGGAGGTTGGCTGATACAACTATGACGAAGCTGTGCAGTTGAGTTGGGTTGTAATGGCTGTGGACATGGTCATGGACATCGTGGTGGACATTGACATAGTCTTGACAACTGATGGTGCCAAGATGACGTTGACGATGACTATGTCGATGTCCATATGACGATGTCCAGTGTCTATTGTTGTGGCTCGCTGTCAGCACTTCATCAATACGTAGTTGACATAATCACTGACTTGATTGATGACGCCAACAAACAGTGGTTGCCGTCGTCAAGGTCATGGTCATGGTCATTGTTGGGTTGATGTGACTGTCCATGAACTCGTTGATGTTGACCTTGAGCTGTTTGTTGCATTCATGTCTGAAGCTTGTTACTGCGAGTACTGATGTGTATTTGTTGAAGTTGGTTCATATGATTTGATGAGATAGATAGACGTTGTGACAGACAGGTTGACACATCTCTATTATTTGTAGATGTGGCAACCTTCGCGCAAATGAAATGAGTGAATGATTGAGGTTGGGCTACCCAAGGTGCCTCGGCGACTTCTCCACCAACATTTCATTGTTGATCTCGGGAGCGAGAATGAATGAATGAATGAGGGAAGGTAAACAAGCATGCTCTCTTTAGTTAATACATGTCTTGGGACAAGCAATCAATCAGTATGTCCAATTGTAATAATCAATATCAAAGAAGATGAAGTTATCACTCATCATTCAACTGTGCATGATATTGTCATGCCTCGCTATCCTCTGTGATCCAGCTATTGCTGTAAGTACCTGTATAATGAGTGATAGATAGATTGATTGATTGATAGATTGATTGACTCTCTATTTATGATGTATAGGATGCGCCAAGTATATTCAGTTACTTTGCCATTGAATGGGGATCGCCCAACACTTACTACTATGCCAGACACAACCTTACGAGTGGAGAGGACTTGTTGACACAACAGTTCCAGAGTTGGAATGAAATCAACCCATTGCATCCCAGTGTTGCCAACACAGACGTTGTCCAATACTTTAGCTCAACAAATGATGTATCCAACTTCCCCGTCGTCTGCTCCTATAATATCAAGGTACGTTTATGTAGTTGTCATTCATTCATTCATTGATGGTTGTTGGTTGCTAATTTCCTCCTCGTCATATTAATCAGAGCAACAGCGTCACGCAGGACCTCATTGGTACTGGCTTCAACTATGGATATGGCTATGAGCCTCTGTCTCAACTTCGCTTGGTTGGCACTGACAATGTGATGTATGGCATGGGACAAGACCAGAACACCAACCTGGCCATGCTGAAATATGACTTCAAAGAGCAGACTCTGTAAGTTAGATGGACGGGACGTAGATGATGATGATGGCTACGTAGTGGATGATCCTGACCACCCGCCTCCATCCCAATGCAGCCAGTTTTATCCATTGCCCACCAAGATGATCAGCTATCTCTTTCAGTGTTACATGGATGCACCAAGCAACATCTTTTATGTCCTGTTTGTAAAGGGCCAGACCTTCAACATCTGGCTCATGAATGGCATTGATGGTACAACGATCTCGTCACACGTCATCACGGTGGCCGAGCCACTCCAGACCTACGACGAGTCAGGTGTGGTATACCTCTCCGTCTACCAGAACAAGGCATACGTCGGCCTTGGCAACCTTGACTACGTGGCGGCATCCCAACAGTACCTGTTCGAGGTTGACCTCACGGCCAATACTGCAAAGGTCATCTTTGTCCAGCCCAACTTCTTCGTGCAGTCGAGCGATACAGGAGGCTTTCTGCTCGACCCTATCAATGGATACATGTTGGCCGTGCTCACCAACCAGCCCAATGTAAAGGACAGTGCATATTTCTGGATGATCAATCTGCAGACAAAGGGCGCCGTGCAATACCCCAATCCATACCCAATGCCAGGCGAGACCCATTGTATATATTATCTTGAATAATAATAATAAACATCTAATCCTATTACACACCTCCAAAGTTGATTGATTGAATGACTAAAGTAAATTTGAACTGGATTGAGTGATGGATGACAAATTAGGTAAACGATACCATATTTGGTAACATCACCTTATTAAGTATCATTGTCCTTTTAAAGAAAACAACAATCCATCATTTATTGATTGATTAGTAATGTTTACATTGTCGACCTACAAGTATAAATAGTATGGTCATCCATTCATTCCATTCATCAAACAAACAAAGAACAATAATTATACTTCCAATACTTATCCAATACTTTATCCAATACTTACAATCAATCAATCAATCCAATATGACTCTCATTGGTATGTACTATGGATCATTGGAATCCATCCATCCGTCTATTCGTACTTACATGATATCATTCATTGACTTTAGCCAACTTGAAGAACATGGTCCAACCTTTGGCTGCCTTCCAACATGCTCAGTCCTTTGCTTCGTACCAGGGTGCGTCGTCTCTCCAGTCCAACAACGACGTAGAGTGTTGCCGTCGCCGAAGAAGAGTGAACATCAACATCTTTGTTGGAGGTGGCAATTCCTGTGTTGGATGTGGTGGTTTCGATGGCTTCGATGGCTTTGACTGAGTACCATCCATCACACTCTTGATCTATCAATCATCCAATCATCAACCAATAAACTACAACATATAGATTTATATGTTGTCAACACCAATCATGATTATTATGTGTTAGTTGTTATAAAAGAAAGTGAATGAATAAAGATACAATCAAGATCAGGACTCATCTTTATTCATTCATTCATTCATTCATTCATCAACAACACACACACACACACATACACACAACACTTTTGAACTTACACCCACACTTGGACACAGATGGTAATGTGGTGATGACAAATGTAGAACACACCACTACATAGACAGACAACACAACCCACACCACAGCCAACACAGAAGTTGAATGGACAACGGAAAACTAGAAGTCTGTAGATCTATAACTTAAGTAGTTTCCTTCCCACTAAAGAGTGTGGGTTGGTTAACCAACTAACCCCAAGACAATCCTGTGCTCGCTACCCTTCGCTACTCATTGTAGACCGAGCCACTGGACTCAATACCAGGTTTGGTCCTTAGCACCATGTTGAACAACACACTCACTCTCAGTTGACCTTTCGTTTACCGTTCGCGCTTCCAATAACTTCTTTAAACTGGACCAAGAGATCCTTCTAACTTGGGTGAGTTCTCTTTCTCTCTCAACAGACTAATTCAATGGTGTCTACACAACAGAACTTTGGTCGGTCTACCTTTACCAAGTCAAGTACTTCGAAGAAACACTATTGCAATTGACATTGGAAAGAGACAGAGACATAGAGTGACATAGAGAGAATACATATACATAGAAGATATTAATATTTATACTATTTCATTCATATTATTTAAACAATTGATAAATATAGTTGTTCTCTGGACTATTAAAAAGAGAGATAGAGGATAGGATTGAATACAACAAGATGAATGTAAAGAGCAGGTATGTTAATTAATAAATGATAGGATTCCAAGAATATAGAGTTCCAACAAGTGTTGTGTCTAACATTGAATGATACTTATTAGGTTCCTTCGGATTATAAAGAAGTGTAATATATTCAAGAAGTCCTCGTCTAGCAAGATGAATAGCAACAACAAGGGAAAGGAATTGGAGGAGGTTGATGTTTCCAACTCAATCACATTACCCTATGAGGTTATATTACATATATTCAAGTTCTTGGATTGTAAGTATTACCAATACACAATACTTTGGAATATTCCTATTAACAAACAAAATAATAATTATTTTTATTATTAGTACATGATATATGTAAACTTAGATTGGTCTCTAAGACTATGTTGAAGATATCATCCGAGTATTCGATATGGAAGAAGTTCATGATCCATTTGAAGACCTACAACAAACCACCTCCAAGAGTATGTCACACAGCTGTCGTACACAAGAATCACATGTACATCTATGGTGGACATCTTCCAGACAGTCACAACTTTATCAAAGATGTCAAGAGTGATCTACAAGAGTTCAACTTTGGTAAGTCACAAGAATTAATGAATCAAAGGATATATCATAACTAATATTAATATTAATATTATATATTTTAGATCGCAGGAAATGGACAAAGAAGTCTACGAAGGGTCTGGCTTTGCCAGAGAGGACTGAACATTGTGCTGTAGTGTACAGGGACTCAATGTATATATTTGGTGGATATTCGGTGGCTCATACATACTATGATGTGGCATTGTACAGAGTGAACTTGGAGACATTTGAAGTGACTTCAATAGCTGGCAAGGGACAACTACCACCTGGAAGGTCTGCACACAGTGCCGTCGTATGGAAGGACTACATGTATATATTTGGTGGATGGAATGGAAGTGATTCAAACAACTCATTCTATCGATTCAATTTCTGTAAGTATTGACAGGACTGGAGTGGACTGATCAATTACTAACATGTCAGTACTTAGTGAGCGAAGAATGGTCTGAGGTGCCAGCAACGGGCACACCTCCACCGCGAATAAGGTCACACTCTTGTGTTCAACATGATGACTTTATGTATGTTGTTGGAGGTTATGGACCGGACGGTCACACACCTTACCCTTTCAGCTATGACTTGATCAACGATGTGTGGACGCCGTTGATCGATGGCAAGTCTGGTCCGTGTGCCAGGTCTAGGATGAGATCGATCGTCTTTGGTAACAGTCTATGGTGCTTGGGTGGATGGGATCGTACGCGATACTACAACGATCTCTGGCGATTCAGTTTCGAGTCGAGGACGTGGACCAAGATGGACATTGACTTTGATCTCACAGGCATTGGACAGTACTCAATGGTGCTGCATAACAATCAACTTTACATGTATGGAGGATACAATCCAGAGTGTTCATCGCCTCAGACCGATATATACACTTACATCGTTGGCAATCCTGGTCTTGCCGATGCCGAGGTCATGGCATTGGAGAAGATATACGACGAGGAGACTTCGTTGTCATCGTCGTCAGAGGAGTATACACTCACCTCTTCATTATCAAGGAGCAAGATGCGTTGTTCGCTTGAGACTGGCAGCACTTCATCATCTTTCAGTTCATCCTCCTCTTCCTCATCTTCTTCTTCATCATCCAAAGGTAGTGAAGCAGACAGTGCTGCCTCTACTACTCCTATAGTATCAATGGACATTGATGGGCCTGACAAGGTTGATGTTATTGATCTGCCACGTTCCAGGGGTAGTAGTAGTAGTGGTGTCGGAGTGCCATCCAACTAGAGTGTCAATGTAATTCATTGTCATAATAAACACATCCTATTTATTCATTGCAAGTGTGTGATGAGATTTAAGTGTGTGTATTAATATCTGTTGAGTGGGGTGAGGGCACCTTGATTGATCACTGATTTAAACACAACTATTCTAACCGCCAATCACACACATTCCTTGATGTAGAAATTTCAGATAATATAAATATTAATAATTATAAAATAAAACTGTTGTTTGAATGATTGAATGAATGAATGAATGAATGATGTTGATCAAAAGTGTCATCTTTATCACATTTCCCTCTCCATCTCATATATATATACATATAACATATATTATTATATTACTTACTTAAAGATTATTTATCAGGTAATTATTAGATCGATAGATCCAACAAACAACACATCTTGATCTTGATCAAATCACTCACACCTTCAATCAATCAAACACACATATTCAATCAATCAATCAATCAAATATAGTTATAACAAAACACACAAAGCATGTCAACACAGGAAGAGATTGAAGCCCGTGAGGCACAACGTTTGAGCCGTGCTCTGTCTGGAAGAACTGCAGAGAATAGAATGAAGACTGCTGGCAATCAGCCAGGCTCAAGAATGTCATGGGCACCAGTCCAGACAAAGGTTGCCCCAACCACACCAGTCAACTTCACTGGAGTCAAAGACAACTCACAGGGTGGCGTCGTCACCGACTCACCATACGCCAACGTCGCCAACATCTCCTACTCAGAGGAGAAGCTTCGTCAGGAGCAAGCCCGTCTCAAGAAGTGGGGCCTTGAAATCGATCAACAGCAGCAACAGCAACAGCAGCATGAGACAGTGGATTCGAGCGAGACTACCCCATCGTTGGAGTCGTCGACACCAGTTGAGGAGCAGATCCGCGTCGAGGAGCGTCGTCTGTCAAAGATGGGACTGAGCTCAAGCAACTTGATTGAGGACTACGTGTCACCAGCACCAAAGCCCGCTGTTGTCGACTCCCCTGTCGACAACACCTCGATCGTCACCAACATTGATGGCGTCACCAACGAGGAGAAAGTGCGTCAGGAGCAGAAGAGATTGGAGCGCTGGGGCCTCAAGATTGGCGGAACTACCACCACTCCAACGACCACCACCGCCCCAGTGGTCGCTGCACCAGCACACACTCCAGCACCAGCCACCAGCTCGCCATTCGTTGGCTCGGACGCCAAGTCCGTCGCCACACAATACGGCCTAGACCTCAAGACCGTCGTTCTGCCATTCTTGGACCGCATCGTTGCCGCTGCCAAGGCAGTCAAGTTGGTGCTCCACAAGAAGTCGACCAACTACGACGTTGCCAACGCCGTCCTCCTCGACCTGGTCCAGGAGTCGACCTCCTTCGCGCTCAACCTCACTGGCGACCTGCCAATCTCACATGACATCTCACAGGCCGTCGGCAAGCTTGCAGGCCTTGTCAACGAGTCCATCAAGGGTGAGCCCAGCATCAAGCTCTACGAGGACATCCAGACCACACTCGGTCTCCTCTATCTTGGAGTCACTGCCAACTAAACAATCCGTGTTCCCACAACAAAAGCAAGCAATCAATGGCCGGCCGATCTACGTGTCCACGTCCCAACTCTGTCCATATCATTATCCACTCATTCTATCTCCCATCCTCCATTGCACATCGCCATATTTATTGGGCATCCCCATATCCCATCATCCCATCCAATCCACTCACTGATCACTCACATCCCTCCTGGTAAATAAACATATAGTAACATGATAACCTTTATTCTTTGTTCTCGATGGCACCCTCTGGCGATGATGGTCCTTCGGTTGAATGTACACTTGGTTGTTCCTCTTGTTGGTGTGGCTGTGTTTGAGTTTGTTCCTCGGTCTCTGGCTGTGTCTGGGTCGGCTGAGAAACTGGTGCTTGCTCGACGACCTCAACATTGGCCACCACCACTGGCGACTGAGTCTGTTGTTGATGTTGTTTGATACAATCCTTAGATAATAAATAAGGTGAGAACGCTTGGATGAGTTGGTCTTTGACAGTGCTCGAAGTCTGTTCGGTGAATGTGAGCGACATGATCTTGATGTCGAGCGAGGTGATAGCCTTGCAGCTGGCATCCAAGGCCAGCTCCAGAGACCATTCAAACTCAAACATGTCCTTGGGGTCCTCCGAGCGCGACTTTTGCTTCTTGGCATTGCGCACGAGGATCGTGCCCGGCTGCTCGACGCTGCGCTCCACGCTGATGCGCCATGAGCCCTGTGAATCCATGAACTGCAGGTTCTTGGCAATGTTGAGCGTCAGCTCGATGACGGCGGGCGCAATGATGGCCTGGTTGCAACACTTGAGCACCTGAACCACCTTGCTCTCGGCGCCGACGATCTCCTCGAGATATGTGATGAGGTCGCGCTTCAGGTCCGAGTCGACGGGCGTGATGAATGGGATGTACTTCTCAAAGCCGCCATCCAGGCGCTCGAGCTGGTCGGCCAGCGCCGTGCCCTCGGGAACGTCAGCGTCGGTCAACAACATGCGTGCCATCGATTGGACAACGCCGTGGATATCAGTGATCTTGTTGCCAGTGTTGACAGGTTGACCACCCACAGTGAAGAAGCACGCCAGACGCGGCAGGTCGATGCCGATCGATGTCTGGCCCAATGGCTTGGCGAAAGTCTTGGTGATGTTCTCGCGCCATGATGTGGCGGCCACGTCCTTGGTGGGAGTGAAGCGCTTGTTCTTGGCTTGAGGAGGGGGCTCGACCTTGAGCGACCACTCGGCCAGGTCGTCTAGCGAGGGGGAGTTGAGCTCCTGGAACTGGGCCAGCAACTTGGGAGACTGCTTGATCGTGTAGGCACGCTGCTGCAGCTTCTGGATGTCCACTACGATGCTGAATGTCTGGCGCAGCTTGTCGGCATTGATGTTTTCGCCGTTCACCTTTGTGGGTACGGCCGCGTTGAACTGCTGCAGCAAAGTGCGCAGCGTGGCAAAGTGTGGGATGATAGGTGTCGAGGTGGATACGCATATCTGATTGAATGTGTTGCCATTGGGCTTGAGCCACATGGCCAGCGAGTTGCCAAGGTTGTTGAGCTTGTTGATGGTCTCGCGTGGCACTGCCTCCCATGTCTCGGCCAAACGCTTGACGTGATGGTTGTTGAGTGCGTTCCAGATGCCAATGGCCGTGTTGAAGTTGCACAGCTCCTTGCAGTAGAGTGCGATCTCCACCATAAAGTTGATGACTGAGACGCGCTGGGTCTTGTCCAGCTCCTGCAGGATCTCGCCCATAGCCCACTGTGCCCATGTCTGCGAGCGTTTGAGAGAGTTAGACAGCTGTGGGCTGAGCAGTGGGTCGACCGTGCCCTGGATCATGCGCACCCAGTCACTGGCGCGGATGTTGCTGAACAGCTGGTATTCGGCCAGGGTGGCTTGCTCGGCCATCTCCATGGCCAACAGCGAGCGGTCCTTGGCCGCTGCCTCGTTCGTGAGCATGATCTCCGTCAGTGTGCTGCGCTTGCCGCCCGCGCCATGCTTGGGCTTCTTGAGGATGTCAGCAAACGTGAAGCGGTGCGAAAGACGTGAGCTGAGTGAAGCCTCCATATGTGGGAAGCCCTTGAGTATCTTCTGTGACAGCTTCTTATCCTCACGCAACTCGCGGTAACAGTAGTCGACCCACAACTTGATGGCCTCAGAGATCTTGACCAGCTTCTTGGATACGCGCTTGGGTGGCTGAGGCGAATCAGCGCCAGCGCCCGTGGCCAGACTGGCAACGTGTTTGTAAAGTGCGGCCAGCTTCTCAACAAGGTCGTTGGGGGTGATGTATAGGTTGTGCGTCATGAGGAAGATGAGAGTGAAGTGCTCCTCGCAGTGAGCGTAGTAGGGGTCGGTGGCCTTGTCCAGAAGTTGGTCAACGCTGGCCTCGCGGATGATCATGTTGCCCTCGGCACCCTTGACCAGCACCAGGTCGGTGGCGGTCGACTCTGCAAAGAGGAACTCGTGGTTCTCGATGACCAGCTTCAGGGTCTCCTCGCGCAGTGCCAACTGTGCGTTGGCAAGCTTGGGATCGGCTGAGCGAAGGAAAGCTGGGCCGAATGTAGTGGCCAGGATTGCGATGGTGGCGGCCGCGTTGGCCGACTTGTCCACATACTTTTGTCGGAGGAACGCAACGAACAACTGCAAAAGGCTGCGACGCAGGTGTGATAGTGTCCAGATGAGCGCGCGAAGCTCGTTTAACTTGATGTCGATGCGCGACAATTCGTGTAGCTCGAGCAGATCTGTGTAGAACTTGGTGTTGAACAGTGGCTGGGGCAGCTCTGTAAAGAAGATGCGCAGGAGGCCACCCACAATGCGCGAGCTGGCCATCTTGGAGAAGTCGATCGGCTCGACGTCGGCCAGTGCGCGCAGGCTCTTGACCTTGGTCTCCTGATGCGAGTCCTGGAAGACAAAGGCCACATCGATGTTCTCCGAGTTGGAGAGGTAGTCAATGGCTGATGTGATGAAGCTAGGTAGCGCGCCATCGTTGGCAGCGACTTGTTTGGAGAGACCAATACCAAAGACCTCTGTTGTTTGTTGGATCATTGGGGAGGTGATGGTTAGCAAGGTGTTGTGATGTTGAGAGAGTGATCGCGTGAACTTACTTGGGATTGGCTGGCGCACCTTGGCCACAGGCTTGGACTTGAGGTCAGTGAGACTCATACTGCGCTTGATCTTCTTGCCCTTGCTCGATCCGCCAATGCTGTGCTTCTTCTCATGCTTATCGCTCTTCTTGTCGCTCTTCTCCTGCTCGCGTTGCTCCTTCTCCTTCTTCTTGCGCTCTGCTTTCTCTGCCTTCTTGCGCTCCTTCTCTGCCTTGTCCATCTTGACACGCTCCTTCTTTGGCGTCTTGTCCTTGATGCTCGCATCGTAGCTCTGACCCAGATTGACTGACTCTCTGTGCTTCTCCTTGTCAGACTTGTTACCAAAGGTCTTGGTCATGGTGCGTGTGAGTGTGGCACCAAAGCCGCGCTTTGGCGAGGCCTTTGGTGGCTCTGGGCGGTTGGGTCTTGGTGGGGTGATGGGCACGGCTGAAGGATGGTTGACGTTCAGTGGCTCAGACTGGACAATGCGGAAGGACTCTGGTCGTGCTGGTTTGGTTGATGTGGTGGATGTTGTAGATGTTGTGGCAGCGGCTGGCTGTGCGGCGACGGACACTTGTGTCTCCTCAACAGATGTGACAGGACTGTTGTTGGCGGCAACTGACTCAGAGGTGTCGGTTGTGGTGATTGTGATCGCGGTGGATCCATCATGTTCGAACTGGAACTGCACCTCTGAGACCTCCTTGGCAGTGTCGTCATCGCTGTAGTCATCGTCCGAGATGCTCTCGTAGCTGTCGAGCGAAGTCGAAGTGGAGTCCTCCACGGAGCCCAGGCTTGAAGATTGAGTGGCAGCGGATATCTGCAGCTGTTGCTGTTGCTGTTGCTGATGAAGAAGCTCGAGTCCGACCTTCAGAGTGACAACCTGGTCGGGCTGGGGTTGTTGATCTACATGCACATCAGGTGTCGACTCCTCTCCTCGGGGTATCTCTGTCTCCACATCGACCTTGCTGACAACAGTAACCTCCTCGTCCACTGCTACAGGTGTGACCTGCGATACAACAACATCCTCATTCTCCTCATGGATGGTGGGTGTTTGTTGTTCGATGACCAGTGGCTGCATCTGTTGCTCCTGTTGTGGTGTATCCTCAGAGGAGGATGACGTGTCATCGGAGTGATCCTCCACCTCCTCGTCTGTTGTTTGAACGGGTGCGAACAATGCTCCAGAGGAGGTAGACAGTGGCTCGCAGCTATAGCTCCTTGACCTGCGCGCGTCGCTCGGCACAGTCAGTGGCGATATTGGCCTGTTGTTGCCATTTGTGTCCACCAAGCTCGATCCCGACTCATCGGGAGCCGTCGTTTGTTGCTCATTGTTGTTGTTGAGTGTTTGTGCCTGTGGTTGAACCTTGTCCTCTGGCTTCTTTTCCTGCGGTTGTTGTGGCTGCTGTGGCTGCTGGATTTGTTGCTGTTGATGTAGCTTGTTGATTTCCAGTTGCTCGCGAGAGTGGAGTACCGCGAGATCGATGGTGCCAGCGCGGGTAGTGCGTCGGGGGAATGAACGCGGGTCGAGGTCCTCCTTTGAGGAGTTGTTGGCCTTGTTCTTCCAGAAATTGAATGCGCCTGTGACGTCGGCGTCGTCGTATTCGATGCGGATGGAGTTGGTCGTCAACTCCTCCTCTGGATCGGGGGGTGGCTTTAGCAGTTGGAAGCCCTTCTTTGTGGCTGGTGCCGATGTATTCTTCTTCTCGACATCCTTCCAGAATCGTAACGCTGAGAAGTTCTCTGTCACCTCTGCCATGACTATTTGATTGGAAGTTTGGAAGTTGGAAGTTGGAAGTTTGGAAATTGGAAGTTGGAAGTTTGATCAGAGAGTGTTCGTTTGTTTTTTTTGTTTCCAAAGATGGATGTCGTGTAGCGTGGACCAAGTTGGGCCTCAAGAATGAGGGACACAAGGACAAAGGTTAATACCTACCTGTATGAGTATTGTTATGTATGTGGTCTTGTCTGTTCGATGTACTAATTTACAAAGTTGATGTATGATATATGTATTTGTATTTGTATTTGTATTTGTATAAATATAAATATTATATGTGTATAATGTATCAAATAATAATAAATAAAAGTGATCGATTGGAAACTGTATTTGTTTACCTGGAGAGATGGCTGAGAGTGAATTTCCCAAAGATGAAGGGTAGGGTATTAGTATTAAGTTAAGAGATAATGCCCACGACGGTGATTATAAGAAGGTAGTCGATGATGGATTGTTTGATTGTTTGTTTGTTTGATTGATTGATTGATTGATGGTAGACAAACGCTAAGTTTGGAAAGAGTGTTGATAGATGTGATTGATTGATCAGTGAGCGTGTGTGGTGGGTGATTGAATGATCAAATTAATTATGTGTTGTATGTGTTAAGTGTGATGGATGTGTGATGTGTGATGGGTGATGGGATAATATATTATAAATGATAGATGGATGATGTACTAGTAGTATCTATCAACTTATCTCATGGTATAGAGGTCGAGACCCGCTATGAAGAGGTGTGGGTTGTGTGTGATTGATTGATTGATTGATTGATTGAGAGAGATGTGTTGAGTTGATTCAATGAACTGTTAACAAACAGTAAACAGTGATAGTCCTTCCTTACTCTATACTACTTTCGTTGTTGGACCTTTTTCTCTCTTCCAATCTGTGTCTGTATGTCTTGTGTGTTTGAATGAATGAATGAATGACGTGAATGGTATGTACGTTGTGTTTATCTGTATTGTTATAATGTTGTTTGGATCAAAGAGTGTGAGCCGGTTTTCAAGGATACCCCAATGGACAGGTCCTCAGGTACTACCTTGCACCTGAGGTGCAGGAATGCAAGCCCCTCCATTCCAATCAAACCAAACAAAATCCAAAGTTATTGAGTGTTTTTCCATCGAAAGAACCCATTTTCAAATAACTGGTCTTGATACGTTTGTTTGTTTGTTGCTGATGGACCGCACAAGGTCACCCCAAACAAGTCAGCTGAAGTTTCGTTAGCATAAAAAAGCAAAAGAGCAAAAATGCCCCAATAGGTCCAATCCATTTGTTGACCATGTTTGCCTCCCAATGGTCAGTCATACATTAGTGACATTGTACAATAGATGTCATTACTCAATCAATGATCATGTTAGTCGAGTCTACTCTACCCATTGGAAGTGATGACTCCACCAACAAAGTTATATAAATACTCTCTTTCTCTCCATGTACCTTCAGTCATCAATAAGGTAGACCAAAACAATTATGACTTGGGCTGTATGGTGAGGTCTCACCAAGAGATGTATGCATTCACTTTGTCAATGAATGTATAGGTATATTATATTATGTATGTGTGCTTCAATGAGTTATTATTACTGCTGTTGTTGATCCAAACCATGGTTGTACTGCATTGCATTCAACTGAATGAACACACAATGACCGATTCGGCTTGTCAAGGACCAGGGACCTCTTTGACAGTGATAGCCAGCAAAAACATTTAAAAAAGATAGAGATTCCGGACCGGATTGGAACAAAAAAACAATGTTCCAGCCATTCCCGATTGCGCGAGTCTTGGGCATGTGTGGGCATGTATTCAACTTCCTTTGGACGAGTCGTCCGTCTCACGAATACTCTCCCTCTGCTCTGTTGTCAACCTCTGTTTGGGTGCTTGGTGTTCGGCCACCAACAATCACACTTCATTCACAGATAGATAGTCATAGGAGATACTACTACTACTACTACTACCTCTAATCTTATGTGTGTGTACGTGTCACTTGTCAACAAGTTCACATCAATCGATACCTTTTGATTGACTCCTACCCTCCCTCCCCTTCCTATCACTTCCCCTCCCCATACATACAAACTCAACAGAGCTGTCAACTCGTCAATTCCAACACGTCAACATCTATATCTCCCCTCTCCCACACACTCTATCTACACATCACATATATACATACAGCAACAGCATAATACATAATGACACTGGAATCAATCAAGATACTTTCAGGTAATGCTCATCGCGAGTTTGCCTGCCAGATTGCCAAGACGCTCAATATTGAGCTGGGCAAGTGCGAGTGCGTCAAGTTCTCCAACGGAGAGACGTCCGTGCTGATCCAGGAGTCGATCCGCTCAAAGGACGTCTACATCGTGCAGCCAATGTGCTCGCCCAACATCAACGACTACATCATGGAGTTGATGGTGCTCGTGGACGCCGTGCGCCGCTCGTCCGCCAACACCATCACCGCCGTCGTGCCCTACTACGGCTACGGCAAGCAGAACAAGAAAGAGAGATCTCGCGAGCCCATCACTGGCAAGCTGATCGCCAACATGCTGCAGGTGGCCGGTGTCAACCGCATCATCTCTATGGATCTCGAGGCCAGCCAAATCCAGGGCTTCTTCGACATCCCCGTCGACAACCTATACGCCGAGCCACTCATCGTCAAGTACATCGAGAAGCACATCAAGGGCGAGCGCGTTGTAATCTCGCCCTCAGTGGACGGCGTGAAGCGCGCCAAGCTCGTGGCTGACAGACTCAACTGCGATTTGGCCATCATGGACCGCCAATCTCGCAATGACGAGCGCGAGGAGGACGTTCTACTGGTTGGTGACGTCTCCAACAAGATAGCTGTAATTATAGGAAAGCGTACTGATACATGTGGTATGTTATTGATTGATTGATTGATTGTGGCGAGTGTGTATGGCGCGCGGCAACACAGCGAAACTAACAAGTGACACCTTTGACGACAACAGAGACTTTGGCACTTTCAGCATCTGTGCTGAAGAAGAGAGGTGGCGCACTCAAGGTGTATGCGCTCGTGTCGCATGGAATACTGAGTGGCAACGCTATACAGACCGTGAACGACTCGGACCTGGAGGAGATCGTCATCACCAACTCGATACCGGTCGGCAACAAGCTGGACAGTTGTAAAAAGATAAAGATGATCAACGTGGCGCCAATGTTCGCCGAGGCCATCCGAAGAGTGGTCCATGGCGAGTCTGTTACCGCGTCCTCGTCCAAGTTTGTCATCCTATAGTATGACGACAATAATACAATACATATAGGTTTACATTCATTCATTCAAACATTGTTGGACATTGGATACAGTACCATCGATGCGGCATCAGTGATCCAATGCATTTATTAACGCTATGTACAAGGAGGGCGTACCTATGGTCTAGACCTCAATCGACTCCTCCTCGAGTTCAGTGTCAACCACCTCCACAATCTCGTCAGCGATTGGCTCTTCGCCTGCGGCTTCATCTTCAACTAATGATCGGATTGGGCTGCCGGTGGTTGAAGCAGTGGTAGATGCTGTGGACGTAGCGGTGGTGGTCGCCGTAATGGTGGAAGCTGGTCCAGACGTGGTAGCAGTCGTGGTGGCAGTCGTTGTGGCAGTGGTCGACGCAGTGGTGGTAAGTGGACGGCTGGTAGTTGTGGCTGTTGTTGATACAGTTGTTGTTGCCGTCGTGGTCTGTGTGATGGTCGACGCTGCACCTGAGGTAGATGCCGTGGTTGTTGCTGTAGTAGATGCTGTTGTTGAAGCGGTAGTTGAAGATGCAGAGGTGGCCGCAGTAGTAGTGACAGTTGTTGAGGCTGTGGTAGTCTGAGTAATGGTTGATGCCTGGTTGGTTGTCGATGCAGTAGTTGTCACAGTTGTGGTGGCAGTAGTAGAAGTGGCGATTGATGCAGTCGTAGTAGCAGTGGTCGAAGCGACTGTGGACTGTGTTGACACAGTGGTGGTGGCCGTTGTCGATGTTGCGATAGTTGCAGTGGTAGTGGCAGTAGTCGAGGCTACAGTAGACTGTGTTGAGACAGTGGTAGTGACAGTTGTCGAGGCAACTGTTGGCTGTGAAGTTGTGGTCACAGTAGTGGTGGCTACTGTAGACTGAGTAGACACTGTTGTAGTGGCAGTAGTAGATGTGGACAATGATGCATCAGTTGTCGACACAGTGGTTGTGGCAACAGTTGATTGGGTGGAAGCAGTTGTAGAGGCTGTGGTGGAGGACTGGCCAGCTGAGGTTAAACAGGCAGCATTGCCTTGTCTATCAATTGAACAGATTGTACCAGTTTGGCACTTCTTGAAAGCACATCTACTAACACAAGCAGGTTGACTTAATGAAGATGGCTTGTAACAAACACTTCCAAAGGGGCAAGAACCTCCTGCTTGGGCACAATTCGGTGTAGTCTGGCCATTAACTATTCATTTGATCAATCATTCAATCCAAGAATACAAAGATAATTAGTAATATTCCCAAGACCATTATTAATATCACATGATACTTTACCAAGTCCAATAATGAATATCACTGCCAATAAGGCAAAAAGGTTCCTAGCTTTGATCATGGTATTAAAACTGGTGTTGTGATTGTTGATGTTAAATATAATGATTGATTGATTGAGAGTAACCTTGATATAAACAATCAATCAATCAATCAATCTATGTTCCATCCTACATGTACATCCATGTTGCTATTGAGGGTGGAGCAACAGTAACATCAAACAGGCTAGCTACATGTTGGGTGTGGCAGCATTAACCACACACTCGTTTGATGAACACGTGATGGCGTGGTGTGGAACTCACACAACATTATAAAGTAGTAGATGATGGCAATGACAAGGGCTATGATTATTATATTTGATTGAGATCTCCACATATATACGCATATCCAACAATCAATCAATAACTTCAAAGTTTAGGATAACATCATGATTTACTTCTAGAAGAGCTTGTGTGTGGTTATTTATGGAGCAATATTGGTTGGGGCTGGCGTTGATGTCGTTACTGGCTGGGATGTTGTGGCTGGCGTTGAGGTCGTCGCTGGCTGGGATGTGGTGGCTGGCGAGGATGTAGTGGCTGTGGTTGTTGGCGATGATGTAGTAGCCTGGGAAGTTGTAACTGGCGTGGATGAAGTGGCCGTGGTCGTCGCGGTTGTAGTAGCAGTGGTGGTCTGTGTGATAGTAGACGCTTGGTTGGTGGTGGTTGCGGTGGTAGTCTGGGTTGTTGACGCAGTTGTGGTCGTTGGCGCAGGAGTGGCAGTTGTAGTCACAGTCGTTGTGGCGGTGGTGGTCTGGGTTATGGTCGACGCGGGACTGGTAGTAGTGGCGGTGGTGGTAACAGTAGTCGACGCCACAGTAGAGGTTGGACCGGTGGATGTGCTCGCCACTGTACTGGCAACAGTTGATTGAGTGGAGACAGTGGTCGAGGCAACGGTGGAGGTCACTGGCGCAGTCGTGGACGCGGTGGTAACAGTGGTACTGGCAACTGTTGATTGAGTGGACACGGTGGTCGAGGCAACAGTTGTTGTTGGTGCTGCAGTCGTGGCAATGGTCGAGGTGACGCCAGTGGTGGCTGATGTCTGCGAGGTAGTGGTGGCAATAGTACTGGCAACTGTAGATTGAGTGGACACTGTTGTTGTGGCGACGGTAGAGGTAACTTCTCCACCAGTTGACGCGATGGTAGAGGCGACAGTGGACTGAGTGGAGACACCAGTTGTGGCGGKGGTAGTTGGGGTTGGTCCGGCATTCACACAACGAGGAGCACCTAATTTATCCAAGGCACACAACTGACCGACTGGGCAACTTCTAAAGGTACAAGCTCCAATACATTTTGGCTGGACAGATGCGAATGGTTGGCAGCATACCGTACCAAATGGGCACTTTGTCCAAGCACATGCGCCCTCAGTTTGGGAGTTGGCTAAAGTTTGATGGAAATAAATTAATATTATTAATAATTATAAATATTATTGAAGTAACTTACCAAGTCCAAATAAAAGGACCAACATTGTTAGAGCCAAAAGGCGTCCATTTGAATTATTCATTATTGTGATGATGGATGGTGTTGTAGTTGTTGTTATTGTTAAATTATTTGTTTGTTTGTTTGTATGATTGATTGATAGATTGATTGTGATTGATTGATTGATTTAAAGTCTTGGCAAGACCTCAATCAACAGTCCATCCAACCATTCATCCATCCATTGATGATACAGTGCTCATACATAGATGTGAACAACAAACCTACCAACCAATCACCACCCACATCTCTAGTACTCTCCATAGTAACCATTGGTAGCCTAGTTGAGTGATTATTTGATTGATTGATTGAGTTGGGCCATACTTGTATGTTGGATAACCAAGTAGTAGTTAGATAGGCAAGTGATGGGGTGAGTAATATAGGAGTGGTGGTAGTTCACCTATCTCTACCTCTCTATCTCGTCAATATCGCACTTTACACACATACAACATCATACTCTTACCCTACCTACCCTCTAATCAAAGTAGTTAAAGGGTGCTATAAATAATAATAACAAGGTATCAACAGGTAGGAGGGGTTGTTGTTGTTGCTATTGTGTTGAGAAGACTCATGGTGACTCGTACGCATGGCCTCCACCATCACTCGGCCACGTGTTGTCAACACAACACACCTTGATCATCAATCAATCATGTGTTGTGTGTGTGTTTGATTGCACAATAGTGAGTGTATTTGTTTGATCATGTGCGAGTGTTGAGGGATAGTGATATGTACCTTCAAAGCAAGTAAGGTTAATAGAATAAGTTGTTGGATAAACTACAAAGATCGGAAAGTATCACCTTCCATTTTTGTAATATTGTCTTAGATTTGAACTTCCATAATGGCAATTGATTCCAGAACTCCAGAGTTATCATAGTAAAGGACAAAGATGAAGCCAATGAAGACAGTGTCATATTTCTTTCCCCTTGTTACTAGGGATCAATCAATCAATCTAACTGCAACCACGGTCCAAGATATCACACAATGATCTGAACTTCAACTATTTAAATTCAGGCGCTCAAATTTAAAAAACTTTACCGTTAACGGATAATCGCAAATCAATTTACAACACCAAGTTTGATCAATCAAGCCACATAACTGTATACCGACAATAATACATATATATATATAAGAAAGTAAATATATATTTATACATAATATTATGAGTAGTAGCACAGGCACAGATTCAATGTCTACAACACCAGTCAAAGTATTGGGTGTGTCCAATAGGACACCGACTAAAGCGTCAGGCACCAAGAAGAAGTTAAACACGTCATCTGCAGACTCGACACCAGTGGCACTGTCCAAGTCAACTCTTGGCAAAGAGAACAAAACAGAGAATCTAGATCATCTCGTCAGAGCAGTGCGCGAGAATGAAAAGTATGGACATACATTCATTCGTTGATTGATCAATCGATCACATGACAAATGACCACATATATACTAACACTACTGGAACTATTCCAATCACACTCAATCACTCAATCACTCTCAATCATTAATGAACAGGAAACGAAAGAATAGAGCATCAATGGGCCGTGTGAGCTTTGCTAATACAGTGGAAGTAAGGTTCTTTGAGAAACACTTGCAGAGAAAGAACTCTTTGGCAGACGCTGGCACACCACAAAAGTCGCCATCAAAGTCACCACAGAAGAAGTCAACGACGGCATCATCATCACCATTTGGCAAGGGTCCAAAGGCCCCCCTGCAGCTCCAGCAACTGCCACAACCACAGCAACAACAACAACATAATCAGAGCATGGACGATGATGATGGACAACAGACGATGGAGTTAACGGCAACATTCCCCGGCCGCATATTTGTACCATTCATCCGCGATGAGGTGCAGCCACTATGCATCTGTGATGCCTCTGTCAACAACAATAGCAACACCAGCATGGATATATCGGCAATGTCCATGTCAATGGACGACACTTCCATGTCTATGACGCTGCCACGCATCCCCACACTAGGCTCCATCCTGGACCTGGAGGAGCAGGAGGAGAAGGAGAGGAACCACACATCAGCCAGACACGAGGCCAACGACGAAGAAGACCTATACACATCCAACATCAAATCCCCAGTTCACAAGAGGACCAAGGGTCCGGCCGGACCGATGCCCCCACGCCAGATGCTCGCCGCCGAGGACGAGGACTTTAACGAGATATTCAAACACCCAGTGACGCCCATCAAGTCGTCGACCACCACCACAACCACGACGACCAGCAGCTCGCCCATCCCGACTCTGACCGACCTGTACGAGGAGGACATGACTGGCAACTTCAAGGACATCATTGCCAAGTTGGATAACGCGTCATCACATCATTCATCGGTTGCCAATCATCAACTCGAGGACTCTCGCGAGTATCCCGAGCAAGACCTCACCACCGAGTTCCATCTGGCCAATGGCACGCAGGGTGCGGGCGGTCGTCTGACCAACCTGCTGGACACAACCAGCGAGATTGTCGTTGAGGTCTTGCCACCAGTCGATCACGTGATGGACGATGGCGATGACAATGCCGGAGATATGTCAATGACACAGGCATTGGGTCACATTGTCCAGATGGGTACTGCTCTCATTCCAGCTCCAACTCCATCAGAGTCCAACTCAATCAACATGTCCACAGTATCCAACAACAATCTGTCAACTGTATATAACGAACAACAAGAGAGCACTGATGTGAATGTGTCACAGCAGCAACAACAAGAGCATGTCGAGAAGGACATGACCATCACAAGATCATTCGGCGAGATATTGATGATCAACAAGAGACAGTCCATTGCCAATGGACGCATCAAGTCCGAGACGCCAACAACCACAACAGTCCCCCAGTCTAATCACGTGTGGGACATCTCTGGCGACGTGACCAACAACCTGCGCAGTCTGATCACACCCACAAAGACCATCGACATCAAGCCACAGGCCTTCTCCAACACCATCGTCGACGTGCCTCCAGCATCATCTGCTGATGTTGCCAAGCCACAGCCACTGACTGTGAGTGGTCGACCAGGAACCATTCCAGCCACCCAACCCCAACCCCAAGCCCAGCCATCACACCAGCTGGGCAGCTTCTTCCAGTCCAACTCGGGCGCGGCAAGTGTACTGGCCGACTCAACCATTACCAAGACACACACAAACACTGAGATCCAGCATTTGAAGCAGTACACCAGCACACCATCATTCACACAGTATGATGGCGAGGACTCTTTCATCTATGGCAAGCTCAACTTCAACCGCAGCAACCTCAACAGCAACAACACAACAATCACAGGCCGACAGACCAGCAACAGTAGCATCCTGAGCTCAGTCATGCCACCCCCCGCCACCATGATCGATCACAAGTCCACCGCAGGTTCCAACCTGTTGCCACCCACCACCACTACCACAACCACCACAGCAACTACTGCGCCACAACCAACTACCAAGCCCGCACAAGACACTTACGCACCGCGCCCCATGGCCAACGAGTTTGACGCGTCGTTGTTTGGCACGACTTACAACAACAACCGCGCGCCCAACCCAACGATGGAGAGCGCCTTGTTCACACAACAGCGCCAATCGATGATGCTGGAGGACTTGATGAGCATGCACGATCGATCCATGTCGGTCGTGTCGGCCGTCGCCAAGACTATCACATTCAACGAGTTCCTCTACCTGTCAAACTGCCGCTTCATGGACGACTTCTCGTCCAAGTCGAAGCGCGCCTCACTGGTCGGCATGCAGATGACCGACGGCACCGAGGAGTGCGAGTTGCGCACGCGCCTCATCAACTCATACTGTCACTATCGCCAGATGATGTCATATCGCGCCGGCTACGAGCAGCTTCAACAGATGATCACTTCGACGACCGAGGCCAACCGCGTGGCGGAGGAGCGCATGAACGCCAACAACCCGCCAATCTTCCAGGTGGTCCAGCGCTCGACCAAGGACGACCTCATCTCCAAGCAGCACATGCTCAAGAAGATCAAGAACACAGCAAAGATGGGCGCGCAGGCCGGCTACTCACAGTGGCGCTGCGACCTCGAGCGCAAGGTGTGCGAGGAACTCACAGCGTCCAAGCAGCAGCTGTCTGGCGACCTGGTCGCGCTCGGCCACAACACCGAGCAGCTCAAGGAGACAGAGATGGCGCTTCTGGTCGATATCCAGCATCTCAAGACTGCCGAGAAGAGGCTGCACGAGCGCCGCGCACTGCTCGTCCAAAAGATCGAGAGGAAGAGCAACGAGACCGATCAACAGCTTCTGAACCAGTGCGTTGGAGAGCAGGACAAGCTCGCCAAGCTGGCCACGCTCACACACTGGTCCATGGCACAGTGGTCCGGCGCCAACATCACATTCAGCCACCGCCAAGACGACACCACCACAGACAAGACCTCGCGTCCAGTATCCAACATTGAGTACAAGGTCACCTTCAAGCTGGCCAACAACAACACGAACCAGATCCTCTCAGCCAAGCTGACGCGCACTTCCCGATCGTTCCGCGTCGCCAATGGCAGTCTGGCCACACTCGAGTCACGACTGATCGATCAGATGGACCTGCAAAAGACCGTGTTGGCCAAAGTGTCCTCGATCAAACACGTCAAGGAAGCATTGATGACAGTGTCCGTGTGCATTGGTCGCGTGAGGAGACTGTGTGATGAGCTCAGACAGTTGGAGACCTTGTACAACCTACGCGCCAACATGTCGTCCAGCTCGTCCAGCACGAGCATGCTGGAACTGGACGTCAACATGTTCAACTCCAAGGCCATGAAGAAGATGACTGTGAAGCTGTTGGTGTCGCCATCCTATCCCAATGGACCGGTTCAATACTCATTCGATACACTGCTTGGAACCATCAGTGATGATCAAGTGCGCAGTGTACTGGACACACATGTAGTCAACAGTAATCGACGTGGAAAGATCACCAAGGTATTGGAATTGTTAGACAATGTCCTTTCCAATTAATATTGTATATTAATACATTCATTCAATTATTCAATCAATCAATTAAAAATATATTATATTCCTTTTTAACAATTATTATTATTAAATCTTTCATTCATTCTTGGCAACAACCAACTTTGGTAACACTTTAGAAACATTGATCAATGTCTATTGTGGTGCATAATATTGTTGAGACTGTGGTTGGAATGCTGGATATTGGTTGACAACATAGGGTGGATAGTATAATTGATTTGGATAATATACTTGTGGATGTGGTGGGATATTTTGATGTTGATGTTGTTGGTGGAGTTGTTGGAATATATGTTGTGCCTGTTGATGTTGTTGTTGTTGTAATTGTTGAGTTAGATAATATTGTTGAGCTGGATAATAATTGGTATCTGCAAGTGATGGTGATGTCTCAATAATTACAACCTCCTCAACCTTTTCCTCTTGATCATCCTCATGCTCAACTATCTTATCCTGGTCCATCTTCAAGAAATTCAAATATTTCTTATATGTCCTCAATATTGAAATCTAGATTGATTGGTGTTTGTAAAGGAATAGTTCCAGGTTAGTAAATTGTTTATCAAAGAATCATTCAATCAAACTTACAAATGCAAGATAGAACAAGACGGCAACAACAGTTTGTGGTACTCTGTAGTCAGCATGGAACTCAAATGCGAGACAAATGTTCTGAACTGATCCCCAAAGCATGAATACAAAGTAGAGATACGAAGAGATAAAGTGCTAGATTGAGTACAAGTATTTGATTAATAACTAATATTCCAGACATACCCAAAAAAGTATATATACATACCATTGTTGGTATCACTCTACTGGTGGTAAACATGCTGAGAAATCCTATGATTGGTGCAAAGGCCAGACCAAGGGATAGTTTACCAGTGACCGAGTAGAATCCAATTAATTGAGATAATTGGATAATAATAACAAGGAAGATGTTGAACTTGTACAAGAATAACTTCCTCTTCCTATTCTTCTTTTGATGAATTGTACATTCTTCACAATGAGTAGTTGTTGGAATTGGTTCCATTACAACTGTCTCTGGAACTGCTGATGGATGGTATGGTTCATGCTCAATACCCTCTGGCTCTCCATTCTGTAAAGGTGATTGTGGAACCTGAGCATATGATTGAGTATTCTGATAGTCTGGAATACCCATATTTCTTTTAAGTATTAATATTATATTATATAGTTATAATTGATTGATTGACTCAGGTTGATTGATTAATTGATTGATTGATTGACAGGTGTCAAACCACTTTTGAACAACCTATATATCTTTGGTTATAAATAGGATAATTATGAATGTATGGATATAATGCTCTCCACTTGATATGAGTTCATTTGAGTGAGTGTTCAACCTTGATGTCATTAATGTGTGACAGACATATGTATGTATGAGATAGATTGACAACATGTTTGTAGATTTACACTGATCCACCACTCACTCATACATACATACATCCATCGAACTCACACATGCACACACACATAAACACGTGTGCACTACTCACTCACTCACTCACACTCGTTCAATTGACAAAGAGCTCAAGAATCATTTAATCGTTAAATGACACCCTATTGAGCAGTGCATACCATAGAAGTATGATTATCACGATTAACTAGCTAATGAATTGATGCCATTCGTCCCCTTACTTTACTTACTTACTTCAACTTAAAGTAACCCTTTGCAGGTAACACACTTGAATTGACCATTCCCATTCTAAGTATTTTGACATCGAACTACAAAGAACTGTTCTCATCTCAGAGGACTTCAAATTGATTGAGTATACATTGACACTGGAATTGAAAGACAAACAGATGTAGGGGAACGAAATGACACTAGTGAAATGAATAGTAGATCGAGGGAAATGTATTCAATTTCATTGTGTAAATCTCCAACAGTTCATTATAGATTGACAAGATAAATAGATTCATAGGGGGATAGACTGACGATCAACGACTTGGTCAAACTACACATTCTTGTACAAGCACTACTTGCCTTTAAAGGAAATCTAAAGTTATGTTGTTGGTGCGTGTACCTGGGGCGATAACACCCCCATGCGCCTCAGGCTCACGAGTGAATATTGGGACTTGAAGAGGTTCGGTTCAAGACAAACAACAACAACAATGTGTGTATGTGTATGAGTATGAGACAGAGTGAGGGAGACAACAACAACAATATCACACCTTTTATTTATAATTTTATTTGTGGTTTGAAGTAAAGTTGGAGTTGGTGTATGAATATTGGTGTTGGTCACACATTGGATGGATGAATGAATTATCAATATCCACATTTCCAATGTCAGCTTGAAATTGAAGTGTGTATGGTTGCCATTGGTTGAGCCTCATCCTTATCCATATCTGTATTCAGTATCCACTTTGAGGGTCCACCTTACTTCCCTACCTCATACACCTAAATGAACAGTTGGTCTCTGGGAGTGAGGACTGAGGTGAGCAAACAGTACCTCCCATCTTTCTTATTTAAATTTACTACTATCAATACTATACTAAATATTTATAACTAGTTAACTATATATATATATACTTATACTAATAATATTAATATAATAACAACAACAACTACAAAATGGAAACATATATGTGCAGTTGTGATTGTGGAGATGTTAAATTAACATTCCAAATGGATGATATTAATCATTCAAAGCAGGTCACTGATCATTGTAATTGTGCTATATGTTTAAAGCAACGTGACTGGTGTATTAGAATTGATAATCCCGATCATATCAAGCTGGTTTCACATCAGAACACTCAGTCGCTGTACCATCTAGGAACCAATGAGATAGATCACTATCTATGCAAAATATGTGGAGTCAAGGTGTACAGTCATTGCAAGGTGCCCAATGTTGGAGAGTTCTATACCGTCAGTGTACCATGCATTGTACACAGCCTATCAAGAGAGCAACAGACCAGATGTACCAGTCTCTCGCCAACATCCTGCCCAGCCAACGTTGGAATGTCATTCCATCACAACATGGGTAGTTTCCCATCAGAGATTTCAAACTACCTCTAGAGTATAGAGGTGTAGTTATCATCAAATCTTTGTATACTTCTCCTCATCTTTCCCGCAAGCATTCTCTATCTCTCCTTTAATTTAATATTCATAGTCATAATTATTAATAATAAATCCCCATGTGTACATAATAATTACCATCCAACTTTATCCACGGTATGTTTAGTTGTTCCAGGGTGAGGAAATGTTGTTGCAAATGATGGATGGAGACACGGGCAGGTTCAATCTCAAGATGGGCTGGCTGCCCACTCTATTTGGGTAGATGTCGATAAAGGGGGCACATCACTCACTGGTATTCAATCAATCAATCAATGGTATAATTATTATGTGTTATGTCTTTATTTGGACAGCCACTGTGAATGTATTAGTTGGATCACATCATTTGCAATTCAGAAAGACAAACATCATGTGTTTGTCACGATCAAGACACATCTTGTATGTGTATTTACATTACATGTGTGTGTGAGTGTGTATGTGTGATGAAGGCGCCAGGTGTGACTTTGTCATTCGAAAGACCAACACGACATCACTAGGTGTTCTTCATGAAAAATCGATTTTAATTTTTGCAATGTGAGTGACACTAATAATTATGTGTTGTCAAACACACACACAAACACAGACAGACACGCCAATTAATGTTCCAGGTTCTTCACTCATTCACACCGTTCTTTCTCTCTCATTCTCTCACGCTCATTCATACCCTCCCATCTTTCTTTCTTTCTTTTCTTTCTTGTTTGTTTGCGTCTTCATCATTATTATCTCATCACCATTCGTCCATCATCAAGACTACACTACACTACACTACATTCAAACATACAAACAAGTAAACATACATACAGAGACATAGAAAGAGACAGATACAGCAGATACAGATACAACACAAATTACTTGTTGAAGATATCAACAAAGTCATGACTTTATAACATTACTTATCACAATAATAATTATAACAAATAGATAATTAATATATATATCATGGGAGATTCAAAGACCTTTACTGGCTTTAGGTCTTTCTTTCCAAATTGTACAGGAAACACCTCAAATAATAATAATAATAACAATATATCAGCGACAACAACAACAACAATAACACATGAGAGGAATAGTGATACGACAGAGTTGAGTGTTAATATTGGCAATGAGAATAGGTTGTTAACAATTCCAAAGAATGCATCACTGAAGGACATTTCAAACACAATCAAAGAGTCATTTGGCATGAACAACAAGGCCAATCTAAACATCAAGATCGAGAGCCGAGAAGGCGAGCTATACACTGCCAACGATTGTCACCTGAGGAGAGCATTCAAATCAGATGATAAACAGCATCGTCTTGTGGTCAAAGGTATGTTCCGTTGGCTGATCCCCTGACATTATTACAAAGTACATTACTAACCAACAATCAAACAAATGTAGAGGAACAACATCCATGTCATATACAAAGCGCAATAATGTCATTCTTTGGTCGTGGCAATGTTGATACTACAACAACATCATCAATGACTTCGACAATGTCCCAGACACCATCTTCATCACCTCAACAGCAACAACAAGGATCAAACTTCAATCTTCAATTTCCACAACAAGCACCTGCAACAAACTCACTGCAGAACATGATTGAGGTCAATTCATTCAGGACGGGCTCGAGCAGTGCCGCTGCACCTGTGATGGCGGCACCATCACCATCATTCCTAAACAACCGCAGGGATGTTATGATTGACTCGAACCTCAACGAGAAGGAGCAGGTTTACACGAGCCCCTACAAGCCGGTGTCGTCGCAGCCATCCCTGTCGACACCGCCCGCTTCGCTGTTCCGCTCACAGCACCCAACCTCCTTCACCAACCTCCTATCCACACCGACCTACAAGCACAACTCGTTACACGGACTGTCGTCCAACTTCTCGTCAATGTCCATCAACCACCTATATAATAGAAACCCATCGTCCCCTCCTCAACCAATCACCAACAACGACATTATACACACATCAGCCACTCCCATCAACATTCCCTCGTCAAACAACAGCGGCAGCGGCAGCAGTAGTAGTACGGTACATTTCAAGAGGTCACCGCCTCAGTCCATCTCACCATCAAGATCAAACGCTACATCACCATCAAACACTGTCAATGGCAATGGCAATGGCATTGGTATTGGCAATGTTACTGGCAATGGCAATGGCAACAACAACATGAATGGCTTCAAGATACTTCCACCAATGTATCCTCCAAACTCAATGAAATACTATCTACAACAAAAGTTACAACAACAGCAACAACTACAACAACAACAACAACAGCAACAAAACACATCCACATCCAACTCCACTTCTACACCAACATCAAACATGGCACGTAATGAGTCATTCGAATTCCTTCAAACTGACAATGATTTGGAATCACAGGTCAGCAGTAGCAGTAACGACAACGACAATGATGACGACATGAACGATGACGATGCCGACGCAATCGGCACAGCCAAATCACACAACAACAAACAACAGCAGTCATCTACATCCGCACCTTCCGTGCCCCCACAGTGCGGCATGCAGGTGCAAGAGTTCATTGGTGAGGTAACCAAGAAGTTCATGATGCTGCGACAGGAGCCCAACCCTGAGGTGCAGCGCAGTCTGAAGCTGTCGATCTGCCAGGCAATCCAAAAGAACGCCTCCATCATGCCAATCATCACCAAGGTCTTCCCGCTGCTCAACCACTTCATGGGCAGCGACGCAATGCAATGCTTCAATGTCCCACCCAACACCCCGCCCCCATCTCCCTCACAACAGTCTCCGCTGTTGGACCTCGCCACCAAGGGCGCATCGATCATTGGCGTGCCCAGCGACCTGCCCCTTGCCACACTGCAATCACATCTTCAACTTCAATCAAGGATCCAGGCCATGTTCATCAGCGAGAACGAGGAGAAGCAGCTGTCTTCGCACACGCCCCCCACCACGTCTCTGCCATCATCGTCGGGCAAGCTGCAGTTTGCTCATAGACGTGTGGAGGGACCGACCATCCACCGCGGCTCGACCTGCGTGCTCTGTGCACAGGCCCCCATCGTCGGCAACCTCTACCACTGTCTGCACTGCCCCTTGTTCACCTTTTGTGACACCTGTAAATTAAGCAAGAACTCCACATGCCCCAACGACACCACGCACAAGATCCTCACCGTCACCAAGTCCATGAAGTCCTGCCAGCTGTTTGGCGCACCCACCATCGACAGCGCCGTCCACAACTCCAACAAGCGCGTCTGTCCGTACAACCGTCGTCGCCAACGCTGTCGCTTCAGCGTCAAGCTCGTCAAGGACCTGACGCTGCCGCTGGGCAGCGAGGTGCACCCCGGCACGCTGACCAAGGTGTGGCGCGTCCAGAACACCGGCTCGTCATCACTGCCCAAGGACTGTCTGCTCGTGCGCTGCTACGGCAACGTGCACCTGTCGACCGTTATGTCCGTGACGCTGCCTGCCATTGGCGTGGACGAGATGCTCAACATCTCTGCACCACTGGTCGTGCCCAACATTCCCTACCCCGAGTTCCTGGCTGGTGAGTGCTGGAGGATATGCACCAGTGATGGCTACTACTTTGGAGATGAACTATGGATCAATGTTATGATCAAGAGACAATAGCCTGCCTGCCCATTCATTATATTTATATATTCCCAACTTCCAACACCGACAATCAATCAATCATGACCATGACCAATACCCATCGCCATTCATTACTATTTATTCACACTTTAGGTGGAGCCGACGCACCTCTTTCTTCTTTCCCTCAACCCAATCACTTTTCCAACTTCACTATCCATCTTCCAAACCTAATCAATCATTCATTAAACATACTTCTCCTCCTCTTTTCCCTTTCACTCATTATTCCCAAGTGTCATTAGTGTAGTGTAGTTCAAATGTTATTTGTGATCAACATTTATCTCGACATTGGATACGTTATGTCAACCACAATGTACACATAAAACGGGCTGATAGTATCTGTCTAAGCCCTCTTGCCAAAATCATTGGCGCCACAAGGGTGATGGATGGCGTTCGTGCCTGGTTTGGATACCAGCAAAAAAACAAGAATGGGTAAAGCCACCATTGATGGCGGATATTTATAATTGTTATTGTGAGGTGAACTGAACTTTAATTTTTATTTTATTTTGTCGATGTGATTGAGTGATGAATCATTGAAGCGAAACGCATGTATCTTGAGTTCAGCACAAGTCAAATGAATGAGTGAAGGTGTTGTGTGTCAAAGAAGAAGGTGTGGGTAACCCCACCATGCTCGATAACAACGACCCCCAAGAGACATGGCATCTTGTCTGTGTTCCCACCTCAGGTCATCGACCCCCCACACCATTCATTCATTCCTTCTTCTTTAAAGACTGTCGACACATCCGTTTACCAATTCATTACACATTAACCTCTCTTCTCTTTCATACAAATACACACAGACATAAACACTAACATCTTATCTGTTGTTGGGAGAATATATTGAGATTACATTACCTTTACCATTAAATTAAATTATTATTAATTAGTTAACTTTATAACTTGGACCAACACACATTGAGACCAGTCCAGAGCCGAGAACATTCATAAGAAGAAAGTTGTAGTAATATACCCATCCATCCAGAGACCAGAGAGAGAGAGACATCATCATGAAGATCATAGATAAGATCAACGATTATAAGGAGAGGAAGCAATTGTTCTACTCGTTCGAGTATTTCCCACCAAAGACGATGGAGGGTGTACAGAACTTGTACGACCGTCTTGGACGTATGCTCTTGCTCGAGCCACTCTTTGTCGATATTACGTGGGGTGCCGGCGGTTCCACTAGCCAGCTGACGCTGGAGATTGCAGAGACTTCACAAAACATATGCGGCCTCGAGACGATGATGCATCTGACCTGCACCAACATGAAGGTGGAGGAGATCGACTTTGCCCTCGAGAAGGCCAAGGCGTCGGGCGTGCGCAACATCCTGGCGCTGCGCGGCGACCCGCCCCGCGGCGAGGAGTGGAAGAAGATCGAGGGCGGCTTTGGCCATGCGTCAGACCTCGTGCGCTACATCCGCGCCAAGTACGGCGACTACTTTGGCATTGCCGTCGCCGGCTATCCCGAGATGCATCAGGATGCCACCAACGCCGAGGAGGACCTGCAGCACCTCAAGCAGAAGGTGGACATGGGCGCCGACGTCATCATCACACAACTCTTCTACGACGTCGACATCTTCATCGAGTTCGTCTCCAAGTGTCGAGCGATTGGCATCAACTGTCCAATCATCCCTGGCATCATGCCCATTCACACTTACGCTGGATTCAAGCGTATGACTACACTCTCCAAGACCATAGTACCTCCATTCATCCTAGAGAACCTTGAGCCAATCAAGGTATGTTCACTCACCCAATCAATCAATCAACCGATCAATCACTAACACATAATCAATCAATCAATCAAAACAGGATAACGATGAGGAGGTAAAGAAGTATGGTGTTAGACTGTGTATTCAGATGTGTCAGAGAATGTTGGAGGCTGGCGTCGATGGCCTACACTTCTATACATTGAACCTCGAGAGGAGTGTGAGGAAGGTGTTGAAGGGACTGCAGCTGGTGCGTCCTGACCAGTTGAACAGATATCTGCCGTGGGCTCAGAACGCCAGCAGCAATCGTCTCAAGGAGGAGGTGCGTCCCATCTTCTGGCAGCATCGTCCACGCAGCTACATCTCGAGAACAGGCAGCTGGGACGAGTTCCCCACGGCCGTTGGGGCGACTACCGTTCGCCCGCCTTTGGCGACCTCAGCGACTACCATCTCAGCTCGCTGCACTTCAACGCCGTCAACCCAGTTCACGAGGAGCTGGAGTTTGGCGAGCCACCCCACACCGAACAAGATGTGTACGACCGCTTCGCCGACTACTGTGCCGGCAAGACCAAGAAGCTGCCGTGGAACGACCTGCCGCTGTCCACCGAGTCCGACGAGATCAAGGAGCAATTGATCTTCCTCAACAAGAACGGATTTCTTACAATCAACAGTCAGCCGGCAGTCAATGGCGCGCCCTCCACCGACAAGTTGCACGGTTGGGGTGGCAAGCACGGCTTCGTCTACCAGAAGGCCTACGTGGAGTTCTTCACCTCGCCCGAGAACACCGAGCGCCTCATCGAGTACTTCAAGCTGTGTCCATCGATCACGTACCACGCCGTCAACCGCAGCGGCACGTCGCTCACCAACACCAAGGGCACCAACGCCGTCACCTGGGGTATCTTCCCAGGCAAGGAGATCATCCAGCCAACCGTCGTCGACAATGCCAGTTTTGTCGTGTGGAAGGACGAGGCCTTTGCCCTGTGGCAGTCGCGTTGGGCCGCCGCCTATCCCGAGGGATCGTCGTCGCGCAAGCAATTGGAGACCATGATCAACTCATACTACCTCATCAACGTTGTCGATAACAACTTTGTCTCGGGCAACATGTGGAAGCCATTCCAAGACCTCGTCTTCAAGTGTTCTCCACCAGCACCCTCCTCGCCAACCATCCAATCCGCTGCCGCTGGTGCTGGAGCAGCTCCATCCCCATCCCAACAGCAGTAGTAGTTCTTTATCCTCCCCTTTCTTCCTTCCTTCTTCTTCCTTTCCCGTTGCCCTTGCCTTTGCCTTTGACTTGCAACAACGTTGTTGCGGTAGTTCAATTCCATCACTTCATTTATAAATCCATTCGAGTATGGATGGTGTACAACCAACCAACAGCATCGCATATTGCATAATCATACAAAGTTATAACTTGTACTTCATTTGGTCAGTCAATCAGTCAGTCTATGACCCTTCATCATGCTCGCTCACTCCATTCAACATCATCCAAGTTTGACACCTTCTATTTATGTCCAAGTATGACGCCAGGGCATTGTCATGGTCTTGTCTCATCTTCGTTCGTCCTACCCTATCCATCAAAAACAGATTCAGACCCATCGTCAAAGTCTTGGACATGATGACAATTATGTGATGCAAGCTAGCACGATTGGATTGTCAAAAAAACTATTGTCCAGCCTGGGGTGATGGTTTCGCCCGACATCAGTGAATCAATAAGAAGTTCATGTGATCACTACCACACACAGTGACATATTTTTTTGTTTGTTGAGCCCAACAGACCGACACACAACTCAACCCAACCCCATCCTCTCTGTTCACTACCCCTCTTGCTTGCTCACTCTCGCGCATTCACTCTCTCCTGTCACTCATTCCATTCTCCTCCTCTCTCTCTTGCTTGCAAGCATCAATCAATCAATTATTCACTCTCTTCTTGTTATATCATTCTCTATAAATACAACAACTCCTCGAGCTCTATTGTCTCAGACACAGACGACAAAAGCTCAAACTCAGCATTCATAGATCTTATAATACTTAAGTATCCATTGTTTGTTATATTATTAGAGAGAATCCAGAATGTCTTCAATCATGATGTCAGCAAGTGGAAGGGGTTTGACCCAATCCATGGTATGTATATTCATTCAATCATTCAATCATTCATTCATTCAATCATTCAAGTATACAGTATAACTTACATGAATGGACCGAATGAATATTAGAAACAATTCACTAGATCTTATACTACTGCCGCTCCAATGAGCAGGTTCGAGACAAAGAAGAAGATCAACTATGAGGGTATTGACCAGAAGTTGAAGCAGTTCAGATTGCATCACAACAAGCCACTCACCCTTGCTGAGAAGGTCTTGTACGGTCATTTGGAGGACCCATCGACCAAGGTCGAGAGAGGTGTTACCTACCTCAAGTTGCACCCAGATCGTGTTGCCATGCAGGTATGTCGAATCATTCAATCAAGAGAGACACAGATAGAGGGATATACTAACATGAACACATAACACAACACATTGGTATGATCACATGATTGATTGATTGATTGAAATGATTGCAATGATTGAAACAATATAATAGGATGCTACAGCTCAGATGGCAGTGTTACAGTTTATGTCTGCTGGTTTGCCAGAGACTGCAGTGCCAACTACTATTCACTGTGACCATTTGATCGAGGCCTTTAAGGGTGGCCCCACTGACTTGGCCCACGCCAAGGACATTAACAAGGAGGTGTACGACTTCTTGGCCTCGTCAGCCGAGAAGTTTGGCATGGGCTTCTGGAAGCCCGGTTCAGGCATTATCCATCAGATCGTTCTGGAGAACTACGCCTTCCCAGGTGGTCTGATGATCGGCACTGACTCTCACACCCCCAACGCTGGAGGTCTGGGCATGGTCGCCGTCGGAGTCGGAGGTGCCGACGCCGTCGATGTGATGGCCGGTATCCCATGGGAGCTCAAGGCCCCCAAGGTCATCGGAGTCAAGCTCACTGGCTCGCTCAAGGGCTGGTCTTCACCAAAGGACGTCATCCTTCGTGTGGCTGACATCCTCACCGTCAAGGGAGGCACGGGTGCCATCGTCGAGTACTTTGGACCAGGTGTCGACTCACTGTCCGCCACCGGTATGGCCACCATCTGTAACATGGGTGCTGAGATTGGTGCCACCACCTCGATCTTCCCCTTCAACAACAGAATGGCCGACTACTTGAACGCCACTGGCAGAAACGGCATCACCAAGGCCGCCACCCACTACCGCCACAACCTCGTTGCCGACCCCAACGCCCAGTACGACCAGCTGATCGAGATCAACCTCGACACTTTGGAGCCATACGTCAACGGCCCATTCACACCAGACCGTGGCCACCCACTGTCCAAGTTCGCCGACTCTGTTCGCCAGAACAAGTGGCCAGAGGAGCTTCTCGTTGGTCTTATTGGCTCGTGCACCAACTCCTCCTACGAGGATATGTCGCGTGCCGCCTCTGTCGCCCAGCAGGCATTGAACCACGGCATCAAGTCCAAGGCCAAGTTCACCATCACCCCAGGTTCAGAGCAGATTCGCGCTACCATCCAGCGTGACGGACAGATCGAAGTGTTTGAGAAGGTCGGTGGTGTTGTGCTCGCCAACGCCTGTGGCCCATGCATTGGCCAGTGGAAGAGAGAGGACATTGCCAAGGGACAGAAGAACTCGATCATCACCTCATACAACAGAAACTTCACCGGCAGAAACGACTCCAACCCCAACACTCACGCTTTTGTCGCCTCGCCAGAGATCGTCACAGCCATGGCCATTGCTGGTGACCTCACATTCAACCCAGTGACTGACTACCTGACAGACGCCAACGGACAAAAGTTCAAGCTGGACGCCCCACGCGGCGACGAGCTGCCATCGCGCGGATTCGACGCTGGTGAGGACACCTACCAGGCACCATCGGCCAACGCCGAGAACATCAAGGTCAAGGTCGACGTTGCAAGCCAGCGTCTGCAGCTCCTCGAGCCATTCCAGCCATGGGACGGCCAGGATCTGACCGACATGCAGGTGCTCATCAAGGTGCAAGGCAAGTGCACCACCGATCACATTTCGATGGCCGGCCCATGGTTGAAGTACCGTGGCCATTTGGACAACATTTCGAACAACATGTTGATCGGCGCCATCAACTCTGAGAACGGCAAGGCCAACGCCGTGCTCAACCAGTTCACTGGTGAGACCGCCCCAGTGCCCACCGTCGCCCGTGACTACAAGAAGCGTGGAGTGTCGTGGGTCGTCATTGGAGACGAGAACTACGGTGAGGGATCATCGCGTGAGCACGCCGCCCTCGAGCCACGTCACTTGGGTGGCAAGGCCATCATTGTCAAGTCGTTCGCCAGAATCCACGAGACCAACTTGAAGAAGCAAGGAATCTTGCCACTGACCTTTGCCAACCCGGCCGACTATGACCGCATCACCGGTGACGACGTCGTCTCGATCGTCGGACTCAAGACCCTTGCCCCAGGCAAGCCACTCAAGATGATCGTCAAGAACGCCAAGTCTGGCAACGAGTTTGAGGTAGTCCTCAACCAGACCATGAACGAGGGCCAGATCGAATGGTTCAAGCATGGAAGTGCTCTCAACTTTATCAAGAAGTCAAAGAAATAAACTCTTAATCAACATTGTCTCATTCATTCACATCCACTCCTCCTCCATGACTCATGCATCCTCCTACATCCTCGCCTCACCTTGTTCACAAACTGGCGTCAACTTGATAAATGGAAACAACTCACCTCAACTGGCCAAGTCAAATCATGATTCATCAACAGTCACCAACACTCATTCTCAATTGTTCATCAACTACTATTATTAGTTGGTTGCTGCTAAGGTTCTGCAGGGGATAGTCAAGGTTACGCAGAGAATTCATTTTTCAGCGGTCTCAATCCTTGGGTTCGAGCTGGTTCGACCCTGGACAACCCTTGGAACAGCAAGGGGAACCCTTTCAAACCTTATCTGATGTTAATTAAATATTTATATTTTTATTGTTGTTGTTGTAGTTGTTGTTGTGGTTGTTGTTGTTGTTGTATGATAAATTAGACCTTAAAGAAATCGTCGTCTCGTCCAAAGGAGTGGAACATATTGGTCAAATATGCGATAATTGTCCAGAGTGCGTTGTGTCGTTGAATGTTGTCAGAAAGGTCGCCAAGTGATCTGATTGTGTCTGACAATATGTTCCATTTCTTCATCTCTCCAAAGACATTCTCAATGATGATCCTCACCTTCTTGATTCGATTGCTCTCATCTTTCTCTCTCAGGATACGCTCGGCATCGAATCCTTCTTTGGTGACCTTGGCTTCCAATGCCTTCAACTTCTTAGATACCTTGGTCGCCTCCTTTCCTTGACGCAGGCGATGCTCATCGAGCGTGCGTTTTCTGATCATCTTGTCTGTGTACTCCATATGATCGATCAATGAAGCCGACTTGATCTTGGGGGTGATGGTGTTGGTGTAGTACTTCTGACCTCCTTTGAATCCTTTGTCACCGAGAATGACAATATCTTCATCGAACAGAGCCTGTAGTCTANGTGCAGCATCCTTGTAGAGCGAGACGTCAGGCTGGGCGCCTCCCTCTGTCTTACCTACATACACGATCTTGCCACGTATATCGCAAATGACCAACACTGCCAAAGAATACATTGATTTCTTGCCAGAATAAACAAGATCCTTGATCGTCTTGTGTGGCGGCACTTGAATCCTCTGCTCTGACCCGTCCACAATGAGATGAACATTGTGCTTAATACCATCTTTCCATATTTCTGCATGATTGTCTCGAAGCTCTCCATTGTGAACCACATCCTGGAAGTACCCATGGCAGTACGACTTCAATCTATCGAACACCTTGGTGAATGAGTACCTGAGCTGAGCGATTGTCAATTGATATAGGAACACACGCTCCATCATGTACCAGGGAAGGTTGTGGCGGCACCTCATGAGGAAGACGAGCATGTCCTTGTGTTCAAAAGAGTGCTTCTCACAGAGCTGAGACACTTGACTATGGGAGAGCTTGAAGTAACTTGTGTACTCTTCATCTTGGTTGAACCATTGATCTGTAAGTGCAGAGTTGAGGGTATGGCATTTGTCAGTTAATGGACTTAGCTTGCTGGCAGCATATTTATTCTTCACCTTCTTCAAGGGTATTGTTCTTCCTCTTATTGTTCCTCCTTGTTGTTGTTGTTGTTGTTGTTGTTGTTGTTGGTGTTGGTGTTGCAGCTGCTTTCTTGGCCTTTGATTTAGACACTGGTTTGGTTATTGCTGGGCTTGGTGCTGCTGGGCTGGGTGCTGGGATGGGTGGTGATGTAGTTGTTGACATCGCATTATCGTCGATATCTATCGTTGCCCTGCTGGAGATACCGGTGTTCGCTTCGCACCATTGAGTCCATTTCTCTCGTTTGTTGGTTAGATACTCGACAAGGCAGTTCCATCGACAGAAGTATACAAAGACGCCAAACGTGCTGTCTGGATGGCAACACTTCAAGATGCGAGAACAACCCTTTGAACAGTTCTGGCAATGTTGGACAGAATCTCCAATGATAGGCTTCTCTGGATCGTGTTCTCCAATCGCAGGTACAGCAAGCTTCAAATAGGGCATTGACCTGGTATGGTTTGTAATATGTCCAACACTGCACATCATCATTTTTTGGTCGCCATAGTAGACAATGATCTTCTTCTCGATCTTGTTCTCTGGTGAATTGCAAGTCGCCTCTACTATAATCCGGTTGGGATTGGTTGGGTCTCGAACGTTGGAATGCAGGAAGCACTTGGTTTGTTTGCTAGTCTCTCCATCCATCAACTTCTTGGTATGTGTGATATTCATCAGCTCTCTATTGTTCTCTGCCGCACCTTGTTTGGTTGGCGTCTTCATTTGCTGAAGCGTGAGTGTTGATGACAACGATGTTGGTTGTGGCTGTTGTTGTTGTGGCTGTTGTTGTTGTGGCTGTGGTTGTTGTTGTTGTTGTTGCGATAATGACTTGATGATTCCCTCTAACTCCTCTATACGCAGCCTCAACGTGTGAGTCTCCTCCTGTGATTCTTTAGTCTGGAACATATCAATGATGATATTGTAACACAGTTTGGCGCACACGGGCAGGTGTTTGCCCAAGACCCAGATATCCAACTCAGTACCGCAGAAGAAGCATTTGACACCTGCTTGCTTAACTCTGGTGACTATTAACTGGGTTAGCTCCTCAGACATCAGATGTTGTATTATATATATGTATTAATTGGTCGCTATTACTATGTTGGAGGTTGCAAAGGGTCATCACGGGTCGGACCTTGGATTCCAAAACAAATATTTGAAGAATCCACCCACAACACCCGTTGAACCCTGCAGAACCCAAGCTAACCTTAGCAGCAATCAAGTAATATAAATAATGAATAACATACATTGCAACATGTAAACATAATACATATAATAACAACAAATAAACATACAAACAAACATACATATATACTATGGGAAACAATACCAATCGACAATCAACAACAACTACAACTACAACTACTAATACAACTAATGTTGTTGAGATGAATGATCAAACATATGTTGTTGGTCAAGACAATGATGATGTGGATATGCATTATTATGATAGACAACTATATACTATATCATTGGAAGCAATGAGATTGATTGTTGCCACTGATGTATTGGTTGTTGGTCTAAAAGGTGGACTTGGAATCGAGATTGTCAAGAATATTGTGTTGGCTGGTGTAAGATCAGTAACACTCTACGACGATGATCCTGTCACTATGAGTGACTTATCATCCAATGTATGTATAATCATTAGCATCAACATCAACATCCACATCATCGACTGACTGACCTTTCAATCATAGTTCACTTTGGATCAATCACATGTTGGTGTTGCGAGGTCTACTGCTTGCCAAGAGGTAGTGTCTTCGCTCAAGCATAACGTGACATGTTATACGGGCGAACTCACAGAGGATGTTATAAAGAGACATCATGTTGTTGTGTTGGCAAACCAGTTACCATCGATCAATGTCAAGGTTAACCAATGGTGTAGAGATCACTCGATCAAGTTCATCGCTGTAGAGTGTCATGGTGTATTTGGATCATTGTTCAATGACTTTGGCGACCAGTTCCACATCACCGACATACGTGATGAGGTGTTGTCTCCAGCTCTCATCACTTCATTCAAGCGCTCAGACTCTGCTGGCTCTGACTCCTCCTCCAACAACAACAACAACAACAACAATTCTACCAATGGTTTGTTTGAAGAGGTCGAGATACATTTGGAGGAGTGCACATCATATATGCATGGTCTGTCTGTTGGCGATCAGATTCACCTTTGTATCAAGGGCATTACACAACTTGTTGACCATGGACCATATACAATCAAGGAGATCCATCAGCGATATAAACTCAAGATTGATATGCCCTCTGAATTGACACAGATACTTGGAAGCTTCACAGGCGGTCGTGTCATCCCCCTGCCTCAATCATTGACAGTGGACTTCAAACCATTGTCCATCACATCGCAAGACCTCTATTGTCCTTCGGACGACCCTGCCAAGAGCTACAATGACATTCAACTGAACCTGGCATTCCAAGCCGTTCACAGGTTCAGTGAGGTACATGGTCACTTCCCCCGAGCCTTCAATATTGTCGATGCAGAAGAGGTGTTGGAGTTAGCCAAGGTGCTGGCCACCGATATCAACTCGCAACCGAGTGTGGATGAGACATTGGTGCTACAAATATCGTTTACATGGAGTGGAGAGCTTGCTCCAGTCTCATCAATCATTGGTGGTGTGGCAGCACAAGAGGTCCTGAAGGCCGCCTCACACTTATTCCAACCTATTTATCAATTGACTTACTTTGACTATTCATCCGTGTTGCCAACAGACCTCTTGAATATGTCCTCGCCACTCGATACCTCAACCAACTCACGATATGATGGTCTTTTGGCTGTGCTTGGTAGAGATATCCAACGACTCATCGAGTCACAGCGCCTGTTCTTGGTTGGCGCAGGAGCATCTGGATGCGAGCTGTTGAAGAACCTGGCATTGATGGGCTTTGGCTGTGGCACCAATGGACACATTCAATTCGCTGATCACGATGTCGTCGAGCTTCACAACCTCCACACTCAAATACTCTACTCTCGTGAGGACATTGGCAACCTCAAAGCAACATGCGCAGCGAGGACGACCAAGGCGATCAATCCCGCGATGAACATCACTGCTCACACAGATCAGGTTGGCGAGATACCTTATAAGTGTGCACCGTGGAACGCAGAGGCCAACTCCAATTTCAACCAACAGTTCTACACTGACTTGGACGCGGTGCTCATGGCGCCCGACAACCTATCGGCCAGGATGCACATTGATGAGAGGTGCGTGAAGTTTGGCATCCCCTACATCGACACTGGGTTGCGTGGAAACAAGGGCAGCGTCCAGGTGGTGGTGCCACATCAGACGCAGCCATACTCGGCTACGAAAGACCCATTCGAACACAGCTTCCCCAAGGACATGCACCACTTCCCTCGTGGAGTTGAGCACACTACAAACTGGGCACAAGATATTCTTCAGAATCAATATGTAGAGTCTCCCAATGATGCCAACGAGTACCTCAATGACCCGTCAAAGATTGATGATAAGTCATTGTCAGCGTTTTCAATGTCATCCCTCTTGGACAGGATTAGCGAGATTCTGCTGCTGGAAGTTATCCCAACAAACATCGAGCAATGTATACAGCTTGCCCGAAATATGTTTGAACAAGAGTTTACAATCAAGACTCAACGTCTACTACACAGCTTCCCCAAGGACTTGGTGACGGCGACGGGTGCACCATTCTGGGGGCATCCCAACAGAATAGACGCGCCAACACCTCTGTCATTCAGCTCGCAAGACCATCAACATCGCCAATTTGTCATTGTGGCGGCCAAGCTGTTTGCCCTCACCTTTAGCATCGAGTGGACATTGGATGCACAGTGCACTGAGGAACAGCTCACTCAATGGATGGACTCAGTCACACTCAGGAGACCCAAATCTCTGGGCACCAAGCCCTATACCGATGAGAGAAGATTGAAGCGGGAGGCCAAGATCAGGGCCAAGCTTAGCGCAAGGTCTGATCAACTCAAGGGACTCAAACTACACATTGTTAAGCCTCAACTTGGAGAGCCTGGCCATCTCACATCAGAGTTTGTTGTACTGGCTTCCCAACTCAAATCAAGAGTGTACAACATCGAACAAGAGAATGCACACAAGATCCGAGGCATTGCCAAAAAGATCATCCCGACACTAATCACAAGTGCATCCGTAGTAGCCGGTCTAGCATGCCTCGAGTTGTTGAAGCTTATGCAAAAGAAGAAGCTCCAACAATGTCCACATGATTTCAGGAACAGGTAATCATTCGCGCCACACTCGCGCCACCTTTGCCATGGTCAATCTAACTCACTAACTCATCCATTAATCACAACCAACATGTAGCTTCATCAATCTAGCAACAGCAACATTTATCCATGCTCAACCATTGCCTCCCAAGAAATATAATATGATTGGAAGTGTTGAGGGAGAGTGGACGGAATGGGACCATGTGGAGGTATATGGCGATATCACTTTGCGAGAGTTGGTACATCATATAGAGCACCACTACTTATGTACATTAACGATGTTGTGTACTGGTACATGGTTGTTATACGCCAGGTTCATGAGGAAGGAGTTACATGAAAAACTCTTTGATCAACCAATCAAACAGATCATTGAGGATAAGTCCAAGCAAAAGATTGGTGACAAAGTCCGCTTCCTAGATCTAGATGTTTGTCTTGACTACCTTGGCACTGACTATGACTGTGAAGACTTCCCCAAGATCAGATACGTCATCAAACAATAAATAATTGATTGTACATTTAATTGCCAAGTGTGATGAGGGTCAAGGGTTGAGGCCTTAACCGAAGGAAGAAGGTTGATGGTAGAGGGTAGAGAGTAAGGTCAAGGGTAAAGTATCAAGGTAAGGACGAGTGTAATAGTATGTATTGGGGATTGTTCCATTATTTATTGTGTTTTAGGAACAAATAATAAATAAATAAATAAATAATAAATAAATATGTAGGTTGGTTGTTGAGGATGGATGGATGGATGATGAGTAAGAATACAGCTTGGACTGAAAGAGACAACCTCATTAGGATAACTCAATCAATCATTATCTTATCCATTGATTGGTTGGCCACGTGCTGTGATCGATTGATGAGCCTTGTTGCTTCTGAACTTGAAGATATCGATTCCTCTTGACTTGCGCTTCATGTTGACCTCGTTGTTGCCAGAGGTCTCTGGCTCGGTGGACTGACGTCTCTTGACGACGGCAACAGTGACACCAGCGGCCAAAGCAAGGGCAGCAGCACCACCAACAGCAATACCAACGATGGCACCAGTTGAGAGGGCAGCAGCAGCGGCAGCAGTTGGTGCGAAAGCACTGTCAGCACCAGTGAACATCGAAGCAAACTCCTCATAAGTAAGGTCACTGAATGAGTTGAGGGAGGCTAAGGACATGAATGTGAGTTAGATACATTGAACACACTGAACTATCGAGGCTACGACATTGACTACTTACCAGTCTGGACATCAGCGCTTGGGTATGTGACGGTGACGGCTTCGTTGACGGATGAGAGGACTCTGCTGGTGGCGGCTTGGGAGCTGCCGACGGTCATGAGGACATTGACTTGGTTGATGGCACCGTTGATGGCGGCGACCTTCTCGACGTTTGCCTGCCAGTTGGCGAAAGCAGCTTGGAATTCACCATCAGTGTAATACTTTCCGAAAGCATCGGCCCAGCTGTGGAAAGCCTGAATCTCATCATCAGTTGGGGTTGAGTCAGCATTTGCGAAAGCGACCAACAACACAAAGAAACAAACAACAACACTTGTTGATATTCTCATTCTTTATATATTATGTATTTGTAATTATATGTATATATATATATGTGATATTATATGTTTGATTAATTGATTGAATGAATGAATTAAGTAAACTTAATAATGTACCAGTGAATTGGCGTTGATGTTGACGTTGTTGTTGATGATGATATGAATGTTGAATAAGAATGATTCAATGATTCCATTCCCAATCAATTGGTGGAGGACGAACTTAACCGTTTAGATTGCCCATCTTGTTGGAGCCATTTAATGAGGTGCACCTACACGTGTGCAAACAACTCAAACAAGTCAACCTTAACCAACCTATTAAATCTACGTCTTCCTACCAATGGAATACAGTGTCGAGTGGCACGATTACCCATCAATCTAACGCCAAGCCATAAATTTGCATCAAGGGGCAGCCATTTTTTGATAAATTCGATCAATTTTTAGACTTTATGTGAAGGTCCGCCTTGTTTGTGGGGACGTCCAATCCCAAACGTCACAGTTGATCAGTGCAAATATTTGTAGGCGTGGGTCGATTGATTGATTGTTGGATCACAATCGCATACCTGAGTCCTCACAGGACCCCTTTTGGTCTATGTGTCCAACGACTAAATGTGATGTTTGCTACATTTAACATTGGTGGCTTGATCCAACAAATCACAACCCACTGAGGCCACGATACTTTATATTGAATAACCCAAAAAATAAGCCCAACTTGAATGATTCTTCAATTCAAGCTCTCTCCCAATCACATACTTCTTTTGTTGACCCCTCCCCTTCGTCGTCACTTCCAGAGTCCTTGGTCTACAATCAATCAAAATTTTAAACAAGGTCCACCTTACTTAAATCAGACCTCATCTTTTCAATCATTACTAAACTACTAACTTATAAAGTATACTTTATATATATATAATTATTTGTAATATTATTATTTATTATTTATTATTTATTTAAAAAACAATGAAGATTATAATTTTATTGTTCACACTCACATGTTTGATGAGTCTGGCTGCTGCTCAGTTGGACCAAGCTTCAATCACCACTATTCTTAACATTCATAATCAGTGGAGAGCTGACCCAACTAGTGTTGGCGCATTGGCACCCGCCACAACCATCCCAGCTTTGAAATGGAACGCCACCATGGCCAGAGATATCCAGACTCACGTTTCCAAGTGCTCCAACACATGGAGTCCAGCCGCCCTCAAGTCCCAGGTGTCCGAGTGGAGCTTCGGAATTGCCCCCAACTTTGACGCCGCCCAGATCCTCAACTGGATCGCCGAGGGAGCTCCCGCCTTTGACTTCACCTTGAAGGCTTGTCCATCTGGAAACTACAGCTGCAGCATGTGGGCTCAGGCCGTGTGGGCCACCTCCACCCAGATTGGCTGTGGCATGGCTCAATGCAGTGGCTACTACTACTTGTACTGTGACTACAAGACACCAGGTGGATACAGAAACAAGAACCCATACACTCCAAAGAACCTCCCAACCCCAACCCCAACCTCCACCCCAGCTACAACTGGAAGCACTGTGTCCACGACCTCCTCCACTACCTCGACCACCAAGCCCGCCACCACCTCCTCGACTACCTCCACAACTTCGACCACCAAGCCAGCCACCACCTCCTCGACAACTACCTCCACTACCTCGACCACCAGACCAGCCACCACCTCTTCGACCACCACTACCACCACCCCAGCTACTACCACTTCCGCTGGCGCCACCTCTGGCACTCCAACTCCAACACCAAACGCTGGTGGCTCGATCGATTGGAGATCATTCTCCACCCCAGTAAGAAACCAGGGTCAATGCGGTGACTGCTATTTGTTCGCCGCCGTCGCTAACATTGAGGCAAGAGCTGTCATCTACAAGGGTGCCAACAAGGACACCTTCAACTTGGCCGAGCAGGACGCCCTTAACTGCATCAGCAACGGATGCAACGGAGGCTGGCCAACATCAGTCTACACTACCTTTGCCAAGAATGGTATCGCCTACGAGTCCACCTACCCATACACCGAGACCCAGAGCACCTGCACCAATGACCTCTCTGTCGCCCGTTGGAAGTGGGCTGGCTACAGCGAGAACACTGGCACCACCAAGGCTGCTTTCATCAACGCCCTCAAGACTGGTCCATTCGCCGCTGCCCTCTACGTCGACGATGCCTTCCAGAACTACAAGTCTGGTGTCTTCTCATGTCCACAGGCTTACACCAGCATCAACCACGCCATCACCGTCACTGGTTACGACGCCGCTGGTGACTACTGGATCATTAAGAGTATGTTTAATTTTATATCTATTTCAATCATATTGATCACTCAATCACTAACATCGATCAATTAATCAATCAATTAATATAGACTCGTGGGACACATGGTGGGGAGAGAGTGGATACATTCGTTTGACTGCTTCCAACGACAACTGCAACATGTTGAAGTACGCCGGAAGCTACGTTAACTACTAAATCTAGAACCCTTCCTTGATGAACTACCTACCTACATAACTTACGTCCATCAATGACCAACAACCCAAACATACATAGATATATGCCATATATTGCATTAACCTGTTGTACCAACCAACTCTATTTATTTATTTATTTATTTATAAGTAATAAATCTTAATTTATTATTACAATCAAACTCAAACTCAAGTCACAAACTCAACCCAACCCTAATCCTACCTTAGTTTAATAAGTTGTTTATTGTTCAAGATAATATACACAAAGGCATTGGGTATGGATTGGGGTATTGCACGGCGTCATTTGTCTGCAGATTGATCATCCAGAAATATGGAATGTCCATTACATTGGGCTGGTTCGTAAGCACGGCCAATATGTATCTATTGATTGGGTCGAGCAGAAAGCCCTTAAAGTTCGACTGGACGAAGAAGTTGGGTTGGACAAAGATGATCTTGGCCGGGTTGGCAGTGAGGTCCACCTCGAACAGGTATTGTTGGGATGCCGCCACATAGTCAAGGTTGCCAAGCCCTACGTATGGCCTGTTCTGATAGACCGTGACCAGCAACTGGGAACATCTTCAACGACCACTCCGCCACCTGTAGTGTCTCAATCATCATCATGATCATCCTTCTGTCTATCATACATAGTCTGCTCTTTGAGTCATATATTAGCATCACCATGGGGGGGTTAATGAATGGATGGTATCGATCAATCCCAACCATTCATGCAAATGAAAGTTATATAATTGTTGACCAATCTACACGTTCACACCTTCCATCTTTATCTGGACACTTCTGGAGATTAGATTACACTAGCTGCTCCATATCGAATTCGTTCTTTGAACCAACAATACCCGTTTTACAAGCATTTTTGCGAGTCGCAAATATGTCAAAAAAGGCAAGATGGGGCGGGGAAAGGCTTATTGATGGAAGGTCCTGGGACCTTCTTAAGGACCATGGTAATCAATCTTCATTCATTCATTTAACTTATCACTAATCAATCATATAATAACAATGAAGCTTTATACAATTGTTACAATCTTGGTTTCATTGTCACTTCTGGCAACACATGTTGTGCATGCGGAGAACTTATACGATGTCTTCGTTGGTGGATGGGGACTCAATGTTAAGAACGAGTCTGATGCCTCTGTAATAGAGTTGACAAGCTGTGGCAACGTCTCCACAGCATGTCTACAAGCCACCATAAACAATGAGAATGGTATGTTCAACATCGACTTGGATTGATTGAATGATTGAATGAATGAGTGACTAATACGGAAGTTTATCATTAGATTTCCTTGGATTCAGATTGGCAACGGATAATGCTGGTGGAGGATGGGATGCCAGCAAATTCCAGATATTGCACTTTGATATCGCTGTTACGGCATTCAATCAATCAAATATCCCGGTTGTAAAGGTGTCCGTGTTGACTTCGCCAACGCCAACATTCATCTACCTCAACTCTACAAAGTACTTGGATAGCACAGACATCTATGGACGTTACCAAAGTGGACGAATCAGATTGTCCGACATGGGAGTCAAGGATGTCAAGATCTTCAACGGTATCTACTTCCGCGCCAACGTCAGAAACAGCAGCTTCACCGTTGCCAACGTCTACCTCACATCTCCAGCCACAACCCTGTGCGCATCACTCAGTGCCATTGTCCTCGGATTGATCGTCACTGTCCTCATGTTGTAGTTGTCGTTGTAGTGCCGAATAAATATTTATGTGTCCATCACTTTACTTCTTCTTGGCTGGAGCGTCCAACTCATAAGACAGGAACACGTCCCATGTCTGTTGGTTGTTGCACACCTCGCAAATGTCCACGATCAATGATTTGAACTTGGCAATGTTGGTCGTGTTGCTGAGTATTAGACCAGACAGTCTCTCGCGCTCGTTGGCCGGCGTGTCCTTGGGCAGCCACCTTGCATTGGCGATCGTCTCCAAAACCGTCTTGTTGGTTGCGTCGCTCAAGTACTTGGTGATCCAGTCAAACAGCAGTTTGGAGAAATAGAACGTCAGTTGCTTGGTCGAGTCGTTGACAATCGCTGCAAAGAGATTGGCAATGATGTGTGGGCTGTAGTTCCTGACCAGGGACTCGTGTGGCACCGACTTGATATAGAGCTGCTCGAGGAATTCCAGGATACTCGTCACAGACTCCTTCTCAATGTTCAGGATCGATATGATTGACCTCTCGATGATGCTCACTACATTGGGAGAGTTGTAGAATACACTTGGACACTTCTCCAATGTCTTGGTCATCACACGATAGAACTTTGATATCACTGCAATGCTCTCGTTGTTGTCTACACGTGGTTGGTTGTTAGTCAGACATTATTGATTGAATGAGTGATCACTGGAACTTACTCTTCGATATGATTGGGAGTGACTTGTTGGCCAAGACATTGATTAGGTTGGATAGTCGTGGCAGGTAGTTGGTGTTGTCGCCAAAGTTGTTGAGGAGCAGGTCGATTGTACCATAGGCTGAGCTGGTCAGTGTGTGCATAGCCTCAAGGTCTGCCAACAAATAGTTGATAAACTCATCAACATTGAACACTGTCTCCTTGCTCATCTCCATGAGTATCTTCCACAGCACCTTCCAAACAGCTTCCAACGACTCCTTATCACTATGTTTGATTGAGAAGTCATGTGCAGTCTTACACAATGGTAAAGTATTGTTTGCAAAGTCCTTGAATATGTGGAAGTATTCATCCGGTATCCTTTGATTGTTTGATTGATTGATTGAGTTAGTGAGTGATTTAGTGATTGAGTAATGGGAGTGGAGTGTACATACTTTAGACCTGATTCCAGGACTGACAATCGCTCGACAAGTAGTGCACTCTTCTCCAATGGTTGTATATCTGATCGGTTCAACGTTGCGTTTAAATTTACAATGATCGGAAGTAGTAGACGCTGGAATACAACCTTGGCCTGTGCATCCTCTGTAATATAAGATGATAACAATAATATTGACTCGACAAAGTTCTTCTGGTCTTCGCTCTAAATTGATTGATTTGATTGAATATTAGATCATGTGGTCCATTGCATTGACTCAATCAATCATTGATGCATACCTTGAGTAGATTGAATGTTCCTTCCAATAATATTAAACTACTCTCTGTGTTCTCGTATAGTCTATCGCCATACTTCTGACAGAAGTAGTATAGTGTACGCACTGATGGAAGGAAGAATGATGGATGTGAGTGAGTGACTGCGCCAGACAGCATGCCAATGAATGATGATGACTTACATGCAACTGATCTGACTACTTCTTGTTGTACCATTGTGATAATGTATTGAAAGACAGGCCCCAGTAACTCACTGCGTTCGTAGATGTAGTCGCCATAGTCTTCCAACATCAACAGTATCGTGTTGGACAGTATTGGATGTGTTGGCAATGTGAGTGACATTGCAATCAAGCTTGAAGCATTAACATTATCATCCATGATATCCTGATGAATGCATCTAAACACATAGAATATCTGTTTGTTTGATTGATTGATTGAGTGAGTGGAATAGTTCCTGAATGTGGCCATGTAACCGACTTACCACTTCATATGACTGCCATGTCTTGCAATCACTCTTGGCAAGGTTGTGGATGTATTGGACAAACTCCTCCTCTTGGATGGTCTCGAAGCAGGCGGTGATGATGTCGCACACGTTGTTGCGATAGTTGGATATGTCGTCCATGAGGTCGGTGCTGTACGCCTCGTCGCTAGTCGGGTACGACGACCTCTGTATCAATATCTGCAGCAGCTTGGCGTAGATCTGTTGATAGCTCTCGCGAGTCTGATCGTCGCCAACATCATTGACGTGGTCGGCCAGATATGACCATGCATCAAACGTCAACTCTGACATCTCCCTGTCTGCATGTGAGCACACCTCCACCAAGAATGTCAACACCTGTTGGCTCTCCTTCCTACTAATGTCCATAATGATCGGTGTATAACACTCTACAATCTGTGAGAGTATCTCTGCAAAGCCACGGCACACTCCAGATGATTGATCTGTTTGATGGACATGTTAGCCACGCTCAATCAATCAATCAAGACAATGACATTCCAAGTGAACAACATACCTTTGATTGATTGATCGTATATTGGTTTGAGTGAGACTAGCTTGTGAATGATGGGTGTGATCAGTTGTTCAAAGTTGATGTGATCGTCGCTGTGCATCTCTTTGGAGCCGGCAATCGGTTGCCTTTCGGATAGTGGTGCCAAGTATGTGTGGAAGTTGACCAGATCACCAATCAAACTCATTCCTTGTACAAGCATAGTCTGATTGTCCAACACTTGGAACAAGTTCTTTACAATGTTTGACTTGGCCATTGATCTAAGATATTGAAATGAGTGTTAGATCGTGATCACATGCTCCATCGATCAATCAATCAATCATACTTTGCATTACTGTGAAAGATCCATTGTCTGAAACATGTCAAGAGTTGAGCGTTGTTTGGATGTGATGGGTCTTTCTCGATGAGGGACGAGAGGACATGGGTCACGGACTCTGATTGTTGGACGTAGTACTCGCGGATGGATGTGCGACGCCCATTGGACAGCACAACGTTGTTGAACTCTTGTGGCATGAGTGTGAGGATGTCGATGGCGCCACGGCGCAGCAGCTCGTTGTTTGTAGCAATCAGCTGCAAGAGGTCGCTGACGGGATGGTCCCAGAGTCGGGGCACGCTGTGTGTGATGACGGCGGCGACGACCGAGGCCAGCTTGGACAGGATGACGGGCGTTGGCGCGGGCGTCTCGTTGACGACGCCCAGGAAGCGTGAGAAGACGGCGGACTTCATCGCCAGACGAAGCTCGTCGGTCCAGCGCGACTCCCAGTCCTGGTGGATCTTGGTGTACAGTGTCTGCAGGCCGTAGAACTGCGAGAAGAACGGTCGGCCCGTCTTTATCAACTCCAAACAGACGCCCACTATCTGTTGATGATTCTGCAGATCCAGCAGCCATCTATTAGCCTCGTTCTGTATATGTGACACGTCTACACCAGCTACACTATTCGTCGGGTTGAACAATGTCTGTAACACATGTTCAATTTGATCAAGTGATGGCAATGTCACTGATGGTCTATTATTATTATTATTATTGTTATTCTGTTGTTGTTGTTGTTGTTGGTCCATTGTTTGTTGTTTATGTCGATGTTGATGGTGTTGATGATGTTGATGATGTAGATGATGTTGTCGATGTTGATGTTGATGATGTTGATGTTTGGTTTGTTTGTTCACTCGATTGTGATATCAATGTCTCTTTCGCCACACTCCACCAAGTAATGTTGACTGACAGACTGAGTCGTCAATGGTATCCAATACAACAATATATGTATATTTGTATATTGGATTGACACTGAAGTGAGAGTGTTTGGCTTAAGATGCCCTCTTTGACTTTAAGTGAACTTGGAAAGAATGGGGTAATGTGCAAGGTCCACAAAGTAAATGAAAGAATGAATGATTTAAGGTTGTGAGATGTGTTTGGATCGATCCAACTTTGAGACAAGGATTTCGTGGAAGTTGTTGTCAACGGTAGAGTCTACGTCGAGTTGAATGAATGAATGTAGATTGAAGTGAACAACAACAATAACCAACAACTCTACACAATTCAATTGAATTGGATTACAATGATGAAAAAACTGATTGATATGAATGAACAAAGGTAAAGTTATAAAAATAGATATGTATAGAGTTTGTGACTTATGTAACTGATGTGACTCTCTTTGGACTCTGGGAATGATTCTCTACCATCTGACCCTTTTATTTATGGAGGACGTCGACGACCAGATATAGGGCGGATGGACTTGGACAAGTCAAGGTCACACACAGAGTACCAAACAAACAATCAAACAAAAGATGGCGACGACTTGACGTCGTAGTGGATGGACCTGACTGTTCAACTCTACTCTTTCATTCATTCATACATTGGATTGGGTTCATTCATTCATTCATTCAATCAATCCCTTGTGGACAGACGTACAATAGAAATGGGTTACATGATTTGATGTTGCTTTGTTACGCGAGTGACGCTGGAATCTATTGACAGGCTAGCCAGTGTTGGAAGTGATGGCGGTGGTGATGGCAAAGACATGATGACCGGATGCAGTAAATGACGCCAAAGACACTTGTGGAATGTAACCCAAAAGCCCAAGATCTTTGGCCCGGGTTACACCCACACACGGTTTTTTTCTCGGGCAATCCACAACATCTGTCTGTGACCCAGGGGTTGTATGCCAAGGCACCTTGGGCCATGGCCCCCAAACATATTTACCCGAACGGTTGTCTATTTTTAAGTCGCTTCCCCATTCTCACTAACTCATACATACATACATTTTCTACGACTTGATCACTTTTAGAAGTGCCCGCGTGGCTTTGACATCGTTGGCGTCTGTTGAAACAAGCAGGTGTGTTACAATAACAAAGAGTGACTCGGGAGGCTTGAGGGGTATATGCCACCTTGATCCCATGTCCTTTCATGTCCGACGGGAGCTGCGCCATCCTGATTGCATGTATGACTACAACTACTAGCCGGCTCTGGTAAGGTGTACTCGCAATCACAACAATCGAACTACAGATTGCTATGATGTAGTTGTTGCGATCATATCTATCTCTAAGACATCCGCATCCGCATCCGCATTACCATACTTGACAACTTACGATCGTACATTTGGACAAGCCGTGTTGTGTCGGGTCATGTTAAGACATGACATGAGTTATTGTCCAGGTTTGTTGTTGACATTTACGCGTACTGTCATCAAAGTTAGGTTAAGTGTCAATGTTATTGTTGGTACATACGCATCATTCAAGGACATCACAAGGCGTGTCATGTAATGTTATGTTATGTACAAATAGGTAGGTCGGCAGGGTATATGTATTATTATATATGTACACACATGTAAGCTTGTCGCGATCGAGATGCATCAATCACGTATGTTTCATCTCGATGAATGAGGCAGTCATGTCAATCATGTCAGTTCTTAGAAGCACCACTGTTGTTGTTGTTGTTGTTGATGATGGTGTTGCCATCGAATGGAACTATATCGAATTGATCATTGACGAGCTGGAACTCCCGACTATAGGCTTTCTTCAATGTCCTATACTTGTGGAACTTGTGCATGGCCTCAACCTCACCAATAACATACTTTGTTCTCTCTATACACTTATTGATCTCATTGATATCCTGTTCATCGATGGTTAGTTAGCCAGGGCATTGCAGCTTACCCAGGACTCTATCAGATGCCCCTGGTCGATCTACACATACAGTCAAATGAGCATTGGCCATGAACTGTGGCTTGGCTCTCGTTCTAACATAGTCTGCACCCAGGAATGATATACGGCCCAAGTAGAGTAACTGTTGAATGGTGTATGAGTAATGAGCAATCACAAGTCCTGTGTCCAATAATGAATGACTGACTTACCTGTTTGTATAAGTTCTTCACAATGTATCTTGATTCTTGTAGTGTTGTTGCCATCATTGCAGTTGGATATACACGTACATGTACGATGTGATGTGATATGATATGATGTGATGTTCAAATGAAAACAAGGTGTGTCTATCTCTAACTAAAGGTCTCGAGAGCGAGGTCGAAGGAGGAAGGGTGGGGACTTCCACAGCGCGCTGATGATGAGTTTATTGTGTATCCTGCAAAGTCCAATGCTTCTCTGGCTGCACGCTACATGTTGTCGACATTGCAGTTGTGAATGATGCAGATGATGATCCTAGTTGTGCACACAATGTGTTGAAGATGTACATTCGTTGTATGTTTGATTGAATGGTACATTGTGTAACAGCAGACAATCAAGTAGTACGCTGTCTATTTACAAGTATATATATATATATGTTGATGTAGATGTACTACTACGACTACTCTATTCCAAACTTCTGTTTCATCAACTCTAGTTCTTGCCTCTTCTTGTTCTGATCCATCTTGCGTGCTTGCTTGGCAGGTTGATGATATAGTACTACCAAGTATCTTCCACCAAAGTTATAACCGGATAGATGATCACATGCATTCCTCGCATCATATATATCCTCGTACACTACGAATGCTGTACCCATCGTATCACTCTGATTGCCAAGTCTAATCTGTTTGATTCCACCATATGCACCAAACAACTCGTACAATTCAGCTGATGTTATCTTGAATGGTAAGTTCCTAAACAGTATCTATGTTAGTATGTCATTCATTCAATTCAATCAATTTAATCATTCATTCATTTGAATGATATATCATTGATTCGATACATACTTTACGAACAGTATTCTATTTACTTCTGGTGGGAGTCTACCTGGATTCTTTAATGTTGCCATTATATGTATATAAGTATAAGTATGAATGATGTAACAATGAATGAACTCACTAGGACACCAAATCTCATGTCAGACCCCAAGATGTTGTCATTCTTGAATTTCAAACAGAGTGGATTCGACACGACAACATCAACTCTGTGTTCGACAACCCCATTCATTGTCGTGGATTACAATTGTCGACAAGGAGATAGATACTTACAACATCGAATAACGTATAACGAATAACGAATAACGAATACAAATACAAATACTTATATATATTATATATTATATTATATAAATGACATAGCAACTCAAGTATGCTTAGAAGGCATCTATTCGCTACATCTTCCAGGGTGTTTCAATTGTCATTTCCAAGGAAGAACATTGGCCAATCATCCATCGATCAAACTATACGTCGAACATATGGTACTGGCACTGGCATTGGCACTGGCTCTGACAATGTCATTGGACAATCACAAAGACAAACACAAGGACAAGTACAAGTTAAAGAACAAGATCCTGAGAAGCCAGAGGTTCCAACAAGTTGTTGTGGAAGAGGTTGTCCTAATTGTGTATGGGATTATTACTTTAAGGCATTGGAACAATATAATATCAAGATGAAACAATTACATCCTGATATGCCAGAGGAGCCTCTATTGACAACTGATGACAATGAAGACCCTATGCAATACTTTATGAAGATGGAGCGTTACTTTGCACTTCAAAAGTTAAAGTTGGACGAACAGCGGCAACAACAACTTGAACAACAACAGCAACAACAGCAACAACAACAACAACAACAAACTTGAACACACTCAATCTGTGGCACGAGCTACCGATGTCTGTCTCTTAGACAGATGCTGCACGAGCAGCACTGCGGAAGTAAGACGAGAATATAAAGAATGAGCATGCCTGTATGGCGAGGCTACGCGCGATGTATAATTACACAATAGGTCTGCAATGAACCGTTTAATGTTGTCCCTGGACTTGAGGGGAAAGAGGATATAGAATGTATGAATGAAGAGGAAGGGAGGAAGGATTAAAGGAAGGAAGGTTTGAATGAAAGGAAAAGGGAGATGGCTCGGACTTATGCGCTACTGGTAGTCGATGTTGTCGACTGCTCAGAGTGCGAGACAAAGTTGTTGAAACTACGACGGAGCTTGGTGTGCGCCGACATGTTGGGGTCGGAGCGATGGACGAACCAGCGACGAAGGGAGACGTTTCTCAACTTGAAGTTGATCAACAGGGCGATCGTGATGGTAAGCAACACGATTCCTCCAATGACCGTGCTGACAATGATGGCCATGCGCTTCTTGCTGGCGGCTGAGTCGTCCTCGTCGCTAGACTTGAGAAGAACGGCGAACGATGTGAAGTGGCTGGTCTGGGCGGACAGCGCGCCATTGGCCAGACGCACGAGTGGGTAGGGCGTGCACTCCCACTCATGGGCCGCATTGATAAAGGCCAGACACATGTTGCTGGGGTCGATCGGGGTGCCGTCCGGGGATGTAATGTTGGAGAAGATAAAGGAGGCAGTGCGGCCGTTGTCAAACTCGGACTTGTCGCGGCCGTCCACATTGATGTTGAAGGGCGCGGTCAGCACATGCTGGAAGTAGTCAAAGTTGCTGTTGATTCCGGCGCCGTTGACTTTGATGGCCAGCGAGTCGGCGATGGGACGCGCGGTCGCGGTGGTCTGGTTGGGGTCGATCGAGTCGTTGGCGATGATGATGTGTGTCGACATTGAAATGGTGTTGGTGTTATCACTGCGCGACCACAGTGGCACGTAGTTGTTCAGCGTAGAGTACAAATCGGACGAGGCCATGATCGGCTTCACGGACAGGGGCAACGAGTGGTTGCCGTACTTGGCGCAGTCCTCAATCTTGTCGACGCAGGCAGTGCTTTGGGGGCACTGGATCTGGTAGAGGCGGCAGCCGTTGTATGGGTTGCAAGTGGTGACGTTGGAGCAGCCGGCCTCGCAGGTGATGGGGTGGGTGGCGTTGCACTGTGGGCACTCCTGGTCGAGGCGCACACATGTGCCGGCGCAGCGGCGCGGCAGGTCGAGTGGACATGCGGGGTAGGGCATGCAGTCGGAGCTGTTCTGGATGCACTGGCCGTCCCAACATGTGAAGTTGGTGGTGGCGCTGACAGAGGCCAGGAGGAGTGAGTCGGAGTTGGCGCGCAGTGGGCTGGTCACACGTGCGGCGTTGGCACGGATGGGTGAGGCCGAGTTCTTGGCGCAGGTTGTGTAGCAGCTGGATGTGTTGATGTCAATACAGACGTCGGAGCCGTAGCAACGGATCTGGCCGGTCACATTGCAGGGTGGAACGACAAGATTGTCCGAGTTGAACACACTGTAGATTCTAATGGACATGCCCTGTGGCGAGCAAACCCATGTAGCGCCCAGAACTGCCGATGGGAAGTCTGGCGTCTGCAGGTTGATCCTGGCCGTGGTGTTTCTCTCGTCGGCTGTGTACGAGTTGATCGCGCCGCCACAGTTGACGCCGTTGTCCTGCGAGAAGATCATCGTCGACTGGATGCTCACGGCCTTTTGGTAGTTGGGGCCATTGATCAAAAAGTCCAGCAAGAGCGTGGTGGCGCTGGCCAGCTGCAGAGTTGAGCCGGTCTTGAAGTTGATGATGCCCAGGGGTATGGTGGTCGTCATCTTTGTGTTGCCGATTGTCATGTTGGCCTTGAGCACTACGGTCGTGTTCCAAACCTTGACCATCTCGCCCTTGTAGTTGATGGCGGCACCAATGGGCGAGTATGTCAGCCACGCAGCGTTGTCCATGTAGAGGTTTCCATTGCGCAGGTTGATCTCCTTGGCAAAGAGCTGTGTGCGCGACAGGCTCAGTGTATCAAAGTCCTTTGTGGCGTGCAGCTCGGAGAAGATGAAGATGGAGGCGCCGGAGGCGGCGGCCGACTGCACCAAGCTGGGCACAATTCGCATCGCTGGTTGTGAGTTGAACTTGTTGCCGTTGCTGATGGCCGATGTGATGGCCAGCACGCCAGTGCCAACTGCTGGGCCGCCAGTGATCGTAAGCTCAGCTGTCGAGCCAATGTTCACCTTGCCACCTGAGAGAATAATGGTCTCTGAGGCGACTGATCCACTGTAGGTCAACTCAAATTTATCATTAATCTGCAAGCCTCCACCATTCATATTGATCAACAAGTCATTGCTTGTTGAATGGTTATTGAATTGGAGATTGACACTTGATTGATTGAGTGGGGGCGAGGGCGAGGGTTAGGTTTAGGGTTAGGGTCAAAGGTTTGGGGCTGAGGGCAAGGGCGAGGGCAGGGGCCAATCGAGGCCCCTTTTAGAACAAACATACTTGTTGAGTGTGAGGATGCCAGTCTGACCAATGAGCGAGTCGAATGTCATACGGAGTTGAGTGGCGGAGGAGATGAAACAGTTGCCAGAGACGGTGAGGATTGAACCGGCAGAGATGTTGGGAGTGATACCAACAAGTGTGATGTTGGCATTCTGCAACACCAAGGACTCGCCATTAAGTAGAGTGAAATCAACAAGTGTTGTCGTATTGCTGATTATCCTTGCCTGTACTCCATCATGCGTTCCAAACGAGAGGACCAGTAGCAGAAGTACAAACACCAGTGATATTGATCGTTGTAGTTGTAGTTGTAATGTTACATGCTGTGTTGTAGCAGCAGCAGTAGTAGTGGACCTGGCTGTCATTGTATCGATTGCTCAGCTTAAGTTTCCTACTTGGTAATAGTATATGTTTTGATGTTTGTTTGTTTGGATGTAATAATATAATTGAATGATTATTGTTGATGGTAACTGTTGGTTGGTTGATGGATGCAGGTAATGTGGTGTGTGTGGTGGTTGTGTTTATTGTTTGTTTGGCTGGCTTTACCAAGTCTGTGTAAGTGTAAGTGTGTGAGTATGAATGAACGAATGTGATGATGTAGTGTGTGTGTGTGTGTATGACTGATCGACCAAGTGTGTGTTGTGTGTTTGATTGATGTTATTGATTGATTGTGAAGATGATCGATCGTTGAGCTTTGAATGTTATGTAGTAAAAGGTTGTTTTATGAACTACTACAACTCATTAATCATTTGTTTTGTTTGTTGTTGTATTATAATAGTATAAATATTATATTATTATATTTGTGTTTAAAGAAGAGAGAAAGTGATTGGTGATTGTGATGTCCTGTTGGACAGGACTTACTTAGTGAGTCCATCCATGGCTCAACAGTAGCCAACCACATTATTCCAAACCGATATGGCGAGTGAATGGAAGTGGGAGGTGCAGTGGCCGTGTGAGTGATCATCCCCCATGTGAGGTGACTGCCACATCAGCCGCAAAAACCCTGCGTCGTTTATGTTGACAACCAGAAGTTGCAAAAATCTTTGAAAAATCCGCAGAATACCACAAATCTGAGCGATTGAGATACTGATCACTGCCTATTTTGAACACAAACTTATGCCAGTTAGGGGCTAGGGCGAGCAACACCACATGGTACCTTCCAACTCATCAAAGAACTTGTGCATTTATGACTTGCCATCTTACAATAATCCATTGGCTATGTCATTATTTACTTTTGTATTATGAGTGATTGATCATCAATGGGCGTGGTCGATCCTTTGGGTCTCTGCGCACCAAGTATGTATCCCTCTTCAACGAACATTTGCCCGCCCAGACCTTGTTGATTGGGGATATAACGTTTGATCAGGGAGAGGACGGGACGTTGATGATGTCACTCAATCCGTCTCTACCTCTTCTGGCATGTATTGGTATGTGACTCTTCGAATAAAGACGTGTGATTGTCTGATTGATTGAATCTCTAAAGATCTGACTTTAGTTGTCATCATTTCATTCAAATGGAAAGTATTGATTGATTGATGTTGTAGAGTGAAAAACATGTTTTGATTGAATGATTGGGCGTGTGATTGTACAATAAATAGTGATCGAGGAATGACGAATGTGATGGCCCAGGCCAAGCTTTGTGATGCCTAGTGAATTTCTGTGGAATTCGGTGACCTAATGGTCTGATCAGCTGAAAAGACTATCTGTTATCGATTGTGGATTAATCCTTGTCCTTGAGTTCAATGTCCACTAGTGAGAGAGAACGTTTGCGACTCGCCCACCAATAGCGTAGATTACCATGATTGGTTACTTTGGCAATGACGAAGCCAAAGGCCAGTCCACAGACTACCACCGCACCAACCACTGAGAATACAATGGTGTAGAGCTTAGTCTTGTCCATTCCACCGTTGCTTGAACCATCCTTTGAGTTGCCATCCTTGCCGCTATAGTCCGTCAACACGGCAAACGATGTGAAATGGGTGGTCTTGCCGCAGACTGAGCGGCCATCTTTACAAATGTACAACTTGTCCATCATTTGCCACGCTTGCTCCGTGACATTGATGAAGGCCATCCTAACGTTGCCCAGAGTCATGTTTCTCATTTCTTCATCATTGTGATTGCCTGATTTGAGCTGGAATTCGATTGGATAATCAAACACAGGGCTGGCAACTATTTGGCGAGTGAGTGGAGGAATGTTAGTGGCTTGATCGATCGCGATATCAAGTTGGCACGTCATTAACATACAGTTACCAAGTGTGGCGTTGAAGACCATGGTCTTGACAGAGTCACGGAATGTTAGGTCACCCCATATTCCGCTTCCATTGACATTGTTCAGGACAGAGTCTGCAACAGGGTACACTGAGATGTATTGTTGGATGGATCCGCTCATAAAGTTGGCGGGCACATTGATGTAGCCATATATCTCATTGAGCTGTGGCAATCCCAATTGAGCCGATATAATTGGCAAAATCAAGTCCTTGGATGAGTCGACTGGTGATCGACTGTGCACAGGGATGTCCATTGTGGCTACCCTAGTCTGAGTATGTTTGAGAATGTGGATTGAWTTTAGAGTTAGTGATCAATCATTCAATCATGGATCTATAATACCATCACGGCATTGGCCACACTTACAGTGAAGTTTCTACAATCAAGTACATCACGCTGGCAATGACCTGTGTCACATTGGTAGTATCCAATTGGACATCCGTAGAAGCTGAAGGGTTCGGTGACGGTGTTGTTGGGACAGAGATCGATGGATGCTCCACAGGAAGAGTCGGAGCAGCGAAGGGTGTTGGTTGGACATGGTGGCATTGCGGCACATTGGCTGATGGATGCAGTGCACGCGCCACTCCAACACTTGAATGGATAGCCGATGTTGGTACAGTTGCCAAGGGTGTCAGGACATTGGTCGGCAGAGGCAGTGCACACGCCGCTGCCCGGACACTCAAAGTCTGAGCAATTGGAGAACTTGAGCACAATGATCTTATCGTCGCAGAGGTATTGGAATGTGGATTGGCCGATTGGGCCGGGCGCTGATCACTTTGCCATTGCAAAAGGATGGGCGTGTGGGGCGAGTAGACCACTGTGTACGCGACGTTCTGCTGCGACTTGGCATCGCCGCTCATCTGCACACTAAGGTTTGTAGCGTTGACCACAGACGAGATGTTGTCTAAAACGAGACGCTGAGGGAGGAACACAGAGTCATCGAGCAACACTTTCACGTTATTCAAGGTGACACTGGCTGAGCCGATAACAATGTCGTTGGTGACGCCCGACACTGTGTTGGTGGTGAGAGAAACGACTGAGTTGGTGACACTGAGCAGGCCAAGGGTGGTCAGGGCTAGCTGGCTTCCAAGCTTGAGAACAGTGTTGTTGAGTAGCGCGTTGGTGGTACCAAGCAGGAGTGAGTTGGTCACGACTGAGAGCAAGTTGAGTGTGGGGATCTTGTCTGTGAGCTGCAGTGTTCCGACGCACTGGAGAGTGGAGGCAATATCGAGTGACTGCAAGGACGTGTCCAGGGTGTAGACCACGTCAGTCAGGCTGCCGACTGTGACCACTGCATCTCGAGCGAGTGAGAGCAGGCCGTCCGCAACACCATCCACTAGTGTTACAGCTTTGGACACTGTTGACGTCACGTCTAGCAGCAGATGGCCAGAAACATCCAGCACACCCTTGCTCAGGATACGAACTGGTGAAGTCGCGGCGACCATCGCCACGTTGGTCATTGTGTTGACTGTTCCTGAGATGGCGAGGGCGGCATTAGTCAACAGCGAGTTCTTAAGCAGCAGGTTGGCGCCCTTGTTGATGTTAACAGGCGTCTGAGTGATATTGGTCAGGACGCAAGAGGCCTCACTGCTTTCCAGGAGGGTCATAGTGGAGCCAATGATTGAGGCGCCGTCCATGGTCAGTGATCCAATCAACTCAAGCGTGCTCTTGCGTATGGCGCTGTTGCTTGTGACATTGAGCGCGCCAGAGAGAGCAAGTAATGTGCAGTTGGAGAGGACTGAAGCGCCTGTGAGTGAGACCCGTCCGGTGATCGCCAGAGCGCCACTCTGAATGACTGACTCAGCGTCCAAGGACATGAGTCCGCCGAGGAGTATGTTGACTGGTGAGTTGTTAAGCGAACCTTTCACGATGTTGGCTGTGCCGCTCAGGGAGAGGACTGAATCTGAGACTGTACCATGCAGGATGTTGAGCAATGCGCCAGTGGCCACAGACACACTGGACGCGCCGACCAATGAGCCACCGCCCAACAATGTCAGCACGCCACTGGAGACCGACACGTTGGACGAGCCAATAGATCCGCCCGTCGCAAGAGTCAATGCGCCACCATAGAGGAAGAGTGCACTGTTTGTAATACTTCCGCTGGCATTGGCAACTGCGTCTGGCCTAATGGCTAGGTTGGCAACGTCTGACACAAGTGCGCCCGCGTTGATAATGAGTGTGCCCGAGACATCGATGGGTGTGTTGGCAATGGATCCAGTGGCTGTGATTATCGATCCAACTTTGGAAATAATGTTGGAGCCGGCAATGGATGCGCCTGTCAGCAAGTTCAAAGCTCCAGAGAGGTTGATTGTGGAAGTACTGATCAGTCCGCCAAGTGGCATTGATAGTGTGCCAAGGTTGCTAAGTGTGAGGTTTGAACCAGAGATGCTGCCCACTACACTCACGAGTCCTGCCTCAACCGTCAACACGCTCGCCAACATCTGTGCGCCGGTCTTGATGTCCAGGGTCGAATTGAGTTTGAGAGTGGTCGCGACATTTGTGAGTGTAGCGCTGGAATTGGCGCTGACCATGCCACCATTGATTGCTAGTGCGATGTTCTTGAGTGATGCAGTGTCGGTGAGCAAAAGACCACCTCCTACAACTTGCATTAGCTGGTTGCCAGTGATCCTTGAGTTGCCACTCAGTCCCAGGATGCCCTTCACATTGATCGCGCAGTCAGTGAGTGATGCAGCGTCGATCTGTGCGCTGGAGGTCGAGTCGATGTTCAGTGCACCACTGGTCACCACACCCTTGAGTGACTTGATGACGCCGGTATTCAAAAGAATTGTCGTGTTTGTGATGGTGGACGCCAGGTTTCCGACGGCCAGCGAGCCGCCCACACTAATATTAAGTTGAGTGCCAACGGCCTGTAACGTGTCCACAAGTATCGTGCTGCTAACAACCAGTTTAGAGTCTCTGGAAATGAGATTGGTGATTGTTGGTCCAGTGTTGAGTTTGCATAATGAAGACTGGCGCAGGGTCAGCGAGGCAAGCGTGCCCGTCAGGGCTGAGACGGTCGACGCCGTCACTGTGAGGTTGTTGATGGCCAGCGCCAGGGGGATCTCGGCCGTCATTTGGTTGAGCACCATCTGGTCGACCTGCAGCGCGCTGGACAGGGCCAGGCGGCTGCCCTGGTTGTGTTCCAGGTACGCGATCGACTTGCCCGCGTTGGCATTGGCGATTGTGATCTTGTCCGAGTTAAAGATCAGCTTGGGTGGCGTGCTGGAGCCGATTGACGTCAGATTGAGGTTGGTGGCATTGACATCGCCGTACCATGTGAGGATGGACGGCGAGCCGTCCGCCGTCGGGTTGAATATCAGCGTCAGCTTGTTGAAGGCCACGCCACTCGCGAAGTTGACCGTGGCCGCGCCGGTCACATTGATGATGCACAGGTCGGTGATGGTGACGGCTTTGTCCACCTTGAGCACGCCGTTCAGCAGGTTGATCTGGCCGTCGCACAGCAGGTTGCCACTGATTGACAGCACGTTGCTCAGCGTGAGGATGCTGGTGAGCGTGACGTCCTTGAGTGCTGTGGGGTCGAGCAGTGTGATGGGCTTGTTGAGCAAACACACTCCAAGTGCGTCACAGAGAGTACAAAGCAAAGGTATGCATGCTGAGCTCACAATATAAGGTGCTCCCGTCAGCAATAATATCATAAACATTGTCTTCCATATTAGTCGTCCATTATTATTTGTTGTCGTCATCGTTGTCATTGTTATCCTGTATTTTGTATTTGATTGATTGATGGATGGAAGAATGATGATGTGTGAGTTGATGGCATTGGTTGATCGATGGACTATGTACAAGTAGTTAGGCAGGGCCACAACAACAAAGAGTATTGATCAATCTATGACGGCATGTCCAGGGTCACGCCCTCCTGTCTGCACCCCACATATTTGATCGACTTGGCGAGGACACGGAATCGCAAAAATCGATGAAGTAAAAGGGGTTGCAGTTGTGCGTGCTTTGTAGAAGGGTAGGTCCAAGCTGTGTTTGGGTCCAAGGCATGGACCCTTGTTGTGTAATGTGTAGGTTTGATTGTGTAGTGTGTATGTTTTATGTTGTGATTGTGAATGACTTACTTAATTTGTGTGTTGAGATAGAGATAAAGATAGAGATAGAGAGACACACTATGTATTGTTTACTTTATTCTAACGATGGAGGAAGAAGTGGAAGTAATGGTGAGGTGATTGATTAATTGAGTTGATGGATGATATCATCAATCCACCTGTACCAAACTACACCACTTGTTGAAGTTGGTCCTCGGACTAGAGACAGAGTGGACCTACAACAAAACTAACATGGTCATCACCCTCCCCAACATTATTCCACAAAGAACGCAAATCCATGGATGGGAGACTTTATCAAAAGGTTAGTGATACCACCAATTACCCCATCAAACAGTAAAATATCTGTCTATGGTGTGATTGATAGATGTCACACGTCAATCAAATGGACCTGTTTGTACAAGGCACTTCTACACAGCGACACGAATCACCAAGATACGTGTTCATAATATATTATTACCATTATTATTCTTTGTTGTCATGGTATAGTCATGGTCATGAGTATGTTGATGGGATACCATCTAAGAATTGTTATTAACTTTGTGTGTGTTTGGAATTGGCGCGTAATCATGACATTGTGAGTTTGTGATTGAAGTGAGACATGTGATTATGAATGAGATTGAATGATTGGTTTGATTGAATGATTGAAGTGAATGAATGAATGAGATAGAGAGATAGTAGTATGTCATTCCAACAAAGTAACAACAATAATAATAGTAATAATAGTAGTAATAATAACAATAGTGATGGCTCGACCATGACGAAGACTACAATGTTAACTCTTGGAAAGAGGAGTAGTAGAGATGCTGCATTGTTGGATATGGATGTTATCACTTCAACATCATCGGACAAACTCAATGATGATGATGACCATGATAACGATGACAATGATGACGATGACAATGATGATGAAGATGATGATCAATACAGTGACTTTGATGGAAGGCATATTGATCACCTGGATCTACATGACAATGATGACGAAGATGAAGAGGTAGTGGAACGAGAGGACGACGAAGATGAAGATGAAGACGAAGATAAAGAACACGAAGACGAAGATGAGGAAGATGAAGAAGATGAGGAGCAGGACGAAGATGTAAAGGTTCAAACTGACATCAGTGAATACGAAGAAGATGATGATGTGAGCGATGATCAAGATGACGACGACGATTATGATGATTATTCGGGAGATGATGTACATTATGTAAAAGGCGATGATGACGACGATGACGATGACAGTGAAGTGGACCTTCAGCGCAAGAGTTGGACCTCAATGAAGAGGCCAATGAAGAGGAAGAATGACGTGGTCATGAATGAGGCCACATATATCCACACCATACAACTACAGTCAACGTCTGCCAGCATTGGCAGCGACTTCCCCGACTACGACAATGCCAGTGACGACGACGACGCGACCAATGGCAACAACATCGACCATGAGGATGACGATGAAGACGATCCCGACCACCAGACCATGTCATACAAGCTTCTTTCACAGTCGCGTCCACTTGAGGATATAGACGCGTCAGCAGAATCCGACACACGATCACTCTTTATACATGCGCGTAACAATCTACACGTGTCAACCATACCCACGAGGATGCCCTGTCGCGAGAAGGAGAAAGACACCATTGCCAACTTCCTCGAACTGCGACTCAAGAAGGGCAACACATCTGGTGGATGTCTCTACATTGCCGGCATGCCTGGCACTGGTAAGACCAGTACCGTCAAGGAGGTCATCCGTGATCTCCAAAAGAAGCGATCATCAAACGTATGTCTGTCCACAAGTCCACGCCCTCGCGCGGAAACTCCCCACTTACTCACAATTTCTCCGTCCCGCCACACGCGCCAAACAATAGCAAGTCGAACCATTCGAGTATATCGAGGTCAACTGCATGGAGCTGAGCGATCCACATCATTTGTACATTGCATTGTATCGCAAGATCATTAAGAAGCCCCTGCCAAGGGTGACGGCTGCACATGCTCAGCAGCTGCTTCATACGAATCTGTCATCACGCGCCAAGAACCGCCCTCTGCGAATCATCCTCGTGGACGAGTTTGACCTGCTCATCACCAAGAAACAGACAATCATTTACAATCTGTTTGATTGGCCCAATCGTGCGCGATCCAGACTGGTGATCATCGCCATTGCCAACACAATGAACCTGCCCGACACACTCCTGCCTCGTGTGCAGAGTCGTATGGGCATGCACCGTCTGCCATTCAGCTCTTACACATCGGCGCAGATCACTCGCATCGTTCGCAGTCGTCTTGAGGGCCTCGAGGCCTTTGACCAGGACGCCATCCAGATGTGCGCCATGCGTGTTTCGGCAGTGTGCGGTGATGCCCGACGTGCTCTCGAGATCTGTCGTCGTGCTACCATCCAAGCGGAGGAGGAGTACGTCCAGAAGCTGAAACAGAACGCCAATGAACGTCCAGACAAAGTGATGGTCCATCACATCGAACAAGTGCTGGACCTCTTCTCCTCGCCCATCATCGATTCAATCAAGAGTCTATCCTTCTACGAGAAGGTGTTCCTGTACTCCATATACAAAGAGCAGAGGTCTGCTGGAGTGGCCGAGAGTCATTTTGGCAAGGTATGTCATTTGGGCCAGCAACCCTCGCCAAACCTCACACTTACACCCTTGGCCACATCAATCAATCAACCAATCAATCATCAGGTGTACAGCAAACTCCGCGACTTTTGTTTGGACAAAGCGATCATCATACCTACACACCAGGAGGCAGAGTGGATCTGCGGCAGTCTGGGTGCAGGGCGAATGATTCTCGTCGAAGAGATCGTCACTGGCTATGACCAAATGATCAAGCTCAACATCTCTCTGGAGGACCTCCTATTCGCACTTGGTCAAGACGAGAAGTTCGCCAAGTATCTCAGCATTGAGCAACAACAATGAACATTTAACTTATCATTATAAGTAATATATACTTATATTATATATCTATATTTATTAGTATTTGATTGACCAGAATTGATCAATTTAGTGTTGTGGCTGGACGAGGTTGGAGAGCTTGGCACCTCCGTGTCCTTTGTTGAAGGAGACGTTCTTGACCAGCTTGCCGCCCATGCTACTGATAGCGTGTACCAGCTCAAAGATATTCAGCTTGATTTGTCCTTGCTCAACGATTGGCATTGAATACTGTGCCTTGATAGGCTTGAATGGGATTGGATCGAGAACGGCCTGCTTCCACTTCAGGCCGATCTTATCGCCTCCAACGCCATCATACTCGAATGTGCAGTACTCCTTGAACTGCTCGCTAAGCTTATTGATGTAAATCTCAACCATGTTGAGTCCTGCCTCCAAATGTCCATTCTTGTTCGCCACGCCTGACTTGTTTGTTGTTGATGATCCAGTAGCTGTGCTGCCATTCTGTGGCTTGGCAATCAGCTGACTGGCCTTAATGTTCTTGAACAATGATAATGCCTTGGCCTCAAGAGATACTTGAGTGGGTGCAGTTACTGGGGTGGCGGTGGCTACTCTGGGCACGGATGGTGACTGGGCGGCAGCCAGAGCAGCAGCGGCTGCAGCTGCGGGCTGCAACAACAATCGCTTGATCTCTCTCTCGCGATCTGGAATGTATTGATCGTTCAGTGTGATAATGACATCGTAGTCGGTGTAGTTAGGCTCAAAGATGGTGGTCATCTCCACCTGTGATTGATCATTGCTGTAAGCCTCCATGCAGATGTCAAGCGAAGCCTTGGCTAGCTGTGCCAAACGCTTTCTGATGCTGCCGTCTGTGTCGCGTGGGTTGACATCCTTCCACGCCACGGATGGACGATCCTTGTCTGTGGCAATGAAGAACATCGGCAGGTTGTTGGCCTGCTTCTGTTGTTGGAAAATGGAGTTGATTGAAGAGACGTCGCCAGAGGTGAGCGAGTCGACAAAGTCCACGATCAGAGGACGCTCGGTCCACTCGAATGTGGCCAGCAGATGCAGGAATCGCAGGAAGGCAAGCATGGGCGATGTGGGCTGGTGCGTCTGGTCGTCCTGATCGTGTGCCGCACGGGCATTCTCTGGTGTGTATGGCTTGTAGATGCTGGCCATCATCAGTTCAATGGTGGGTTGTGCGATCTGATTGGTGAAGTTGTGCGCGTAGCACCATCGGAGTGCAAGGCGTGTGGCATGGCCGTATGATGGGTTTGATGTGTGCAGTGCCTGAACAAACTTGTGATGGATGCTGGTCCTCTGCATCAACAGCACACTCTTCAGCTTGTCCTGGTGCTTGCTGGTGAGGTAGTCCAGCTCCTTGGGGTAGTAGGGGATCAGGCGGAACAGGAAGCCGTCCTGCTTGACATCGAGGTACGCGTCGGTCAGGCGTGGCTGGTAGTCCTGTTCGGTAAGCTCGCGTGCCATCTTGAGCATGAACGCGGCCTTGAGTGCGTAGATCGAGTCCACGTCCGAGGTCCAAAAGCGTGAGTCCTCAAAGTGCAGCAGGACCTCGATCACAGTGTTTTGCATGTATGTGTCGTCCTGAGCGGTGCGCACGCATGTGTAGCGTAGTGCAGGCGACATGGCCATGTATTCGTTGATGTGTAGTGGCAACGCCAGCGACTCGATCTTGGTGACGAGGGCCTCCTTGGCGCGCATGACCAGCAGAGTGCGGTCGTCCATGTTGGCGCTATAGAGAATCCTGTCAAAGTGACTGATGTGCGATGAGACGTTGGTGGCTGGCACCTTAAGCTGGAAGCCAAGGATATACTTGGCAATGTCCTCTACAATCAGTTGACGCTGTCCATTCTTGGGCGTCCATGTGGCGGCCTCACGGATCGAGCCGTCCTTGAAACGGCGCAGCTGAGATTTGGGACCCCATGCCTTGCGGAACTTGTCGGCGTCCTTGTGATCGGCCGAAGGGCCCATGTCCACCAGACGCAGCCAGTTGGTCTGGTCGAGCTGGATGCCCACATTGATGATGCGCTCGTGCGATTCGGGCAGCTGCGCGCCAAACTTCCAGACAGGCGCTGAGTGGGGCAGGATGGTGATGGTGCGGGCACGGTTGGTGAGTGCGCGGTACAATGTCCTGTACACCCTGTGATCAAAGTAGGCCTCCTCGTGGTAGTAGTCGGTTGCTGGTGTCTTCATGTCGCACTCCTTGGACAACTTCACCTTTAGGATGTAGTCCCAGCACATCAATGGCTTGGTCTTGATCAGGAAGATCTCGTCAAAACCGTCGCCGAGGTCCAGGTGGCGCAGGGCCGTGGCGGCCTCGCGTTGCAGCTCGCGGAAGCCCCACGAGGTGACGCGCGAGAAAATGTTCAGCAGGCCAGTTGGATCGAGCAGCACGACTGGATACAGCTTCTTGAAGCTGTCTGTGTACTGGCCGAGTGTGAGAGTGGAGCCCTTCTCCAACTCGAATTGAAGGGGCTTGTTGAAATCCTTGGTGATGAACACCAGGGTCATGCGGAACGCTTGGTAGGTAGACATATTGCGATTGATGCGACCGATTGAGTAGAGGTAGGCCACCAACATTGAGAGGTGGAATGAGTTGATGGTTGGGATGTTCTTGACGTGTAGCCATGCCTTGAGCAACTGGATCGTATCCACCAACACTGGTGCACTGCGTATCTTATCATTGATCAAGTTCATGTGATCCAAATACATAATATCCTCGAGGATAGCATTGTTGTAAAAGGCTGATCTTGGGATGGACTCTGTTGTGATTGTGTTTGGGGGACGGGGGAGGGATAGGTTAGTGATCGGTGATTGGTGGAGTGATTGAATGAGTGGAATAGTTCCAGTGAGTGATCAATCTTACCGAATGGCTTTGGTCCCTTCTTCTTGGAAGAGTCGGATGACTCGGCTGCGATAGCGGCAGCGGCGAGTTGATCGTTGTCGTTGTCTCTGTATGTGTCGACCAGGAATGAACCATTTTGGTTGGGCTTGGAGGTGTCGTCGGTGATGATGCAGTTGGCATCAGGATTGAACTTGGTGTCCATGCGGAAGAGACTGCGCGACACGCAGGGGATGATGCGGATGGTGAACTTGGTGTGTGCGCCAGTGGTCGCGTCCTCCTTGGGTCGCACGACAATGATCTGTTTGTTCGAGTCTCCGCCAAAGTGCGTGAATGACACGTTGGCAAAGCGTGCGTGCTTGCGTATCTCGTTGGCCAGTGTCCACATGTACAGATTCCTCTTGGTGAAGTACTTGAAGTTGTTGGCGTCGGTCTTGCCGATGCTCGTCTCGGGTATCTCCACGATCATGTCCACATTAGGATTGGACTTGATCACTGTCTTGATCATATAACTTCCACCAATCTCCACATTCAACGGCTTGCTAAATGCCAAATCAATATTCTCTCCAACAATATCCATTATCTTTACGCTCTCAATCATGTTGCTAAATACGTTGACCTAGTGTATGAATGAATGGTGTGAGTGAGTGAGTGGGGGGGAGGGGGGGCTGGGGCTGGAATAGTTCCATAGATTGATCATCACATACTGTTTGATCAGGGATTGATTCAATTATGGTCTTGAGCTCAAAGAGTGCAGACTCGAGCGCTGTGGTCTTGGTGAAGTTGACTTTGAGCTCTTTGAAGAACTCGGCGATTTGGAGTCTGAAGAGATTGGAGTTGAATAGTTCGTGTGTCTCACGGAACTCTTGCATCTCCTCTGATGTGACGGCGCGTGATGTATCGGTTGGTGTGCTGGACTTGACAAACAGACCCCTGTTTCTTGGGTTCTTGGCCTCCTTGTCGACGGCAACATTGATTCCACCGACAGCTCGCTCACTATCATCCATCATATTATCATCATCATCCATTCCATCGATATAATCATGATCATCTGGTAACTCTGTGTCATCGTCCATCACATCATCATCATCATCACTATTATCATCATCATTATCATCACTATTATCATCATCATGTTCATCATTATAATACTTTGATTCATAAGTATAATCCTCATCGACATCATCATCATATCCACCTCCCAATGCCATTATAGAGTCTGTGATTGATGTTTCATTGACTACATTCTAAATATACATAAATATATGTTAATATCATTCATTCAATCAATCAATCTATCATTCAATCAATCATACCTTTGTCTTCTTCTTTGGTTGATCTATGTTGCTAACAACTTGTTTCTTTGATGTTGTTGCTGATGTAGTTGTCGCAACAACCTTTGATTGTTGTTGCTTTCTCTTCTCTACCATGTCTGTCTATATACTATATTATAGTTGTCAATGTCAATGAATGAGTGATTGACCATCATAATACTCGACCCCAAACAATACTTCCCTCGTCTCTCGTCTTTCTTCCAAAACACTCACTTTGATTTTTATGAATTAATTCAAATATTAATCGAAGTTCCCACATCCATAATTTCAATACAATCCCATAATCTAAAAAGATTCATGTTATTCAAACTCGTCAAACATTATGTTCAAGTTGAATAAACGACACTATAATAGATCTTTACATATACACATACAATGAGTGACGATAACAACAATAATAATAGTATTGAAGAGACTGGAGATGGAGAACATATAAAGAGAAGTAGACTTTATACAAAGACTGGTGATAAAGGATACTCTTCATTGTTCAATGGTGAGAGGAAACCAAAAGACGACTCATTCTTTCATGCTCTAGGTGCAATAGATGAGTTGAATGCTACTTTAGGGTAAGCATATCAATCTATCATTAAATCAATGAATCATAATCATACTCATTCATATTCATTCATACTCATCATCACAACAGTGTTGCTCTAGAGTATTGCATTGCGGATGGTAATGGATTGCAAGAGTATATTGAGAAGATACAATCATTGATGTTGGATATTGGTAGTTGTTGTGCTACACCATTGGACACATCAAAGGAATCACATTTGGCAAAGACACGCTTCAGTGACAAGCATGTCATTGTACTCGAGTCATGGATTGATCTATTGGATTCCAAACTACCTCCCTTGAAGAACTTTATTGTACCAGTATGTTAAGGATGCTCTGCACTCTGATTGAACGAATGATTGACCATCCATATCCAATATATAGTGCGGCGTTGGACTGGCTAGCTCACATCTACATGTTGCACGCGCTGTGTGTAGACGTGCGGAGAGGGACATTGTGAGTTTGTCTAGACACCAGGTGATTCCAGAGGATGTGGCCATCTTTGTAAACAGATTGAGTGACTTCTTGTTCGCGGCCTGTCGCTACGCAGCCATGAAGAGTGGCAAGTCCGAGTCGATCTGGAAGAAGAAGGACTTTAACTAAGTCCACATCCAGCGCGAGATGTATATACATAATACAATCAATCAAACATTTACTTGACCACTACAGCAGGCTTGTCACCTACCCATGTCTTGCGCTTCACTCCATCCTTGTTGCCATTCTGTAATAATAGTTGATCGATCATTATACGGAATGAATGGATCAGTTGCTGACAGACCTCTTCGCTCTCGCCAATGTTCTTCATGCCCAGGACGGCAGCCTCCAGCGTGGATATCCTGTCGACTGCTGGCTGTTTCCTCAGAGCATTATACATTGACTTTAACTTCTTGTCGCCAAACGTTAACCTGACACGCTTGATATCATCGGGGATGTGCTTGGCCAACTTCTTGGCCTGGCTCCATGTTCCATCCAATATGATCATCGTCAACTGAGGTAGCTCCGCCAACACTTGCTCATCCAATCTAATATCTCTCAATGAGTCTGAGATTGATATAATGTCATCATCATCATCGTTGTCTTGGTCTTGTGTTGCCTCGTCGTCATTGAGTGTTTGTGTGGCGGGTGTGGTCGTGGTCGTGGACTTGGCCTCGCGATGTAGATCAATGTACTCTGAGATGTCGATTGAGTCTTGTGTTGGGAACAAGACAAAGCAACGACTATGATCGCATGTCTCAAAGAACTGTTTGAGCGCCAACTCATCCTCCTCGATACCCATCACCAACAACTTTGATGTCTCATTGCCATTGCTTGGGTCCAACAAGTTGAGGGCAGGTCTTGCACCAAACACAGCCTTCTTCTTCTTTGCAACTTCTCCACCTTCAGCTAGTTGAACTTGTTGTTGCGATTGTTGTTGTTGATCATAGTAATATCTATTTGATGATAATGTTATAAGCTTGCCAGTGTTGCTAACTCTTGTCCACTCTTTGTGATGGAATAGTGTGATGTAACGATGTCTGAGTGAGAGTGGCGTCAACTTGTTACAGATGCACAATGATGTCAAGAACCAACAGTTTGTACACTTTGAATGCTCGTGTAACATATCCAACAATGTCTCTTTACGTTGATTAAAGAATGCCTTTCCAACATCCCTATCTCCATTATTATATTGTTTTCTCTCTATCTTTGTCTTTGTATTTATCTTTGTCTTTGTCTTTGTTGTCTCTGTTGGTGTCTCTGTCTCTGAGGCTGACGTCACTGTCTCTGAGGCTGGAGTCACAGTCGTTGATGTAGTGGATGTTGATGTCATTGCTCGAACAGTAGTAGTAGTAGAGTAATAAGATGATATAATACGTATACTTAGGCGATGCATTGATCTTGTACTACTCGCTCACTCATTCATTCATTCAAACATGTCATCCAATCGATCAAACCAAAAACAAAGAATGAAGTGAGATGTGTGTTTTTGTTCCTTTGCTTGCAAGCAAAAGTGGTGGAAAACTCAAAATCCGATTTTCAATTCTGATCCAGTCATGTGATGGTTGAATCGGTGTGATGGGAAGGAAGGAAACATGTGTCTTTTCTCCTACCCATTGTAAAGTTTAAAAAACAGTACTAGCTAGCTAATTCCTTACACTATTTGTCATCAATATCCTTAAATAGTACTTTGTTCAAACAGATAATAGATAATAATAATAATGAATTTCTTTAAATCATTCCTTGGTCAAGGCGGTGATCAATCAAACAAATCAACACCAACATCAACTACATCAACTACTTCAACAAAACCAACAACAACAACAACAATATCAGCATCAACATCAAGTCAAACTCTAAGTCCCACTCTATCTCAAACTCCAACTCCAACTACATATTACCAACAACAAACAATCAAACCTCTACCTCAACCTCCATCAACTCCAACATCAACATCAACGACAACATCAACATTTGGATCATTCTTTCAATCAACTCAAACAAATCCAAGATCACAAACATCATCCGTAGATCAACAAACAACAACATCATCATTATTGACCAATATAAAGGATATAGATAACATATTGGATCAATCGATACAACTTCTAAGATATGGCCTATCACTTGATTTGTCGAATGGATCGCCAAACAAAAGACAAATGGATGCTTTGTTAAAGAGGATAGGTTTGCCAGAGTCAACAATGTATAGAATAATAGATATATATTCACATCAACTTGTATCAAAGATGAATAACTCTAATGAGTTGTATAAAGAACTTACTCATTCCAACTTTATCCAACACTTCTCCAACATCTCCACACTCTTTAATTCAAACTCATTCAAAGATGACCTCTTTGCCCTGAGGAACACCATCACACTTTTCACACACATCACTACCAAGTAAGTTAGACCTAAGGACACTTTGCGCCAGGATGACGATGACGATGACTTACTCCCTCATTCATTCATTCATTCATTCAATCAATCAGGGTCAGTGGCGGATCGGACTCCATCCCTTTGGAACTCTTTGAGTATGCTTGGCGCAACTCTCGACATTCCTCGGATTACCAAGTTGATGAAGGAGTAAGGAAGTTGAGAATCCAACAACTTACACAACAAGAGAAGGTATATATGATGTTCTTGAGGTTGCGGTCAGGTGACACTTGGAATCATTCCGTCCCATAAATTAACATCTTAACCCCACCCCCACTCACTCAATCATGATCAATCAATGTGTCAAACGATGAATTAGATGTTAGACATCAATAGAGATAGGATAGGTATTAGATATCATGATCTACCTACGTATCCAACGCAGAATGACTTTGAGAGCGAGAAGTTGACAGAACAGAAGTTGTTGAAGTACGGCCCATACTCATCGTTGGAGGACTACTTGGACACTCACTACTGTTTGATGCGCGAGGATATGGTCCATCCACTACGTGAAGCAATACATTCACATCGTAAAGGACAAAAGTCACGCTATATCCACCATGATGTGACGTTCAAAGAGGTGTCGTGCTCCAATCGCTACTTTTGCTTCAAGATCTCGTTCAACAATGCCGTGCCCAAGAAGCGCTTCGACTGGGGTCGCACGTCCAGTCTGCTGTACGGCTCACTCGTCGGACTGACCAGTGTGGTGGACAACTTTGACTACACCTTCTGGGCCACGGTCGAGGACCGTCCGTCCGAGGGCAACACCAAGGAGATAACCATCTCATTCGTCGACAATGAATTGGACTATGCCAAACTGGTCCCGTTGCTCTTCAACAACACGTTCCTGATGGTCGAGTCGCCCGCCTACTATGTGGCCTACAAGAATGTATTAGACTCGCTCCAGAACATGTACGAGCTGCCCTTTGAGGACTACCTGCTCAACTGCCAGCAGCAGTCCACGCCGCCCACATACTTGCGCGACTTCCCCACTGTGGACTTTGCCACGGCTTTCAAGAGGGTCGAGCCAAGCGATTTGCATGATGTGGGCAGGTCCTTCCCCTCGCGTCTCGATGAGCTTGACGAGTCACAGATGGCAGCCCTCAATCATTGTTTGAGAAGTGAGATCTCGCTCGTTCAGGGCCCGCCAGGCACTGGCAAGACCTTCATCGCTCTCAAGATATTCAGTCTGCTGCACCAGCACATGGCCATCAACTTGGAGGATCATGAGCGTACACCCATCGTAGTGTTTTGCTATACCAATCATGCTTTGGATTCGTTTGTCAAGGGCGTGCTCAAGGTGACCACCAACGTTATCCGTGTTGGCAATCGCAGTCAAGATCCAGAGTTGGATCAATTCAATCTCAAGCACAAGATACAAAAGGATCAAAAGCAGTTCAACAACTACAAGAAACAAGGCAAGATTAACTCTGGACTCTTGGATTGCATGAAAGGTATGTTTGATTGATTGATTGATGGGGTGGAACCATTCCAGCCCAAGCCCAAGCCTCAGCCAATCACCAAACACTCACTCACTCACTCATACTAGCAATGAGGACACCGATTGAGTTACAGGATATACTCAAGGTAGCAGCACCAATACACGCCAACATTCTGCGCAAACTGAGAGTGGACTTGGCCATAGCGTGGACCAAAGGAATAAGAACAAGAATGCAACATACAAGACCAATCATGAAGAAGGAGGACAAGGACTCGGACGCATCAACAAACTTGGATGAGTATGATGAGGATGAGGAAGCCGTAGAGGACCTAATCAAAAAGAGGAAGTTTGATATGGATCGCACGAATGAGAAGTATGACAGCTGCGACATTGGCAATGCCATGTGGATAATGGAGCAGCACTACAATGCTTTTGAAGACGAGTATAACATCCTGGATCTGAGCGAAGACAACCAAGAGAATCTCTTTAGACATTGGCAACGGAAGCATATTGGATCGTTGCTGGCAACAATGGCCACACTCAAGACTGAGCTGGACAGTGTAACCAAGATGATCCTGCGCCAGGACGATGAGTACAGCGTGATGGCCATGAAGCGTGCTGAAGTGGTAGCCGTCACGGCAACAGGAGCCAGCAAACAAAAGGCCGTGCTCGACCTTTTGAAGCCCAGACTGGTGATCATTGAGGAGGCGGCTGAGGTTCTCGAGTCTCAGGTTGTGGCCATCCTGCCCAAGTCCACCGAGCATCTAATCATGATTGGAGACCACGAGCAACTCAAGCCTTCGAACCAGGTGCACCAGCTTGGACTTAAGTACCGATTCAACACATCACTGTTCGAAAGGATTGTCCGCAATGGTATTGGATGCAAGACACTATCGATCCAGCGTAGAATGGTTCCAGAGATATCAAGGTTCATCAAGCCCATATACAGTCGCCTGGAGAACCACCCATCAGTATTGTCACGTGCCATCGATGACAATTGTACATTGATCAGGGGTATGCCTTCCAACATCTACTTCCTCACACATACCAACCCCGAGGACAGCAATGAGAATGCTTTGAGCAAGGCCAATGAGTTTGAGGCCAAGTTCGTGGTCAAGCTTGCCGAATACCTCATCAAGAACAAGTACAAAGCATCCAACATCGCCATCCTCACACCATACATGGGCCAACTCAAGAAGATCAGGGACCAATGCCACAAGACCGGCCTCCGCAATGCCCATCGCGACCTGACAACAATGACGGTGGACATGTTCCAAGGCAATGAGAAGGATATAATCATTCTATCTTTGGTGCGATCAAACACGAACAACTCATACGGCTTCCTGTCGATCCAGAACAGAATCAATGTGGCCCTGTCCCGAGCGAGGAATGCCATGTTCATTGTTGGCAACTCCACTTTGATGAAGAGGGCCAACAGTCTGTGGGGCAACCTGATTGACACGTTGACCAAGGAGGAGAGGATTGGACCATCTCTCAAACTTCCATGTCGCAATCATCCAGGTGAGGCCTACGAGATCAAGTCTCACAAGGACTTTGACAGCATACCCAAGAACAGAGGCTGTAACAAGCAATGCAAAGTGCCACTTCTTTGTGGCCATCCTTGCGCTAGCATGTGCCACTACGACCAACATATCCATCAGACAATGGAGTGCAAGTCGTTGTGTAACCAGGTTCAGGACTGTGGACATAAGTGTGAGGCCAAGTGCCATGGCGCGGGCGCGACTGCCACCCCATGCCCACCATGCCGCCAGACAATCAAGTTGGTGTTGCCAGACTGCAAGCATCAGTTTGAGAAACAATGCTCATCATCACAAGACGACCAGACGATCAAGTGCAATCAACCATGTAAGAAGCCCCGACCAGATTGTGGACATGTGTGCAAGGCCATGTGTGGCAAACACGAGTGCGACCTGATCAAGTGTCTGGAGAAGGTGCCCTTCAAACTTCCATGTGGGCACTCGACTCACAAACATTGTGGCGATGCCAAGTCCTCGGAACGATGCAAAGTCAAATGTAAAGTAAGCATGACTTGTGGACATGTCTGCGACGCGCCCTGTACAAAGCACACGATTGGCGCCAAGGACAGCCATCCAAAGTGCAAGAAGTGTCCAAAGCCTGCACCTGAGGGCACTGTTGCGGCGGCAGCTGCTGTCCAAGACACGCCAGCGAGCCCACCATCCTAAATAAAGATTGAATGATTGATTGATTGAATGGATGATTGTCGAACGCTCATTTAATGTTTAGTTGCTTGGCGTTTGTTGTCGTCATTTTTAAGTCCTCTTTGATCCAATCTCAATACGGGACAACCGTTTTAGAGGTGTCTTCAGAGGCAGGAGGTTGGGGTTGTGTGGCTGCTGCAGCTGTTGTGGTTGTTGTTGACTATCTACAGGTAATTGCTTGAGATGCTGTTGTTGTTGCAGTTGCTCCTTGTTCTGTTGGCGCCAGTAGAACGTACGCGTCTCGGGTCCATTCTCCAGGATCGAGATGATCTTGGTGACCTTGGAGTTGAGCGCAATGTCCAGCGCAGTGCCACGCTTGGAGATGATATTGATGTTGGCATTCTTGTGAAGCAGCGTGGAGACGACGCATGGCCGACATGCTGTGACCGCGTAGTGGAGCGGTGTTTCGCCACGCTTGGACAATGCGTTCACATTGGCGCCCTTGTCGATCAGGAACTTGATCATCTCCTCCTCGTCGACGCCTCTGAATGCAGCCGAGTGCAATGGTGTCTCATTGTGGCGATTGCCAATGTTGATGTCCAAACCCTTGTCAAGCATCATCTGGATGACCTCCTTCCTCTTCTCTGTCAGTGGGTGTCGCACCAAGTAATGTAGTATCGATGCTTCATCCTTATTCTTCACGGTCACATCCACACCTGTCACCGATAACAATGCCTTACATATCTCAGTGTTGCCTGAATGTGCGGCGCAATGAAGCGGAGCCCATCCATTCTCGTCCAACATGTTGATCATGTGTCTAATGATGATGAAGATGATTCCAGAGTTAGTAAGTGGGAACTTGTGATTGATCGATCGATCATTCTTGCGCTGTCATTATACGTACGATTCAGTTTGTAATATCTTCTCGACGGCAGCGAGATCATCCGAGGAGACTGCTTGGTGCAGCCTGGACTTGCCATCGTCCTGCACTTTGCTGACCTTCTTTTGGGTGACCTTGAAGTTCTGTGTGTCTGAGAGCGACTTGTCAATGACCTCGGAGTAGTCCTCGGTGTCGGCCGGGTTGTCCCAATTCTCCACAACGGTCTTGAGCTCATTCTCAATCCTGGCGAATGTGTTGACGACCAGGCCACTCACGGGCACAATATGCATCTCGACCTCGTTGGTCGAGCCCTCCAACCGCGCCATCTCGGCGAGGTACTTGAGGTCCTTGAGAAGATCCTCGGTCCAATGTACAATCTGTGGCTCGCTGCCTGCTTCGCGCATCTGCTCCCAAGCGGCCCAGGCGCGCTCTGTTGTGAACTCGTCGAGCGGCACCTTTAGGTGCTCGCTCAGAACGACGTGTGAGCGTGCGATAAAGTCATCGATCACAGGGTAGATCAGCTCGCGCAGCTCATTGATGATGGGCCGCGGTGAGTTGAGGAACTTGTTGGACTGGGACAGCTGTGGTCGGTTGTTGCCATCAAACATCGTGTTGGACGAGTAGTAATCGTCGCGGCTGCTGCTAATGCTACTGCTCGCGCTGCTACTGATGCTGCCTACGCTGCTGTTGAATGTGTTGGTGTCGGGCGAGAGCGCCATCGAGATGTCTGTGCAGCTTGTGTTGGGGGATGAAGGCGCGCCGTCTTCGATTGTGATGATCTCAATGACGTGCTCCTTGGGGTCGAGGATCTTTTGGATCAGGATCAGGTTGTTGACGACGTCCTTCATGTTGGCGGGCGGCTGCTCGATGTAGTTCTCGGGCACGGCGGTAAAGTTGTAGCCGCGCTCCTCGAGGAATGCATGTGTGCAGGCGTCGATCTTCTTGTGCCACCAATCTGTCATCTCGTCCTTGGTGGCGCCGTTCAGAATGTTGCGCGACTCTAGCCGCAGCTGATCCAGCATGAGGTCGCTCTCGCCCAGGAACTGCTTGATCTTGCTGCGTGCGATCGCTATTTGATTGTTGCCGTTCAGGTCGGACATAGACCGCTCATACTTTGGCATGAAGAAGAGACGCGTGTCGATCTGGCCGAGGTAGTTGTCGATCTTCTCAGTCATCACCGTCTCGATCTCGCGGTAGATGGGGTGGTTAGGCTCGTCGCAGATGCGCGCAAGGATGTCCTTGGTGGCCTTGACCTTGGCCAGGTCGAGAAGCGTGATGCGCTGGCTGTCCTGGAACAGCGACATGTCGATGCCCAGCGACGACAGGTGGTTGACGATCAGCTGCTTGCTGTCCTCGAGCGTCTGGGCAAAGAAGCGGTCGGTGGGGTGGTAGACCAGTCGCTCAAACATGTTGTAGTCCTTGAGCGACTCGAGCGTGTGTTTGTTCAGCAGCAGGATGTCCTCGATGCCCACGACCAGCTGCTCGATCTCGTCGGCGGCGAACCAAACGTTCATTGTGTTTGGCGTGCGCTCGCCAGTGAACCTGACAAACAACGCGCGTGGTTGGAATGGCTTGCGAGCCAAGTATTCCTGGATTGTGATACTGTTACATGAATGCGATTGTTGCTGCTGCTGTTGCTGTTGCTGTTGCTGCTGGGCTGATGAAGATGAGTTTGATGATGATGTTGACCCAACACTGTTGCCATTGCCACCCTGCATGTTGCCGCCCTTGATGTTACCGCTGCCAATGAGTGAGTTGGCGGCGGGCCGACGAAGACCCTCGGGGAAGCGGACTATGATGATGTCGCCACGCTTGACTTTGTCGACGCCGCGCAAGATGGACGCGTAGCGACGCACGGCCTTGGCCAACTGATCGTTGTCCGTTAGTGAGCTCCAGTTGATGATGTTGACGAGGAGTTGCTCGCGGTTGGTCGAGATGCTTGTTTGGAAGTAGGACTGGTGCTCCTCGATGTTGGTCTCGCCCAGCGAGTTGTTCTTGCAGGCGCCAGTCAAGTTGAGGAACTCGTAGTCGCGAGACAGCTTGTTCAGGAGGTCGTCGCTGGGTATCAGGCCGACGACGCAACTGTCGCAGTCGACGACATAGGTGGTCAGGTGGTCGATCAGCTGGCGTGCTGCATTCATAAAGTTGCGCTGCTCGTCGACGCCCAACAACTCGATCGTCCTAAGATACAGATGCAACAATGACAAGCAATGTTGTATATTCTCCTCGCTCAACGATGTCTTTGTCTTTATAATTCTCTCTTTGAATATACTAGCCATCGACATCTGTTTCACTGTCCTCATATGATGTATTGCATTGAGGCATGGTGATAGTTGGTCCTGTGTAGTGTAACATTGAATGTGAGTGTTAGTAAAGAGTGTGTTTCCGTGTTTCCGTTCGTGTTTCCGCGGCCACACTCTGTTTCCGTGTTTCCGTGTTTCCACGCGGCAACAGACTACAACAACTTTGTGATATTGTTATAACATACTTGAAAGAGGAAGAATACTGAGCTGTAGGTTTGATTCATGTCTTTGGCATTCCTGAACTTGTTGTTTGTGAGTGTGTCAAACTTGCCAGCAGATGTAGACTTCTTTGGCAATGATGGTAGTGAAGGTAGTGATGGCAATGGTAGTGATGATAGTGATGATAATGATGGCATTGATGATTCTTTATAACTTCCACCACTATTACTACCTGTATTATTATTATTACTTGATGATGATGACGAGGATGACGATGACGACGATGATCCAGCTTGTAACTTTGCAGACAATGGTTTTGGTATTGGTAATGTACACAGATAAGTGAACATATCATTTACATTATCAATGAACTTCTTCTCCAACTTATCAGCCTTGACGTTGGGAAGGCTCGCCATTTTGTTGTTGTTGGTGGTGTGTGAGTGTGTCGTCTGATTGATTGATTGATCGAGTGTCGTCTGATTGAGTGAGTGTGATTGATTGATTGATTGATTGATTAATAAATATGTTGTTTGTGATGTTAATGATGGTGATACAAGCTCAAGTTAGAACTATGTTTGACTGATGATAGATAGAGATATAACTTTATCTTTATCTCTATCTCTTCTTATAATATATATATGAGTTGAATGAAATGAATGGGACCAATCAAATGAATAATCGTAAGTGTAAAACAGTTGATGCTGCAACTACCAACCTGCAGATGGTACCAAGAAGGGAGGGTGGTCGCCTCCAGCCCTGCATGATATTTTGAAGTTTCATCCAAGCGATCGATCGCTAACCACCAGCGTCCTTCCATCAAAAACACTTCAACACGCAACCCCAACTTGACAATCAAAGTGTTTCAAAGGAACATTCTTGGTCTTTCGTCCTAGGAAATGACACAATGTCATCACATCAATGGTGTATGTGGAAACTACGCGGTGACAGCACTGCGTATGTGGGGGCATATGCAGGTCATAGTACTATGACCTGGCCTCAACCCTTTATAGTATATCTCTGTAATTGTCTCGCATATCAGAGGCACTCCGCAGGAATGAATCCAATTGATCCTTTGGCAGTATGTCAGACTTTTGAAGATAGGTAACTAGTTCCATGAAGCCCATATTCAACAACTCGGCACTCCAATTGGACAACAATGTGGCGCAGAAGCATATGTGCAGCACTGAGAATCCCTCACTGTTCTTATCGCACATATATCTATCCCATAACTTGATTCCAGTTTCCTATATTTGTTTGATTATTTGATTGATTGAGTGATTGAGTTAGTGAGTGGATTCAAGTGATTGATTGATCGGGTAACATACGAATGACATCTCCCTGATCAAGAAGCAGACCATCCAACGGAATGAGAAATGGCTAAAGTCAATGTCATGTTTCTTGAAGTGATTGTATAACTCCTCTGTTGACGCGAGTAAGGACATGGTTAGTCAAGGGATGGGATGGATACATGCATTACCAGCTCGCCCACAACACATAACATACCGTTTGACTCCTTCACTAGAGACTCGAGCTTCTTCATCATTCCTTCGGCGGGCAATCCACAACCAGTGTTGGCGGCGTATGACTTGACAGAGTTCATGAGATGACTGAGACACCAGAAGATGTCTGCCTCAACTCGTGATAGAATGTCGTATCGATTGGTGTCCAGCAGTTCTTTGACGCCAACACCATCGCCCAATGTCTTGACCAAGTTGAATTGTAAGTCTGCCAGTGGGTCCAGTGATGGATACGTCGGGTTACGATCTGTGTTATACTGCTGCAGTGCATCCGATAGGAACACGATGAGGAATGGACATATCAGGTCATTCAGACCCTGGAAGTATGACACATCCTGGTTCTCATTCGACCAAACAACCAATATCCTCTCGATCATCTTAGAGTTGAGGTAAGGGGTAAGAATAAGGTTAGGGCAAAGGTCGTGGGCGAGGACACGCCAGGACACATACCTGTTCAATGAACTTGATCTCAAACAGATCGTAGAAGCCGTCGGGTCGCGTTCGGATGACATCGATGTGTACTTGTTGCACAAGATCATTGAACTTAACCTTATCGACGACTGATTGATAGATGTTGGCAGTGGTATTCCAGAGATCAGACACGTTGTTACGCAGTTTGATGCCAACATTGATGTCAACATCATCCAACTGGTATAGTTTGTAATCGTTATAATATTTCTTGATCAGCATTCCATATTGCATTCGTTTGTTCTGTAGCACTGCATGACGATTATCGACGTTGGCCGGCATGTACCCGGTCATGAGCATCCAGGACTGTGCGCGGCTCGCATCTGTGAAGCCGTAATGTGTGCCCAGCAACTTGACAATCTCCACGTTGACCACGGGCTGCTCCAAGTGCCACTGAATGTGCTGAGAGATCTTACAGCGATCGCCGCTCTCATTGAGGTACTGCGTCAGGTCACGGTACTGCTCGTCGCTGATGGGCGTCGACTCTGAGTCGTTGCCGCGTGTCACCACGTCTGGCAGCGATATTGAGATGAACTGAATGATTGATGAGAGCTTATTGTACAGGGGTTGTGTGCCCGATCCGCCACTGTTGGACAGGCCGCCACTGCCTCGCGAGTTGGACATGCTCTCAGAGTAGGGCAGGGGTGGCAGGGGCTTGAAGCGTTGCAGGGATATGTCCTGGCGGTTGGCGCTGCTCCTTAGAGAAGGGTAGTGCGAGGCGGAAGATGGCGAGGAGTAGTCGCTGGACGAGGAGTAGGCGCCGTCCGAGCTGGACAGATACTCGTAGGAGACGGTCTCGGTGGAGCTGGCGGCAAAGGAGTCTTCGCCTCCCAACTTAGGATATGGGCTGATGTCGAGCAGAGGCATCGAGAACATTGAGCGCTCTGATCGGCTCTGTTGCTGTGACACCTGATTGAGCAGAGACGACTTGTATGAGAGGTGGAGCATTGGTGTTCGACGTTGTGTGGGTGTGCCCTGCAAAGGTGTTGCTGGGGAGGTCGCATAAGTGTCCGAGCTGGGCATTGGGAGCAAGTGTTGAAGGTCCAACTGTCGCAGCTCTGGCGTCAACAGCTCATAGCTGCTTGATTGATGTGACGGTGGTGGAGTTGATGGCATGGGCGCCACGACCACGCGGCTGCCAAAGTCATCAAAGTTGAGGTCCACCAACAGTTGCTCACTCTTTTGTTCGACGAGTGGCGCGAGGATTGATGTATTGGTCGCGGGTGAAGTGGACAGTGACGTGGAGACAGATGGCGGCTCGGAGAATGATGAAGCCGGCACCTTGCCCGGTGTCGGTGTCGTCGATGCCGATGCAGCCGGCGACGAAGACGTCGGTGTTGAGTTGGAAGACGATGACAAATTTAGAATAGACTCGACAGTCGAGTTGTTCTTGACGTTGGTAATGACCTTGAACAGCTTTGACTTGAGTGGGGAGGCCGAGATCTTGTTTGAAATGTTGCCAAAGCTTGTGCCCAGACTGCTGGCCAAGCCCCTGGGCTCCAATGTCGGGGTGGATGGTGTCGAAGCCGAGTGGAATCGCTTGTGTGAACGCGCTGGTATTGGTGGAGGCACGCTGATTGATGGTGAAGTTGACGACGACGAGGTGTTGGTCGTAGTGATCATAGTGGGTATGTTATGAAGTGAACTGTGTAGCGATGGGCTGGCACTGTTGCCACCGCTGTTGCTCTTGGGCTTGGCATTGCTTGGGAGTTCTGAATGATCGTGATCAGTGAATATCGATGAGTTGGACACTGACAATGGCGGAGTTGTGCCACCGCCCCTTGCACCCTGATAATATGAAGGTGGAGTGAAACTTGTTTGTGATTGTGATTGTGATTGTGATTGAGTAGTTGTTGTTGTTGTGACATTGTTGTTGTTGTTGTTGTTGAAGTTATAAAGGTTACGAGGACTGGCTCCATGTTGTTGTTGACTATCGCTTATACATTGGTCGATCAAGTCTTTGTTATAATATATGTATGGTGAAGATGATGATGAGGGTGCTGCAACCTCCTCAGTATCAGCACCGTCCATGTATACCTCCTTAGTCTCCTCTACAACGGTAGTAGAAGTGGCAGTTTCTAGACTATTGAGTGATAAAGATTTGAATAATGTTGTTGATGATTGTGTCTCGTCCATCATTGTATCTATATTATCTCTATCACTATCTATTGTTCTATCTTTATCTCTGTTGGATGGTGTACTCAGTGCAATGATGCACCCTTAAACATGTGTTGACCTGGCTTTAACTAACCTCCTCTCTCTCTCTCTCTATCACTCTCTCTTATTATTAAGTAATATTACTTCTTATAATTATTATAAGTATGTGTTTGACTGTCAGACTGACTGTGGACTCACTAACCAAGTTGATGAATTAGATTGAATGAGTGGATGGATGGATGGATAGTTGTGTTGGTGTTGGTGTTGTTGGTCGAAGTGAGTGTGTGTGAGAAGTGTGGATGTGTGTGTGAGTGAAGAGTGTTGTTATTGGTTGGATGTGGAATGTCGATCGTTGGTTGGTTGGTCGGACAATTAAGAGTGTGTGTGTTTGATTGAGTTAGTGTGATGGATAAATGGATATTTGATTGACTGACTATATGACTGGATGACTGACAGGATGGATGGAAGTAATTAGAGACAATGTCTCCTTACAATATATGATGTATCTGTTGTTGATGCTTTGGTATTAATGAGTTGTTCTATTATTGAATAACAAATTAATGTCACTCATTCTACAAGATGCATCTCATCTCAGTTTCATGTGGTCCAACTAAATCATCGATGTCAGTTAGTTTTGTGGATGAAACCAAACAAAACGATCGATTTGAGTGGTGGTCGTGTGTGGTTGCGTGTGGGATATCAGGACCTAGACTTGCAAACCAGGGTCATTTCTCTCACTTCTCAAAGATTGTTGTTCACCTACAAACAAACAACAGATAATGAACAATATCTAGAGATATGATTCAATTCATTGACAGACATACAGAGAAATTGAGAATAAACTAATTGGTGTAGTTCGAACATTAAATTGATTGAAGTTCGTGGTTCGAGTCATATTCTTCAAAAATGATTTGTTTGCCAAACAAACAAACAAACCCTACGAAATTTATTTTATTTTTTTAATGTTGGGATGGATGTGTGAGGGCCAGGGCGAAAGAGTGATGAACACACTTCACTCCTATTGATACTCAAAGACACACACACGCCAGGCGCAACTCTGTCTTTCTTTTTTGTTTGAGTTGAGCAATATCACCAACCCTACGGCTGAGGGCTGAGCATCATTCATTCATCATTCATTTCATTCGTCAATACATAGCATTTATACATACATACTGCTTTGTTGTAAAGTATGTATATTTATACATTATTTACATTCATTCGATCATTCAATCATTCATTGGATCATTCATTCAGCTGATCACGGGATATTTTCATTCAATCATTCACTCATTGATTGAAGAGTAGTCCCGCGACACTACAATGATGCGATGCGATATACAGATATAATGGAGTTGGCGATAACAAGAAATGAACATGATTGATATTGATATTGATAATGAATGAACGAATGAATCATCGATTGATTGCCCAACAAGTATACTAATACACAGAGTTCATTCATTCATTCATTCATTCATTCATTCAGATACACTGTAGTTATATTTTCAGATACTTATATAGACAGCAAGAATGTTCTCCCGTTTGATTACTAGATCACTCACCTCATCCCGTCGTGTTGCCTTGTCCAACAAGGCCACCTTCAAGCCAATGGTACGACATCCATAATCAATCAATCAATCAATCAAACTAGCGACAAAGGCGATGACGACGACATGTCCACAAGACTATTGCGATGATGAACAAACAGCATAGGCTAATACACCATAATCAACCAATCAATCACATTTACAGGGAAGCTCTGTCTTCTACTCAACAAAGAAGGCAACAACTACTGCCCCACCTCCCCCACCTCCAAAGTCGGGAAGACGTGAGGACGAGGCTGAGGAGCTCGAGAAGTTCGATACCGAGGCAGAGGTCCCACAGAGCGTCTTGAAGGAGCTCGAGAAGTCCCGCGCTGCCCAGAAGCAGCAGTACCAGGACATCGTCGCCAAGCTCACCGAGACCACCGAGGAGTCAAAGGTGTCGTCAAAGAAGTTTGAGGTCAAGCCAACCATCGCCATCACCACCGCATCAGGCAAGGTTGCCCACGCCCTCTTCTCGATGGCTTCGCAGGCTCGCAGTCTTGCCATCGTCGGCAAGGATGCCGATCTCATCATCAAGGCCTTTGAGAAGATCCCCTCGTTCAGAAGCACCATCGAGGAGCCAGAGGTTGAGGTTGCTGACAAGCAGAACCTCATCGACTTCTTCATTGCCTCCATCCCACTCTCACCAATCGGAGAGTTCTTCCTCTGTAAGTTCATCACTTGCTGACTTGACTTGACTTGATTGATTGATTGATCGACTGATCGACTGACACTCTCCCCTCTCCCCAATCAATCACATGACTGACAGACTACATGGCCAATGAGAACAACTTCAAGAACATCCTCCCAGCCTTGTCTGACTACAAGCGTTTGGTTGCTTCACTCTCAACAGAGATGACCGTTAGATTGACCATTGCTCGTGTATGTATTATTAACATCAACTTGTTGCCGCGCGCCACTTAACATAGCTGACACGCCACACACCCGCCACACCCTCAACTACCAACTTCCAATATCCACAAACAACAACAGGAGTACAATGCAAAGGAGAAGGAGCAATTGGAGCTCCAGATCAGATCATATTTCACAGAGGACACTCAGATGTCATTCATCTACACCGTCGACCCATCGATCAAGAGTGGCTACAAGGTCGAGTCCCCACTGCTCAACCACAACGCCACCCTGTCCGCCGCCATCCATAAGGCCGAGCGCGAGGAGAACGCCCTCTTCACCGAGTTCTTCAACGAGTTGAGACACGCCGCCATCACCGACACTGCCGTCTGGGAGAAGCAGGAGTTTAAGGATAAATACTTCTCCTTCGATTCAAAGGCCTACGAGGAGAGCATCGAGAAGGAGCTTAAGAAGTAATAAGGTTGTGTTCCAGTGCCAGTCAGTTAATCAGTCAGTCAGTCAGCAACACTCACTCAATCAATCTCAATCACCATTGCTTCGTTCGACACATGTCAATGTTTACATTATACCATCAACTCCGTCAAGCTTAACATATCAATTGGTCGTGGCAGGTGCTAGCTAGCAAGTCTAGTCCATGTCAGGCCAACATAATAGGCATCTAATAATACAATAATACATTATATATACATACATCGACCTCATTAATTCTCTTCATTCATTCATTCTCTTCATTCAAACATATTCATTAGGTCCGCGACCTACCGACTAATATTGCGTTGCCTGTTGCCTGTTGTTGCTACTGTTTATTGATCTCTATAATATATACATTGAACAGCAAGTGTGTATGATCGTGCGCTTGATACATGGGAGGTGAGGGGACAGTCTATCTATGAATGATGTTGCAGTCGATATTGTTTGAATGATCGGAATAGGAAGCCAGCGATACCGGCGAATATGCCTGTGCAGAACTCTTTGAATAGGTGATTGGAGAAGCTGTACCATGACAGTGGCTTCTTCTTCTTCTTGATGACGGACGATGATTGTGTAGTGGTCTGGCGAATGACATTAGACTGCGATGCACTCGCCGCCGCCGGATAATGATGTCTATAGTCAAAGACTGCATCTGCATCTGGTTGTTGTTGTTGTTGATGTACATCTATATTATAATGATTATTGCTACTATTATTATTATTACTACTGCTGCTGCTAAAGTTACTGCTTGTACCATATCCACCAATATTATGTAATCTACGACTGTCGTCTCTTCTTATTCCCAGCTCTTGATAGAGCTCATCAATCTCGCTATCGTCAACGCGATGATTCATTCTCTCTCTAATAAATAATAACTAACTAACTAACTAACAAGTGAGTAAGCAAGTAAGTAAGTATGTGAACAAGTGTAAGTGTGTGAGAGTGAGATAATGAGTGTTGTGAATGAATGAAGCTCCCACTTTGTTGAGCTTTTGACCTTTGATTTCAAAAGAAGACAAACAATCGTTTGTTGGACATGGGCTTGTTTCAAGTTGACACTCAATGTGTTGACATAATTACACAGTGACTTTAAAGGCATCATCTCTAATCATTGACAAACATTAAAATATTATCATCGATAATAGTAAATACTATTATATCATATCTAATAACATGTTTCTTCCATCAAACTTACCCTTGCCTTAACTCTACCCTTGCACTAATCTTGCCCTAACCTTATCTTTATTACCCTCGCTCTCATTGTTCAATTGATAACCTATGACAATGATTGTGGTGATAAATAATAAATTAATAATGTAAATGGGAACTTGGTCCAAATGACAAAGTCTAAATCAATCCCGATACTGCACTAAATTTCGTCGTTCGGTTGCCGAACACACATGGGTGCTCATGTCATTCATTCACAAAGTATCTACACTTCATTGCGCATACATTACACATACATACATACATATATATATAATATACAATGACTATCCCAACCAACTTTGATATAACAGACGTCACATTCGTAGCCCAGGGCAAGACCAAGTCCATCTACAAATTCAATCAACATGACCAGTATGTGTTGGTCGTGTCCAACTCGTCGATCACTGCCGGTGACGGCGCCAAGAAGGATGAGTTGCCAATGAAGGGCATCAACTCGACCACCACCACCTGCAACAATTTCCGTATTATTCAGTTGGCGGGCATCAACACACATTACGTGCGTCAGGAGCAGAACAACAGCTTCATCGCTCAGCGCTGCTCGATGATCCCACTCGAGGTGATCGTGCGTCGCATCGCCACCGGCTCCTACATCAAGCGCAACCCTCAGATTGCCGAGGGCACCAAGTTCAACACATGCATCGTCGAGTTCACCTACAAGGACGATGCCAACCACGACCCACTCGTCTCCATCGATGACATCCTCGCCATGAAGATGAACATTGGCGGTCACGCCATCGACACCACAGTCCTGGCCACCATCAGTCAAGTTGCCATTCAAGCCTTTGAGGCTCTTGAGCGTGCATGGGCTTCGACCGATGTAGTTTTGGTTGACTTCAAGGTATATGTCACTGGAACTATTCCACCCCCACCCCAACCCCACTTACTCACTCACTCAATCATATAATAGGTCGAGTTTGGTGTTACTACTGATGGCACTATTATATTGGCTGATGTCGTTGACAATGATTCATGGAGAATCTGGCCAAAGGGAGACAAGACACTGATGAGAGACAAGCAGGTCTACCGTAACATTCCACTCCAGGCTGGTGGCCCCACCACCAACACTCTCAACGAAGAGCAGACCAAGACATTGGTCGACAACTACACTTGGGTTGCCAACGAGACCTTCAAGATGGTCGACTTTGCCATCGCCAACAGGAAGTAGTGTAACGTTATGGCAATGGACATCGAAGTTCCAATTTGTAACCACAACGAAGTGTTTTCCACAAGTAAAATTACTTTTAATTTTAATTAATTGTTTGTGTTTGGGTGAGTTGGTGTGGGTTGGTTGGGGAACGGAGTGTTGTTGTGCTTTGACTTGACGGAGTGTATCATTAACGAAGTGTATTCCCATCTACGAACTAAATAGGTAAGTTAACGGCGACGACGACCATGTCAACGACGAAGGAGAGATGGTAGCGGAGGTGAAGTGAAGATGAAGATGAAGGTGCGTAGAGGTTGGTTGAATGGGCAATGCTCATTACTGTTTGATTGATTAATGTGAATGATTGAATGATTGATTGAATGATGAATGAATGATCGATCATATACTCATCGTGTCGCGCGAACTAGAGTAGTCGACATTCGATGTTGTCTCATTCCCCGATGTTCATGAAGATGGGAAATGATGTCTTGTCTTGTTACATGTTGATTGATGAACTGAACTCATACTAACTAATCATCACCTTCTTCTTCTTCTTCTTCTTCTTCTTCTTCTTCATCTCATTCTCCCCATCAAAGACCTGATAACGTCGTGACGCCCGCTCTCACCTACAATTCCCCGACCAGCGCCGACATCATCATTGCCCCAATAACAACAACAACAACAACAACATCAACAACAAAACCAATAATATATATAATGAGCTCCAACAAACTTATTGACCTTGGCTCAGACGGAGAACCCTCCCCTGGCCAATCGAGCATTAGTAATAATATAGAGCATGACCAAGACCATCATGACCATGACCACGGTGCCCACGGACATAGCCATTCCCATAAGAATAAGGATCACAAACATAAGGAGCATAAGGAGCATAAGCATAAGGACCATGACCACGACCATGACCACAAGCATAAGGAGGACCATGACCATGAGCACAAGGAGCACAAGGAGCATAAGGAGCATAAGGAGCATAAACATAAGGAGAAGCATGGACATGGCCATGGCCATGACCACGGAGCCCACGGCCACAGCCACGGCGGAGAGTCGCCCAAGCCAGGAAGTGCCATCCTGTCCGAGAGTATCGAGGAGGAGGACGACCACCACGGACACAGCCACCCCGGCGGCGACCATGGCCACAGCCACGGTGGTGGAGAAGTCCACGGCCTGCTGACTGGCGATGAAGCCATCAAAGAGATGGACAAGAAGAAGAAGGCCCGCTACGCCCTGATGCTGGCACTCGTCCTGACCACCATATTCATGGTTGGTGAGATTGTTGGAGGATACCTGTCCAACTCGCTGGCCATTATGACTGATGCCGCCCACTTGCTCACCGACATTGGTGCCATGTTCCTCAGTCTGTTTGCAATGTGGCTGTCCACCCATCCACCTACATCATCCATGAGCTTTGGTTTCCACCGTGCCGAGATCCTTGGTGCTCTTGCCAGTGTCCTGATGATCTGGGCGCTCACAGGTGTGCTAGTCTACGAGGCCATCCTGCGTGTAATCCATCCACCCGATAACGTCGACGGCAAGATCATGTTCATCATTGCCTCGTGCGGTCTGTTCATCAACATCCTCGACGCCATCATCTTGCACTACGGAGCTGGCGGCCACGGCCACAGCCACGGCGGCTTGGACCACGGTCACTCTCACGGCGGAGCCCCAAAGAAGAAGAAGAAGGGCCTCAACATCGACCTTGGCATGACCGGCGAGGACAACAAGGACATGAACATCAACGTGTACTCAGCCTACATCCACGTCATCGGAGACTGCTTCCAGAGTATTGGAGTTATGGTGGCTGCCGCCATCATCTGGATCAAGCCCGAGTGGAAGATCGCCGACCCAATCACCACCTTTATCTTCTCTGGCATCGTCCTGTTCACCACTGTCAAGCTGCTCCGTCAGAGTCTTGGCGTGTTGATGGAGGGAGTGCCATCGGGCATCAGTGTAGCTGACGTCCAAGAAGACCTGACCCAGCTGCAGGGTGTCAACGAGGTGCATGACCTGCACATCTGGTCGATCACCATCGGCAGACCCGCACTGAGTGTCCATCTCATCGTTGGCGAAGGCATCATTGGTGATGAGGTCCTAAAGTCAGCCAAGTCCATGCTACTCAAGACACACAACATCGAGCACACTACCATTCAAATCGAGATCACCAACAAGGATTCCAACCTTGCATTCTGTAACGATCCTTGTCCAGCACCAAAGGCCAAGAAGTAGTTAGTAGTTAGAGTAGTATAAGTAGTATTAGTATATTCATTCAATCATTTAATCATTCAATCATTCATTCAACATGCTCATTGTATGAGTATGACTCTCTCAATCCATTAATATCCACCAATGTTATTATAACTTTCATTCATTCATTAAATCAATATACCTAGTACTGAACATGTGTCATGTTCAGTCAGGCTTGTTAATAACTATCTCGTATCTCTTGTCCACTTGTCATTGATTGACAACTAACTTGTCAACTCATTTCGCGAATCTCTTGGAAATGAGTGTTGACTTTGAAGATGAAGTTGGGGCGCCAAGTTTGAATGAAAGACACAATCAATCAATCAAATAATACATGTACATAGTAGAAGTAGAAGTAGAGGATGAAGAATGATGATGTTATATCATTGGACGATGATGATGATAATGATAATATAGATCTGACAACAACATCATCAACGACATCATCTTTAAAGACTACATCGACCTCGTCGACATCAAACAGAAGTACGAACTACAACAACAACTATAATGGCAACAACAGCAACAACAGCAACAGCAGTAGTAGTGTCAATTACAATGGCAATGTCAATGTCAATGGTGGCACCAAAGTCAATCAATACAATAGTTTATCAGAGATAGATGACTCGCTGTTTGATGAAGACATGGACTTTAGTGGTATAAAGACAACATTCGAGAGAGATGATACCATTGGCTCAAAGAAGAGAAAGAATAGAGCAAAGACTACTGATGTGTCTGATCGTTTGTCAGACTCAAGGCCAACAAAGAAGAACACGACCACAACTATATCATCATCATCAAGACCCAAACCACCAACCAAACATAAAGAGGCACCAGATGGTACATTGTTATTAGAGGATGATGATAATGATGGTTACCATGTTGATGATGACAACGACAACAACAACAACTACAGCAACAAGGTCAATCTCGACGACGATGATGACCAAATTGATGCAGACAATGATGATCCCGACTTCATCCCAGCGCCGCAACCAAAGATGACAAAGAGACAGGCTGCGGTCAAGGCCACCGCACCCAAGAGGAAGGACACTCGTGCAGAGGCCAAGCGATTGAAGGAGGCCAACAGGAAGAAGAGCAAGAAGGAGTCCATGGGCGAGATGAAGATGGTAATCGACAACAATCTGTACCAGCGAGCAGAGACTGGCGACCTTATGTCAATCGTAGACGGCAAGTCCAAGTGGACTTTTGATACGAGGAGTGCGGACTTGCCCATCCAGTACTCGATCATCTGGAAACGCGGCCATGAAGAGCCGTTCAAACAAGAGGACATCATCATTCTCAAGTATCCAAACGATGTTTTGTATGGTTTTGTCGAGTCCAACACGCTCGTGCAGACCATATCAAGCATCGTCGAGGCCAATCCCAATAAGCGACTGATCCTGTTGGTCGAGGGACTGGACATGCATCTCAAATCAGTCTCCCAGCAAAAGGCCAAGACTGTCAATTCGATTCTCAAAGGCAATGGCAACATTGGAGACATCAATCCTCCTGAGGTCAAGAAGTTCTGTTCAAGGCAAGACTTTGACAAGCTCTTTGTTGAGCTACAGGTAAGTGGCCACAATCAATCAATCATGGAACACTCCAATCAAACACTTGATCACTAATATGGAATGATTCCATCCAGTTTAAATACTCATTGATGATCAGAGTGCTTGGCAGCAGGGAGGAGTGCGCTCTCTATTTGGTCAAGTTGACAGAGACTATTAGTCAGATTCCATACCGCGAGGACACTTCCAAGTTGTTCCAGGGCTTCTGTTCGGACGCCATAAAGAAGCGCTCGAAGGACCCCAATCAAATATGGATCAATCAGTTAGTGACGATCAGTGGCGTGTCTCGTGCCATCGCCAGCACGATCGTTATGAAGTACCCGACCATCCAATCACTCTACAAAGACTACTTCAAATCCGACATGAACGAAAAGAGTCGAATGATGATGCTCAAAGATCTCAAGCTGGATTCAAGTCAGAAGCGTCTCGGACCTGTCCTCTCCACCAGGTTGTATAATATCTTCTGCGGTAATGATCCAAATAAAATTGTTCCATAATCTATAATTCAATCAACTTCGTTCATTCATTGTCCTGTCGTGTCGTAGTCGTCTTGATTGATCGATTAGAGCTTGGCAGCACCTTGTGGAATGATCTCGGCGATGGCGTTGGTGAGGGTGTATCCCTCTCTCTCGAGCACTCTTGATTGAAGCACGACCTTGTTGTCGGCCACCTTCCACATCTGAGTCTGAATGGTCTCACCTGGGAACACATGCTTTGAGAATCTGACGCGAAGACTCTTGAATCTCTTTGGATCGTTGTTGCAGAAGTGCTCCAGTACTCCTCTCGCGGCGTATCCAAAGCTGCACAGTCCGTGCAGGATTGGTTGGTCAAAGCCTCCGATGGCACTCATTGATGGATCGGCATGCAGTGGGTTCAAGTCGCCACCGGCCAGTCTGTAGAGCAGTGCTTGATCCTTGGTGGTTGGTTGTGTGTGTACAGCGTCGGGGTTCCTCTTGGGGATCTCGACGGGCTTCTCAGATGGGCTCTTCGTGCCGCCACGAGCGCCGCGGAGGAACAGTGAGAACTGGTTGAATACGATGTCTTGGCCAGTCTGGGCATCTCTGGTGATCGAGTCGACGATCAACAATATTCCCTTGCCCTTATCGTAAAGGTTTGATATCTTTGAGGTGGTGATCAGCTTTCCTCTCGTGGGGATTGTACCTCTGATCTCCAAGTACTGCTCTCCATGTAACAACTTCATTGGGTCGTATTCCAATCCCTCGATACCCTCAGTGACCAAACTCAACAATACCTTGAATGGGAATATCACTCCCTACAATGTATTTGTTCGTTAGTACATTCATTCATTCAATCTCGCGATCTTTCGTTAACAACATACCATTGATGGGATGGCAGAAAAGTCATCAGCACCTTCATAAACAAACTGGAGGTTCTCTTTGCCTGCTCCAATACCCAATGCGTACAAGGCTACATCTTTCTGTACAAGCGAGTGTCAGTCAGTCTGTCAGTCAGCCTTTGAATGGTTGGGCGGTAGTACGACCTCAACTCACCTCTGTGATCTCAGTCTCGATTGGGACGAACTTATGCTTGAGTGCCCTCTCAACTAATTCTTGGTTGTTGGAAGTCATTGTTATTATCTGTATACTATTATTATTACAAGTAGATTAATGTTATGTTTGAGTGTTGGCAACAATGGAAGATATTGCCTTGAATGAATGACCCTTTTCAATTTCCAAACAATCATACATTTCCTTTTTAGTCAAATGTTCAGATCTTGAATGACACGACTCTGATGCCGACATTCACCCGAACATCATCTTCATATTGTTGTTAAGTTGTAAAGTGAAGAGATACACCTCAGTACATTCAATCATTCATTCAATCATTCATGTCAAGTGTACAACCACAACAACAACAAGAGATCATAACTCAAGATGGAGGAGTAAAGAAGCTATTGATTAGAGCTGGGCTCGAGTCTGAACCACAACCAGTCGATGGCAATGAGGTAGTCAGTAAGTTAACCAGTAGACTCATACACATACATGTCTCAGATACTAATGAATGAGCGCAGTTCATTACAATGCAAAGAGAATCGATGGATTGATGTTTGAAGACACGAGAGCATTGAATGGACATGCTTTTAAGTTCATTGTTGGTCGTTGTACTGTGCCTGGACTCAACTTGGCTGTAAGGTCAATGAGGTTGAACGAGTTGGCAACATTTACAATGCGATCAAAGTACTGCTTTGGATCACTTGGTTATGGCACTGTCGTCCCTCCCAACTGCTCATGTATATACGAATTGGAATTGATCTCTGTGCGTACATTGCTAGACATCTCACACGATCAATCATCATCATCATCATCAACATCAACAACAACATCATTGTTAAAGGCTATTACCAAACATAGTACAAGCGATGATCGTCCAACTTATGAGTCAAGAGTTGTTGTATCATACAAGTCAAAGTTGTTGGATGATGTTGCGAATAACAACATATCAAGAGAACGTTATGAATACGTCATTGGCGAAGACAGAACAGTACCATTGGTATTGGATACGATTGTACAGAGCATGGGTCGCGATGAGCAATGCACAGTTTACATCACATCAGGCGACAGCAAAGCACTGCCCTCTGAGCTCGAGGTTACTCTGCACTCATTCAAACGCCCGCCTCAGGTCAACTTGTCGAGCTACCCTGTGGACGAGTTGTTAAAGATGGCAATGGCAAGAAAGGATATGGCTGCCGAGCTATTCAAGGCCAAACACTTTGAGTTGGCCATTCGCAAGTATCAACGTGCCATCGATATCCTGGTGCAGGGAATGAAGGATCGCAAACATGACGCAGCCATGGACGAACAGTGTCGCGCGATGCGCATTCAATGCACGGTCAATCAGGCAGTGTGCCATCTACAACTATTACAATGGAGTCAAACAATCAGCAAGAGCACAGATGCACTGAGACAGCAGTCTGGCAACATCAAGGCTCTGTTCCTTCGCGGCAAAGCACATCTAGCCATGCACGAGCATGTCCAGGCCAAGCGAGACTTTGAGTCAATACTTCAGCGCGATCCAAACAACACCGAAGCCAAACAACAACTGGCCAGCATCGGTGGCAAAACAGCAACAACAACAAGGTAGAGCATAAAGGTGTTGTTGTTTGTTCAATTGATTGAAGGTGATTGTTTATTGGACACACATGGACAGGTTTAAACCTGGCCTTGAGCAGCAGGTGGAGGGCATGTTGTTCAACAGGTACCTCTTACTGCTTTGGTGGCTGGAAGTGAGAGTTGCACTGTTGCCAGCACTTCCAGTAGTCGTCGTCGATGTAGTTCTTGTTGGCATATTCTGAGATGCCGAGGATGAGCGACGACTCAAACATAAAGGCAAGAGCGACGTCGGGGATCTTGGTGGGCTTCTGCTCGGACTTGATGGCGGCGTTGAATGTGTCGGCGTCGGGACCGTGTGGGGTCATGAACGAGTGGAGGCTTCCACCACCTGGCAAGAAGCCCTCTTTCTTGGCCTCGTAGACGCCACGAATCAGACCCATGAACTCGCTCATACAGTTGCGGTGATAGTATGGTGGACGGAAGGTGTTCTCCTGAACCATCCATCTTGGTGGGAAGATCACAAAGTCTGCTGCAGCAACACCTGGCTCATTAGTTGGTGCTGTCAACACTGTGAAGATTGATGGATCCTGATCAAGGTATAGCAAGCAATGACGCGTGCGCGTAGATGTTAGTTGATTGATTAATTGATTGATATAGTTATGGACTCGCGAGATTACAACATACCATGTGATCAAATGTTACAGAGTTAACTGCACAGAAGAGGTTAAGGTCGTACTTGTAGGGACAGTAGTTTCCATGCCATGCGACGACGTTGTAAGGGGAGTTGGTCTGGGTCGAGGTGAAGAGCTTGCCTCCAAACTTGTTGATCTTTACATGGTTGCACTCACGCTCCTCAAAGGCAGCCACTGGCGAGAGGAAGTCGCGTGGGTTGGCCAGTCCGTTGGCGCCGATTGGTCCGAGGTCCGGGAGACGGAAGTGCGAGCCAAAGATCTCGAGGATGTAGCCACGGCTTGGTCCGCTGACGTTGACCGAGAAGACGATGCCGCGCTGGATGACGCAGATCTCGCCCGAGTGCACCTCGAGGAAGCCAAACTCTGTCTGAATGTCCAGCGTGCCCTGCTGGGGCACGATGAGGAAGTCGCCGTCCGAGTTGTAGAACGACTTGTCGCCCATGCTCTTGGTGGCCGTGTAGATGTGCACGGCAATGCCATGGCGCACTGAAGGATGGCCTGCGCCAGCAATCGTAATCATGCCATCAATAAAGTCGTGCTCCTTCTCAGCAATTGGGAATGGCTTCCAACGCAACTGATTTGGATTGATCGTATCATAGTTGCTTGTCATCAATGTTGGTTGAGTGAATGGTACCAATGGTGTATGTACAACTGATGGGCGTATCCTATATAACCATCTGTTTCATTCATTCATTGCAATGTATGAGTATGAGTGTCTGTCGCGGCCTCGACATGTCGGAGTCGGAGTTGAGGTGCACTTACGATCTTTGTTGAGTGGCTCTGGGTACGGTGAATGCATTGCCAGAGAGTTGTTCGGCGTAGAGTCCGTAGGGACAGTTTTGAGGAGTGTTCTGGCCATAGGGCAGTGAACCCTTGATTGCCTCTGACTCGAATGTGTTACCGAATCCACTCTGATACTGATACTTTGAAGGTCTTTGAGTGAATGGTGGTGTAGATGATGGATGTGACATCTTTGTTCAAATGATACAACTTATAAGTATTTGTGTAATATGTGTATATGTATATGTATGTTGATTGATGAGTATGTAAGTAAATGACGTGTGAGTGATGGAAGATGTTCCAATGCTTGTAGAATCGTGAAGATAATGAGAGTATGAGCGGTTTGTGGAAGAATCCTGTCAAAGTCAAGAATGAAATTTCAAAATAATAAAATTGGCCCGATATGGAGGAGAGGATCACAATCAAGTCCCTCGTTTCCCAACAAAAACCAATCACATCACAACAAACAGCGTGTGTCACACTTGAGACAAAGCAATGCAAAGAGTTTATTTACATATTCCCATTCCGATACCATCATAATACCAATATTGATGATTATCCAAAAGAAAGTTGATTGATTATTACCTTGTTGTACTTGAAATAAATTATAATTGGATGATGATATTATTGAGGTACTACTACAGCAACCATAGTTTTTGAAAGATGAATGTTAATATCCACAGCCTCTAATCTTTCCAATTTTTGAAATATTATCTATTCATACTAGTCAATAAATAAATATTAAACTAATAATAATATAATTCAAACTTACTTATTAACATTTTAATTAATATCACACTGATGAATAGATAGATAAAAAGTAGTAATAATAAATTACATCCATCCAGACTTATTACTCATCGATCTTTTCATTTCTACTTCACTAGACACTCTCATAAGGATGTACCTTACACTCTCACACAATCAATCACAGTTATTACACTTCAACTACATCATCCGACTACCGATCTTGTAAGTATTGTTATAGTTGTCCAGTGGAAATACATTATATCGGTGATACTATGTATGTATTCATGACAGTAAACTACATTGAATTCAAAGTATTGATCATATATATTCGGATTTATTATACAACTTGATTTATTAATTGATATATTGAATGATGGATAGAAATGAAAGATTAGAATGAACTTCATATCGACCTTGGTACAATTCCGGACAATGAGAGCTGAATTATACTTCACCAACTGGTGATACTTCATTGATCTATAATAATCATACTATGAATCCTTACATTATATTACACATTTCCATTTTAATCTAGATCAAGTTTAAATAATCCCCTCATTCCCTCAAGTGTTTCAATCAATGAACTGTCTGTACATAGTATTATTCATTATTGAGGTTGTTGAAGATCAGCTGGATATTCGAAATCAGTATATCACTTGATGATGAAGTCTATCGAATTCGAAGGGGCGTAGATACCCCACAATTTCATTGGGGGAATGAACAGGGATATTATTACTGATGGATCGACACAAATATTGGATGAATTGGTGAGGTGAAATACTAAGTGTGTGATTCGGAGGGTAACAAGATGGTAACAACACATCTATGAGAGTAATTGGGTGAGAGATGAGTATGACCATTAGTTGATTCCGACCGGATATTAGGGGATCAAAATATATTTAAACGATGAAAAATATCCTTCAACTATATATATTCATACTCAATCAAACAATAATAATTAAAAAACTTAAATAATAATAATAATCATGTTAATTAGTATGTATAAATCTGGAAAATAATAAAGATTAATAATATTAACACTTACCTGATTTAGACAATATTTCCAAGATTGGCTCCATCTCATCACTAGGCACCTCAACAAAGAATGGTAGTATTGTTGCAGGTAGTGGAAATGGAATCCAACAACAATCCAACAACAAGACTAGTGTATTTGGTTATTATTTATCCTTTTGCTGGTATACTTGCCAGAGGCGCACTTGATATCGCTGCTGAAGTCAACTAAATCCATCATCCATATTCCAACCAATAATATTTATTATTATCAATCACAATGTATAAATTTATATATCCCAATTGAGGATCAGACCAAATACTAAATATATATATATATATATATTATTATTGTAATGGGGATGTCAAATGAGTAACCAGTGTTGGTCATCTTTATGAGACAATTTACATCCATCACAGGATGGGTTTGCGGGACACTGGTGATCCTGATGAAGATGGATTTTCATGACGTCCATTGTTTGGAAATACTCCAAACATCCATTATGAGGGCATTTGATGATGATAATTTTGATGATGTCCTCTACATCTGCATAATCATCTTCGTCATCATCATCATCATCCACATCATCATCATTATTATCAACACGCTTGTATCTCTGACATGCATCACATGCTTGTCCATCGCAGAGAGGATGTGCAATTTTTGGATGCCCCTTTGAAGTGCTGACCATCATGAACAGGTCGCAAGATGTGTGTGGACACTTGATCAGTCCCTTGGCAAGGAGCATTTTGATTGACTCGGTGTCTTCTGGTGCTGCCCGAAATCTGGTCGTACGATACGCCCACAGGTTTGGACAGCTGGCGTATCTCATCGAGCACAAATGGTCCAGCCGACAGTGGTTGCACAGATACTCGACGGTTGTAAACATTCTGGTGCAGCCCTCATGTCGACAACTGATGTTGTGTGTGGACTGAGGCAAAATGACGTTGGCGGCATTCATGGCAACCGCCAGACGCTGACAGCCCTTGCAGGTGGGGTGATCGTCGCACTTGCGTCCTCGATGGTCCTTCTGATGGTTCAACATGTTAACCATTGTCCTGAACCATTTGTGGCACTTTGTATGAATGCATTTGATCAGTCCATCGTCCTTTATCATCTTGGCTGAGTTGGTGTCCGTTGTCGCCACCTGGAAGAATCTGACGCGATATGCCCGCTGGTTTGGACAGCTTGCATACGTGCGAGTGCACCCATGCACATTTTTGCAATGTACGTGGAGCGCTGTGACTTCCAATGAGCAGTTGTCATGCAGACAACGTTTTTTATCCATCTTTCCACCTCTGCCTTGACCCTCGCCATCCTCGTCTTCCTCCTCCTCATCCTTGCGTCGATCCCTACGCTTGCGCTTCAGTGTTTCGGTTGATTTGGCTGGCTTGTTACCGCGTTGGCAGCCAGGACAGCTGTCTGGATTGGAGCATTCGTGGGCCACACGATAAATATGTGCAGTCTTGCCTTTGTAGGTCGGGAAGTATTGGCCACATTCAGTGTGTGGACACTTGGTGAATCCATTTGCCAACATCATCTTGATTGAGTCGGTGTCGTCGGGTCTGGGCACGAATTCCCTGGTGCTCGCCAAAGGATGGGTCAAGTGTATGCTCTGTGTCGTCCGGCGACGTACTGAATCCACAGATGCGATAGGCTCGAAGGTTGGGACATGACGCGTATGTTACTTTGCAACCATGATCGTATTTGCAATGAACCTTTACCTTGTAAGGATCACAGTATGTAGCTGTGTACCCATTATGAAGACAGTTGTACTTCCTATTAAGACGATGATCAGCCCTGATACTACTCATCCTCTCTGAACTTGGTGATGTGGTGGTCGTTGTGGTGGATGTAGTTAGAGACTCTTCATCATCATCGTTGTCCTCATGTGGTGACTCTGGAGTCACATCGCCAACATCATCGCTGCCGTACTCCTCCTCCTCTTTGCAAATGACATGATGTGGAGGTGCTTGTCTTATTCTTGGGTCTGTGTTCGTGTCATCATCCTCCTCCTCCTCCTGCTCCTTTACTATGATTACTTGTGCTTGTGTCCTCCGCACTCGTTTGGACATGTTATATGTTCCCTCCTTCCCTCCTCTCTTGTCAATGTTATTAACTGTATGAACTAATGAATGAGTGGATGAATGAATGAATGAGTGAGTGGTCCAACTCTGTTGTGTGATGTGCACATAATGTGGGTTGGCCCCTGGATTCGAATCCGGTTAATTTATGGGATGGATGACCATCATTTATTGACATGAAGCTTGAACATTGACCTGAGCTTGGTGTAGTGATTGACGTTGATACGACCAATTAAACGAAGATGATCGAATAGACTGGTGTTATGCTTGAATAGATATTTGGCATCCACTTGACCTGAGGGCTCAATCGATTTGATGTACTCTAGTATTATGTCCCACGTCGACTCGTGCACATGATACAGTTTGTCGGTCCTGTTCTCCACCATCCTCCACACGTCCTGCGCACAGGGCTTGACTTGCTCCAAGAAGTACTTAATAACTTTGTGCTGATTGTTATATATCGCCAACTTGATGTACTTGCACTCGCTGTCCAACTGCGTGCTCAGATATCCATTCTCCACAATGTATCTTATCAGCTCCATGTTGCCATTGATGAACGCTTCGTGCATCAGATCAAACATGAACGTTATCTTTGAGCGATCGGCTATCTTGTTGAACAGCCTGAGGTCGCCAGTCTGTCCACAGGTCGTCCAGGACACGACTGAGAAGGCCTCCTTGCGATTGGCCAAGATGAAGTCCACCACATCGTCCTGCAGGCCAATCACCGCATTGTCCAACGCCTTGTTGGACGTGTAGAAGCAGTCTGGATGCACGCGATGTATCTCCCGGACCGTGTCCAGGAAGCCGTAGTAGCAGGCGCATTGGTACACGCGTGACAGGTCCTCCTCGCCCAGACGACTGCCGCCTGTGAGGTAGTTGGACAACTCGCTGTAGTACTTGGCCACGTTGTAGAGGTAGACCTGGTCCGCGCCACCCGTCAAGATTGACGCGTCAATGAGCAGCAGGTCAAGCATGGCAATGTCATTGTTGTCCAGAACTGTGTTCAAGATGCTCGAGTCGACTGTGATGCGCGCACTTGCCATGTGGTAGCGGACCATCTCGACGCTGCCTCGCTTGATTGCCATTTCCAGCGATCGTTTGTTGAGTGGCACCGCCATCTCATGATGCAGGTACTCGAGGACGGCCAGTGATCCAGCCTTTGACGTCAGGATGTTGTGGCTATTTGAACCCGCGGCAGACTTGTTGGCGCGGGTATCTTGTGGTGCCTGTTGCTGGACCAGCATGAGATGGTCGACCGTGGATGTCTTGCACAGACGCACAAACACCCTGTGTAGGTCATCCTGGAGCTCGCACTCCAGACAGAACTTGACAACATACTGAGTGAATGGGAGTGAGCGACAATGTCGCTTGAACATCCGGTCGATGGCGGTGCTTGGCCTTTTGTCAAGGTAGTTTAGCGACAGTTCCAAGAACACGAGCAACAGCTCCTCCTGCTCGTCGAGACTCGCCAGTCGCGACTTGACCTTGGTCATGCACGTGTCCAATGATACATGTCGACTAGTTTCCGATTCAAGATGACAGTTGACCAAGTACTCGATGGCACGGAGCTGTGCCACCCCCTTGATCGGATGTCTGAAGCAGACATCGAGATAGATCTGAAAGTCCACGAGGTTGGGCTCAATCTTGCCAGACGTCATCAAGTATTGAAGCAGTGGTGGGTCGTTGTCCGCCGCCTGCATTGCATTGAGTAGCATCCTGTATGCCCCGCCAGGGACCACATGTATGCGCTCGAATATCAATCTTATAACAGGGGCGTGCCGTGACTTCAACACAGCGTTGACAATGTTGTCTTGATAGGGCTTGTGATGACGACCGAGTCGATCCAAGAGGAATGTGATCATGGCCAAGAAGTCGGGTGGGGGCTCGACGCGGCCGCCATTGATTGCAACCTGATCCAGCGCCTCAATGATCGATTGTAGAGCAGTGTCCTGGCCGATGGTGGCCGACTTGGAAGTGCGCATTTGTTTATAAAGCTGGACCACGACGTTGAAGCGATGAGCTCGCGCGGCAGCCTCCACAGCGTCCTTGAGCTTGGCGTATAGTGGGCCTTGATGATGTGCCGTCGATCGACTAAACAACTCTATCACTGCTTCTATGCACTCAATCGGTGCATCTTTAGCCATGTATCCAAGTGATAACTCGGTGAATCTTAATGGATCACCTCTTTTCTGTAACTTATACATTAATAATGAGTAATAACCATTTAAACATAACCAATCTACATCGTTGCATTGATGATAACGTCGTGATTTGATTGGTAACACTGGAAAGGAGTGATAAACTGCCAACTTATGTCTTGGTGCCACCATCTTTGCCACTGCATTGCCCAATGCAAACAAGTTGGCCTGTCTAACATATGACAATATATGTCTAAGTATATACTTATTATAAATTACTAATGTCACTGCGTTCGCAACCTTGATTCCATGATCTCCATCATTTGTCTTTGTTGATGATGTTGTTGACATTTATGTGTTTGTGTTGTATTACATGTAGTTGAGTAAGATTAATGAATGAATGAATGAATGAATGAACAATGTTGTTGTGTGATGAAGTGTTGTGTAGTGGTCCTGAAAGGGACTTCTTCAATGAAGTCCAAAGATTGAAGTGTGTGCTGACCTGGTTACCACACTTACATCAAGATCAATCCAAAGGGGGCAAGTCAGATGATCTGATTCGGATCTTGATCATTCAAAGATATATATAAGGTGAGCCAAAGTCTCACAAAATTGATCAATCAATCACTGGAACTATTCCAATCAACCATTCTCGTTCACTATTCACTCAATCAATCACTGGAACCATTCCAATCAATCAATTGATCCATCGATCATTGATATTATAAAGTTGATTTAATATATTGTTTGTAGGGTTTTGTTTATTCATCATCCTCTTCCTCCTCCTCGTCGTCCTCCTCGTCATCATCCTCATCATCATCGTCTTCATCATCTTCGTCATCATCGGAAATATCTGGAAGGTCTTCGTCTCCGCCAATAAATAAACTCTTGTCGATGTTGTTGGCCAAGGGCTCGCTGTCGTCCACGGCAAATTCGCTCGACTGCACATCGATGGCCAGGTCGTCGTCGATAAACAGATCTGGATTATATACAAACATCTCTCTTCCACTCATCGATGTCTTTCCAGCCTTGATATCTGCCGTTCTCTTCTCCTCGGCCTCACGCGCCATCTTGGCCTTCTGCTCAAGCTTGTCCTTCTTCCACTTGGTGAACGTCTCGAGCGTCACGGGCGTTGTGTTGGTGAGCTTGGCGCGCTCCATCTCGATGATCTCCTCCAGGGGGATCTCCTCCTCCTCCTCCTCCTCCTCCTTCTTTGTCTTCTTCTTCTGGAGCACGTATCCGGGGGGCAGACAATGCTGGTACATGCACTTGTCACCGCCGTTGGGACACTCCCAGAACCAGCCGTACTTGCGGTCCTCGATGGCCTCCAGGAAGAACTTGCACACGATCGCCGTCTTTAGGTTCTTGTTCTCTGTTGTACGCTTGTTGTCAATGACCTTCTTGAGCTTGTCGTCGTCCCACGTCTCCATGTTGTCGGCCTTCTTCTCGACCTTCTCGTCGCCACGACGGTCGGTGTAGATATCGAGCTTGGTGTCTCTTCTGGCCACGGCGAGATCGTGAGCAAACTTGCACTTGCTGCCCTTGGCGCATTGCGCGCCCTGCTTGAAGAACTCGCAAACAATGGACTTGGGGTCGACTCCCAATGGTACCTTTGGTTGAACAATCGATGGTCTAAGAATATCTGCCAACTCCTTCTTTGCCTTCTCAGCAAGTTCCTTATCCTTCTTTGCCAATTCAGCCTTGTGATTAACCTGTGTATATCATATCATATTGATTGATTGATTGATTGAGATCAGTCTTCATTGTCATACTTTGATTGATTGAATGAATGAATGAATGATTGATTGGATGAACATCCTGGATGGTCCACTCGCTCATTCAATCATTCATTCGATTCACTTGTGATTGATTGATTGATTGATTGATTCTTACCTTCTTCAAGTTGACATTGTTGCTGACTTGTTGCTCGACATTCTTGACGAATTGTGCAACCTTCTTACTCTTGTTCTTATTCTTCAGACCAAAGGTCTTATCCTCGATCTTTTGTTTCTTCTCCTTCTCGAGTCCCTTTTTGCCTGTTGCTGGCTTTGGTGGCATCTTATTTTGTTTAAAATGCTACTTTTGGTAGAGTACTCTGTATTATGTTGATGGTGATGCCTGTATATATATAATAACAAACAACTTATTTATATATATAATGTACACAACACAGATATAACAAAGGAATGAACAAAGTAATAGTGAATGAGCATTTGAGATTGGTGAGTGTGCCCCTCCCACCACAATGCTGAGATTAGCGATGAAAAACAGAAAAAATTGGTCGTTTTTGTTGTCGACCTCACCATCATGTCTTGGAAGTTCACTCGCTCGTCCAACTTGTCAAGCGACGGAGGTATTTAATGTATAATGGATAATGTCTATCTTCCAGTTGCAATATATGATTACTGGATGTGGATTGATGACCAATACAAGGTCGCGAGATTATTGATTGATTGATTGATCGGCTGACTGACTCGCGAGACTTTGTGCGCCAACAAGAGGAAACAGATGTTAGAGTTGTTGTGACACTTTGGCATTGAATATCCATGATGTGAACAGAACTGATAGGGACGAGATATGTTCAAAGAAGCTTCTTTGGCGTGAGTACTCCATCGGTAGTGATTGAGAGGTTGTCTAATGATCCAATGGTTGCCAACATCTTGAGTACAAACTCATTGAACTCTGGTATTGTGTTACGATAGTGATCCAATCTTTGTATCTTTTGTTGTTCATCTTCAATATCATCAATCTCCATTATAAGTTGACGTAATTCATTATGTCTTGTTGATGTTTGTATATAAGTTGATTGATCCAACATTGCAAACTGTTCATCCGTCACCTTCTTAAAGAATGTACCTTGTTGATGATATTGACTAAGTCCATTATGTTGTTGTTTATCATGTTGTTTATCATGTTGTTGTTGTTGATCTTGTTGTGTGTTTGATTTATCATGTTGTTGCCTCTGAAGTGATTGACAGGTATCTGATTGATTGTGTTTAGTTGAACATGATGATGAACAACTAATGTTTGATTGTTTGATTGATTGATTGGTTGATTGTTAGTCCACTGCCTTCTTGACATCAATCAATCAATTGACTATACATACTACTTGGTCACTTTACATCTTGGACATGTGTATGTTGCTGGACCTTCATTACACACAGTACATCTTAATGTTGGTGTGTTGCTCATTGATTGAATGAATGAGTGAGGGTCGAGGGTTGTTAAGTTGAGTGAGTCTTGTGATGATAGGTGTCTAAGTTTAGAAGCAATATCTCTTTGTTCGTTCGATTTCTTTTGCCCAGGGAATAAACAATCAAACAAATATGTCGTGTCGATCAGTGATATAATGGGGGTTGGGATTGGAGGTCTGGTTCCCAATGTCTCTATCTGTATTACCTATTTAAGGTTTAGATGATGGCATTCAAACTAAAGTGTTGTGTTGTCTAAGTGAGATATCTCTATCAAAGTCGTATCTAGTGTATCTAAGTTGGTGCATCATCAAGAGGGGTAATGTCGTCTACTTGGCCCCCATTGTTGAGCTGAATGAGCCGAATCTAAAGTCCGAGTCCATTTCAAGTGACCAGAGTGTGGTTGGGGGATGAAGTGTTGTAAGCATAGGGGTATGTTGGTCTTTGCTAATCTACCCCCTTCCTGTCTGCCCCCTAAGTGTTTGCATTCATTAATCCAAGCAACAATTGAACTTGTACAACTTGTTACTTAAGTGTTGGTTATAAAGTGTTGACATTGTCTTATTTATATAACTTTAGTAATACACATATATATATATATTCATATTATATATACTTATAATAATAATAACAATATAAAATGAGTCAAATCATTAAATATACCAATGAGGCATTGGACAAATACCAGCCATCAACTATCGTCGCTGCCACTGCTGCAGTCACAGCCGCATCCCTACTTGTCTTTACAACTGTTAGTGATAGAGGTACATATACATATATGATTGATTGAATAGAATGAATGAATGAATGAATGAACTAATCAAACATAATCAAAGACTTCCAACAGAATATAAAGAGAAAGTTATTCTCTGCAGTAAAGAATGTACCAGCTGTAAAGAAGGAGATTAAGAAGCAGAGAGCAAAGGTTAAGGAGGATTTGAAACAATCGTTCGAGACTGATACTAGTAACCCTCACTTTACTCTGCCAGAGAGTGGAGTTGATCATAGTGTGATCTTGCATCAGATGAGTCAGTTGATGACCAAGGACGAGGAGAAGTGGAGCAACAGCAAGGTCAGTGGCTGTGTGTATCTGGGCGAGCGCGAGCACACCGAGCTGCTCAACCAGGCCTACTCGATGTTCTCGCTGTCCAACCCGCTGCATCCCGGCGTCTTCCCCAGCATCAGAAAGTTCGAGACAGAGGTCATCGCCATGGTCGCCAACATGGTGAACGCTCACCCCAAGGTCGTCGGCGCCATGACCAGCGGTGGCACGGAGAGCATCTTCATGGCCGTCAAGGCCTACCGCGACTTCTACAAGGACAGGATTTCGCGACCAGAGATCGTCGTGCCTGTCACCATCCACGCCGCCTTTGACAAGGCCTGCGGCTACTTGAACATCAAGATCGTGCACATCCCACTGGACAAGGATTACAAGGTCGACACCAAGGAGATGCGCAAGGCCATCAACAAGAACACCATCATGATCGCCGGTTCGGCCGTCAACTTCCCACACGGAATCATCGATGACATCCCCGAGCTGTCCAAGATTGCCAAGGAGCACAACATTGGTCTTCACGTCGACGGCTGTCTCGGTGGTTTCGTGCTGCCCTTTGCCGAGGAACTCGGCTACGACATCCCCGTGTTTGACTTCCGTCTGGACGGTGTCACATCCATGTCGATCGACACCCACAAGTACGGCTACGCCTCCAAGGGCACTTCGGTCGTGCTGTTTGGCAACTCTAAGCTCAGACGCGCAATGTACTTCACCGTCGCCAACTGGCCCGGCGGTATCTACGCCTCGCCAACCATGCCAGGCAGCAGACCAGGCGGTCTGGTCGCTGCCTGCTGGGCATCGCTCGTCGCACAAGGTCGCGGTGGCTTCAGATCCAAGATCAAGCTGGTCATGGAAACCACCAAGAGGATCATCACTGGCCTGCAAGCCATCCCCGAGATCACAATCATTGGCACACCCAAGGCCATGGTCATCGCCTTCACCGCACAGAACATCTTCTACATCAACGACCTTATGTCCAAGAAGGGCTGGCATTTGAACGCCCTGCAGCTGCCCAGCTGTCTGCATCTGTGCGTCACTGCCAAGCACATTGGCATCGACGAGGTGTTCATTCAGGACCTCAAGGAATCAATTGCCGAGCTCAAGTCAATGGACAAGTTGCCAACAGACGGCAAGGCACCAATCTACGGAACAGCTGCATCCATTCCAGACAGAGACATGGTTGGCACTTTGTTGGCCGACTTTATCGATGTACTTATTACACCAGATCAGAAGCCAGCTGTTGCTGCCGCCGCCGCTTCAGTGGCCGCAGTTCAAGAGCAACAACCAGCACAAGAGCAACAACCAGCCACTCAACAACAGCAATAAGCGAGAGACTAATACATGAGTATAGCGCGAACATACACATAGTTTAGAAGGTAGTCACATGTACACAAATAAACTACCTCAACCAGGCAGAGGTGTCATCGGACATCTTCTTCATACCCGACATCATCACTATTATCATCATCATCAACTACTATCTTTGCGGCAATATAATTACACACTACCATCTAAAAAGCCGGCTGTTCAAATCAATCAACCCCGAACAACATCAACACTGTAAGTAAGATCATAATCACACTAATAGTATTTAGAATAGAACAAGGAGAAGTAGGTGAAGTGGAGTGGTACTTTGTTTCCCACACTCTGTGAGTTGGAGCCTGCAAAGGAAGCCCACCCCAAGACCACTTACCCCCACGCCCGACACTGAGAAGTATCTTGATCAAAACAAACAAACACACACACATCTTGTGGGCCAATCTGCCGACAAAATTTCACACACACACTAATCGGATCACTGATTTGCTGTTTGAGTAGTCTGGTGTTCTATTACACTCATAGATCATTCATTCATTCATACATTAATAATAATAATATTATCAAACAGATAAATATATATATATATACACACACAATCAATCAGAAATGAAGACGACATTTTTGATCGTGTGTTTGGCAATAATGATTGCTGGATCGATCGCCAGTAATGTTTTGAAGAATACGGTTGAGAACACTGATGATGTCGCAACAACAACACGTGTGGCCAGCCCAGAGCTGTGCATGTGTGAGGACAACGCAGCCAAGTGTGGCCATGCCATGGACTCAAGTGTCTGCTTTGGCCTGTTCAGCCACCACCTCTACCAGTGCGTGACCAAGGGACATCGTCCAGTTGCCAGATACGAGTGCGAGCACGGCTGCCAGACCTACGCTGGCTCTGACGACGCATGCATCCCCAAGGACACCTCGTGCACATGCCCAGACACCGCCGACCACTGTGGCGCCTACCTCATGACCCAGTCGGGCAAGAACTGCAGCGAGCTGGACCCAACCGCCATTTACCAGTGCTCTGGCGCAGGCCGCTACCCCGCCTGGAGGTGGCAATGCAAGAACGGCTGCACACAGAACGGCGTTGGCAAGAACGACACATGCGACAAGGGTGAGCCCAACGTCGTCGGTCTGACCAAGATCAAGCACATCGTCATATTCATGCAGGAGAACCGTGCTTTCGATAACTACTACGGCACAAAGGCTGGTGTTGCCAACTTTGCCGACCCCAACGTGGCCGTGATGGAGAACGGCAACCCAATCTGGTACCAGCCGGACAAGAACTCGCCAGACACACACAACGGCCAAAAGTACGCCCTGCCCTTCCAGATCCACGGACCAAAGGCCGGCTGCACTTCCGGAGGTACCAACGCCTGGGAGCAGAATCACGCCGCCTGGAACCACAGCCATGTCAACAACTGGCCACAAGGAAACAGTGTCGCCGCCATGGGTTACCTCACCCGCCCCAACCTTCCATTCTACTTTGAGTTGGCCGACCAGTTCTCGATCGCCGACATGTACTTTGAGTCGGTGATGACCTCGACCAACCCCAACCGTATAGTGTTGTGGAGTGGCACCATTGACGCACGTGGCGAGACCATCCGTGGCCCAGTCACCGACAACCAAGAGTTCCCCTTCCTGCACTGGGAGACCTACCCCGAGATCTTGGAGCGCGCTGGCATCTCATGGCAGGTGTACCAGGGCGAGGACAACTTTGACGACAACGCCCTCCACTGGTTCGAGCAATACAGACTGGCACTCCCAGAGTCCAAGCTGCGCAAGAAGGGTACCTCCTTCCTGGGCCTTGAGAAGTTCTACGAGGACGCCCTCAACGGCAACCTTCCCGCAGTCTCCTGGGTCGTTGGTCCAACTCAATTGAGTGAACATCCAGACAACGGTCCAATGGCTGGCCAGTGGCTCACCCAACAGGTTGTCAACGCCGTGAAGAACTCTTCAGCCTTTGACAGCACCGTCCTCATCGTCAATTACGACGAGTCAGGTGGGTTCTTTGACCACGTTGTTCCTCCCATCTCTCCAGTCGGCACCATCGACGAGTGGACTGTTTCCGACTTTATCAAGGACGAGCTCAATCCAGTCGGACCAGGCTTCCGTGTGCCAGCATTTGTCATCTCACCATGGTCCACTGGCGGTGTTGTCTTCACCGAGCCAACTGATCACACATCAACTATCCAGTTCATCGAGCAATGGTATGTCATGTCACCATGCCACCACCATCATCATCATTATCATCATCCAGACCAGTCCACTAACACACTTACTCCCCCACCCACTCAATCAAATCAATCAAATCGATGATACACAGGGCTATTGCCAATGGATACAACCCAAGCGAGGTGATGAGCCCTTTGATCTCATCATACCGCCGCAACACAATGTCCGACTTTACTCACGCTTTGGACTTCTCTGTGACCAACACCAGTGTTCCAGACACTGCACCAATGCCCATGCCATCACAGGGCCCCAACGGCGCCTGGAACCCAACGACCGAGTGTGAGGCCCTCCCAGGCAACTACACCACCGTCCCATACGGCAACCAGTCATTCCCAATCGTCGAGCAAGGTTTCCTCAAGGTGCGTGGAAACAACCCAGGCATTGGCAGAACCTACGTCTTTGAGCTGGTTGGCAGCGGCATGGCTATGCAAGCCGACGTCGCCGACAACATGACCATCGTTGCCCAGCCATCAGTGGCCAAGGACATCACCCTCCAGCAGTTTATCATGCGCGTCAGCGCCTCCAACTATGGCTACAACATTGTGTCCTCCGATGGACTCTGTCTGTCTGGCGCCGGCAAGCTGATGGACTGCGAGCATGGCGACAACTGGTTGGTACAGGATATGATGAATGGTGAGGGTTATGCCTTCTTCAACATCCCAACCAGCCAATACCTCTACTTCAACTCTTTGGCAATGTCATTCGATCTCACTGCCCAGATCACAACCACCTGGACTTTGTACTCTGTCGTGCCAAACAACTATTAATCCAATCGATTCGAATCGAATAAATAATTAATTCCCCGACCTGTCTGGTTGGCCGGTCAACCCACCCTTAATGGTTCGATCGATAGTGTTCCAGGAATACATCACTGGAACAATAATAAATATTATTTTATTAACCTCCTACTGTTCTACCAAATCGTACTTTTCATTAACTTTTTGGAAGTTAGATCTGTTGATGAAGTAGTTCTTTGTCTTGTCAAGGAAAAACTTAGAGAATAATTCGATGGCATCAAGTAGACTTGTACATTGAACTAAATGTGTTTGACCGACTAATTGACCTCGTCCCCATCGTGTCCAGACATAATACATGTTGTCACTATCCACCAACAATTGGACTATGTAGAACTTGAACATGTCAATCACTCCAGATTCCATTCTTAGTGTAGCATTGTAGTATAATGTTCCATCATTATAAATATGTACCTATAACAAAAGTTCAAAGTTAGGTTACCTTTGTTTGATTGTTTGATTGATTGAATGAATACATATACATACAGGCTTTGTAGAAGTGAAATTGATATCAACTTGGTCTCCAATGTAAATATTATTGGTCTTTGGAACTGGTTGTTGGAGCATTGGAGTATCAATTGTTAAAGGTTTAGGTTGAAGATCTTCATCCTCAGCCCTATTGAGGCATGAAGTAGCTCTTGCTGAAGCCTTTTTGCGTCCAACTGAAGTTGGAAGAGGGATACTTTGAACAGGATTTGTAATATCTCTCCTTCTTCTATTGAGTTCTTCTTGTAATGTTTGAATATGTAATTCAATTGTTGATGTTGACATATGAGCCAAACTAATATCCATTGTAATACATCTTTGTTCACTTGTTTGAGGTAGTATTGAAGATGTAAATAAGGATTGATCCAAGGGAGTAGACTTCCTTTGCGGAGTGAATGATTGAATCAAGTTGTAGGCAATACCATGAGGGAATCCAAGTGATACCAGACCATCAACATTCTGACCTTCAATGTATGCAACATCAATGAACTCTCTATCAATGATATCCATCACTGGATGAAACAAAGGGACATTCAATTGACAAGTATGTAAATGATTCTTGATAATCTCCATGATGATATGTATTTGTTTGATTGAATGAATAAATAAACATCTGTTTGTTGTCGACATGAAATATAACATTGTTGTTGCCAACTTGTTGGGGCATTCCAAGAATATCTTCCAAGAAGAGATATGGTTGTCAACAAGACATGGACACGAGCCAATTGAAGGAATGGTATTAATGTACCGTGCAGGGTTTATTAAATAATAAGGAGATGTATGTAACAGGGATGGATGGATTGATTGATTGGGAATAAATAAATATATAAGTAACCGGTCGAGACGGACGATTGGTTGATTGGATTGGTTGATTGGTTGTGATTGAAACGGGGATGTTACACTGCTGCTACTACTCTTGGGGAGGAATGAAGACTGGGGAGGAGAGGGGCGAAGTGTAAGTGGAAGTGGAAGTGGAAGTGGAATTGTACGCCAATGGACTTGACTTACTTGATGGCAAGGCTGAGATTTGATTGATTGATTGATTGATTGTGATGGATGGATGGGGAGGATGGGAGGGAGGTACACACTCATCATTGGTGTTTGTCGACACCAAAGCTTGGATGGGAGTTGGATGACTGTTGACCGAGATAGACTGGGTGGGGCTGGTTCCAGGGCATGCTGGGCATGTGGCCCGGGTGGTCCAGATGCTGGTGGTTGAACTGGGGTGGCCAGCCTTGAGGAGCGTTGAACTCGATGTTGTCGGTTGGCAGGGGAATCGATGGCAGCAAAGATGATGGTGATGTTGATCTCTTGGCGACGATCGAGTTCCTGTTGACTCCGCTACCACTACTACTGCCACTGCTGTTGTTGCTGTTGCTGTTACTGCTGCTGCTTGGTGACTTGCTCTTCTTGACTGAGACGTGTTCGCCGGACGCGGAGGAGGAGCTGGGGCTCGAGTGCGACACACCATCGGGGTGGCCAGTGCCGCCCATGGTGGGCGAGTAGGGACTGCGTCTGTTGCTGTTCTGGCGGTTGAGCGCGTTGATGTTGTGCTTGCCATTGTTGTGAGCGTAAAAGTCGACAGAGCGGCCCTCAAAGGTGTTGCCTTCCTTGGACTGGGCGGCCACAACAACGCACAGCCTCTTGGACAGACGCGCCAGCTTCAGCTCAAACTCGAGCGCAGACTGGGGCGATTGGCCGATCGATGGGTATCTATATACACGCACGGACTCGACCGAGAGGCCCTGGGGGTCGGGTGGTGGCAGCTGGGTGGTGTGTCCGGGCGGAAGCACAGGTGAAGGATTCTGTGAAGGCGGCGTGACCGATATGGACACAGAGTATGGTGAAATGGCAGATGATGGTGGCGATATCAATGGCAGCACGTTGCTTTGCATTGGTGACTGCGTTGGCGACTGGGCCGGCGAGGAGAGGGAGAACGACGAGGGTGAGGGTGAAGAGGTGAGACCTTGGATAGTGTGTACAGATGAGTTGTTGGATGTGGTAGTGGGCGAGGGCGACGATGCCGAGGCAGAGGTGGGACCGCCACCAGTAGTAGAGGACGATGTGGACGAGGAGCCGGCCGTCTGTGAGGTGGAGGTAGTGGACGATGTTGGTGAGCCGGGCGTGCCGCCAGAGGCAGAAGCCGAAGCTGAGGCCTTCTTGGCCGTCTGGAGGTCCAGGAGTGCGACCTGAAGGCCGACCTTGGTCAGCTCCTGCTCGCTATGTACAATCATTTTGATTCTCTTGCCCTTGCCCTCGGTGACACGGATCTGGTCCGACACGTTGATGGGCACCCAAGTACCCTTGGAGCCGCGTGGCTTGTGGTAGAGATCGATCTTGATGGAGCCCTCGATGCCCATGCTCTGGTAGTTGGCGGGGAGGAACGATGGCGACAACGAGGGGTAGTGGTGAAGCTGGGGCAGCTTGTCGTGGTGCACGCCTGGCAGCAAGTCGTGCTGGGGTGTCGAGTCGTGTTGGTAGTAGTACTGCTCGCCCGCCTGCTGCTGTGGCGATGGGAAGAAGATTGGTGCGCCTGGCACGCCAAACTGATTGAACGTGCGCTGAGGCCATTGAGGCGAGGCCGTCAGCTGACGCGCAGGGTTCATTGAGTTGGGGCCTGCGCCATCCAGAGCGCCGGGGAACGCGCTGAGGGTCTGAGGGAGGTTGCGTTGATTAAAATACACTCCGGCCATTTGATGTTGCTGGTGCTGGAGGTGCGATGAAGCCTGGTCGGGATGCGGGAGACCGGGGTGGTGCGTCGACGATGTGCTGGAAGTCGAGGTGATTGGATGTGTGTCGTCGCTGGAGATGCTGTCCGAACTGGATGATATGCGGGAGTAATATGGCTCGCTACGGGAGTAGTGCTCAATATTGGCCTGCTGGTGTTGTTGCTGCTGTTGCTGTTGCTGCTGCTGCTGCTGCTGCTGCTGCTGCTGCTGCTGCTGCTGTTGATGTAGGTCTTGGTACTTGTTCATAAATACGTGGTTATCATGGAGAGGCGAAGCGAGCGGTGAAGATGGAGAGCTTGGCACAATGTGGTAGTTGTTGTTGTTGTTGTTGTTGTTGAATGAGTGATGGTGATGTTGTTGTTGTTGCTGGTGATGATGTTGTTGCTGGTGTTGATGATGATGCTCAGACTTGAAGAAGAGGGTCTGTTGAGGCTTGCCTGCTGCTGCGGATTGTCTGATGTGATTGTTGAGTGATTGAAGGTGATGATGGTGATGGTACGTTCCATTAGTATTTGATTGATTGGCGTTGCCACCAATTAGTGGCGGTGGCAAAAGGACTGCATTGTTGTTGCTGCTGTGGTGGAGGTTGTTGGCAGAGCCGCCATGGTGATGATTAAAGTGGCCTCGACTGATGTTCATTGTTTCAAGAGTCTCGGATATGTGTGATTTACAAATACAACAGTGATAAATGTGAGTGAATGAGTGTGATGTGGGGGTGATCAAAGTCGGGTTTGATTGGTGTGGGGTGTGCGATCAATGGGGTGATCAAGCGCGGGAAAGGGGTGGGTGGGTGATCTTAGAATACAAGTTATAATTAATGGGATTACTGTCAAATAATAATAATAATAATAAATTAAATAAATAATAAATAAATAGAGAGAGATAATAATAAATAATAATTAAATAATAAATATAATAAATAATAAATAAATAAATAATAAATAGGGTGATTGATGGATATTCTTTTTGGGTGCGTGGATGGATATGTTTGGTCGATCGTCTGTAAAGTGATCCTATATCATTTTGTTTCACAAGCCTAATGTCGTTGTTGTGTCTCTTTGGCAATCAATCCTTTGGTTGGTTGGACAAAGCAAAGAAGGGGTTTTGAAGGCAAGGTTGGGGCAATGCAAGGCAAGGCAAAGATGATATTATATCCTTTGGGATAACTATTATACAAATTTCCAAATAATCACTCCACTCCCTTAATATTATTATTGTTGTTGTTGATGATGTTGATGGATGTTGTTGGCTGATGTTGGGAAATGGGTAGTTTGTTGTTGTGATAATGGGACCGGATGGAATGTTGTTGTGGACTTGGGGATTTTTGTTTTGGATAATTGTAGTTTCCAAAGTGACTGTAGCTGGTTGGCTTGCTTGCTTGCTTAAGAGCAAAGTATGATAAGAAATACAAAACACAATAAACAACAACAAACAACAAGAACAAGAATAAGAAGATAGTACAACAGGATGATGATTGTTGGATGTTGGATGATGGATGGATGCTAGCATCACCAGCATAGCAGCGCAGTAGCAGTGATCAATCACCATTCAAGTTTGACTTCACACTCCCTCTCACCCACTCACCCATTGGATATACATGTACACGCCCGAGCGTGATGGTGATGGTAACCAAAGGGGGCGGGCTGGCGGGCGGGGTTGTTGTTGATGATGGATAAGAGATGGATTGATTGATTGATGGGATGGATTGATTGATTGATTGTATAAGTGTTGTCGCGCTCCCAATGAATGGGGGAGGGGTTGATGATATCATCCATAAAGAGAGGGAAGTCGACGATGGCAGAGTGAGAGCGAGAGAGGTGTTCGAAAGCAGAGATGCTGATATGGAAGTCAAAGCAAAAGCATCAACAACATAACATTGATTACGATCAGCCAATTCTGTGTGGATGACTGGCTGACTGACTGACTACCAATGGCGGTAGTCCACCTTTGTCAAGTGATCTCAAGTGTTATAACACATATATATGTGTGTTTGTGATGTGATGGATGTGTGTGATGGGTGTGATGGAGTGATTTAGTGAGTGTGATGAAGTGCTGGATGGGGGGGTGATGTCTATTCGTTTTCCAAAAGAAGCAACAATCACATACACCCATCCATCACCGGTGTCAGTGTGTGGGTACCACCCCTTCGATTGATATGGATAGACGTGTGAAGATGGTGGTAGATTGATTGGGAGTGGGTTGGTTGGGTGATGATCAACATGATGATCAAGTTGCCTTTTCCTGTTGTTTCTGCTTAATATTTGTTGCTGTTGTTGCTGCTGCTGCTGCTGTTGTTATTGCTTATTGCTACTGCTAATGAATGATGATGGTGATGACCTCGCACATTCACAATCACTCGACTGCTATCTTCTATCTCTCTCTCTTTATAACATATACATATATAACATTAACACACTCACTATCTCTATCACTATCACTCACTATAATAATAATTAATTAAAGGGTTATATGTATATATGGTCGATGGATGGATTGATGGATGGATTTGGCAAGTGTGTAGGCATGTGAGTTGACATTAGGCGAAGCGTTTGCCAAACAAACACACACTAATAAACCTAAATTGAACCACCGACTTGTCGGCTGGCGATAGTGGTTGGTGGTGTGGCTGATGGAGATGGAGGTATTGATGATGGAATGGATGGGATGGGATGGATGGACTGAGAGTGATCGGCTTTGTGTGTGTGATTCCTTTTCTTACCTTTTATAAATATATCGTTTCCTGGTAGGAGGAAGTACCTAAGAAGGGAAACACAGAGAGAGAGAGAGTGTTGGTTGTGATGACGTGTTAGTTCCTGTTCTTATTCTTATTCCAATTCCTTGATGCTACTATTGCTGCTGTTATTGTTGTTGTTGTTGATTCTATTATTATTATTGCTCCAGCTGAATAAACTTTAACTAAGGGTATGTCAAGGGTATGTAGAGAACTAATGTAAGTATGATGGTGATGATCTTTGACATTTGGTCAAGGAATGATGATGGGCACGGCGTGCCGCGGGTAATTAACCAAGGGCTTATCCCACCCCCACACCTCCAAACTCATCAATCAATCAATCACAATGAGTTTGCGAACAGGGGGGTTGATTGGGCATGCCTGGGACCATGACTAGTGTTTGGGTCCTTACCTGTATGCTGGCTGGGAATTGATAAAGTCCACTGATCATACAAATAAATATATGTCTATCTGTATCTCTTTTTGTATCTGTAATGGTGTAACGGTTAGAGTAAACAATTGGGCCTGCGAGAATGAGTGTGTGTGTAGTATTTGGTTGTTGGAGATGTTGACTGTTGGATGTTGTTTGTTGTTGGGTTGTTTTGGTTGCCTGGAGTTGAGTTGAGTTGAGTTGTTGTTTGTGGAGAGATAGATAGATAGATTAGGAAGGGTATTAGAGTATTGGTTGATGTGTGTTTATTGGAGACACGAGGAAAGAAGAGAGAGTGAGAGAGAGAGATTGAGAGAACAGTGAGAGTGGCCATGATTGGGCCTTTGCCTAGACATTAATCATCCGCCACAGACACACCCACCATCATTGAGAGCAATCATACACGCGGAAACACACAATTTTACACTGAACTTATCAATAAAATAAAAACAAATCAACAATCAATAATATCTTCAGACTTGGGAATGGGACAGGCGCGACCGGATGCAATGATGAGGGGGTAAGTGGGTGTGTGCCTCCCAACCACGCCCATCCAATCAAATCATCTGATTGCGTGGTGAATGGGTCAACATTAAGTGTGGGTGGTTCTGCTCGACAGACGGTCGTCGGATTGGTGGGGGTTGTGTTGGCAGGGCTCGAAAGAACATATTATTGATCAATAATATCCGAAGAAAGGTTGATCACTCTTCATACAACCTTCGAGTGGTAATCAATCAGATCGAATGTTCATGAATGAATGATGGACAGACGTCTGTCTCCAACAGCTATGAGCGGGGGATGATCAGTGAGTGTTTGAAAACAGTGAGCAGAGTGGGGGGTAATGAATGACCATCAGATTCTGATTGGATTGATTGATCATATGATCATTTGTTGTTGTTCATTCAATCAATCAATGTCCATGTACATTGCGCCAGTGTCCATAGTACTCTTTCCAAAGGCCAAGACTCATAGTGTCGATAGACAAGATATCTTCTTGATTGTTGACTTGGTATTGAGCATTGCGATAATGTGTCGTGTGTTGGTTCAGGTAGCTCCAGAGACTGGGTGTGCGACTGCGCAGGTCATTGTTGACGCGCTCAGCCTCGCTGTCAAACAGGAACGTGCCAAAGCGACAGGAGTATAGGTGGTGCACAATGTCCTGCAGATACTGCGTGTTGAACTCGAACTTGCTGGCGTGCTGGCGCATCACCTGGTAGACGCAGTCGATGAACTGCACAAAGACGGGCGCATGCTCGATGGTGTGCTCATCGCGCGAGCCATGACCAATTCGCGACTCAAACTTGTGGCCAAACGACAGCCACTCCTTCTCGATCAGGCGCTGGAAGCCCAGGATCGTGCGGTACTTGGCGTCCAGGATCAGCTCGGCCAGCGCGCACAGCTGGCTGGTGCGGTCCCAGCCGTCCGAGCAGTGGACAATCACCGACGACTTGTAGAAGCGGATCGTGTCGACAATCTCCACGACGCCAGAGAGGATGGCGCGGATGTGGCCCAACCACAGCTCGGTGGCCTTAGCCATCTTGGCCTGCTGGCGCTCGGGTTCGCGCTCAAACATCACCGCCTTGGATAACTTGGTCTGCGCGTCACGCATCTTGTGGATGTTCTCGATGCCCAGGAACTTGAGGATCACGTTGTTGTACGTGCCCTTGGTCGAGCCTTCGTAGCCCATGCCCATGACCTGGTTGGCGACGGCGTTGATCTGTGGTCGCGCGTCCAAGATGTACACCTTCTCCGACAGAAGGTTGGCCAGACGCACGCACTCCACCAGCTTCTCGTCCTCAAAGCATCGCTTGCCAGTCACACCAATCACTGGCTGTGAACAACGTATGATCACAGGATGGTCTTTGGCACTCTTCCAGACCACTGCCGGTATGCGACCCTTTGATCTAAATGATGCTATGTTGATCAGTTCCAGATCAGTGATCTTCTTGGGCACGACCAATGATGCTGGATAAGTTGGCGAGTAATAATAATCATTGTTGAAGTCTGATATCCTCCAGCTCTCATTCGGTATTCCCATGCGCTTGTACTCCTCTATCGGGTTATATACATCCCATCCCATACCTATCAGTGGCTCTGTATCCAGTGATTGATTGATTGATTGATTGATCGAGTGTTAGTGTCGTTGTCCACAGGCCATGCGAGGACCATCCAGATGGTCTATGATTGGACACATACCAGTGTTGCCAAAGCAATAAAGTTTGGGATACTCCAGGAATATGAGGTTCTCGAATATCTCGTATAGTCTGGCGTTAGCCTTCTGTTGCGTTGATCCAGGTCTATGTGTGTTTGAGAGGTTGGTTAGTCCATGAATTGACTGGTATGATTCCAGACAGGACAGGACACTTACAGATGCATGAATCGTACTCGATGGAAGTCCTTGCAGCGTATCTCAAACGCGTAGTATTTGAGGTTGTCCGGCGTGAAGCCTGTGCACTTGACAATGCCCTTGATGCTGCCGAGAACGACAGAGACGCCGTCCAACTCACACTTCTTGGATTGCTTGTTGCCAGTGTAGTAGGGTGTGAAGTGCAGACGGTAGTTGGTCAGAGTTATCCTGCCAATAGTTCCAGAGTTCTCGTGCATGTGAATGATGCTTTCGCTAATATATACAATCTCCTCGCTGCCCATCAGAGCAAAGTCGCCCAACTTCTGTTTGTTTCTATCTGCCAGCACCTTGGCCTGCTGGCTGGAGCTGAGTGATGAAGACAAGCTGGCCGATGATGACGCGGCCACATTACTACTCTTTGGATTGATCCTTGATAGTGAGAGGAATCTCCTCTTACTCATCGTCGTCGGTGTAATTGGTGTAGGTGCAGTTGATGTTGGTGTCGTGGTGGAAGTTGTGGAGGTTGGGGTTTGTGTTGGTGCGGGCTCATCCAAGTCCACTTGATGTTGTTGTTTCTGTTGCTGTTGTTCCTTGATCTGAAGCTTGATGTGCTCTGGAGATAGTACAGTCTTGTACGATAGTGTTGCCTCCAATAGATTGATCGTCTCCTTGTTCAGTTTGTTCTTCTCAGTCTTGAATTGATTGATTGATTGAGTGAGTGGAATAGTTCCAGCCAAGGTCGAATGGGAGGGATATACTTACACCTTTGTTGGTGGATGAGTGATCGACTTGCCATTCTTGATCATTGATGCATACGCGGAAGCTGTTGGCCAACTCCTTTTGGAGGACCATGTTGGCGGCTAGGGACTTCTTGACACTTAGTGTGGATGTGCCAGATGCATTGAGCTTGGGCGCGAAGCTACGACCAAGTGACATGGTTGGAGCAGGTGGTGGGTTTGGTATATTTACAATGGACGACATTGATGTGTTGTTGTTGTTGTCCGTGGTGCTGTTGTTGGCTGTAATGCTGCCTGGCAAGGGGATGATGCTCTCCTTGTTGATGGTCTCCAGCCATTGGTTCAATTTGAACTCGGACTCGGAGCAGAGATAGTATCGCTCGACATTGTTGTTGATCATTTCGTCGTCGTCTGGTCGAGCACTGGCGCAAGAGAATGGCGATGCCGAGGGCACAGCCATGGGGTGATGAGCGCCAGCCGAAGTCTTGCGGGACATGACGTCAGGCCCATCAATCTGAACTTCAATGCACAGTTTGTCCAATGTATGCACAATCTTGGCGCGACAGTCGCGTAAGGGGATCACACCCTTGGCCTCGGCATACTGATCACGTGTCCTCCAATAGAACAGATTGGAGTTCATCGCCGCAAAGTACATCTTGGTCCACTGACGCACCTTCCTGTTGGAGATGGGCTTGGCACGCTGTATCAGCAGGTAGAGATAGCCTTCGCGTGATGGGTTGGCCAACGTCTTGAGCGACGGAGAGAAGTTGGGGTCGAGGAACACCTTGAGGTTGCGTGACTGCTTGGCCTGCACTGACTGGCAGATCTCGGTGAGGAACGCCTGCAGACACTCCATGCGATGCTTGATGAATGCTTCGTCCATGTTGCCAATGTACTTCTTGGAGGGGAAGTCCACAGCCGACAGCGACGGCACCTCTGTCTGGATCTTGAGAGCGAACGCGCGGAAGTGTTTGTAGCGTCGCACGATGCTCCATACCAAGTCATCGCTGCGCACATTGATCACGTATACCGTGTATGACTTCTTGGCCGTCTGGACCGTCTCGCTGGACTCGATGGTCAGCGAGAAGTCGGACTTCTTGTCGATGGGCACTAGCAATGAGTTGGAGTAGTGCGATGGGCTGACGAAACGCTTCGAGCTTGCCAGGCCACCACAAGTTAACGTGCCTGTGAACACACCCTGTGGCTTCTGCTGCAGAGGAGCATCCTTCTCAGACATGAGCTTGGCCGCCTCAATGCTACCCATTGTCCATGCACGATTGATCAGACTCGACTTTGGTATCTTTGATCGATCGGATATATTACGTTCTGTTACTGCCTTGCCATTGTCATTGTTGGTGTCATTGTTGTTGTTGTTGTCGTTGATTAATTGATCTAGTAGCAGTGGTGAGGAGTCTTGTGCAGTACCACCATTGAGTGATGGGGACGATGGTCCAGACTTGGGTGTGGTGGGCGGGTTGCCAGTGGCAGCCTCGGCGTCAGGTTGGGTCACCACTTCCAAACCATCCAAGTGTGGCGGAGCAGTAGCGCCATTTGTGTTGGCGCCGCCATGATTACTGCTGTAGCCACTATGTTGTGTGGACGATGATGTTGATGATGGTGGCGGAGTAAATTGATCGATTGATTGCCTCAATTGAATTGCGGTGCGTACGGCAAACCCTATCTCCACCTCACGCTCTCCATTACCATGATAATGGTGATGAGGATGTAGATGAGGAGTTGACTCTGCGATAGTATTACTCCTTGGCTTAAACATCGAAGTTGTTGTTATGACCAATGGCTCATTCTTGAATGACAAATGAAGATGAGACTGAAGCTTATGTTGAGGTTGGGGCAAAGGCATGATCTCGTTGACATCCATAGTGTGTTCAGTTGATTGATTGAGTGTATCTTGGACAGCCACAATGTCTTGTTGAGTCTGCCCAAGTCCAAGCTCAAGCTCAAGCTCAAGCTCAAGCTCAAGCACACGACCACATGGTGGACTATCCATCTGCTGTAGTTCGCTCTGTTTCCGATCGGCATCCAATTGAAGTTGTTGCATGTGTTGTTGTTGTTGATGTACAGATGTGTGCAACTCTTCAAAGGACATTGAGAATGGTAGGTTCTCAAGTCTGTTCATATACTTGGCGTCATTATAATCGAGTGAAGTAGATGATACCTCTGAAGTCGAGGTCAGAGTCAACGATGATTTCCTCTGTTGTTGTAATTGTTGTAATTGTTGTTTGTTATTAATCTTTTGTTGTTGGAGTTGTTGAAGTTGTTGTAGTTGGGGTGGTAGTTGAGGTGGTAGTTGCGGACCATCATCCTCACTACCAACAGTCATTGTAGCCGTGTCTACACTATTTGGTAAACTTGAAGTGTCCGCCGTCAACATTGGGAATGGCATATACAATGAGTGATCGATTGATTCACAACTATAATCATCGTCATCATTGGACTCACTTGGGTCCATCATTGTAATCTATATCTATATCTATGTACTGTAAATGTATCTGTATCTGTATCTGTATGAATGTATGTGTACAAAGAGGTAGTGGAGGGTAGTTGTAGTCCAATGAGTTGGTAATGGTGGCCCTACATTGAGTCCATCTGATTCAATCATACCCATACCAATACAAATGGGTTGAATGAATGTGTTGCCATCTTGTGATAGCCCCCATTCACCACCCAATGTCGTTAACGACTATTTGTGTGAAAATATCACATCATTGATGGGGTGAGCCTGGAGTGGGAAGACCTGAAGTGGGCCTTGGACTCCAACCCCAGCCCCCATCACTCACGGACCGACATGTCAACTAATTGGGTATTGTGTTTTCAAAGATTGATTGATTGATCGATTAATTATGATTGATTAATTGACGAAGTATGATGATCATTTATTTGAACTTTAAGATTAAGATGAGTCCGAGGACTGATGCCACAACAAATAGTATGAGAGCTAACCAACAAGACTTGGAACGTGATGATTTCTGATATTCATCGGTAATCTTAAGTTCTACATTGGCCGCTGCAGTGTTCTTGATTGTATCATTGAGATGCACTTCAATATTGTCCAACATTACACCTTGTTCAATGACCATTGTTGAGAGATACATGAATATCTCATTGAGTTTCAATCAATGATTTCTCMAATCTTACGAATACCCTCATCACGCTCTTGAATCACCTTGTTATGATACTCCATATCATATTCCAATTGTTGCATCTGTAACATTTGTTGTCTTCTACTGTCCTCTGTCAAACTCTGAGTTTGACTATCATTATTGTTGAAGTAATATAATGGTTGTTGTTGAGGTAGTTGGCTATTGTACACTTGGTAGTCACCACTTGTTGTCCTTGTTAGACCTAGTTGTTGATGTTGTTGTTGAAGGTGAGGAGATGGTGCTTGAGGCAAGGGTGTAGCCTTCTCCTTCTTGATGGCGGATTGAGCTTGGTCCTTGAATTGTTGAACCGAAGTTTGGTACTCTTTAATCAACTTTTGATATTGAAGTTTAGTTCTTTGATCTTGTGACCTATTACCAGCAACAGTCAAAGATCTAATAATCAACGTACTTGTTGATATCAATTTAGTTGTTAACTCTACACATGATCGACTAATTATTATTATAAAAGTTAGTAAGTAATATTATGCTTCCAAAGTGTGATGGATACTTTACATTTGTTGTCTAATCTCCAAAGTATCTTTGTTTGTGCCAAGGAGTTGGACTAACTTGTTTAGTGTTAGAGTGGCATCGGTAATAAGTTGGATGTTCTTTGTTGTAGTTTGATAATCTTGTGGATTTGGTTGTGGTGGACCTTTACTAATTATATCAATTACATGATCAGGTTGACCTATACAAGAATCAAGTCCAACATATCCAATTCTATTATAATTATTATTAGTATTATTATTGCCATAACCAGAACTATTATAATTATTATAGTTATTATTATTATTATTGTACATTTTGAGAAGATGTATTATTATTATTTGTTTGATGAATAGGTTAGATAATGATGAACACAAATGATGACTTAAATAAGGTTGGTTATTTATACATGTTGTTTACCTTATCAAGCCCAAGTTGATATTGTTAACATAAGTTCCAAGTCAGACCAGACAGAATTAATGAACATGTATGAGAGAATGGAATAAGTGATTGAATGTTAACTTTATTCGTTGAATGTTAACCACGTCACACACAACTCCTGAATGAACAAGACCTAAAGAGAGGTAGTTTCTCACTCGCTTTTCAAACTCAAACACCCGTTTCTCATTCTTTTGCTCACACTGATCACAGATAAGTGAGTGATCGACCAAACATTGACCATGAAGTTACATGGTCAATGAAACGATCATAACTATTTCCATTGATGTCATCTTGAACAATGACAAAGAAGTTTTAATCAATCAATCAACCAGGCCAAACTAAGTCAAGAAAGTAGTGAACAGACGGATGGACTGATGGATGGATAATGACTTAAATAGAACTACATGAGATGATTTGGTTTATTCTTCTTTTGGAGGATGGAATGGATGGATGGATGGATAGTGTCATTGACAAGTTGTTGTTAGGCCTAAAGTCTGCGACACTCTCTATTTCGACCATATATGTGTTTGGATTAACAGAACAATAGGTCGGTATGAGCAATGATTGGTAAATTATGAATAGGATAGGATAGGATAGGATAGGATAGGATAGGATAGGGTTGAGTTGGTTGAGTTGGTTGATGATGGACGGATGGCGGACCGCCGAACATAATGGGAGAGTTGAGGGAAGTGGTGCGACTGAATGATTGACTGACTGAATGAATGAATGAATGAATGAATGACAATGACTTTGGTATCTCTTATTTTCTTAACGAGAAGAATAGAATGACACCAAGTACACCGGCAACAATGAAGAGGATGAGTGCCAGCCAACACATCTTGGTACGAGCGGATCTCTGATGCTCGGATGCCTTCTTGATCTGTGTGACACCCTCGGCCGTGTTGTTGACTGTAGACTCGAGACTGTACTCGATGGTGTTCAGCATGACACCCTGCTCGGCCACCATGTTGGACAGGTCGACAAAGATCTCATTGATCTCCGAGATGGACTGCTCGATCTGGCGGATGCCCTCGTCACGCTCCTGAATGATGGAGTTTTGGTACTCGCGCTGCGACTCGATCTGCGCCAGCTGCTGTCTTCGCGACGCCTCCATCAAGCTCTGTGTCTCGTCCTCCTTCTCGTCGTCGTAGTATGGCATTGGTTGGTTGCCGTACTGGTTGCCACCGTACTGGTTGCCGCCGCCACGGCCCGACTGCTGTGGCTGCTGTTGCTGCTGCTGGCTCGGTGCCTGAGGCAGAGGTGTGGATCTCTCCTTCTTTGTGGCCACCTGAGCAATCTCCTTAAACTGTTGCAGCGATCCATTGTACTCCTTTACCAATTTTTGGTACAGAAGCTTGGTCTTTGAATCACGAGCCTTATTAGCCAATGTTGTCAATGTTCTAACCTTTGACGACTCTGCTGAAATCAATTGAGTTGTTGTCTCTACACATGAGCGACTATAAAGTGGTTGTAATGTTTAGTTTAAAGTGCACTTGAGCATACTCATGCGGGTGTAGTGAACAACGTACATCTTCTCTCTAATATCCATGCTGTCCTTGGGTGTACCCAGTTGTTGGACAAGCTTGGTGAGGGTGGTGTAGGCGACGGTGATCTGTTGGATGTTCTTGGTGGTGGCTTGGTACTCTGGGTTGCTGGTGACGTCCTCATCGGCCATATCAATAGCATAGTTTTGTTGTTGTGGAATAGGTTGTGTTGATTGTCCAAATGGATTATTATTATTGTTATATCCTCCTCCGCCACCTTGTTGTTGTTGTCCATATCCACCGCCACCTTGTTGACCACCAAATCCACTATTGTTATTATTATATCCACCTGGTTGACCATATCCACTATTGTTTGAACGACCATATCCACCTTGTTGTTGTCCATATCCACCACCGCCACCATATCCACTGTTGTTGTTATTGTTATACATTATAATCTATCTATCTTCTAAAAACCTGTGTTCTAATCTAATCACAATCTAAACTAAACTATAATGTATGTATGAATGAATGTATAAATTGATATACTTATGTGTATGAATGAATGTATTTGTTTTGTTTGTTTGTTTGTTTCTGCGATAATGAAGAATGTGTTGAGCAAGCGGGAGTTAGTTAGGTTGGTTGCTTCTTCTCTCACACTCTACGTAGTGGTTGTGGTCTTGTCTTATTCATACACACACACACTCTCAACATAAACAAATAGAATGGTGGTGTGTGAGGTTGCGTTGAGGGTCGATGTTTTAGAGAGTTTTCCCCTCACTTCTCTCTGGTAGGTGAGTGGATGACAAAATTGATCATTGCCCAATCTGCACCAGCTGGACACGAAAAAAAAAACAAAAGTGGTCATTGATGTAATGATTAGGGTGTGCCCAAGACCAAAAACAATTGATTTGTTTGATTGCAATCTCTGTCTACAATGCATTCCTGTGAACATGGGATAAAGATTACCTTTGTTGATTGGGTATCTATCTATTCTTTCGAACTCATGTGTTATGTTATGAGTATTATTATCTCTTTGTTACTTTGTTTGGGTGTTTGTTAATGAATGAGAACATATCCCCCCCCCCCC